AGATATAAATTAGCAAATTTTGACAATCAAATTCTGTTTCCATAGCAACCATCATACCTGTAGTCACCAATTTTCTACCAGTTATCAATGACATATATGTGCATATATGGTTCCATTCCCGTACGGGGCATTGACTCTAGCACATTCTCTTTCGAGTCTAGTATCTGAATCGGTACACTACAGCTCCCCGACGAACGTGCCCAAGGGTCGTTACAGTACAATAGTTTGAAACTTCTCGTTTTCAGTCGTTTGATGCGAGATTGAAGTTTTTTACAATAGCCTTTACAGTGCAATGGACTTTTATGTGAAACATGTAATTTTTCATGGAAATGTGTTATGACAATCCAGTTTACAACCAGGTGTTTTTTTGATGTTTAAGATGTAACCTAGTCTGGTTTTGATAGTTAAGTCAATGCCCTTACAACCAGACCAAAGTAAGGATATTTTTGCTTAACTGCCACTGCGAATTGAGTACAAAAGAGATTAAAATAAACAGCCTTCTTTATCTGTAAAGATTTGAGACGTTATCAGTATACAGGTGCTCTTCTTGGAAAATCTTATCACTTTATTCCTTGTTTAGCAGATAAGTAATTATTATTTTATAAACTAGATAATTGTTAAAGGTTCAGAAAAGTATAAAGAAGTACCATCGTTATTTTAGTATACTAAATGTCGTGTATACTAGGGTCATTGACTCATTATCTTGTTTCTAAATTCGGATTTCAGCATTTTGAGACCTTGTTAACATGTGATGCACAGTGGACGTATGTTAGACTGTTAGAACTATACACTGATGTACTGTCAGTGAATTGCATGCTGGAATTTCAATTTGCAATAGTGTTTTCTGTCCTGGGAAGAAAGTACTTGGAAAGCCACATTTATTATTTCGAGTTGAGAATCCTGCATCTTCAGATCGAGAGAGCGATTTCGCGAAAGACATTCCGTTTTTATATCACCACCAAAAAGCGGTGACACATTGTTTTGGTCTCCATTTTTTGTGATGGCAATCGGCGGTGGGCGGTCGGCGATTTGCAAAAATCGACAAATTCAAATACTTGTTAGACTGACAATTTTTTTCAAAATCATCTACAGTACAAGTTTTCAGAAGTTCAAATCTGACTCTAGAATTAAGATTTGACCTTCGATGACCTTTTCAAGGTCAAAATAGGTTAAAAAGGTGTTTTTAACTTGCTTGAAATTGACCAATTTTTTTTCAAAATCATCTACAAGTTCTCAAAAAGTTCAAATTTGAATATAAATTTGACCTTCAATGACATTTTCAAGGTCAAAAAGGATTTGACCTTCAAAGACCTTCTCAAGGTCAAAAAGGTCTTCTTTGATCTTGCTTTAAATTGACCAATATTTTTTTCAAAATCATCAAGTTCTCAGAAGTTCAAATCTGACTTTAGTATTTTTGTCTAATATATCGTCCTAACATGTCTAATATCGTTCTTTTTCATCCCTATTTTCTCAAGATCTTTTAACATTTCATCGTAAATATTCATATGGAAATCCGAAATACCTTTAGTGTTGAAGATGATATTTTTCGCCTGTTTTAGTTATTAGGTTTGATGCAGAAATATGTAAAGACACATTGGTTTTAAAATCTAGATTATTGGTTGTGATGTGTCCCCCCCCCATATCTCTGATTCTAGCTCCAATATTTGGGGTGCTAAAGAAATGTTAGTGCTACACCCTTCATTGACATATACCACCTTTATTTGGGTGTATTCACACTTCAAGCTATCAAAATAGAAAATGTTATGACACTTGACAAGAAAATGTTGCCGCACCAACAGTAAACGATTAAATGTGGTTTCATCATATTGTACGTTTTCTGTTTTTATATCTATGATCTGGGCGTTCGCCTGATAATCGTACACACATCACAAATCAGTGGTACAAAGACGCCTGGCGGTGGTAGTATTTTGTATAAAGAATAGTGAGTGACATCTCAAGAGTCATAATCCCAATGGCAAGAATAACTCTAGTATATCAATTTGGTTCTTAGGCCCGTATAAGTCAATATGATTTGGTAGAAGTTAAAAAGTGTGTTGCAACGTTACGTGAACAGTTTTGGCAAATCATTCATCTTTACAGTCCAGGCATCCCGCTGGTGTCTCATTGCTCAAGATGACTCAAGGAGAAAGTGTCAAATATAATCTGAGGCAAAATATTCACATTTTTATGAGGCAAATTGAAAAATAGCGACGAGTCAACTTTTTTAAAAAGCGACGAGGCAAAACTCTTGGGGGTGCAGGCACACCCGACGCGACCCCCTGGCGACTATACGTATACCTAAATTCCGTCATTTAACAACCTGACATATTTTTTATTAAAAAGTGAAAAAAATCTTAAAAAAAGTATTATCATATTATAGAAAATATATGCTTCATGGTAGTCTTCAGAGCTACGCTTATCGGTCATTGGCACGAAGAGGAAAACTTCATTTGATAAAAACGCGTAAGGTTGTATTTTATAACAATGCCTACCAGATAAGTAATATGAGATTGCTTGAAATATCATTCTTAAGCTTTAAGTAGATGGCACTGGGTAAGTTTCTGTCTCTAAAACACCACTTTGAAGTTTTTTTGCAGCCATCCACTGCAGTCCCCTTGTCCGATGAATCAATTTTAATTTTAAAAAGTGTTTTCAATGTTAGAGAAAAGGAGAACGTGGCAATATCTAGAGCAAGAAACGCAGTGTGTAATGAGTCTTTAACGATGGCTTGCCGTATTTTATAATTGGCAATTTTAATTCAGCAAAAACTTTTAGCCTAACTGGCATCAATTTGCAAAGGATTTTTCAAAGCTAGCATCATTTGCAATTGGCTGTGTGATATTGCACGCTTGTAATGTATTTTGATTGGTACCGTATGGAAGATTGACATTCAATTCCAGTACCTCACACTTGTATTTGTGGCATTGTGTGAATTTTTATCTTTTCATTATTAAAATGTGTACCCTATGCAGACAGAGCCTGTGGGAAATATTGGGTGCGGAGCAAATGAGCGGAGGGTGCGGAGCTAACGGTCATTTTTGAATTTAAAATTGGGATATTTCTGAAACTAAGCCGTTTTGGGACTTCAAATATACCAAGATATGTGTATTTGACACCAAATATCAATAAAATTGTGAAAATAGTAGTGCAATTCATTTTATAGCGACGCAGTATGCCTTAAACATTTCCCAAACCTATATATTTTGAGACTATCCTTTTAATACTGCGTCCCCAGCATTCATAAAAAATGGTGTTCAAGATACACTACCCATGCAAATTATTTTTGCATCTTGGAAGCCAGGCCGTATCTGTGTGATTTTATAAAAATTCGGAAATGTTCTTCAGATATGAGCCCCCTCTAAATATTGGGTGCGGAGGTACGTTTATGGAGCTCCTCCGCACCCAATATTTAGAGGGGGCTCTATCTGAAAAACATTTCCGAATTTTTACAAAATCACACAGATACTGCCTGGCTTCCAAGATGCAAAAATAATTTGTATAGATAGTGTACCTTGAACACCATTTTTTATGAATGCTGGGGACTCAGTATTAAAAGGATAATTTCAAAATATATAGGTCTGGGAAAGGTTTAAGGCACACTGCGTCGCTATAGAATGAATTGCGCTACTATTTTCACAATTGTATTGATATTTGGTGTCAAATACACATATCTTGGTATATTTGAAGTCCCAAAACGGCTTAGTTTCAGAAATATCCCAATTTTAAATTCAAAAATGACCGTTAGCTCCGCACCCTCCGCTCATTTGCTCCGCACCCAATATTTCCCACAGGCTCTGTCTGCATAGGGTGATGTGTAAACATGGGCTTTCAAGAGAAAGAAAACCCCATGCTGTAAAATTTGATTAAATATACTATGTGTGTATGGAAGTGTCACTGTAAAAATCACTTTTTGAAAATATTAGAAATTAGTTTGTTTACATTTTTAATGAACACCCCTGGGTAAATAAATCAAATAATTAATGTGTAAATAAATAAGCGTTGAATACATCACGTTCGTTACAATATATAAAGTGATAATTTATATGCCCGAATTTTTTTCCTCAAGGGTAAGTAACTGAAAAATGAATATATTACTCCAGGGTAACGTAAGGTAAATTCACCTGTTTTTCAAGGCTCCCTGTGGCAATTTGCGATGCACATATACACTTCGTATTGTGTACTTAGTAACCTTAATGTCCATTTCTCATTTTCTCTAGTCATTTATCAACACATCTCTTTGGATTTCAGTGTTAAGAGAGCAACTAATATTTTACTTGTGCACATATGATGGTATCAGGATAGCCTTGTTACCGCTCATCATAACCGATGACGTGAGTGAGAGGATTTGTCCTGATTTTTCTTTTGTACTGATTTAATAGGCGGAGCACATTTGCCACCTTAGAGTGAAATCCCGTTCATTTTTGTATCTCTCGATTTATCAACCATATTGTTGTTTTTAGTAACTGCAACACAGTGATACGTTAGCATATATTATTATTATATATTTAAAAATTTAAGTGCAGTGTATTATTATCCACTTTGTCACAAGTTTAGTCTGCCAGATCATTTCTCACTAAACATATGATGATAATATATTTGGTTAGTATTTATGATCATTTCTTATGTTGACGTCAAGTAAATAAATAGGTAGCTGAAGCGAACATTCAATTTCACACACAATTTAGACTACCGAAACAACGGAAAAGCATAAAAGAGTTGGAAACGTTATATTTGATTTAAAAAATTTACAGTTGCAATAATAGAAAATCGCTTACGCAAGCACTTTTCCTTAAGTTCTGATTATTGATTGGTATCTAGTTGTATTATTTTGGGAAGAATTTAGTACAATTATGAATCCATAGTCAGAGAAAGTAAGTTTTTGAAGGAAGGCATACCTGTGAAAGAATTATGACTTGCACAACCGTGTAACTAGTCGGACAACTGTAGGGAATATATCGGGTGTTATGCATTTGCTCACCTACAGCTAAAGACAAATAGACGGCTTGCTTTCAGCATAGCATGGGTTTAAAGTAGGACTGGGTTTTCCATTTCGACAATCGCCGTAGACTATAGTATGATAATGTATTTGATTTGTGTTTCTTTACAATCTGGCATTTGAAAACATGAGGATATGAACACGTGGGATTAAAGCAGTAGATCGTGTTTGAGCTACTTGATAGCCTGAACAGACTCAACACTGTCTTATGTAGACCTCCTTAAGAAGTTATTATACACCGGAATTCTGAAAATACAGCTAAAGGATATAAAATCATTTTACAACCAGAAATGACAGTTATTACAAAGCTGAGGCCAAAAATATATGTAAAAATGGAGGTACAGACACTAGTGTGGGTTTGTTTAGTGTTATTGACATTTTGCACAATTGCAGATTCACAGGCTAACCAATGTTATATACGAGAAGGGCAATGCTCATATAATATACAACTCAGCCATGGGTGTCAGGACCAAGATAAATTATCTAATGTCGTACCAGAAAACGCCGAGAAGGCGTATGAAATGAGTTTAAGTGTCAAAGATACTCAATTAAAACAAGAACAACGAATTCTTGAATTAGAAAGAAGATTACAAGAAGCATTAAGTGGTTCGAATAATCAAATTCCTGGTGCTAAAGGGATTGTAATAAATACAGGGGGACCGTTTAAAGAGGACGGGACCCGAATCGAAATTGGTCTCCTCAACACGCTTTACTCTCAGTTCACTGAACTTCGGACGGAATTAAATGCTACAAAAATCGCACTGTTGAGGTCGCAGGCAGCATTAAATCAGACCCAGAGAGCATTAAATATTACCGAGGCAAATTTATTAATAACAACCCAAAAACTAATTCGTGCTGATAGAAGAATCGATTTCCTAGAGGATGAAAATAGAAGACTTAAGTTACGTCTCCAAGAGGTAACTTTCCAACTATTCCAAACAAAGACAAAATTGGATCGAACAATACGTAAACTATTCCGGGCTGAGCTGGATTTAGGTGTTGCGCGTAAAGAAAATGAGGAGCTCCGAAAAGAGCTGATACATACGCGCCGACGGGCTCATACACTAGAGACGAGACTCAACCAAACAGTGACGCAGTACAGAATCTTATTGCAGGAGCATGAAGAGCTCAATGTAACCCTACAAGAAACACGCTTAAAACTAATTGAATGCTATAACTGTAAGTAATATAATTTATATATGCCCAGAAACATTTACCCTTATACAAGTAAAAACGTAGGAGGCGATGGCCTTGAAGTTAAACCGATTCAGCATAATTTGTCATTGCCTGCTGTTCCGTTAATTTATCATTTATGACGCAAGGTACACCCGTTTGCCATTCAGAAAACATACACCATTCACCAACTCATAAAAATACAAAGGCCAGACCTAAACAGAACTCCCATAATAAACAAAACAGCATTTTGCATATAAACAATAGTAATTATAAGCACAGACAAATTACGTAAACTGTTTAAGACAAAACACAAGAACAAATTGCCACCAACAATACTTTAATGTTATCGATAGGAGCTAGCTACTTACCAATGCCTTACACTAGACACAACTTCCAAATATTTTAAATTAACTCAAAATAGACCAAGTCTGACCTTCTAGATGCATCAATCAGCTGATATTGCACATTTTCTGATTTAAATCAGAGAAATATAATTGCAATTGTAATCGTAAAATATTTTGCTAAAAGGTCTTACCGATGGATCATTTGTATTCCAATTCTAAATGAACATGCATATTAAAATAGAATCCATTATAGTCCATCAGAGTATCAAAGGGTCAACATTTATTCTGATACAATAATATAAGAGAACTTTCCTTGTTGCAAAATTGATTAATTAGGGCTTTCATGAACAGGGGGCAATTTCACATTTTGGGGGTATTCTTTTTTAAATGAGCCAATTGTTCATGATACTAATTTTGAAGGTAAACTTCTTTTAAGATGACATTTGACCTAAACTGGCCTTTAAAGAAAATCACTATGGTTTTCTATTTTACGTCCTTGAACGTACTAGGCACATTGTATCCAAACTATCGAGTGACCAATTAAAATTTATAATAAAATATTACAAGATAATAACCAAAAATACCAATTTTGACATTTTACCTTTACTGCCACGCCCATTTTTCACCCAGCATCTTTGTATCACCCTTCAAGCATTCTCCATAGGTCAGTGGTGTCGAATGTAAAATAAGACCTTGATGTGAACTGAAATATAATGTTATGACATCGGAAGATTTAGTGAAACGCCCATTGTTCAACAATCAGTAAATGACACTACCTCAAGTAATTAGCTTCTGAACACATTTAATCAACAGTTTGTGAGATATTACGGAAATATTGTATCATAAATAAATTTCCCACGTCATCATTTCTATATCTATTCGTCCACCCATCAAAGGCGCAGTTTTTATCAACATATTGAGCAACTTTTGAAAACGTTTGAAATCAAGCCTTTTTGTTATTCTCAAAAACATAAATAAAATTGAAATTCATTAGAATAACCCTTTAAGTCGAGGACAAATTACGCCATTCATGTGTTTTTAAAAAGGAGCAGACTTTGAAGCTCTCGCTTGCTCAACTTTAATCATTAAACGAGGTTTCGATCCCGAATCCAAACACGTTTAATTGGTTTAGTTTAATTTGTAGGCGACCTCTGATGATGACCTCTTTCTAGACCTACAGTGTAGTCAAATCATTAAGCTCATTTGGGATATGTTTAAATCATCCGCCGTCTGTCTGCCAACAAGATGGTAGTGGTAGTCATGGTACTTGTGGATACCTCTGTCATCTTGTATCGTTTTAACTCACATAGTGAGCAACTCCAATCACCCACTTGTCTGTCTGTCTGTCTGCCCGTCCGTCTGTCAACAATATTGGCATGTTTAAAACTTTTGAAGTTATTTTTGTTCATTATCAACAGAAAAACTCCCTGTTCATGAGCTCGCCTTAGAAATTCAAAATTGCCGCTATTATGCCATACAAAATCATTTTTGTAAGCGAACCCCCCCCCTCATTGGCCAAAACTTTCAAAATCATGCAGTTTTTCCCATTCTGAGCAATTTGCAAGTGATATTGGAACAAAGTTCGTCAAATTTGAAGCCTTTTGCTTTTTGAAAATTGACCCCCCCCCCCCACTTAACAAAAGCTGGCAACGGGCCCTGTCTAGTATCATAAAATGTTACAAAGAATAAGAAAATAAATCTAGACGGAAGCAATAGACAACTTTCCATCTGGAGACTACGTTATGCCAGGTATTGTAATACATGCTGTGTAAAATATATGACTCTGACTTCAATTTCTTATCGAGAGATATCAATCAGGGTCAGGATGATATCGTTTAGTTGTTTCGGCAACTTAACCTAGAAAGTATAGCATAACCCAAGGGAAAGATCAATACCCGGTGATTTCAGCGGGAAGTGGCGTTTCGTTCATTGGATGAGCTGCGCGCGCACGCATAAATGTGATTATCCAATATAATTAGGGGAGGGCTATTTGAAGTAGTTTTTGGTCTCAGGCGCGACCCAGGGCTGTTGTCTTAAGGACATTTCGTTGAAAATGAGCCATTCGGCTGATAATTGGTAAGAGTTTGCGATCTTATAATGTATAACTGTTACTCAGACACATATTTTGACACGATTCTGTTGGAAATAAGCTTTGAACCGAGAGATATTCACGATTGATATGCACATTTTTGATTGTGCCATTGCTTTTCTATTGCACAATCCATGTATTGACAGAAGAAACATTAATAATACAGATTGGTTTACCTTCAATACATGGCAGACACTACATATCGGTCTATTAATACCAGTTTGTGCCTGAAATAGTTCTATATTTCCATCCACGGCCTGGAGCCTGGGTGTGTTTGTCTCTTATGTGTATGCTTGTGCATGGACTTCTAATCACTAGCAGAATTTAACATGATGCAAACTCGACATTATAACTCATGCTGTAACATTTTGACTTCGCTGGAAAACAATAGGAATTATTTTTCTTGCCAATCAATCATGAATCACAATCAAAATTTCAGAATGATCAATCAGGCAATGGTCCAAATCAAGTTATAACATTATATGATATTCAGCAAGAAGTCCGGTAGAAATACAGAATATTTAAACATCAAAGCTGAAAGTTAAAAGCTAATCTGTCAATTTTCTGTCTGCAAAAGAGCGTCCCAAGAGCGTTTACATTTGACACAATAACAGACTGAGGCTTTGAAATCTAGGATTCCCCAGGAAAATATGACGTCATACTAATTAGCATAAGGATTTCCCTATTGGTGTGGGTCGAGCCTTGTTCGAAAACACAATCCATAAATACATGCTAATTTCTAAGGAGATAGGAAGTGTATAACGTGTTTATCGATTTTGTTTAAAGATTTAATCAATTATCAAATTGTTTAAGTGGATAAAGTGGTCACACTTGCTTCAATTCATAGCGAAATCGCGGATAGAAACTGACCGAATTTCCGATATCCTACCCCGTATTACTGTAGGCTATAAGCACAGTGACCTACAGAGGGCGCTATCACAAACAAGTACTGGACGAACCGATAAATTCCCGGGTATTGTAACGCCCTTGCATAACCCAGGTAGCTTCCTAGTCACTGGTACTGCACTCTTCAAACTAAACTAGATAGTTTACCGAAATAGTTAGTTTCGGTAACAAAATGTCGGAACCTCGAAGTTCTTTTTCCTTATTTCGCAAGTTGTAGGCAGAATTTCAACAATATTTTTATCACAAACGTGTGTCAGTTTTATATATTTAAGGAAATCTAACGTTTTCGAACAAATAGTTCAGTTCAGCAAAATCCAAATCATACAAGGGTACAAGGAAACCAAGCACAAACTCAAGAAAAAACAAACTTGTTTGTTGAGAAATGTATACATTTCAAGGGCATAAAAAAGGATCACATACCAATCTGCAGTGATTACAAACACAATATCTATACATACAATATATTTAAACATATTAGCTGTTATTCAAGGGTAAAAAATAAGAAAATACACAATGTATGCCAAAGTAATCAATCTTTGACGCACATCAAATTATCCGCCATTTCGTCTGATTCTGATGCAAGAACGAAATCCAATGGTACTTTCAGACCCTTGTGATTGCTATTTAGATGTGTTTGTTTTTTCTGATTTACTCAAAATCGTGCAAGAAAGGGGACGCAAAACAAAGAATCTACTTCTTATGGCCTTATATTAGGGTCTTATTTTTTACGTAAACGGAACTTCAAACACGGTTAAGATTTATTTGCACTTTAAAACTTTAAACAAAATAGAATTCAACTGCGGGTAGGTAGATCATTTTATTGACATCTGGCCAATTTCTATCAATTTCTAAATCCAATTTTGATTTTCATGTGCCTAGATATTCTATTATCATAAAGAAAATGATAAATTGATCAAGACGATCTAACAAATAACAATTAAAATGAATTGAGTTATGAATTTGACATAATTTCAATAAATTTAGGTAAAGGGTAAAAATATATCTGCATCTGTTTTGGTCATAACTTGAATAGCATGAAGATGTAGAAAAAAAATTCTTGCTTTTTATCGAGCCTATCGACATCTGAAGTTTCAGCCTCACAATGAGATGGGTTATTTGGTGTTTTGCTAGTGTTGCTAGATTCATAATCTGGCGTGGAAATAGCGAAAGCGTAAAACATGTTATCACCAACGTTAGTTTGAATAATACTATACTGTTAGACCAAAATATTCTAAATCTATATTTGCTGTTCCAGTTTGGTTCAAATAACAGATGTAACTTACTTTAAATGACGGCTGGATGATAAGTTTAGAATCTTAAAGAACTCAACAATCCTCATTATCAGACCCTTAGCAAGGGGGATGGTGGGTTCGAGCGGAGCCCCCCCCCCCCCCCCCCGGCCAAAAAGTTCTTTCAAAATCATGCAGCTTTTCACCATTCTGGGCATTCTTGTTTTGGGACAAAGTTGTCAATCCTGAACCCCCTGGATTTATTTGAAAAGTGATCCCCTTTTTGGTAAAAATTGGCTACGGGCATGCCCTTTATTGTGAGAAACTGTTTTACTCTTATTTGCCACTGCAAATGCGGTCACAACGTTGGGTCAGAATAAATGGTTCTGAATATACTCTCGGCGAAACTATCTCAAGAATAGTTAATTGATGCGTTTCTTTCTTTAGGTCAAAGTGTAAAATATTTATTAAATTGGCACAAATCTTTTGATCTAAGTAAAAGAAGAAAACTTTTTAACGTACCCTATCTATCAACCCGACAATAAACATATTTGCATTTCACACAAACAAAACATTATGACTAACGAAACACGTACACAACAGTCAGCCCTATTTACAAAGCCACAAGTACATCCTTTATATTTTCGTATGGTGAATCGAGATATTTAAAGGTCAGTACCATCAGTAATGCAAAGTCAATGTCATTATACCCCACATTCGGGGGGGGGGGGTGGGCGTTATACCTTATACTTTGTCTAGTTTGTTTTAAAAAATACGCATCGTGCCATTCATGGAGTAAATATATGCTTTTGAATGTTCCAAGTAACCATTTACCATTGTAATGTTGAAGTTTTGCAAGCAAAGCCAATGAAGTATTCTCTCTAAATCACGTTATCATAAAACTGTTCCATGGTCTTTGAATGCAAACAACCGCCGAGCATTCCACATCCCATGCCTGGATTGAAAATACATAAAATATGATATTATTTTATCTTGTTTTCTTTAATTAAATTCCACTATCGTTATGGAGGAGTATCTTGATCATATCCGATCCATGTGAATACTCAGTTATCATCTGGTAAAGTTGCAACATCCACTTTAACTCACTTATCTACAGCTTACAGTTTTCCCCTCTCATTGATACTTCTCTGCGGTGCTCAATTTGAACGTCTCGTCTTCATTATTCCCATTTCTGACCAAAATGACGTAAATTATGTTAAACGTTGACAATCATTCCCATAGAGTTTGGCAACTGAAGGTATATCGCTTTTTGATCACTTATGAAAGCTGCACATCTTTGCAAAGTCAATAATTTCCAAATTATTGTAATTAAGGAGTACTTAATTACCTTGCCTTGGTAACTTATTAATTAATTGCCTTGGCAAGGAGGATTAGCTCACAGGAAAAGGAGGGAAAACCCCATGATTCATTTGATGACATACGATTTCCTCCTTCGCGCACCTCCTTTTGTCGAAAACGTACCCTCCATCTTGGTTTTCAAAGTTTTCAAATTGACCTAGTTTTAAACCAATCAACGATCGACTCGCTAAACCAATCAGCGACGATGTCATCTCAATACGGATTTACATTATAAGCGTATGTCATCTTTGAACCCTGGGGTTTCTCCCCCTCTTGCTCACAGGATATCGAAACTCAATATTTTCCAACAATGAAAACGTCGAAATGTCGTAATGGAGTAATATTTTATAAGATTGAAACCACGACAGTTTTTTATAGGCAATGCGGCCACTATGAAAGAATTATGCCGAAACTCAATACAAGGTGAAGAACATACAAGGGGAAAATACGAGAGAGCATTTGTTTTTAAGGATTAAGCGCCGAGTGCATTGTGGACTGATTAACATTCCTCAAATGTTTTGTTTCAAACTTTGCACGAATGCTAAGTTGTGTGCATTATCCCTCTGAATCTATTATCAACTTTAATTTCCTCATAGGTTATTTAATCAGATATTCTTTCAATTCGAGCCAGTTTATTCTTAAACAGAACTAATTTCCCTACTTTGAATTGCTACTTCCCCAATTTTGATATGTATCCGTCTGGTTGAATACACAAGAGGGGAGGGAGTGAATAGAACAGCCAACTTGACAGCCAACATGAAATTATGAAATTAAAGTAATCAAAAAATGACCTGAGTAATATTGTAATGCAGTTATACGAAATAACATGTCCTGATTGGCTTGAATAGGATACACCTTGCCCAATCACATTTATTTGTGAAGGAAGAGTTATCATCAAAATGAGATGCATATCTTAATAACAATCTCGATTATAGGTACCTGTATTTCGGCTTTTACGATCTAGTATAGAAAGCTGGTATCATGATGATATGACATTTTACATTCAAATCACCCATATCTTCCCATAAGATATGTTTACGTGTAAGTGTCCAATTCATTTTAGTCGAGGATCCTTTTAAGTTCCCTTTTCGAAGATCTCCAGTTTTTAAACAGATTTCTAGACGAAGTAACATTCCTTTAGCTTGAATCGTTTATATTTTAATATAACTTAACACTCTCCTTGATATCATGCAGCATGCCTTTATATATATTTCTTTATTGCGACCAATCCTGATCATATACATATAGTTTAACATAAAATGTTATAAAATGTTATAAAGAAAAAACATACAAAAATATAACAAAATATAGTTGTTTAGTGCAGGACGTTTAGAGTGTTGAGAAATCTAGTTCTCAGTTGGTACATATGATACACCGTCCTGGCTATTATAAATTTATAATACAATCATCATATTATTTAAAACGATATAAAACAACCTACTAGTTGAGCAACACATCGGAAGGGCTGGCTGATCAAAGCAAAGGTACATTTATATTTGAAAAATGATTGGTATGATACGAATGGAATAGATATCACGGCAATTATGTAAAGATGCACTCTACCTTCTATAAATATGTAAACAAAGGATAATATTTCAAACTTACCATTACCCTAAGGCCATTTTGGTTTAGAAGTTGTTTTTTAAACTAAGTGGCCCTTCGGGGGAAAGCTGCATATTCTGCAATGAAATAAAAAGTATAGAGGTTCTGAACTTGGACATCAATAAGTCCAAGTAGCTATGGACGATTTATTTAAATGGTTCACTTACTACATATTTCACGTATTTTAGACACATTTACATATTTTCTACATTCTGATATCAAACTATAAAATGCCACATGATACCATACCATACCATACCATACCATACCATACCATATACCACGCCATTCAGTTTTGTTTTATTTTACGTTTCTTTTACTATAAGTCGAAAGTAGTAGAGTGGTTTTGTTGAAATTTTATATGTGACCAGTGACTACTATTAGACTTTGGATAATAAGCGGGCATTAATTTTGAAAAATGGAGGCCAATTTTACGCATGTTATTTTACGTTGTTGCTCTAACTGAAAAAAATAGCCAGTGGGACGATGTTGTTCATATTTGATATGTGAATACTTTGAGGCATGGTACACTTTTTTATGACACGTTGGCTTGAAAAAAATTGATTTGACTACTCAGAAGCATATTACTCTTTCAATGGCTAGTAAGCGGCCATATTGACAAATGATGGCTATTTTTACGTGTATTATTTTACGTTGTTGCCATAACAGGAAAAGTAGTGGAGTGATTTTTAAATGTTTTTCTATATCTAAATCCTTAGAAGCAGATCGTACTGTCTAATGACAACTTGGCTAATTTGCGGCCATTTTCAAAAATGGCTGCCATGGCCACTTCATGGGATTTGCTACGCCTTGGCATTGCTGTTATCTAGTTTCGATGTAACTCTGAAGAAGATCCCATAAATACTTTCATTTTGACCTTTATTGTCTTTTATTTTGTTCACTAAAAGCTTTTCGGTGTATTCTAAGTCAGCTATGGCATTAATGACTCCCGTTTAACTGTTAGTATGTAACTGTTTTCGTTTAGAGCATGTTAAAAAGTACGAGTACGTACAGGGAATTGTTACGTTTGGAGCTAATTTATTCAATTTGACAGATAGTTATCATCTTTGTCTCTCGTGCTAAAACTTGAACTTTCTTTGCCAATTTTTGTTGAACGAGATTGTTGGATCAATTTTTGTCGAACGAGATTTTTGTATTAGTTTCCTAACTTTTTCCCATCAAATAATGGTCAATTAATTTTTTCCAACAGCAATGTTATCAATGTGACCACGATTTTTGGAGAGACAAAATATTTTACAATTAATATCCATATGTATTGAATAAACCGCAAACAAGTTAAACCATTAATAGCACCATTCAGCATATCTTGCCCGATCACTCCCAAAGGTTCGCAAATCCCAAGAGTTTTCTCCTATAACTCGCTTCTCTCATCTCGGAGTGCATCTGGCAAAAACAACCATTACTTTAGTAAATTGTATACTTCATATCGTAACATAGAAATCAAAAGTAAATAAAAACAATTGTTTATCGTTCTCATGGCAAAAATCTTCCATGGCTTTCATTCTGTGTTTTCATTAACCAATTAGTTGTTAATTTGTAAAACAGTTTACCTTAGCAGTATGTTTTAGAGGTATCAATGTCAGTATTAGTTGAGAAAATTAGTTGAGAGATTTATGAGGTATGTATGATGGTTTGCAGCACAGATGTGGCAACTTTTAAAATAAATCTCAAAATGAAACTGATGTTCGTGGTTGGTCTATCCTTAGAAAAATATTTGCATACTGTTCTATTTCACGGCTGTTCTCCTCTCAAAATGTGTTAAAAATGTAGTTCTGCGTCTATTTCAATATTTCTTTGATCAGCTAGAAATCCTCTCCGAAGACATACATTCAACATAATTTGGTGTAGTTCACGCCAACGGGACAGGTGAAACGTCGATAGTAGTTAACACAGATAACCCTATCATCGCTGATATTTATTAACTCCGTTTCAGTCATTCACCATGAGCTTATTCCACACTTCGTACATGGTGCTCTCTTTCACAAATGTTAAATCCTTCACACACATCAGCTGATTGAACTCTGAATCCAATGGCTACACAAAGTCTACAAGCTTCAAACGATTGTACTTTGGAATGTTTCCGCCTCATAAAGGTGTGAGGAAACGATTAATTTAAATATTTTCGTTCACCAAAAATATCTATATGGCGAACCACAAAATACACAAAGTATGGTGCTTAGACATCAATTTTATTTTATGCAATGCTTAGCTGGTATCCCCAAGAAATGAACAATTTGATCATATTTTTGTATTTGTATTTCAGCCAAGACTACTTCATTCTGTGGTTTTGAAGACCCGGGCATTTGCGGATTTACCCAAGAAAGGAATGGTACGGATAGTCTGGACTGGTGGAGAAGGTCGAAAGCAACACCATCGGCTCTAACAGGGCCCAGTACGGATCAGACTTGCAATAGCCCAAAAGGTACGTGTGTACTACACCCCCGATAGTTTGAAAAATTAGTTAATCAATAAACCAATAAACTGTGGACAAGTAAATTATGATTTGAAAAAAACACCTCTGGCCTTTTTCTGATTAAATTATGAAATCTGGACACTTTGATTCATAGCCATCAGAGAGATAGTCATTAATTATTTCATCATTTGCCTCTCTATCTGTGAAAATGAAATAGTGCGTTTGTCAGTCTATTCATTTGCATTCTTTGGCTAATTTTGGTGGCATAATAGCAGCCGGATGGTCAAATATATAGGAAATGAAGGCTAGGTGTGAGATATAGGATATCTGCCACTAAAAATTCATAACACAACAGCTCGTAAATTTTCACCTTTACATCTAGAATGTTTGATGTCGACTGTTGAACTGACTAGGCCCGCTTTATTTTTGTTTCACATGTCAGAATTTTAGCATTTAAAACGCAAGTAGTCTCATCTCAAGGCGTGTATCTGCCATCGGCAAAATAAATGGTCGGGGTCAGCTGTTTATTAATGTATTTTATGACCTAATCTTTGTCTAAAACGTTGAAAACGTAAGTTTCGGTAATATATGCATTAGTACGTTGATATGTTCTTGGTGTGAGTATGGAATTCTAAGTACCCTCGGCTGTAGGAATCTAAAAATATGTATTTCGGTATTTATGATATGATAATGTAGATACCAGTTTCAGTCCAATATTTAGGCACATTTATCACTGCATGCCTGCCTTCAGTCATCTACTTATGATTATCTATTTTGCATTTGGGTTTCTTATAATTCAATTATTGCAAAAATAATTACAGTGACACCTGAAAAGTGGCATGGAACACCTCTGGAAGTTGAAACCTCTGTTAGTGGAATACTTTTCAGCGTCCCAAGACTAACTGAAGTCTAACTGTCTTAACATCTATAAGTGGAACACTCCCAAAGTGGAACGATTTTTAGAGGTAACAAAGGTGTTCCACTTAGACGCATTTTACTGTACTAACACCAACATTTTCTACTACTTCAGGCTATTATCTATACATCGAGGCATCTGCGCGGGGCAGGGGTCAAAAAGCCAGGGTCATGTCGCCTAAATACTACGGGTATGGAGCGCAATGTTTCGAATTCTACTTCCACATGTATGGGAGAAACACGGGTACCTTGAATGTCTTCACAAGAGGAACAGATCAGGTAATTACTGTCACATAGTGTAACCTTGCTTTTTTGCTTAAATGTAGCACTGTGCAGCTGTAAAATTACTTGTTTATTGGTTCAGTGACATTTTGTTATTTCCTCTGATGATGTTTTGTATTAGAGAATCGTTTTTATTTTGTTGCCATTTAAGTCATTTTCTGTATCTTTTTTTGTGCACAAGCTGCCCATTTCTGTGTATACAGCTGTAATCATCAAACATCATTATTTTTAAATTATCCAGCATTTCTATCATTTATTCTTAGGGCCTTTATAGGTCTTACCTTTTCTGAACATTATTCCAATACTAATTTCTACAATGTTCTAATTTTAACAACTACTATACTATGTTTAACTAGTTTTGTTGTTTTGTAAATAAGCGCTGTAAATGTAAAATATGATCTCATTAAAATATTACCAAAAAAGTGTCTGTTAGAATTGCATTTACAAATGCAGGGACACTAGAATTAGAACCATCTTCATTTGGAACGCACGATCATGATTTGGAAAGAATTGGGAATGACCTGATTGATTTTGATTCAAAATTACTGTTTCAGCAAAGTATTTAGTGCAGAATGTTGAGAGCAGATTGAATTTTCAAGGGAAATGTCAGTGTGTCTTTTACATGTCAATGTGTCTTTAACATGTGTTCCAAACTTGATTTCAGAAAAACATATTTTAGAAAAACTGATTAATCGAAGGTTGAGCAAGCAAATTGGCCAAATTCAAAAAGAGTCTTTCAGACTTTTTACCGAATGTCTTTCTTCTGTTTGTGTTATTGAATAATATTTATTCAACTTGAACTGTTTCGATGAAAGAATATCGTTATGATATGAAAAATTCCCTTATTTAGAAATTCAATTAACGTTGTTTATTTGGATGTTTGATGGATACATTAGGAAAGTTATACTCTCTTTAGATTAAGTTACTATCCAGTTGTGTCATATTCATGACATACGACAAATAATGTTAAGTTCTATCTTAATGTTAGCTATACCTATTAATTCTTCTTTGCTGCTTCTCTTTAGGTAGAGGCATCCGAGCCAGTGCCAGTTTGGCGTGCATATGGTAACCAGGGTGACGTCTGGACCAAAGCAAAACTGGACATAGACGCCCGAAGTGCATTCTTTGGTTATCAGGTAGACTCTTGTTACATGTTGTTACAAAGACATGATATGGTGGTAAGGATTAAAAGGTAGACTGGATCGAGTGGATTGGATTCATCGGAATCTCCAAAATATGGAATTTCTTGAAGGTTTTTCTTATGATCTCCCTCTAAAACATGATTACTGGAAAACTGAGAATTGATCTGCTCACTTCAGTTTACTTTTAGACCATCAACTCAAAATTTTGCATGAAGAAATAATGGATTAGAGTGATGGCAAGAAGCATAAAGATAAAGGAGTCGTATCGATATGGAGAACTTTTTGAACAAACGTTTCTCTCCCAGTCATAAAAAAATCTAAAAAAAATTTACATCGTCAATTTAATGGTCATCTTTTGAATGGTAACAATATAATTCGAAAAATATATATATACTTTCATCTACGAATATTGTTATATAAAACACATCAAACACTTCTTTTGTTCTTGGTATCATGTTTCCAGAGTGAAATGAAATATCTTTCCGAACCTCATTGGAACAAAACGACATAAACTTAGGTCTCTCAATATTGTAACTGTACAAAGGAAATTTTGGTTGATTTAAAAAAAATCTTGTTAATGAAATGAAAGGTTTATCTTGATTTTTATCTATTTTGGGGGGATTTTGTTTTAATTTTTTGAATACTTTTTTTAAAATCAACCAAAAAGTCCTTTGTATAACTAGAGAGGTCTAAAAACATGCTGTATATGCTATTTTGTTCCAACAAGGTTCGGAAAGACATGTTACTTCATTCTCAAGAATTGGTAGGAAGGAGCAAAAACAATTTCACTAAAAAACAAAAAATGTTAACAAAACAGTTATATAAAATATTTCTAAATAATTTTCGCATCAAATTGTTGTCAATATTACATAAAATACCCTGTTTTTTACAGAATGTTTTCAATGATTGGTTAAGAGAAAAACATTGTTGAATTCAGTTCTCCATATCGATACCAATCCTTTACTTAAATGCACCATCTGTTCAGTTCAGCATAATATTTAATTAATCCGAGCTTTAAGCCTTATGGAAAATCTATATTTTGAAGATTCCCAATCCAATCCACCTTTTACATAAATCCAATCCGCTAGATCCAATACACGTTTTAATCCCTACCGATATGATCGTGATGAATCGTAATGCATGAATTAGTACTAATCTTATTTGCCATAGTACTTCTGATGGTTTAAATAACATTAAGTAATTTAAAAGTTGCTCTAAAGCATTAAAGCGTTGTCTTTAAACTTGGTTTAATTATTTCGTCATAAATGAAATTGATTAAAAGTAATCAGGCCCGTGTAGCCAGCTTTTGTCAAGGGGAAGGCTCACTTTTCAGAAAATTCCAAGGGGGTTCACATTTGACATATTTGGACCAAAATCACTTGAAAAGTGCTCAGAATGGTGAAAATCGGCATGATTTTGAGTTACGGGGTACGGGCCTGGCAATGACCTTCATTTTGCATCTTCTAGAGTTTTATTCTAATTTTCAGGTTGTTTTTGAGGGTATCTTAGAGACAGGATATCAAGGAGATATTGCAATAGACTCAATCAAAGTACACGATGGATTATGTAGTGTAACAGATAGTTTGTATAAGAAACCCAGAGGTGAAGATTATGATGAGCATTTTGAGGATTACCCATAATACCTTTCGGGCACTTTTACTTCCGATTATACCATGAACCTATAAAATATCCAAAATAGAAGGAAAAATAAACTCAAACGCCCACACACATAATTTTCTTAGATATAATGTAACCATGTTGTTATTGTTCGCAATTCCAAGATCTCAAGAACAGCCATTATAAAAAAGATGACAAATATGTATGTTCAATAATGTACAAAGATTATGTAAATAGTGTAAATACGTTTTTCATATTGTAAAATTGTGTGTAACATATAACACTTATAATTAACTTTAAATTATCTCCTATGCCACTTCACTGCCACAAACGTAATACCTCTGAACGAGATTGACTGTCTTAGTTTTGTATTGTGAGAATATATATTGCATAGTAAAGGTACACAATAGTATACAAAAATGTGTTGGTTGGCTGTATGTTTTCCCATTGCACACGTGGTGTAGAGTTAACTCTTGTTAGTTTTGATTGTACTGTTTGATGTACAGAGTGGGTAAATAAAACAACCGGTATGAGCGAATCCAGCAGAACACCATACTTGCTTACCAGTTTGGTTTTCAATCATGGAAACCTCATACCTTTAGTAATCCAAGATGACAGAACACTTGCTATAAAATTAAAGTTCATGGTGTCCAATAGATATGTACACTCCCCTCAAAAGGTTTGACACCATCATAACTCCAATATTTTGTTATATTAAGCATGCTTATGTGCAGCGGTTTAAGGATTTAAGCCATGGACTCAATGCATTGTGGGCTGATTATCACTCCTCTAAGGTGTTGTTTCGAACTTTACACAAGATGCATAGCATTGAGTGCTAAGTTTAGACAACAACGAAGAGGGGAATGGACAGCCACAATGCATTGGGTCTTGGGCTTAATTCTTTTCACACATGGCATTTACATTTTTCTACGAAATCACCTAAATATATGAAATCACGAAAAGAACATATTTTCAATGAAGCCTTTTTGCAAGGGTCAAGTTGGCAAAGTATCATGATCAATTTCAATCTGGCTGGAATCGGATAAACCTTGCCTAGCTATGTGTGAATTAAAAATCATTCATGATGAATATTAAAAGGTCATTAATAATGTCGTTTTTGGCCTACATGGTAGTTCTGTAGTTTTTCAAGATGACTTTTGTGATGACTTAATAATGAGATAAGGTATACCAGATAGCAAATAGAACATCGCAACGCAGCTAGGATTTTTATTCCATTCTCACTCATTTAAATCCGCCACAGGGTGCATCATTAACTGATAACCAAATGCAGCGATTTACCTATCTTTTGCGTTTGATTGATTCCAGTAAATGTATTTCCAAAACAATTACAGCTTCAATAAAAGATGGCGATATTTCTGATGAATTGAAAAGCAAGCGCCATCTATATTAGTTTTAGTTATTCTTTAGAAAAACACACCGGCCATTCAAACCGCCAGTAATTAATCGAATCGCCAGGTTTTCCTTTTCAAAAATTCAAACATTTGTAACAAGATCAACAATTCACGAAGATGTTACAATGATTAACAAAATTCAGAACAAAATTTACTTATCCATTACATTAAAATGCTGTGATTAACTTACCTTATAAATGGTTGTTTTATATCAGAATGTGAAATTGTGACTTTATCACTTTACATGCAGAGTTGTCACTCATTCAGTTCATTTTATATTCCCGTATTTATTTACATTCTGTCTGTAATAATGATGTATTGTCGAATTATTATTGAGTGGAGGACGTCTGATACCGATTCAATAATTGAGTTAACTAGTTATACTAATGATTTCGGATTTACTCTCAAAGAGTTCTGCCTCGTGGCTCTTTAAAAATCGAATGATTTTAGCTTTACACGAACCCAGATGCTGTGATACAGGTATTAATATCGCTTCCATTCTGATCTCTGACGTTGATGTCGGTATTTCAAACACATTAAGTCACAAAATGAGCATCAATAGGCATGTTAAAAAGTATTCATATTTCAGGGAATGCCCACAACCATGGCAACTTAACTAATTCAGAGTATCAACACTTGTGGCGATTTCTCACCTAGCGATTATAGCCTAATTAAATCACTGTTCCACAACTAGTTACTTTGACGGAACGTCAATGTAACAAAATGGATGAACTTTCTGGATACGAGTTTTTTGTTTTATCGATTCAAACTTACGTATTAGTCATGTTGCGTATTATCATTTGGCACAAAGTTAGACAAAATAGTCTTGCTTTTAGAATTGCTCTCGGTTTGAAATTTGATTTTTGAATAAAGCTGTAATTCATTCAGACCATCGCTTTTGTTACATTGACGTAAGTCGTCAAATTAACATACATTGGTAATCTAGCGGACTTTCGTCAATGTAACAAAAGCGAGGGGTTAAATATATGGATTGCAACTTCATCTACAATACAAATTCCAAATCGAAGAAACTTATTAAAACGGGACTATATTTACTAGCTTTGTGCCAACTTACAATCTGCAACTTGATTTATAAGTAGGCTTAAATCGAGAAAACAAAAAATTCGTAACCAGGAAGTTCATCCATGTTGTTACATTGACGTTCTGTCAAAGTAACTAGTTGTTGAACAGTGCTAATAGCGAGAAGTAATGAGCGATATCACGATCGAAATTAATTTTTCCTTCCTGTCTGGTAAGGGACATTTCACGGTATGAAAATCTGGATTTGATTGAATCTTGGGGATCTCGGTTAGATTTAGGTAGTCCTTTTGAATTTCGTCATATAATCTTGCAATGCCTGTTCATCTTCGTGTACATGATACAACTGTGCATACAAACTATTTACCTTTTCCCAAAAAATGCTTACATGTACCATGGGCTTTCTTTTGAAAGCCCATGCATGTACGTATAACTTTCAACTGATTCAATTCTGGCATGCCGGGTAAAATATTTGGTCATTTTGGATTAATTTTGTGTCTGTCTGTCATGTCTTCGACGTGTTTTCAGCGGATTGAATTATGAAGCTCGCTTCTTGAATCTTGTAAAGAGTATCTTTTTGATATAGATTTTAAGGTGCACGTGGCCTTTTGGACTTTCAATCCAAAAGCATTGGATACTTTTATTTGAATATAACTCAGAATTCTCTCGGATATGGGAACACATTTTACAAACTTGTATCCTTGGAATAACATAAAGAATCATCGATTTGAATCTTGGAGTAACTTAAAGAGTATTGACTTCATTTTTCATCTCTCTTAAATTGTGTGCAGCCAGGTGGGTGTAACTATGTTACTTTGTATTGAATTCAAATAGCATTGAACTTGTCATTTGAATAATATATTGTAACAATATCTCTTTTACAATAGCTCGTCGTGTTTGCTCAATTTGCTATTTTAGTATATCGTTCACAAGGTCCCTCTACTATATAGTCCTGTTTGAGATCTCTGAGGAGAGATGTATTTGTTATAACAAAATAGCAACCATTATATTACTAGTTAGTTTTTGTTGGTATGATCTTCTCAGACCCTCTCTCATACGATTTTTCTTCACAACACTTCACAATTTCGGGTTTGTTTGCATAAAGGTGAAAACGCAACGAAAGGTCTTTGTTATTTGACACAAAATGAAAATAAAACGTGCTTCAAAATTCCTGTCTATTATTAAACATTTACTGTGGAACAAAATATGGTATTTATTTACCTCGCCGAATATTTTGTTTTTGAGTATCACGTATTGTTTATTTGCCATTTCTCATATTTCTCGTAAACTTATAGAAACAAGATGACAATTAAACTCAAAAAGAATAAATACGTTTAGGAATTGTATTTATTGTACTGCATTATGCCTTTCCGTCATTGTGGTATATGTGTTATATGAAATGCTAGCTACAAGCCCTTGTGACCACCCCCCCCCCCCCCCACCTTCCGACAAGTGTATGTTGTGTTGGTGCAGTAATGGGGTAAGATCCACAGTGTTGAAGCAAGACTTAACTGTTTAGTTTCATGTAGTATAAAAACGTTTGCCTTTACCAGTAATATGGGAAATCCATTTGCCAACAATAAAATTAGAAATGAGAAAATTGTCAAATCTTCTCTAGTGCCATTTGATTCCAACAGTTGCATTTACATGTGTGTTTTACGTAACTTTTCCAGGTATAACTCTCATTGAATAAACCGCGTTTGACGGCCTGTCAATAGAAGTGTATTTACAGGGTGATTCAACAACTTCTAATGCCACTCTTTCTCATCTACACACGTCAATGATTGTCCTTGGTGACGAATGTCTTGGTTTCAATATACAACTATTTCTCCTTCTCAGAATTCATATCAATAGCTCAGCTAATATTTATTTTTGACATTTTCCTATTTGTTTACTGGTGTAAACCAGGTTCTCGCTTACCTTAATCGAGAGGCTTAATAACTTCATCAAGTTTTGGAGCACGAGCCGCGTTCTTATTTTACACATTTTTTTTTTTTTTTTTTTTTTTTTTTTATTTATTTTATTTGACATACGCCTTAGAAACGGCGGCACACTAAAATAGGTGCGTCACATATTAAAACAATAATACATACTAAAATCATTTATACAAGAACTTTATACACTTCTCGGTTTAAAAATCTTAATTAGAAATCTCTTGACTAAATTGTCAAAGACAATTCCATTAGCTTGCCCCCAGTCCTCAAAGATTACATCACCTAACATGCAAATAAGTTTTCTCCTTAAATTTGAGGATAAAAACATGGAGCTTAATTCTCTTGGACATTTGGACTCAATATCAAAATAAAATCCTGATCTCTCTTTAGTAAAGGCGGGGCATTCTAGGAGTCTATGTGTGATATCATCTTTACATTTACAATTACCCAACTTACAAATCCCATCACTTTTATTCCATCTTTCGTAATTAGATTCTAAACAAAAATTATTTGTCCTGGCCAGGAACTTCAGCTTGGCTCCATAAAAATCATTGTCATTTTTTAAATAGTTTTCAATCTTAGGGTGAATCTTCAGTGTCTTATAAAAGTCAAGCGAAGGATGTTCTGTCATGCTATCAAAAAACCGTTCTGTATTTTGTGTTTTACTTATTGACTGATATGCATTATACCAGTTACTGTCTTGTCTGAAAATAACATCATCTAACCCTTTGTTAATCAATGAATTACGAATGTTGGAAACATATTTCCAGTATGATTCTTTTCCTGAAATATATGATTTAAGAAGGGATTCAAGAATACGGTGTGATAGAGAGCATTTGTGTAATTTATGTTTCAGGTAAATAAAATAGTCGACTTGTCTTTTTTCCGTTATTTCCAAAATAGAAGACCAGCCCAAGTCACCAATCAAAGCTGACTTAGCTGGTTTACATTTGATTTGCATGACTGACTGGGCTACTTTATATTGGAAAGATTGGAGTTTACTCTTGGCATTTTCAGAAAGCACCCATGTGCCACATCCATGTAAAATGGCAGGTTCAATCATTGAACTATAAATTGTTGATCCAAATTCTATCCTTTTTATGTTGCAGTGTTTGGATAATGTCATTGAGGCATAATTTCGCATTTTAGTGGCTTTTTTTGTCAGATATTCAAAATGGGCATTTTCTTTCAGGGATCTATTTATCATTATACCTAGGTATTTATATTCATTCGTTTCTGGGAGCTTTAGATTTCCAAGATACCACATTTTTCCAGGATCAAGCCTCTTACCAATAACCATTACTTTTGACTTTTTTTCACTAAATTTGAAACCCCATTTCACTCCAAAATTATTTACGGTATTAAGCATACTTTGTAATTCCTTGTCTGATTGTGCCATTAAAACAATATCATCAGCATAAAGTAAACAGGGGATATTCTTATCATCGAAAGGGATTCCTGCCTTGGAGTTGCTCAAACTGTCAATTAGATCACCCATAACAATAGTGAAAAGTGTTGGTGACAAAATACATCCTTGTTTCACTCCCACATCTGAATTAAACCAGTCAGTTGTATATTGGCCAAAAATAACTTTGTTCTTTATATTTGAGTAGAGTTCTTTCATTAATCTCCATAATTTCCCTTGAATGCCTTTTTCCCATAGCTTCAAAAATAGTAGGTCACGGTCTAAAACATCAAAGGCCTTTGATATATCAATAAAAGAAAGGTACGTTTTAAGTTTGAGATCTTTTCTAAGGCTACATAAACCTTTAAGTGTGAAAACATGGTTCTCAAGCCGCTTTCCTTTTTGAAAAGCACCCTGTAGATCACCTAATAGATCATTAACTTGGAGATATTTCATAATTTGTTCTTCTAAAATACTTGAAAAAACCTTATACACATTAGATGTTATAGTAATTCCCCTATAGTTGTTAAAAACTTCTGGATCCCCTTCTTTAAGTAAAGGCTTAATGATTCCTTGTTGCCACTCCTGTGGGACGGTCTCAAATGTTTTAATGACATTAAACAAATCAAAAAGGGGTTTTAAAATAATTTCATTCCCCATTTTCAAAAATTCATTCGGTATTTGATCAATCCCTGCAGCTTTCCCATTGTTAAGACACAAAAGATGTTCACGGATTATTGACTTTTCAAAAGATATACCAATAAGGGCATCCTCTGAAATCTCATTTTTAGATTCTAATAACTTCACTTTGTTTACAAGGGATTCATTGGTTGCTTCAGGATTTCTATTGTTTTTACCAACACTTTTCCAATAATTTTTCAGGGTCTCATTAACTACTTTAGGGTCACAAATAACTTTTTCTGGGTCCTCCGGGTCTTTCATTCTAATTGGAAAATTTGATTTTTCATTGAATTTCTTAAGGGTCTTCCAAAAACCCTTAGATGATTTTGATTTAAACTTAGCATTTGAAGTTATTACTTTAATATGGTTTTTGGTTCTATTTGATTTAATTTTAAGACTAACTTGAAGCTTGCGATCTTGATAAGTATCCCACAATTCCTGTAAAATTTCAGGGCTGGCATTTTTAGATTTTGACCATAACCTGTGTAACTTGTTAGCTTGTTTGCGGTCCTTAATAAGTTGTTTCAGTTCATCATCCCAGAAATCTCTGGAACTCATGGTAATATGTTTCTTTCCAATTGCTGTGTTTCCAGCATTTAATATTTTGGTTTTAAAATTAGACCATATCACTTCAATGTCGTCAAATGGGGTATTGATTGACCAATCATCAAATTCTTTTTGTAATTCAAATTTAAAGGTAGTCCAATCTGTTTCTTCACTTATATTCCATTTTGAATAGGCTACTTCGTTAGGTGAATTGATTTTTAATGGTTGGGTAGGGGTAGGAGTCAAAATAGATACAGTGATCACATTGTGGTCACTACCAATAGAAAAACATTTGTCTTCATCAACAATCATACGATCAAAAAATTTCATAAAATGGTCGTTAGCTAAAACATAGTCTATAGTTGAGTGTTGGTCATTTCGAGACCATGTAATCTGACCTTTACATTTCTCAGAGCAATTTAAAACATTAAGATTAGAGACCTCGCAAAATAGTTCCAATAGTTCCCCATTTGGGCTTTTTACACTAGACTTTTTAAATTTTTCTAATTTTCCATTAAAGTCCCCCATAATTAGTACAGAATTACTCTGATCTATAGAGGCGTAGTTTTGCATCATTTCATCGTAAATTGATTGGGTTGCTTCCATGTTTTTACCATCACAGGGAAAGTAGACAACACATACAAATGTAATTTCATTCTCAACTTTTAACTTTAGCCAATACCTTTCAATGTTATCATGTTTTGAGTCAAATAGATTGTCATTTAGGATTACAACATCTTTATGAATGAGAAAACCAATTCCTCCACCTTCTTTATGCTGCCTATTCTTACCTTTCCAGACATAGTCATCATTTACCACAGTAATAGAATTGGTATCATTAAAGAAGGTTTCTCCAAGTGCAAAAATTTTAAACTGTTCATTTTTAAGTAGATTGTCCATTTCAATTTGTTTGGCAATACCAAACCTTTGGCAGTTATTATAAGCGATTTTGATGTTAGAAACCTGAGACAATTTACGTTTACCACGTCGATGATGTTTATGGCTTTTCTTATTGAAACTAGATTTGGTGATGTTGGCATGATTAGAGTGTTTATTTTGAACTGGGGGTAAGGCTTTCACATAGCCAAGTTCCTAGTGATTGTTAGGCTGAGAATTAGTGGGGCACTTTGAAAGTTTATGTCCTAGTTGGTTGCATCCATGACACCTAACTGAGTTTGGATGCCAACATGTACTGGCTAAGTGACTACTCTCACCACATTTGAAGCAAGATGGCTTATTGACATTCCTTCTATTAGAACTAGGAGTATTGTCATTAAGTGAGGGTGGTGAGGGGTTTTTAGGGTGACGTCGCCGATTGACAGTCTGCCATTCATTCGCTTCGGGTGGGTTCTGTGAGGTGGTATGTCGGGGGAAACGGGGCCAGGGCTTTGTCACATCTTTCGATTTTGTGTCTAGTTGCATGTTACGGGCAAGGCTATTGGTACCAGCCTTCGAAAGATGTAGGCCTTTATTGTCAAGAAAACCTTCGTTTATTGTACCATCTTGAAGACGGAAAGTTTTGTCGTTGTTGATGAATGTCATCTTATTATCGCCTTCGCAAATCACTTGGAGTTCAGCATTAACGGCCTCAAGTACCTGTTGTGCATGCTCATTGTCAGTGCGAGGACAGATACTGGAAATGCATACCTCATCACATACAGATTTGGCACAGGTAGCTAAAAGTTTGTATTCTTTAGTGATAGGCTCAGGTGTGGAGTCTTTTTTGGCACAGTCATTGCTTGCAATCTGGATAACAATGCGTTTGTACTGGTTCTTATTATTAGCTTGGCCCAGTTTTGATAAATGTTCATTCACATCTGTGATTTTTCCACCACTTATACATACAGTATCAGTGTTGTTCATTTTAGACTCATCAAAGTCCCTTATTATGGAGCTCCCAATTACAAGTGTTTTATTATGTTCGTTTTCATGCAATGATGATTTGTGGTTGTCTATAGTCTTTCGTAGTTTGATACATTCATTGTCTAGGACCCTACATTCTGCGGTTTTTGCAGCTAATTGTGAGACAAGATCTACATTCGTTTTCTGCATGGCACTGAGATCAAATTGGATAGAGGTCAAGTTTTCTTTTAGGTCAGTTACTGTCGAGTTCAGGTTTTCTATGCTGCCTTTCATTCCTGCTACCATAGATATTAGTGTATCATATTGCTTTGTTGTGTCATTTGTTTTTCGGCGTTTGGGAGGTGAATAGTCATTTGTTGCTTTTGGTTTAGGTAGGCGTCCCCTGTGTTTTGGCTTAGCATGCGATTGTGGTATTTTCAGTGCTTTTGGCGTTGTACGGTTCATTGTGCGTTTGGAGCGTCGCACTGTATTCACTGGTGTATTGGAGGCATTTTTAGTTGGAAGTTGCAAAAGCACTTTGGGGTCTGTTGTGGAAGTATTCAAGTCATTGTCAGAACCCGGGGAAGGTGACATGATAGGTGTTGGTTGGCTACCTGGTCCATGTAGGGTTTCAGGCCCATCAGGCCTTGTTGGTGTACTATGGTTGGAGGATATGGTATTAAAACTATCGTCATGTGCATCTTGAGATGGTCCCTCTAGTAGATTCACATCAGCAGTTGAAACATCATTCATCAAATTGTTCTGTGACCTACTTAGGTTGGTTGCCATAAGTAATCGCTAATCAGGCTTAGTTCTGGTTTTTAATGATGTAAGAGTTCAATAATAGCCAATATCTGCAGCACTGGGTTTTAGTCAAGGGGGTGTGAAGTACCATATACCTGTAGTATATTAGCTAGTTAGCCAATTAGTCCTGTGTATGTGCCAAGCTGTATATAATGTTTTAGAATCCACTCCAAAAATATCCAAAAATGTTGATCAAATATCACTTCCAATATAAAATATTTTTTCAAATAGAGTTCATGTTCCTATCTGTTAGGAATTCCTATAGTTCTCTGCTAATTTATTTGCTGCAACCTTTCTTGGTTTTACTTATTTTCATGAATAAACAGGAGCAAATTTTTTGTGACTTGCTACTCTGATTGCTACTACTCTCCAGACTACTACTACTCTCCAGATCCAGATCACATACCTTTTAACATTTTAATTATGATATCTATGCAGTTTTAATTTCATAATAGAATGCCTATCAAAGGGGGAAATAACACAGAAATAAAAGATTACATGGAGAGTAAATCTACAACTTACTTGTGTCCTTTAGAATCAAATCTCAGAGTTGAGTGTCAGAGTTTGGAAATAAAGATGGAAATAAATTACCATTTATAATAACATTAATATTACATATTGGACCATTGTTATATCTTCCATTATAATAACAGATATTAATGCCAATGCAGTGGATTGATTTTCATTGATATTATGATATCTTGACCTGACAGCTTGCATTCCCCGGCAAGTGTCCGAGTTATGGTAATAGACTTTATCCTCAAAGAAAACACTGTTTCGTTGTACTCGACGGTGTCCTTCCACCATCTCCAGACAGACGGTTGAATAACTAATCTCTACTTTTACTACTGAGGGTGTTAGTTGCAGCTAAAGAATGACCATCCAATTCCCTAAGTACACACTCAAGAAGGCACTTACACTGTTAATTGAATATCATACAATATCTCTGTTTATACTATTTTCGATAAATGAATAAATGAGTGTACTCCATCTAGTAGTCGATAGATCGTGACTCAATATAACACAACAATTGAATATCCCATATTCGATAGTGAAAAGCCCATATACGGACAGAAAGAAAAACATTTTCACTAGATTATAAATGAAAAGTTCCTGGTATAAGCACTGCCATTTATTCTTATTTCTGACATTATCAGTAATATTCTCGTCACATCATCAGTCTTCTGATTTGAAAGTGTTTGTTTTTCATGTGTTGGATATGCAACTGTATAGATCAATGTGTTTCGTGGGTTTCTAAGTTTTTTGGGGGGAACTAATTCGTATAATTATTGGTGAACAATTGAAACCTACGTCATTTCATTGACATTGCAATTCATGTCATTTTAATGTCTCTATAATCAACTCAATCATACCTTCTTTACGATCATAACAGATCAATATTAAGAATGCGGGTATAAAAGAAACACGAACCTTTACTTCACAAAGTAGCGCATGCGAGTCGCAAAGGATTCAAAATGGACAATGAGCGTATTGACAATACGTCTGTAAAGGTGGGTTGTACATAACTTCATTTTCTGAATCTTATATTGACTTTAGGCTGATCAAGTAGTTAACAAAGAGCAAAGTCAAATATTGGAATTTTATTCAGAGTTTTGTTGTCTTTGAGTTCCAACATGGTTGCCATAGACTTCATGTACACACTGCACAAATACGAATGAGATTTGAGAGCGATAACATATCACAGTATATAATTTATGATAGAAAGATAAAGATCCTAATCTAAAGATTTAATTTTTAAAATACAAAACACAACAGTTAAGTAACTAATGGCAATAAGAGAAGCATTTACAGAACAGTAGTTATTTGGTGAGATTTCATACTCCAGGACTTAAACCATTAAAAAAGGTTTGTATGCGTTTTCTCTATTTCACTTTATGTATGTGTGGTCTGTTAGTGAGGGTTGGTGACATACAAGATAGGCCTGGCATTTGTTTTGTACAATCTTTTGCAATATGCAATTATAATTTTTGTTTGAAGATGAATTCTACGTATGTTATGTAGAACTTTAAAGGTGAATAACAATTTAGCTATGAATAACTAAATTCATTGTTTTTATAATATATAGGAAGTAAAATTCCTAATTAGTACATGGACTTAACAACAGGTCATTTTTGTTAAAACATTTTCTTTTAAACCACAATCAAACTATTTATTCTATAAAAAAAAATTCAGAACTCAGGAATAAGGAATTTTAAAAGACCCGTTCTATTTAGATCACAGAGTTTTTATCAGAGAAAGTCGCACTCCTGAAATGTTTAGTTTTTACATGGGTGTTAAGAGCTATTGAGAGCCCTTGGTTTTTACGAGTAAATTAATTGAGACATGTTATTTGATAATGAACGGCATTGGCCATTTGAACAATGAGATGCCAGTGGGGGTACAGGCAAGCATATAATTTGTTATTGTTACCATTCAACCGTTTATAAACGGTTAAATAATGAGGATAATGGATGTATCTAATCATTTTAATTATCTTTAGAGGTATTAAGTACACCAGGTGAATAATATATACTCTTTAATATGGCAATTGATTTTATATCAGAATTAGAACAAACGATATTTTACAGAAAACACAACATTATATGACAGATATCATAACAGAAACAATGTGTTCGACCTCTCGATGAAACGTTTGTGTTTATTTCCAGGTAGATTCTCTTCAATTCACGCCAGTGGTTATGATTTGAGGATTATAAAGAGGACTGTTATTCACGCCGACACAAAATTTCTATACTTACTACATTCAGGAAACTACTAAATACAAGTTCATATGCCAAAGGATATAATCATCATTCGCAACGTTAAAGAATAATCGATTCTGATTTTGACTGAGAATCGAGAAGGATCATGACCGTTAATTGATGAAAAAATATCAAAAGATTCTTTTCATTTACTTTTTGCAGCAAATGCAATAACCAATTGAAGGATTTGGCTTATCGGGAAAATGAGCACAACGGCTGACCCTAATGCGACAGCCGATGATGGTGGTGGTGGACCGCCAATTAACTATTCAGATGCAGAGCGTATAGCTCTTGGATTCTTCCTCATCCTCATTATATTTGTGACATTCTTCGGGAACATGTTGGTTGTCATCGTCTTCTGTCTGTTTAAGAATCTCAGAACAATGACAAACTATTTTGTGGTGTCATTAGCCGTGGCGGACATGCTCGTGGCAGCGTTGGTTATGCCATTTGGAGTTTATCAGCAAGTGAACAATACATATTGGCCACTTGGAGATATTGTTTGCAAACTGTCAATATGTTTTGATGTCCTGTTCTCCACATCTTCTATACTTCATTTATCCTGTATGGCAATGGACCGTTACTTTGCTGTGTGCGATCCGTTCCATTACCATGAAAGAATTACGCAACAATCAGTTGCTATTATGATAGCTGTTTGCTGGACATTGCCTTGTTTTATATCATTCTTACCTATACTCATGGAATGGAACCTCATTGGCATCGAGGACATATTTGCTGCGATGGTGCCACCTGATGGGACAGCCTGTATGTTTATCGTAAACATACCATATGCATATGTTTGTTCCTGTATTGCATTTTACATTCCAGTTATATTCATGACAATAGTTTACATCAAAGTTTTTATGGTAGCTCACAAACAGGCACGTCAAATTCGTGCCATGGAACTTGCATCTGGTATGGGCAAGGGGAAGGGACCTAAATCAAGTGAAAATAAAGCTGCTGTGACACTTGCTATCATTATGGGTGCATTTTCTATATGCTGGTTCCCATTTTTCATAAACAATCTTGTTGGACCAGTTATAAACTATCAAACTACATTTATCGGGGACATGATTGTATTATGGCTCGGTTGGATCAATTCAACGTTGAATCCATTTCTATACTATGCATTCAACTCAAATTTTCGGAGAGCTTTCAAATATGTATTGTGCTGCCATAAATGTAGAGGACAAACACCTCGGGAATACCACACACAACAAACAGCCATATCTGATCAGTATTAATGTCCCACAGCCATCCATCCTCTGCCAGAATCAATAGGACTACGTGCGTGTGACGCATTATCTCATATGGAAAGGACCTACTGTGCCAAATTAAAAAGGAATCGAAAACTACATTTTACCGGATTTCCGTCTGGCTGTATTATTTTTTGCGCGCACGTAACAATGAGTTGTATTATTGCACGGATACAAATATTGTGAGAAAATTGTAACAAATAAATAATAATTTTTATAAATTGTGTTTTAATATCTATCAATATTATCATACACTTTGATTTGCTCTCTTTACGTCATTCGTCAAACTTGTCCCTGGCATTGTACTTCGCATGGAAAAGAGATCGCATATGAAAGCTTATTTTTGTGGGTCTCGACGATCATCGACCAGTGTCAAAATATATTTAAGTTTGCTGGATATGTCATCAAGACTAGCATACATATATTTTTATTATCTACAAAGACACCCCCTGGATGGACATTATTTCAGCTGATATTCCTCATTAAACGTAGTGAATCTTGAAAATCTATAAGTGGGACTCCTTTTATTACCCTGCGTGCAGAGTCTAGTTAAAGAGTGAAGACGAAGCTCTCTTTTAAGAAGTGAAGTCAAACGAATGCAAAGGGTACCTTTTATAGAAGTTTTGAACTGAATTTACACTTCTTGATGCTGAAATTGAGAGTTTATCCATACATTTTAAGAAAATAGGTATGTCAAAGAATATGTTAAGCCAAACATTGACCTGATACCTCAGAAAAAATTAAAAAAACTCAAATTTTCTCTCTACAGTCCTTGTTGCCCCTTTAACGCAGAATTTCATTTCATGAAGCACTTTTTAAGGTTTTTGCAAAACTGCCTGACAGTATTAGGATGTATCCGAATATGATGAACTTAAGATTACATACATTTGGCAGTACTATGAATCTTGGATTAATTTATATAGAATATACACAGAACAATACATACTATACGAAGAATTGTTACCAGTTGCATTCAGAATAAGGACTGCAACATGTACGCCATCTATTAAACCCAAAACATTACAGTTACATGTACAAGTTTCTTCTCAACAAGCAATTCGCAATTAGATGACATAGGGTAATGCTACTCATTCGTTGTTGTTAAAAAATCGTTAAATGTTGCCCCGTCAAAAGGGATGCAATGTGAATCGAGTGACAATTTTAATTTATTGTGCATTTTATTTTATTCAAATAATAAATGTATGAATAACAAGAAAATATATATTAGTTTGTGATCAAGCAGTGCTACTTCATCATCGATGATTTTCACCCTAGTTAACGCATCACACATGTAAATCAAGCATATTAAAGTCACTTTAACACTTGACATTAGTATCTTTTCTTATACACCAGTTTCATAAGATATTGTCGGAGTCCTTCGATTTGGTAGTATTCCGCCTCTGTAAGTAGTTCCCTCCATACATTCTCGTTCTTCGGAAGAGTTCCCTCCTGGACTCCTCCATCGCGTAGATAGTTGAGTATGTATCTACAATCGAACAATATCCTATTATAAGGTTTCATAACATTTATTGTACATTTGAAAAACAACATTTTATTCGCATTCTACTCCTAATATACTCATTACGATTATGGTATTTATGGTATTTACTTGTTTCACATATTTCAGTCTCACCTGAAATGAGTTCCGTCTCTGTCGATAAAATGGCTTCCATCTTTTTCCTCTTTCAAACGATGTCTTCCACTAAACATTGCTGCCAACATTGAATCTGGGTCCTTAGTTAGAGTCATGACAGATGTGGTGAAAATGTGGCCACCGATGTCCAATTTGATGCGACTGTCTTGAATCGCATGTAGCTCGGCCATGTTCTGCAAATACGAAACAGTTAGAAAAATAAAAACACAATGATAAATATCATACTTTTTATCGGCCATGTTCTGCAAATACGAAACAGTTAAAAAATAAAAACACAATGATAAATATCAAACTTTTTATCGAAAACCTAAAGTGATTGCAAATTGATTTATCGAGCAAGATCAAATCTATGCCGGCCTGCCCAGACGGACGGACAACGAACCGGCCGGCCGACCGACGGACCGACCGACGACCACGCACCCGCCAGCCAGCCAGCCATCACGCATTTCTGATTACTAATACTTGACATCAGTTTTACTAGGTATACATATATAGATCCTTTATAAACTGTACCTACTTTCAGTTCAGTATCAAATGTTGTCCTGTCTTCTATGAGCTTAGCACGAGCAACCTCCAGAACTTCCCATTGTTTAGTGAGCTCTTCTTTTCTTGATTCACAATCTTTTTGAAATTCTCTTACGTTATGTTCTTGTCTCTCTAAGTCTCTCTCTAGTTTTCTTTCACGTATCTCTAATTTCTTCAGCTTTTCAGCCAGCTTTTCTTCTTCCTTGTTTAGAGATTTGTCTTTGTGTTCAAGAACGCTTTGTTTCTCCGCAATGAAATCTTTACCCTTATCTAGAAATGTATTGAAGTTTGTATGGAGTTTTTCCAGAAATGTTTTCCCTAGGGCGTCGATTTCATTATGTATGTCTAGTTCCCAATTCGTCGTCACCTCTTCAAATATGCTGTGATCACAGAGTTTTCCAGTCGCATTCTCTTGAAGCTTTTGAGCGTGAGCTGGGCGATTTCGCCATACTTCATCAGGATCACGTATCTCGATAGCCACGGCAGAACGAATGAAGTCAGAGTCTATCATCAGTTCCTTCCCGATTGCCTTGTCCCTGTTGAACAAGGGTTTCCACAACGTGTCAGTCTCCATACATTTACCCCATAATCTGGTGCATTCATCAGTTTTGATCGAATATAGTTGTCTCAGCCTGAACTCAACATGTCCTACTTTTTCTAGTTTGCTAAATTTTAGCACGTGGGTATCTGCAACGACAGAATTAGCCTTACCACTTTTGAAACTATTGAGATTAGATTCCAGCTCATATTTGCCACCGTACGAATAGACAACCTTCTTTGTGATTTTATGACCATCCGTAAGCCCATACCATTGCAAGAGCAGTTTCCATGCATCTTCGTGTATTGGGTCTATGCTGTGGGAAAATTCCTTTGTGGTTATGATGGGACCAGGGGTCGCCCGATCATGGTAGTATTTTCTCAATGACACAATCCCGACATAGCGTTTCCATTGATTCAGCCAATCTGCAACGATTGCGTACCAGAAATCCCCTTCGACATAAGGTTTCGAAAGAAGGGGCTCGATAATTGCTTTTTGTGCATTGGCATCTGGAGGGGAAAGTGATGATGTTGCCATGGTACCGTGTCATCCTAAAAAATAAAAAATGTAATTGTTTGTTCTAAATGCACTTTATTGGTAATAATTTATAAGTAAGTGCAAGCGTTACTTCCTGTTGTTTGCGATGCTTCAAAGCGGTACATGCAAAAAGATGGAACTGTTACTTTTTGATGATGCAGGTTTTGTGCTTTTTGTGATATTGCCCATAGACGACTTTAAATACCACCCTCTGCAGTGTCATGACTACTGAATGTCTTACGGAGGAATGGTTTTGCTGGTTGGCTATCAGTTGCGGTTGCCATGCCAACAGATGATACAATCTTATAAAAAACAACTTAGCCCCCTATATTCTGACTTATCCATGCTAGACTGGTGAATCATCTAACAAACTAGCATCAACAGATCAACCATTAGTCAATTCTATAAATATCCAAACGTCTGTATAATACTCGAAGTTCAAGTTTGTTTGTGGTAGGCTATCCGATAGTCATACTTAGTTGGTGTTATGATGTATTCCGTTTGTCACAAAAGGCAACATGTACATACAGTGACAACTAAACAAAGTTAAATCCAGTAAATGTACGATACATTACAGTACCATCTTTTATTTTTAGTTAGCGAGAGAGACGTTACGCACAAGTAAAATACTAAACAAGCTCAGTCTATTCATATAGGCATACATTCACCGATTGAGTAGATCAGATCTGAAAGAAGCAATTTATTTTTATTTCCAAGATGAATACATGAACAAGACGCTTATAGGCAAATCATACATAAGCAAATTGGAGCAACCAAAATATGCATGCACATAACAGCATAATATGTATATTTAACTTACCGAGACTTTCGAAAGCAGAAAGATTTTCCCTAGTTCATATTTGTGAAATGCGCAGTGTCTGATCAATGAGCCAGTATCTGTACAAAGTAGAAGGAAGCATTTGTTTCTTCGCCAGATAACTTCCATGATGAATGTTGTGGCAAACTACTCTCTTTAGCGAATAAACTAGATCGGCATTTGAGAATTCAGTTATCTTATCCCAACGAATTTCTGATGATGTAACCTTAGTTTTGTTAAAGGGTTTAGATAATTGAAAATCCAACACGCAACTATGAGCGTTCATTTTTGGAAGGATATACATGTACCTTATAATCAACACATGTATATCAACATTATGTTCCGGTTGGAAAAGGATGTAGTGTTATGTTATATGTTGTTTATATTGTTGCTTTTACTATCTCGGCCTACTCATCTATATTAGAACAAACTAAGATTTCAGTTAACATCAGGCTTGTTTTATTTTCCCATCTGAATAAAAGCAAATAACGATTACATAATAGACAATGAATTAAATAATGGAGTTGTGCACACTTATTCTTAGCAACTTTAGTACAATCTCCATCAAAGGTTTTGCAATCCCGACTTTCCTTTGCATAGACGCCCCTCGTATTAAAGAGTGCATCATTATGTCTGAATTTATCGTTAAAATGCACGACTTTTAGAGTAGAGTGTATGTTCACCGAATACCAACGTCCGAACACCGTCCATGCATTAAAAAGTCGGAGCTAGACCATAACAACATATCACTTGTTGTGGTGACATAAAAACGATTACAAATGAGCATTTAATTACCAAACATACAGTTACAATGTCTCAAATGCAAATGGTATTTCATATTTACATCGATGATATCTAAAGGAAAACCCTTAACTTTAAGATTTGGGGTGGATTATCTTATCTTTTGTCGTAAAAATGGCGGGAAATTCAAATATTTGAAAATCCAATTACCTTTTATATTCAATTTTAGTAGGTGATTTTCAAATGATGGACTGGGACTAGATATTCTATTCTATTTTAAAACAATGATTTCTTCGTTGAGGAGCATTGCTTCAATTTTTAGAAGGGATACTACAACAGCATATAATTAAGCCTTTTGTGATACCACATCATATTATATACTTTTTTTGTTATTTTGGAAACTCTAATCACGAGATGAATATTCATCATATAATATCACCATAGTCGTGATACGATAACGTTTAGGGCACTAACGGTGTTTGAAAATAATAACTCGTCCACTTACAATGTCTGATCAATGCATTTACATGATTCATAAATATAAAAATATATTTCCAAATTCCACCGGTGCTTTAAATTACTAGTAAATGCTGTAATTATATACATAAACAAAAAATAATTAACGAGTATATACAGATATATGCTATTAATCACTAGACTTTTAAAGAATGTTGATTCACTTGTGAATCCCTGTCTCTCGAATAGATATTGTTACGTTCATACTATTGTTTATCAACGTTCATTTAAAAGTCTAGTAAAATATGAAATAACGCATTAAAATATAATTTCATCAGTTGTGCTCCAATACTAATTTGGTTTTCACCAGTGGAAAAATCTGACTCTAATTTAATTAGTTTTAATGGATTGTTCAAAACCACATGCTAGTTTTATTTCAAGACTGAGATTTTTTGATTAATAGTATATGTATATGGGATAAAATGATAATTATTTGAAATAAAACAATTGTAAAATATCATCTGTTAAAGCTGCAATTGCTGATTTCGTAGAAATCATTGTAGAGTTTGAATAAATATGACTATATTCTTTGTTTATTGATTTTGAGTATTGGTATTTGAAGAACTGTTAAGAATGAATTTTGACTGTTCCACCGTAGGTAAAGGCACGTTGGTGTCATTTGAATCATTATTCTGGCCCTCTATTGGCTGGCTTTGCATTTCAATGTCTGAATCTCCATTAGCATTTGCGCTATAGTTCCGTGTGTTGTGTTCATTACCTAATATACGCTGTCGTTCACTGTTATCGCCATCTATATTCAACAAATCGTTACAATGATCAACATTATAATTCCTATAAATCCATCGTCTCAGTTTGTACAACAAGAAGAGAACGCATTGAATTAGTGTGGCCCCTACGAGGCCCATTGCACACGTAATGGCCGCCGTAAAGGGATACGTCCAATCCATTGTGTTATATGCGTAGTGCTTTCCTTCGTATCCCATTCCATTATTGAGGAAATATAAAGCATTGAAGACTATGTATACTGCAGCTATAAAGAGTGGGTAGACAACATGGAAGAGTCTTATTGGCACAGCCTGTATCATGATATCAATCAGTACAAAGACAGTGTTCAGAGTATGTTTCACTCTACTCATTGGAGTCATCAGCACCTCTGGAATATATACGTGATGATTAGGACCTATAGATAATTTGACAGCTTATTTATATGTATATGCGAATTTTGCGTTCTTCAAATGTTTCAAAGGATTCCTACCAAAACACTTTGAGAAAATGTTCCCTTGTCTTTACTGATTATGCATTATCAACGTTTTGAGTCTCGTCAGATAAATTAATTTAACGAGACTTAATGTCAAGGTCATAGCTTACCACCATCGTCGAAGGACACTAGGAATGTCCAGAATGATATAGTGACAACAAGGGCTGCATTAGAGACGATGTTATACAACATCCAGTGTATCATGATAGACCAAGGCATATTGTCCGACCCTAACTCCAAACCACAATCATCTGAAATAGCATGAGATCAACTTTATTTACTTCATCTTGTGTTCCAGTGAAGCACGGGCGACCATTAATTACGTTTTCTCCCTCATGGGCATAAGGGCGGTAGAAATATTTTTTAATAAAGAGAGCATGGCAACGAAGAGAAGTTAATAGAATCTATCATTCTGCCATCTTTGTATCGTCCTAAAACCTAAGGTCTAGCTCATAGGGGTGTTGGCTTAAAATGACACGATTAGACTACATAGGCGTTTAGGATGTCTGACTCAGGCCAAATTTTATCAGAAATAACAATGCGCGACATTGTTATTGGCTTGTTCAACCAATATCGCACATTTATAATTTCCAATAAGTTACCAGAAGCAATGCCGGTGTAATTAGCGTAATAAGCACAAGTTGATAGTGGAATACTAGTCCAAATATCCATACATTGTGTAGGATGCAGTAATGTGTTGAAAAATGCATGTTCTATCAGGGTATCATCATAACCGCTTTGGAAGTTAATTGCAATGACATCTATACGATGTGTATTGAATGACATCCACAGCGCATGAATGAATGCAACTGAAGCTGGGTTTAATACCAATACGTAGAAATATATTTGTGACAATGAATGGTTGGAGAGGGTTAGGGGGTATTGGATATTTTTGTTTTGTGGTAGATGACAGTTTTGGATATTGGGGTTTGCTGGTTCTTGCCTTTTATAAATCTTTATTTTTCTTGCTGCTAGTATTTTCTCGCTTCTCAAATGTTCCAATACAATAAATATCATTGTACACACCCGTACCAGTAGTACACATTTATATTTAATAACGCAGCTGCAATGACTTGTGGTTGGGTTTAACCATCATCTGTTCTGATGGTAAATAATCTAGATCTGTACATTATACATACGAGATAATAAAGTTGAAAATAGGTGAAAATACTATGTGAGACTATGCTATAGTTGTTTGATGTGCTTGATTTGGTTTGGTGAAATTCGTTATCGCTTTCCATCAAATAACGTAGAACCACGCTGTCGACAGTTTACAATTTATGAGAATCTGCCACTATCAGCACTTTTTCTGTAATCGCGTTAATAATTTTCTTCCATGAATGGCCAAAGAATTCATATCATTTTTTGTCATCTGCATTTTGCCTTTGTGTTATTTCAAATGCATTTGTACTTGCGTTGTTTTGCAATTCAAATGCTGAGACTAACATAAAACCATGAAAGTATACTCTCTTACAATTTTGAAATATTTAAATATAGATAGACCCTCTAATATTTTTTGTTTGAGATATACTTATTCATTCTAATATCCAGTCAGGCTCGTAGCCAGGGAGAGCCTGGGGAGTGGAAGCTCCCCCCCCCCTCGGCCAGAAATTCCTTCAAATTCATGCAGTTTTCACCATTCTGAGCACTTTTTGCATGTATTTTTAGCCGAAGGTGAAAAAACTTCTCTTTGGCAAAAGCTCCACCTCCTGCTGGTTTCCTGGCTACGGGCAAGCCATTGTACAACACTTTCTCACAATTATAATATTTTGAAGAATTCCAAAATGCTCACCTTTTCCATCTTTCTTAGTTTTACAATAATAGTACACAACTAGGATGGCATTGTACATGTTGCTTATTCCCAGTAACATAAAGCTCCAGTTGGTTGCGTATATGAACCAAACTTCTGGGTGCCCGACGTAGAACTCGTTTGCCTCCGTGTATATATCCATGGCAACCCATACAATGAAGCCCACGCCGACTACCACTCTGTAGACACAGTACCATAGTTGAGGTATGGGCCACTGGAAAAAATATGGTCAACAATAATATCAAGTAAAATGTATGAGAATGGTGTTGTAATCAGTTCGAGGACGAAACTACAATTCAAAAACAACGAGGAAAAAATTTAATTAACCATTTTTGTAAGAAAATATCAGTACTGAAAAGACCGATTCACAAAGAAATTGAAGAGGCCAAGGCCCATTGAAGAGGTCATTCATTTGAGGTTAATAAAAGGTCAAATCTGAACTAAATTGAGGTCATTGAAAGGTCAAATCTCAAATAAATTGAGGTCAATGAAAAGTTAAATCTGTAATAAACGGACTTCTTGTAGGCTAACTTGGAGATGGATAACGAAAAATAAATATTGAATTTGAAGGTAGTGGAAGAAACATTCGCTGAAGATTTTTTCATAGAATGTATGCATGTTATTAACTGCCATAGTAAGTCATACAACAACGAACGTAGCATCAATGAGAAAAATCAATTACCAGTATGCAAAAATGATCATGTCATATCGACTTATCATAATTATGAGGGGATGCAATTATCTTTGTAATAAATGGAAGCATTTACATTTTATTCATTGCGCCGTGTAGAAAATTTAGAATAATTACGCGAACCATCACTACCAGTAAATGACCTAGCACAAAAAGGTCTAGTACATATGTTTCTATTTTCATACTGTTTCAATATGATCATTTGATTGCATATTTTTTTTAATCCAAAGCACTTTTTTAATCCAATAGAACTTTTAATTGGATTATAATCTCAAATGGATACTGATCAATGATTAGCCTTTGAAACTCAACTCATGATTTGAAGCGAAGTATCTGTGGCCTACAACATAATACCTACATGTACATCATCCAATAGTAAATAAAATTGTGTATTGACTTTGCCAAAAACATTGTGACTTTGCCAAACACACCATAGTTTGAAGATGTGTTACGTCAAATAATTTACCAAATAAAGGTATGTGCATCGTACTCTACCTACACTCCACGAGTGCAAGTGCACTTGACAGTTCCTTTTTATTTGCTATACAAAGTTGTATATCACTGAGCACTTATTCAAGGTACACCATAGTGCACTCAAAAGTTACACGTTTTTATAATGAAAAGGGGATTCATTCAGCATGTTCTTTGTACTTGAAACTTTTTAACTAAGAAGAAAGTTTTGAGCCTGAATATGCGTGTATTTCTTATGTAGTTGTTTCCTGAATATACAGGCTTCTTCTGTATATATACAACATTAAGAATGCTCCATACAGGATAGCAAACCTAATAAAAGATGAAATAAAATGGATGACATATTTAATCACAATATAAGCAATATAATTGCAATATCCTTCACCACTTTATAACAACGTAATTTTAGTTCTTATCAGATATTTTATTGAGTGAAAATGTAAACTTTTTTGGCCATGTTGATATGCTTGGATCAAATGTTACCAACACAAATATTTTTACCAATATGTTTTCATATTTAGCAGTGTGTGTGTGTTTTGTTCTAAATTTTATATCTTGTTTGTGATGCGATATCCATTTGAATTCATTAGTGAAGAGTGAATGTATCCGACCTTCAAGCATGATATCTTTCTATTGTGTTTATCATGGGGATATATAATATAATATTGATTGATAATATTGCATAAAATGTATGTACGTAAAGTTAGATAAACTTCATAAATTAGTACCTGTGATCTAATGAACAAGTTAGGATTACTGTGTGATAGGGCAAAGTTATCGGCGTCCAATTCCTCTGCAGTGAAGTGACAACATCCCTCCCTCCGCTCCTCCATATGTCTCCGAGGGCGATGTAGGCCCTGATATATGGCCTCGTCCCCGCTTTCGTCACTATCAGCTAGCTCGTACATAAAACCACACGGTTGGGCATGCGCGATGGCTCACCGCAGCTTGATCCTCTGCATTTATTCGACCCCTGCCACGTTGGTATTTGCTTCATTTACAATAATACCGTTAACTGTTTTTTTCTGGTTTGATGATTACATTCATTTCCACGCTGTATGCAACTATGAAAAGTATTGTTCATCGGGTACTATTGGTATTTAATATAAACCTGCATATATAAAGTAATGACTAGATGTCTGTTAAAATATGAGAAGAGCCTTTCATCATATTTTATCCAATGCAATGATTAGTGTATCGATCGGAAATTGAAATCTGAATTAAATTGCAAACGGGAGGATGTTATAGCAACGGTAATATAAAGTAATGCAAATACAAAGAGACTGTTTAACCTTGAACAGTTTAGATCCTCGGATAGCATGAAAGTGATATTTCTAGTAGACATTGTCTCATATACATAGTATTAGGATTGTCATGTTATGCAATGGATAAACCATGAGTCCTGGGTATTAGGTGAAATAAATACCAAGGGACGAATGGGCCGAGGCCATTATTTTCTGCTAATACCCAGGACGAATTCTTTATATACCTTTAACCTTACACTGACTGTTGTGAAAGGTAAATGGTCCATGATCAATCTGGAAAATTTCTTTTGCATTGACTATTCAACTGGAGGTAAGTGAGTTGATACATGTGAGTGAATAAGTGGGGTATAATTAGTTCAGTACGATACATGCAACAGGCCAGGTACAGTGTAAAATTTGATTTCTTTTGTATTTGCTATTAAACAATTGATTTGGTGAATAGGGTGTAATTAATTCAGCTTCAGTGCAGTTGCATTTGACAGTCCAGGTGTAAACATTGGACGTTGATGGAGCATAATTTGTAAATAAACTTAAACTAATATATAGGAAGCAACACAAATTAATAAATTGTTTTATTTAAAGGCCCCATGTAAAGTTTAAACCACTTTGGCTTATATTGTAGTCTTACCCAATGTTATCAAAGTGTGATATGTGAAACTTTTTTTTTTAATTTCAAAAAGTGGTTTTTGATAGACTTTTTGTTCCAAAATTTGTGAATTTATTTAAAACCAACTTTTAGAGGTCACTCATATCTTCTAATTAGCCACAATTCATACCATTGCATAGCATACATCCTCCCATGTTTTTTGCCGAAAAAATTAAGAAAATCGGTTGATAAACAAGCGAGAAATGAACTTATCAGTGCATGAAAATGGTTCTGAGAAAAATGCATTTCAAAATTTTAGTTCTCATAGAAACCAATGGTACAATGATATCTAAAACATAATTTATTCTTCCTTTTAACCTGGTTAGACAATCAACATTTGTTTTTTATGAAAGTGTAGCATATTTAGAAAAGATTGACATCGAAAAAAAAATTCAATTTTTTTCAAAAAGTTTTTGTTACCTTAGTGACATCACTAATGTTTCAAAATATTTTTGATAAGCTAAAACATTGAAGTGGCCCATTAAATATGACATTTTATTATTGAAATAGTTTGTCTTTTGTTCAATCTTTGCATTGGTGTTAAAAATATAATCTTTTTTGAAATACATTAAGAAATATTTGATGATTAAGAAATTTCAACTTTTTTTGAAAAATGGCGGGAAATTTGAATATTTGAGAAATGAAATGCTAACAACTTTTTTTTCAAAAACATTTTTTGTTCAAAAATCTCTAAAATCACTTTTTAAGTCCTGACAAATAGTAAATGAATGATAAAAAAATATTTTCAAACTTTAGACGGGGACTTTAAGAATGCACACTAAAAAAGAAGAGAACGTGTATTGTTTTTAAATGATTGAAACTATCACAACTGTCAATCGTCTGTTGTGCCACACTGGTTTTTGATAGCTTGTCAAGTGTGCATTCTTTAGAGAACAATAGAAAAAATAAACAACAGTTCATTCTATTGTGTTGCTACCTAAGTGGGATTTAAGCTTCACACTTCATCTAAGCCTCAGGACTCATGGTTCACCCGTAACGTATTTTCCACGCTCATAGTTATGCCGTGGAGAATATTTTATTCCAGATTTATTTATGTAACTGGACATAAAATACTGAATACTATATTATAAATACTGAACAATGTGACCGTGCAACCAACTTGTGTCTTGTTCGTGTTGTTTTGGTTGTCTAATTATATTTACATTAATTACAAATTTATTTATTTATTTAAAAGCAGTTGATGTTGGTATATAGTGTCTGGATAAAATGGGAATAATTGGAGAATAGAAAAGGGGCCGAAAAGTGTTCGCATCTTTAGAGGTGTTCGAATACACAGGTTTTACTACATTGAGTAAACATTATCAGTCATCTGGTCTGGCAGAATAATAACAAATGTTGATCAGTAACAGTCAGTACGGTTTTAACAGTATAGAATGAATATCCTCCTCTAATATAAATCCTACGAACCTTATCATCAATAATTTTATGAAAAGCGTGAATCATAACATCTGTTGCATCTCCATATTTAATAGTCGATATAGCGCAGAATCAAAATAAAAACTCGGAAAATCGTTTTATTTAAGTAAAGATGTCGCGTTGAACAAGACCATGAGTTGTGTAAAGATATGTTCAATCATCGATAGTCATTGAATAACGTTAAAAATAATGAGAAACGTTACAAAATTTGGGAACCTCAGAAAGAAGAATCAGAGATGTTTTATATGTCTCTGGAATAATGTACCCAAAAACCTCGGTATTAAAAACATGAGTGCGGTCGCTTTTGGGTAAAGTGTTTAGGCCGAGAGAAACATGTGTATCTCCCGCGGGACCACCCCCCCCCCTACTCCCCCTCCCAATATAGTTGTGATATTACCCCTCCTTGTTTGTGAAACCTCCTCATTTTAGGCTGAATCATCTATTCCGCATGTAAATACTTATTATTCGTTCGACGTTCTTGTTTTCTACGATTGAAGATGCTATGTCGGATATATCATATTTGATAATTGATTCAAATCGATAAAGCAATTTGTATCTATCACATTCTTGTTGAAACTGTCAGGGGATGGTGATATTTATTGCTCCCTTGACCAAAATATTGGTAGATTTGACATGTTACTATATGTTTGGTATGATTCCCGATATGGTTCCTACCTAAATACGAGTATAATCGATAGCATATCTGATTTTTATATTAGATGGCGCACTAAAATCGTGATACTTTTGTAGAATTTTGGGTACGACAATCCATAAATGACGATAGATTTTAAGACATCACTAACATGACTTACAACTACCGGATCGCCATGGCCAGTTCCCTCACCTGCCACATGACTGACTACGCCCATGTGGGTTTACAGCCGTACACGATTTTTGGGACAGAAATCCAAGATGGCCACTACAAGATCTACCAAGCATGACTAGAATATCCATGAATGTTTAACATCAAGTCATCAAAGGGTTTGGTTGGAAACAGATAGACCGGAGTTTCACGCCAATTTGCCCATGGTCATTTATTTGAACATCAACATGAGCGTTCTTACGAAAGCTTTCAAATAAATGCCCGTGGGATATAAACGCTCAATAAGCATATTAGCAAGAAACTATTGTATCGCAAGCACTCTTATCATCGTGTATAATTTTGTAGTACAATAGACAAATATACAAAATTAAAAGGGGGACAAGCAACAGCTCGAGACAAATCCTAATACGTAGTAAGATCAGAAAAATGAAATCTAATAGATACAGAGAATTTCATTTTGTATTATAACAGTGACGTAAGTTGCCGCCAGGAATATTACCAAATAAAAGAGTATGGCTCATTATGATTTGACACCCAAGGTAGGGGAGTATTAGGGTGTTAATTGGTTATGATTGGTGATACCTAATACATCTTGGATTACCAAAGGTATGAAGTGCTCAACCATGATTTCATATTTATGATTGGAATCAAACTGGTAAGTGAGAACTGATCCCCGGGAACTGATCATACCCGTGAGTTGGTGCTAAGAGGTGTTTATCATTTTAACACATTTCACAACTTTATTTATATTAGTCTGCACATATCTACCAGCAATACAGCATACAACATAATAAAAAGAGTATTAAAATTGATCATTTTCAGTATAAGCATCGTCTCTACGGGATGTGTATCCATGTTGTGATCTCGGCTTCATTAACGTCTTGCGGAATGTCTTGCAATAAGTAATATAGACAGTCGGTGTCACGGCTACTTGAATGTAAGTCAGCCACGTAGCAACTGATATAAATATATCCGGGATAGATTGCTCACTGGCCACATCGAAGAGATACCAATAATTCATCACCATGTAGGGTCCCCATAGTAAGATGAATGTACCAGTTACCAGGAGAAACATCCGGGTGAGTTTCTCATTTCGGCGTGCTTTGTATTGTCTCATTCTTGTCTGGGTCGCCTGTGGAATGGCCTGAAGTGCTATCACTCCTCGATTGGTTGGCATTCGTACCCCAAAACCGTTCAGCCATGTCGCTACTGCTTGCGCATTTGCCCCTGGACCGAAGAAATTCCAAGTCGAGCTTCTCATTGGTAAATGTCCAAGAGGACGCATGCGTCGATGCGCACGCATAAATTGGAATATCCGAAGATAGATGCAAAAAACTGATGTTAGAATGACAAGGTAAATTAACATAAACCCTAATGTGTCATTGTTCTTGTAATAGCGATGCTCAAAAGTACACTGTGCCTCCAATTTCACGTATCGATACGTCCCCAAACCAAACACCGGTGGGAATGCCATCATAAAAGACATAAGCCAACATATGACGACCAAGATCACACAAGCTACACCCTTTAATCGTTTCTTGTGGAACTTGTGGTGAAGTACTGCAACGTGTCTATCAACTGCAATAATGAACAAACCAAACAGAGCACCGAAGATAAACAAGGTATTTGCAAAAGCAAGGAGGGTACAACCCTCAGTGCCAAATACCCATTCGTATTTATTGAGCATGGTTACAAGAACGAACGGGATACATAGCGTTGTCCTCAACAAAATAGCAATTGATAAGTTCATCATGTTGTAGAAAGGAGATCTATGTAGGCTCGTATTTCGTATTGTGTTGACAATGACAAGCAAATTAGACGCCACGCCCGTTCCAATAATCAGCACGAGGATGAGACAGCTGAGCACCGGAACCTCAAGTTCGTTTTCTACATCCATTTTCTCGGTACTCACATCGTATGTTACGTTAACAAGCACACTCGCGTCTGTGCTGACAGCCACAGCGACGTAGGGAGGTGGCGGGTCCATTGTTCGGTTTGCGTGGTCCATTATTGGCGCACTATCAATTAATGTCTCCATTTTTGAGCTCATCTTTTGTCCAGTAAAAACCACTCCAGGTTGTGTTGAACGTGTTTCATGCCACACGTAACTCGGTCATATTTCTGTCCAATTTCTGGAAATGACAAAAGTGTCGTATTTACATTTAGGTTATTTTTGTGCAACGTGTGTAATAATACGAATTGGGTTTGGTGATGTCTTGGTGATATAAAGCATGGGTGTGCAGGTCCACTGCTTTGGGCTTCATCGGATCATGAAGTACAAGGAGCACTATAGTGTATTTATTGCATCAATATTCGTAACATTAATAGCTTCGGTTTTTACCCCACGGAATAAGTTAAACCGAACATAAACAAAACCGGTTACAACAAATGAGACCTACTTTCCCACATATAATTGACTCAGTCATTCTGTGCTGATAGTTGAATTCGATGCACACTGTCACAGTTGAACATCAAAGTAGCAGCACACATTCTGCGTGACATTCATTATTGCTTACAATTGTGGAATTCAAAACCGTCTCCTGGTCTCTCTTAATTACAATTTCGCCTTGACATTGGCATGAGCGATACGTGAAAACGGGAAAATGGTATTCTATAAATGATGACTTTTTATTCACGGTTATTTTTGTGGTTGTTCGTAAGAATTTGATTATAGAATTACGTATTCAGTTTTTGAACTCATGTTCGACTTCCAAGGTGTTCGAGCAATAAGTTGGAACAACGGAAACCTTGTGAATCAAGATATGATTTTACACGATCAGAGTCAGAATCATGCTCCATTACCGTTGATCGTGTTTATCAAAGGTGTCCCTAAATATTCAGTTTAGTGATGAGCGTTGTTGTATCTGATCACGAGACTCCTTTAAAAGCCATGATAAATGGCTAATTATAGCATAGGGAAATATTATACTTATTAGATTAATTTATCTTTTGTTACTATGGTAACTAAAGCTCGCCAAAGGAGATTGTTCATCAGTTCTCATATGATCTCAAACAATGCAATTAACTGATCCGTGTACTGTACTGTTATCTCGCACGCTCTGTTATTTCACTCACAGTTATCTCGCCCTCTTCTATTTTAGACCTTTATAATATGATATATTTAACATGATATTTATATTCAGGATCACTGAATAAGACCTCATTTTACTGGCATAGACGTGCGTAAGGCAAGAGAGGCAATTTCCTCACCAAACATTTACATAAACATGGATATTAAGACATTTTTTCAATTAACATTATCGAAATGAAGTGCAAATGGATGATATCGTTTTGCCTCGCCCATTTACATTTGCCTCGCCAAATGTGTCATATTGATGTACTGTTGTGGTACAGCCCTCCTACTGTCAAAAATTCTTTCAAAATCATGCAGTTTTCACCATTCTTAATTTTGGGCCGAGGTTGTCAAACGTTAACCCCCTAGAATATTTAGGAAAGTGAACCCCCTTTGGCTGGCTAAGGGCCTAAAATCAGCTACACAACAATCTGATTGGTTAATCACTACACTGCCCCCGGACACTGCCACCATGATAAACCATGACATCTCGTTTCTTAGATCAGTCATATTTCTGGTTTAAACAGAGTGATGTTACGAGAATCAGAAAGATGCACTGCCATACTCATTCACATGTTCACAACTGATGTTCATGATATTTCAACTGCAACAGAACGAAATACAGGTCTTGTCCGACCAAACTGGTTGTAATTAGGACAGTATTTCAATCCTACCCTCTGGATATTAGGGTAAAAGGAGGAAACGGTTCATACTAATCTATTCAATTGGTTTTACTCGCATCATTTATATCAAAAAGGTCATTTCCTATCATTAAACATCAACTGCCTTTACTAGATCACTAAAAGGAACATTATTTTAACTGATTTACAGGCCCTGTGCAAAGTAAGAAAATATAATTTAATCATTCAATTATTGCGTTTCATCATGGGCTTTCAAGAGAGAGTGTGAGGTATCCTTGGTTATGACAGAGGAAGATATAGTGAGCATAATAACGGACTTATTCCTTGGAATGTAAAAATCTCTTGAAACCCATGGTCTCATGACTTGAACAACTATTTAAAATGTGACTTTTGAAAATAAACTTAGCATTATATCTTCTTTACTCCATTGAATAGATCGGGTAAAGGTTATTTCAACCATTCAATCTATGATTTTTTAAAACTTGAACAGCTTTTTGAAAGATTTGTGATGTCACATACACTGTGATGTCAGGTGGCAAGAATTGTCATTTTTTCTCGGACAAATATTATCTAAATATGATAAACATTCAAAATAAAGTCATATTTCTGCCTTTGTTGGCCTATCTAGGTTGAAAATAAGTTATGAAATAAATTCACAATTTTTCGAACAAAAATTCCTTCAAAATCATTAAATTGAACATCCCACATTTTGATTATTTGGACTGTATTTTTGTATGCCCGCGGTGCTAGTGAATTTGGTAATATTTTAATGGGTTTTCGCCCCAGGTATCACTAAAAAGAACAATAAGCCCCGCTGTGAAAATTACATGCTCGTGTGTTTTCAACAAAAATAGTTCATCCAAGTGCACTTACACTCACATAATTATGAAAGACATCACGATTTATTGCAATCAAAATCCTGTGGTGCACTAGTAACTATATAGGCGACGCGGTTGACACGCGCGGCCGTTTACCGACAAGAGTGTCACATCGTAATTAGTGGTGTAAGAGCGCTTGGATGAGCTGTTTTTTTTTTGAAAACGTGTGAGCATGTAATTTGCAACGCAGGGGCTCATTGTTCTTTTTCATGATACCTACGGGAAAAACTTATTAGATATTAGAGAGGTTAAGCAAGACGATTTTTATGACGCGAACCGCAAACGTAAACCTTTACGTTCCCGTATACGTACTATGAACAAACGTGCTTTAAGCTGAGCACTTTAGACGTAACGCAAACGCAAACCTCGAAATGATTTTTTTTCTTTTTCTTAGCGGCGTTTCGTTTTATTTTCTACTTTAAAAGTATAAAAAGATTACTTTATTGACAAAGGAGATGTTTCACACCCTGGTAGTGTTCTATGACATCTTGAATCTTACAAAATACAACTGGACGCAATAATATCTTTAAAGCAAGTCTTCAAGGCATTCATAGTTTTATTACTATGGTGTCACAATATGTATAAAGAATTGGGATGAGTTGACATGTGGGTAATTGCAATTGCATGTAATCTCATCAGATTTTACATATGGAATGGGTGCCTCAATATTCAAGTTATATTTGATTAGATTGGACACAAATGATCTCGATATATACACAGATTTGTGTCAAACATATTTATGTATTCGACCTATATCATATTTATCTCAATCGAACTTGATAAAGTATGAAAAATCCTTTACGGAACGACCTACCTAGACTTTGATTTTTCACGTTTGGATGTACGTAAACCGGGAAATAAATAGAACAATATGACGTCACATCCTGAGAAAAACCTGCGCGCGCCTTCCCGTTCGCGGTTTACGTTGTAAAAAGTGGTGTTGCTTAACCTCTCTATTATGTAATATACTTGCGCCGCGATCAGTTCAAAAACGCAGTCTTGGTAAGACTGTTATATTAGCCAAAGTTCTTTAAACTTGTATGGGGTCTTTAACAAAATTTTCAATATGATGTTGTTCAGCTATCACTTATATCACCCACTTCCCATCCCATTGAAAACAACATTTTCAATTAATACTCCAGTACGTTAAATGGCTATGACACTTTCATGTCAAATCGGGACTTAGTATGATAAAGTTAAATTAAAATGTAAACGATTAACGTAGCAGACTTTCCAAATATATAAGCAATGTTGTAATGTTGTAGTTTCCCATCATCTTTAGAAGCTAAAAACAAGTAACATTTTCACTTGAACAACTGTCCACCAATGTGTTTTTATTCCCAATATACAATATACAATATCAGGGTTGATCCAATATAATATATCAAAATAAGATAAAGGATACCTTGCAAAACTAATGAATTACTTTTTGAAATTGCTGAGACATGATAGTAGAATGTTTTAACTTTCAAAATGAAAATTAATCATTGAACTATGAATAGAACTATGGGTTTGCCCATTGGTTTTTCTCTTAGTAATAAATTGTGATTTTAATGAAACAAAGACAAAGCAAGGAATGATGACTTTCGGACTAGCATCTCGCTATCCGCTGAATCTAGGTTTAACATGACATGGCGTGTAAGTGTCTCATCATTCCATGTATTTGCTTCAGATCTAATTATTCTCCTCTTATTGAAATCTCTGAGAGTCTGTAATCAAATCAGGATAAGTCGACGGAAGCACCGTTAAAATCCACAGTAATTTGATCTCTTTTATCTTTTCCTAAAAAGCTGCTACTGAGCATCCAGTCGCCAATCATGGGAATTATATTACTGATACTAACATAAAGGACCGCGGAAGATAATGTGATATCTTTGGGTTTCAAATTGCATGTTTTAAATAACCAAGTGACAACTTCAGAATCACGGAATTGTTTAAGCTTCTAAGTTACTCAAAGTTTGGCATCACCCTGTGAGTCGGGCTGAAAACCCCGTCCGGCACACTCAAATACCCCTATACCCCTAGACAAATTTTAGTCTGAAAAGCAAAATTAGCAGCCATCTCGTACAATTATTCATAGTCGTCGCGATAACTGTCACATAGTTTAAGCAGGACTTCATAAAAAATGGTATCATTTTATGGTCACCGGTCTACCATGACCACAAGTGATGACATATTATGGTCTGTGGACAGTGTTCGGCGTTCGGTGGTTGGTGTTCGGCGTTCGGCGTTCGGCGTCTGTAAGAAATGGCAAGTGATGACAATTTTTCATGTTAATCCCTCGTTATTGTTGTTGTGATTAATTACACTCTGAGTTTATGTTTCAGGATTCCTTTGAACTTATACGTTTTCAACTGAGCAATATCCTTATTACAGGATGAAATTGCACCATAAACACAATTCCATCCGAACCTGAGGTCGTAATGAACTTTACGCATACAGCCAGTCACTAAGTATTCCATCAAAGAATAAAATTATTCCGTTTCTGTCGCTGAAACACGATTGAAGCTATCTACTTCGAAACACCGAAGGACCCTACTTACATCTTTGTGATAACATGCAAAACCATGTAAGGAATTACACGCATGACTAGTCCATGTCTTATTCCTGACGAAGGAATAATGTAAAGGCGAGGTTAATCACAGACAAAATGAACAAACACCTTGGTCATGTACGGCGTACGCCCATATCCCGTTTCAATCATATACAGTACACGTATCTTAGAGTGTAATTTTGTTCATGGACAGACGACACCTAAAATCGTGAATCGTGCAACAATTTCCAATTTCCACATTTTGATGTATTATGTTTGAATGCTAAAATGAAAACCCTCTACCTCTAAAGCCAGTCCTTAGTCCTTATTGCAGTTTGGACATCACACTACCTCATACCTTCACATAAATCGGTTCCAAGACTCCTCGTTCCTTTTGATTATGGATTTTTATGACATCACTCTAAAATCCCAATTCATAACTATAATGAAAGTTGTCCATTTCACCAAACACACTCATTTGTCTCTATCCTCGAAGTTAGCCTGTATTCTCATATTACTTTACTGTTAACTCGCCCATGTTAGGAATGTTCCTTAGAACATTTAAACATCATCAATCTCCTTCAGTGACTAGGCAGGTCATGATGACACGGAATGCTGTATCCTTATTTTACCCGATGTCGGATCAGCTTAGAAATTAAAAAACAAAACGGATGTTTAGCATATGTTGAGCATGAATTTCAGAATTGTTATCCATTTTCACGTCGGAAAGGTTTAAGGATTTAGTTTAAACCCTGGACTCATCAGTGCATTGTGTGCTGAATCATTCCATTGAAGGTGTTGTTTCCGAATATTTGCATGGCCGCGCAGCGGAAATACAAAATTTAGGAAACGACGCCTTGGGGGTATAAAGCAGTCACAATCCATTGAGTCTTGGGCTTAAATTCTCCTCACACGATAAAATGTTTTCGACAAAAAGATACAAAATCAATAAAAGAACATATTTTCAATGAAACTTTTTGCAAGGGTCATTTTGACAAAGTATCAATTTTAATCTAGAGAGTCAAGTTATCACCTTGACAACTGTTTAACAAGTGACATTGAATGTGGTAATTGGGGAATTAGGAATTATGCGTATAGTTGTCAAAACCCACTACAGGGTGACCCCCCCCCCCCCAATGAGATATACAACCCTCTTATTTTGGAATATCTTATCTAAAGGAGCAAAAAGTGGCGCACTAATAAAATAATGTTTACGACTTTTGAAATATGCTTTTTCAATCTAGATGCTCCCGTATTAATTAAGTCTTCAAAAAACCTTCAAAAATTGAAACATGGCATTTCTGTCCGCCATTATGGACACTATCGTGGAATAACATTTTTTATAAAATAGGCATCGGGACTATTCAAATGCTTGCTGTGGGCCAAAACAATGTAAAATTCAAGTCGCTTCCTTTAAATTGAATTGATGAGTCGTTGTATAATGTTGTCTTTGTAAAATAATGTTTGAAAAATACAATTCGATAGCTAGACTTACGGCCCCAGTGGGTTAACTTGAGATCCATTAATCTAAACGTGTTCTCATGGGCTTCATATTAACAAATGTTGTTTCCTCGAATGTTGTATTGTATCCTGTCCCAGAAGTCATTAGAATGCCTTATATTAAGGAATAAAGTAAATAGAGGTTACTTACCAGGAGGGATTGAATATGTGTTTTCTTCCTCGTGACAATGTGATATGTTAATATTAAAATTCTACCATATGACTAGTAAATATAATCTTTTTATTCCATAATACTACTGTTTTCCCAGGGAAATATGAAGGAATAAAAATCGTATTGAATCGTATTACATGAAAAAATCGTATTGTCCCCGGGAAAAAAATCGTATTGGAGCGTATTACATGAAAAATCGTATTGTCCCCGGGAAAAAAATAATATTGGAGCATATTAAGCTATTTTCGTTTTCCCTGTTATTTTTTCCCAGTTATCTGTATTTTCCAAATGTAGCATTTTAGAGGGGTGTATTATGGAATAAATAGGTTATTTCTGGTCGGGATTGAATATGGGTTTTATTCCTCGAAAAATATGATATTGACCTTGGGCTATATGATATTGACACTCGGTCGCTGCGCTCCCTCGGTCAATATCATATTACCCTTCGGTCAATATCATATTGTCCCTCGGAATAAAACCCATATTCAATCCCTCCCAGTAAATAACCTATATTTATCCCATGATATTCATGAAATTCAGAATCAATATCTGATTTTGTACGTACAAAACCTGACTATTTCAAAAAATTAGTAGTATCATGGGATAAATAGTGATCATTGTCTTAGTAGTTGTTGTCCGGGTGACCTAATTAGGAGTATGTAAGTCATGCAGAGTTGGGGCCAGGTAAAGATCCGTTAGGGGGGGGACAATATGATATTTTGCTTCAATAAGTGAAATTATGGTCCTCTCGGCTTTGTGGTCCCATTTCGGTTATCTACATGTGTATGGCCCCGATTGAATATAAGCTATGGAAAAGAGTTATGATGAGTTCTAGATTTTATAAATCAATTAAACCCATAATTGAATTTGACCAAATAAATATCCATTGTCTTTTTATAAGCCTATTTGACTTTTTATAGCAAAATCCAAGACCCAAATACTATCTTTGCTAAATATTACCCAGTATATCCATCTCGTTTTATCTTAGGCATGCCATACCTCTTCCGTGAGCGGAAATGTAATGAGGCCTCAATATGCCCAAAATAAAAGATAGATGTATGCTTTCCCTATTTGGCATTCCGAGCATTATTCAACCTTGCGGACTTGCTCTATTGGTGAACAATATCTTATCCATTCATTGTTTTTAGCTTTCCATGTTTGAGTTATAAAATATAATATTTTACTTTTTATATTATTTAATACTTATAATTCTACTGACTCTGACGTATGTTACTTTGAAAATAACTTATCAATTATATTTACTGTTGTATCATCTACGTCCCTTGCGGCCATGCATGAGCATGTAGGTATCATGATGCCAAGCCGATATGTAATGGCTACAGCTGTCAAAGGAACTCCCGACTTGACACGAACAATATAACAAAATATGCTAAATTACTATCAGGTTTAGTCGTATCTACATCTTAGTTTCCATAGCAACATATTTAATAATAGTAAAATGATCTCTATCGCTTTCCTAGCTTTATCATGGTTTAATGAATTCGTATCAATCATTGGTTGAACGTGATCGAAGCATTTAAGATCCATATTTTAATAAAATGATATCGTGTAGATTATCAACGATTACCAACTCTGTTGCTTTGTTAGGGACATTTTATTCTGAAGTCTTATTAGTCACAAATGGATGAAATGTACGACTTCATATATATACAACCTTATATAACACTTTATCATACACAACCCTACACAATTTGACTTTCATTTCGAAAACACATTTTCCACACACACACATCAAAACAAAAACAAATTGATAACCATTGAAAATCATTTGAACAACTATCAACCACATAACCATTATAAACACGATTGTGTTACATTGACAATATCCAGCTATTACGAACAAGTAGGGACAACTGATATGTCGGCGAGGGGTGCAATGCCCTTTATAATGTCAAAGAGTCGGCATGTAATGTATTTGATTAAATCTTTAGTAATGTCTTTAATAACAATAAAGCGATTCGCAACTCGCCTTCAATACTATAATATAATATTAATAATATTAAATACAAAAAAAGAAATTACTAAATGTAAATGAGAAAATAAACCACAATTTTATACTTACTAATTCCATGTCTTTAGAAATATAGAAACAATGCTTTCTTCATACCAATAATTAATCCATGCATTATCGTGTGTTCTGCTGTGATAGTAGTTGGTATTCTCCATGGTATATAGCCTTATGAACAGAAAATAGATTACACCGAGCTCACAAAATCAATAAAACGTAATTGACGATACTGTAGTCGAGCTGATTTCTCCCAAGCATAGCATTGAGCCAATGACGAATGGCTCCCGGCATTCCATTTCGATATTTTGCCGTATATGGAGTCATGTCGTGATTACAAAATTCAAAATTAAACAGACGCCATTTTTCACTTCATGATTTGAATCGCGAGGAAGTGATCAAGATATAAGTTTAAATCTTTTGGATTGCTATCATGAATTTACAGCCAGTTATATTAACAGACTCGATCAACACTGAACAAATTGCTTGTAGATGAAATATCGAGTTGGAACCCTGGGAGCCAACCCCCTTTGGCATTGAGCGCAGAAGCAATATTGAGAGGGTAATAATCAATGCGCATGCTCAATCAATAATTTATATAATGTAGTGTGCGATATTGGAACGCAAGTGCGTCATTTGTGAGCACAAATACATGATAAGTATCAAGAAAGAGAACGTGATAATGAATTACATGATCAGTGCCAGAATCATGTATTAATTACATTCTAGAAGTTGTTTCAGCATATTGATTCCCAGAGAATATTTAGAGGTAGTTATAGCATATCAATGAAATAATTCATTTCCTAAAATTGGAACTGTTTATTTGGATAAATACAATAATTTATTTATTAAATGTGTCAATGCAAAATGTCAACAAAATAAGTACGTACGTTATTAAAGCGTCTCTCAAAATTTAATATCTTATAGTTTTAATACTATTTCACAGTTGTCGTTGGTTTTCTTGGATAACCGAATGCATTTAGTTTTAATGCAATTCAATTAATACAGGTCGAGTTAATTTTATAACTGACAAGAAAATCAATGAAACAGCTTATATGGCATTAGAGCATGTTTTATGACATCAGACTCGAGTTATAGTAAAAAAACGTAAAATAACACTCGTAAAAGTGTTACTATTCGTAAAGTAGGTGTTTATTTTCAAAATGGCCCCCCACATGTTTTAAATACTTATATTTTCAACTTAATCAATATCCGATATAATATCTTATATTTGAAACATATCAAAATTACAGTTTTATATGTTTTTCCTAAAATACTGTAAAATTGACACTAAAATAGCGACCATTTTAAAACTGGCGGCCATTTTGAAAATCTTCTTTCGAGCAGAACTTGTAATCCCATTGGGCATCTACCCATAGAATATAAACGATAACGATATTGATCCGACGCTATTGAATTATCGGACGGACGGACATACGGGCGTACGTGCAGACGGGCGTTTCCTATTTCCCTTCGAAATTCGTTCGATGAGATAAAAAGCGAGGCTTTTCATTTCTACAGTTTTAACGTTAATTAACAATGTCTTCGTATTTTATAGAAATTGTGAGCGCAGTTGCCTTGACTGCTTCGGGCCTGACAACGCCAGTGATATTAAAGTGTTATTAGTATAACAAATACCGAAACAAACGTCACAGCCAGTCATAAAGAAAAATAGCCCGAAGTATAATCTAAACACACATAAAATTCCAAGAAATGTTTTCACCAGTTTTTTAATGTGAGAAATGATAAAGAACATCTTGGTTTATAGTAAAAATTGTTTTCCACATTTACACTCTTTATGACAGGTGGTAGTATCTTTCAACAAATTGCCAGAATATGAAAACAGAATTAGGCAACATAGTCTGTCTAACATACAGTTGAAATTATTACAGCTTTAAAAACAACAGAGTGCAGAACTGCAAAAACTCCCAAAACAAACTTGCTTACTTGATTAACTTTTTCTCAACTTTTAGAGATTTATTTGGAACTTGGGTTATCAATGTTGATCACCGACTGAGTATAAAGCTCTTTTAAACTGATCTCATCGTTTAGGGTAATGCAACCACCCCCCCCCCCTCTACCTCCTTGGGTGTGGAAATGAGTGAGTCTGGGGGACAGAGACGTTAAACAGACAACTATAATCATTTCAGCAATATTATACAAAATGCCAAATTAGGACATTTAAATATTTAAACATTTCAAAACTCAATAAATCAACAAAACAATAATTTATGTATAAATTATGATTATAAAAATATATATTTCACTACATTTTATTTTTCAAATTAGATTTAAATAATTCGATCATTTTTACTTAGAAATTAATGGGAAGTTTATCACACATGGGTTTGCACTTGTGTACAAAGCACATTATACAAAATAAAAGGTATAACTTGATATAGATTCAACAATATATTTGATACAAAACACTATGCATGTATATCATATACCTATTGAATACATAAATTCATCATACCAGTAGATGATTGAAAACCAGTCTAACTTTGAACTGATTTTTTATCAAATGCTGGTATTCGAAATAACTCATTTACATGAGTGGTTACATGAACGTGTTCATAATAACATACAAACTAGCATACCAATTGTTACATATCATAACAATGGAAATATACCAATTGTTACATATCATAACAATGGAAACATGTACAAGAACCCCTATACCAGATACCTGTATATACTTTCTTGAACTCTGTGAACAGTCCTTTTACAAAGAGCTTTAATTACATGTATCTCATTTAATTCACTCAAATATACAGCAACACATGTGCTCAACAATTACATGTGCTAAACAATGAATTTAGGTGGCTTACAATAAATATAATAAATTTTCTAAGCTTTTTGGAAAATTGTACAATCATATTGATAAATTCAATGATTTTATATATAAGCTCTAAACTCAATTCTGAATTAGTAATAATAGAGTAAACAGTAAACTGCCAATCATAAAAAGTAAATAATTTGGTTATTTTAGTAAAGTTAGAACTTACATGCATAACATAACACATCGTAACATTCAATTTTAGGGTTAAACCATTGGATCAATTATTGGAAACTAACCTTTTTAGCATCAATGACGCTATTTCTGCTGAAACAATTGGAATCAAAACAGTTTACCTCTTCTATGAAAGCTATAATAACAGAATAAGAAAATACAAAATACACATTCCAATAAATTTTACAAGACAAAAAGATAATGAGTAAGACATAATTTTCCAGAAAAATTGCTCTTTATCAAACCAAAAAGGAGGAAAACAACAATTGATATTATTCTGTCCAAAATACATTTTCCTTCAAAAGGTCAGGTTCCTCATCAATCAAATGGTCAATCCCTGAACATACAGGATCATTTCAATAAACTAGTTTAAGAATATGTTTACTAGTAGGGTAATGACATCAATTTGATACTTAGAGCAATTAGTGTGACACTTCTACATCAACATATGCAATAACAGGGTCATCCGAGAAGTATTAAAATTTGTGTTTTCATTCAGAGTTTCTCTTATAGAAACTTGTAATTGGTACATATGCAAAACATCATGATACTGTGTTTTATTCCATAGTTAGCATGATATTCATAGGATAACATGTGAAAATAAAAACGGTATTTTTGTAATCAGTGGCAAAATATGATATTTTTGACAAATTTTCACTTAACCATAGCATACGGGTTTTTAGCCATGACATACGACGTCGTATGCGATGGTTTATGGATTTTTGCTACTTCAAACTCAAAACGAGGCTAAGTGTCAACATCGCCGGATCGTTTGGAAAATTCGAATTAAATCACTTAATTTCCGACGATTCTGACGATGCCTTTAACTATGGAATAAAAAGAACATCCTATGATTTACTCGTGATATGATTTTAATCCACTCGTGGATATTGATATCTGCACTCTCTCGCTACGCTCGCTCGTGCAGATATCATATCCATTCGTGGATAAAAATCATATCACTCATAAATCATAGGATATCCTCTATATACTTTATGGATGATATGGTAATATTGATTTTGGAAGAACCAACATTCAATGTGAAAATCTATAAAAGTTCATTCATCTTTTGGTGAGAGAGGTAAACCAAAACGTTAATTTGGAATGTCTTGGGATATTTTTGATATATGGATTTAGTAGACAAGTTTTCCAGCTTAGTAAATGTTCACATTACAATTCATGGCTGATCTTTACAGATCAATAGATGATCAGACATTAAGAACCAACAAGATCTAAATCCTTAATCAATATCTTTAATCAAGAATACCCAAAATTCTCCTTTGCCTGTTTTGAATAATGAAATCATTTGACACTATCAATCACTCTAACTTCCTACATCTTTTTAATTTGAACAATCCATAAAACGAGCGCATTGGCAAATGTGTTATTTGACATTTTTGTGTACTATGAAATTGGTTCAAATATGGGTTCAAAAAAGATGCCATTACCTTCCTTGCAATCATTATACTGAAAACATGATTAGTTTATCCCGTATTAAGCAAGCAAAATATTACATGTGGAATATGATCGGTTATAAAATCACAACTTTCCAGAATACATATAACTTTTTTTTTAATTTAATAAATGCTCCATATTAAATAACTTATTGTAATCACATATTTACTTGAATAAATCAGATAAGAATTATTTAGAATTATCTTAGAGTATTAATAACAGCAAATAATTATTGTTTTGCTGTGCACATGCATGCTAAAGTAACATACTTTTGAGAACATTATATTCAAGACAATTTCCTTTAGACATTTTAACACAACATGCTTTAGTTGAGTGTTCATGAGACAGATGTCTCTGAGAGACTCTGCATAGGAACCAACAGATGAAACATAATGCCATATAATCTTCTCACTCAATACTAAAACCATATATTTGTGAATTAGAATGCTTGTTTTCAATACTACTCGCATACTAGTTCTACTGCATGTTAGTAATTGCTTCACACCACACATTCTGTAATTTATTAAAAAATACTGTGAGTTGATTGAAATTAATATTGTAAAAGCATGTTAAAGCCTGGAAACTTGACACTCCCAAACAAACAAGAGGTTTGCAGTGTTTTCAACAAACCAAGGTGGGATGGTACTGCTAGTCTTTAAAGGAGTGTCACTGGCAGCAACACATGCTCATCTAGACATCACCCCTGATTTCAGAACACCCTGTATCTCTGGCTACCTGGCCTCAGAACTCCCTGTAGCTCTGGCTACCTGGCCTCAGAACCAGAACACCCTGTATCTTTTGCTACCTGACACTAGAACACCCTGTAGCTCTGGTTACCATGGTTACTCGGTCACCCGGTTACCTGGTTTCCATGCCAGACATAGGTACTTACTGTAAGTCAGTGTGACCTGTGTCTTTTTCCACATAGTAAAGTACTATGTGGCCACTTTACTACTGCAACAACCACGAAAATCAACCCCAATCATTAAGTCTCTTTGTATATTGAGGATAAGTGAATGAAAATATATAATATTAAAATATTATTGATAACTGGCCTGGCCTAATCAAGGGCATTAATCCAGGATCTAAAAGTACTTAAATTAGGCAAGGCACTTGTAAATTGACGAGGCAAATCTAAGCTAGATGGAATATAATTACTACTGTTAATAGCCTATGGGGCTTGGGGTGAATAGAAATAATTGTTAACCTCAACATGAGAGAAGTAATAGTTCCAGAAGTACTTTAGTAGCTGACACAGGGGTGATATCTCAGACCTAAACACACACTCATAAAACATAATGTTGCTTCATATAGCTTCAACATGGACGTCAAATAGCTCAGCAAAAAAAGGTATCAAGTGGCAAATACACTCCAATCATTTAAGCTGCATTTAGAAACACTGTTCAAAAATGAAATGCCATGTTCATCTACTGTCTACCCTCTAAGGAGTTTTAAACTACATGTATCTTTCTGTTTTTCTACTGCCACACATAAGGGTAAATGGATTAATAAATGACTAGTGCAGTTGAAGAAATATTTTCAAATATCAATCTGTTGGTTCCCTTTTAATTCACAGTATTTTGTCATATCTGGTATTGGTTTCACAGGTGGTCATTAGCACCATAATAAAGCATTCACTTGTTTGTATAGAGACATACATATGTCTCTGCTTTATACAGCCTGTGTGCTTCTTTGGTAATGTTAAATCTGCTCATTGTTGTTACATCCAGGGTCGTCAACATGTGACTTAATATCAACCTTAGTTCATCTAAGGTGACTTATACCTGGGCAGTAATGTTAATTGATTTCTGGCTCTTGTTTTTAGTTTTTGGTTTGTGTTTGAGAGAGGTGTGAGGCCTGTGGGTACCATTGCTTGCCTGCTGTTGATTGACTCTAGCCTGGAAGACATAATGGAAATAGTAAGCATAAATCCTGACATGTCATAAGTAATGGTGATTACGGTTGTCTAATCTACTATCTTAGATATTCCCAATATGGCAACTTATACAACCCCCAAAGTGATGTAAATTGCTTAGGTTAAGTAACTGAGTGTTTTTTGAATGACTGTTTATAGCATATACTGTACTTACTTGGTGTTTCCTAGAAGTGGCCACCTCTTCCATGAAACTTGCAGGTACAAGGCCTCTTACACCATTAGCCTGGAGAATATTGCAAATACATTATTGGGAATTGTAAATAAAAATCAAATACGGTAAAATCTGTGTATGTGGAACACCTTTGATACTTGTGAAAAGTGTTCCACGTGGGAGATGTTCCACTTACAGATGCAATGCTTTTATGTGAAGATTCGGACATTTCTGCAGCTTAAACATCTCTCAACAATATTTCTTATTTTTAAGATGTAAAGGCATTTGGTTGACAACAATTAAACCGTTGACACCCTGCTTTGACAGATTGTTTCATTAGCATCCCCAGACAATACCTTACCTAGAATCAATAAATGGTAGGTTATTGACAAGGAACAATAGAGCATTAATGAGAACATGAGTGAAAGTTAACACAAAGAATACAATGCTGTACAGAAGGTCACTCAATTGTTAATAACTTCAAGTCTCGTAATTTTACAATAATAACATTGTAAAAAACAAATGAATCTCACATCACAACCATTCCGAGAAAGTTCTACTTTAGAAGAAAACAATTCCTAGTAACAACAAGTCCCAGTATGGAATGAGAACAAGTCCTGTAACAGAAGAACAACAAGTTCCAGTCTAGAAGAACAACAACAATTTGTTCATCATGAAGAGAAAAGGGAAATGAAAAGATACATTATTAAAGAGAGAATCAGATATAGCAAGCAGGCTAAACAAAAAATTGTTTCAATTTTAGAATATTTTTGGCTCATGTCATTCCTTGTCATGTCTATTTTCTAAAAATCACAAAAGTGCATACTTTATTCCAGGAAAACTAAAGATTTTTACAATAATGTATTATTTTTCTATAAGAATGGTTACCATTCTTATCATTTGGGAGAATTTTTTTCACTCATTTTTGCACTTTGGATCATTAATAACTTCACCAATTTATAACATATTGTGAATCTTTTGGGAGATATTGTATTTAATATTGTAAGGAATAGATTGGTAGGTCAATTAAAACACGTTGCTTGTAATTTTGTCACCCCTATAGATCAGATTCTGCCTTTAAGCAATGATATATTAATAACTTAGTTTTAGTTTATCATTATTGGCTATATCCTCTAAGTGTCTCATTTGAGATGATCTAAACAATACACTGTAGACCAGTAAATCATTTGCAACATCTTTATAACTTTTATGTTATGTTTAATGTCATAATATTCATAAGCTGATATTTACCATGAATATTCCAGTGATTAATAGTGTATCATTGGTAGATTTGCAATTTAAAAAACACTGCAAGCTATTCAGATATTAGCATTAAAGAATATGCCATATCCTTATGAAAAAGTACAAGAACAATATTGCAACACTTAAAAATAGATCTTCGTGTAATTATCTTAATCTTTGGTTATATGTGAATGTGGTTCATTTATATAAAAAATTAATTTTATTAAAAAGTATATCATATGTCATATGTCATTAGGCCATGTCAGGTTTTTTGAATCAAGACGTGTTTTTCCTGTATGATATACACATTTACCAAATTAGATACTAAATATACACCATCGACCCATTTAAAAGCCTGATCTACAATGTACACATATATATTGCATTAAAAATCATGTACAGTACCTCTCCATGGTAAAATCCATCAGATCTGATTGGACCATTTGTTCTGATGATATCTCCTGTAGAAATCCTTAGTTCGGCATTTGGGTTTTGGTTGGGAGAATGTACAGAGGGCTCATAGTCATATACTGCTACAAACTGAAATGTACAGAGGGCTCATAGTCATATACTGCTACAAATTGAAATGTATAGAGGGCCCATAGTTATATACTGCTACAAACTGAAATGTACAGTGGGTACATAGTCATATACTGCTACAAACTGAAATGTACAGAGGGCTCATAGTCATATACTGCTACAAATTGAAATGTACAGAGGGCCCATAGTTATATACTGCTGCAAACTGAAATGTACAGAGGGTTCATAGTCATATACTACTACAAATTGAAATGTACAGAGGGCCCTAGCCTTGCCTAAGTCGGTATTTTTTTACTTATCTGATCTTGAATTATTACCGCCTTGTACAATCAATACACCTGCGCTGATATTATGCAGAGTTATTCAACGGTTTCGAGATTTCCATAATACCTACGCTATCAGTGGTGTCGCGAAACCTTATTGATTAATAGATATACGCGTGGACACGACGTGTGACTTCAGGCTGACTGACCAATCAAAACGTTATCAGGTTGGCCTGCATAAGCAAAGCAATCTTCCCGATTTGAAATTCAATGATCTGATCGATCGTTTCTTTAGAGTTACAATATATTATGTAATTAAATGTACATAGGGAATGTAAGAGTCATTAATATAAATTAAATCATGCAGTAGATTTAAAACTGATTTCGCGATGAAAATGCAAGACCTAGTCCAATGTAGCGGGTCATGTAGTCGATCAGTGATTGAATCTCAGCCTACATGTTCATTTGAATTCAGCGATCGTTTCAACGTTTATTGTTGAAATCTTCTCACCTCCGGTTACCGATCGATGCTCCGGCATCCACTAAACTCTGATTGATATTTATCTGATAAAATATTTGTATTTTCATGATGAATTCATGCAAGATTTGTTCGTGAAAAGTCCCGGCGAAAAGTAAAAAGAGTACTTGTTTTTGACCGTGCATAATAATGAGCTAACGCTGCAGGGCCGTCGTTGATTGGTCAAATTTTACCGACATAAACATTGAGTCGGTAAAGCACGTGGCTTTCTCTTTGGTACAAGGCGGTCATAATAGAAATCAAGATAGTAAAAGAGACCGACTTGGGCAAGGCTAAGAGGGCCCATAGTCATATACTGCTACAAATTGAAATGTACAGAGGGCCCATTGTCATATACTGCTACAATTGAAATGTACAGAGGGCTCATAGTCATATACGGCTACAAACTGAAATGTGCAGAGGATTCATAGTCATATACTGCTACAAACCGAAATGTACAGAGGGCTCATAAATTCATTGTCATAAACATGAAAATGTACATAGGGTTCATATCTGTATACTTCTACAAACTGAAATTTACCCATGGCTGGTAATCAAATACTAGAGTACTGCTACAAACTGAAATGTACATAGGTCATATACTGTTAAAACTGGAAACCATTTACGTCAAGACCATTACTGAACAGTTCGATTATAAATAGGGACTCAATTTTACATTTTTATAACTAGGCAACTTTTAAGCCTTTCAAAAACTCTTTATTCACGTTTATTTCATACATTATAGGTACATGCACATTATAAGTACATGCTAAAAACACAAGAATCTTACCACTCTATTCTCCCTGGTTTCATTATGACTAGAAATGGAGGAAATGTCGGAGTCCTGTCTGTCCGAGTGTCGACTACTTGTAATAGATGGTTCTGGTAAGACATCTTCGAACAATGTGTAAACCATCTGCGAGACTCCAGCTTAAAAAGAATAGCAAGCTAGGTCAGAAAACTCCCCTAGGTCTTTGGACTGTAACAAGCATTACGTAAATCATAAATGAATTAAACTTAATTGCTCTATGATTTTTCCAATGATGCATACCTTCCGCAGTGGTTTGTATGGCAAGTGTATGTGGTCTTGTTAAGTCCTGCTTCTCCAGTAATGCTCTACTTAGGTGTGGGTTTGTCACCCTTTGCTTCAACTGGCCATCCATATAGATGTTGTATCCAGTCACAACAGTCCCATTATTCTGGGTAAGACAGTCCAATAGAGGGCACTGCCAACTGAGAAGGAGACTGCGATCGGGGAGGATTCGTTGGATCTGAAACCTTGATGGGCTCATTGGTTGACCTTGTACACCTGGAAGGACATTCAATGGTAGGATCATATTATTTCTTTTACCTTTAAAGCATATCTGGAGTACGCTGTAACATTTGTATTCCTTCTCCAATATTTATATGTTTAGTGTATATGGTAGTGTGTGATGAAGCAATGTACTAACATGTTCTTCAGCTTTTATAGTCTTTTGACTTACACAGCATATATATCATTACATGTACTGTATAGTCTAATACCTTGCTACAGTCATTCCTTTAGAAATGTTAAGCATGTTAATTCCTCATAAGGGTGGATTTGATGAAGTTCTGAAGTAAGTTTACAACTGAACATATGAACACTTTCTGAGTCATGAAAATATTTTTAATCTTTGCATAGGGCCTTTAAACAAATCAACCTACCATTACTGAGTTGACCACTAGGAGCTGACTTATATTTGGCACGATTATTGTTGTTATTATTTTCAGGTAGACCATTTACTCTGCCATTGGCAAGCTGACTGGGAGTCATATGTGACTGAGGAGGACGCTGAGTGGCAGGCCTGCTTCTGCCTGCAGGGGGAGCACTGGTTGCTTGCTGGTGAGAGGTCTGGGGTATGCTACCCACATGCGGTGTACCTAGAAACCATTTACATGCAATAAGTACAAAGCTACAATAATATTCATTCAAGTAATCAGATGCCTTAGGTTATCAGGTATTACTTTATTGTTTGACATTTAAAAGATTATTTCAATAATATCCAGGATTTCCTCTGATGATATAATTACATCCGGCAGGCATAAAGTTCACTAGTCACATTGGGGTGGAATGACATTGTAAAAAGCTCTCAGCACAGTGTCAGATAATTGTTATTATTCTTTATGTAAAAGGTGGTTTTTATAGGATTTCCTCTGATATTGTAATTGACATTGTAACATGCTCTCAGCCCAGTTGTCATATAATGGTTATTATTCTTTGATGTAAGAGATGGTTCTTATAGGATTTCCTCTGATATTACATTCATACATATAACAGATTAAATGTATAGTACCAGTTCCGTGAATTTTTACATCAGCTATTACAAATAATTACATTTGAAGGGATTCTCAGCTAAAGCATTTTGGGACATTTGGGGAAATGGAACTTCATGGTTGAAGCAAGCTTTCACTCTGGCTTTCAAGAGAGCAGTTGTGAACATTTTGAAAACTTTGTACAATGTAAAACGATGCATTAACATGCAAAATGTCACCACCTGCCATTTGTTACAGATGTAGACAAAACACCAACCACCAAACATCATCCACAAGAAAGTTGGGGAGACGTATATCAATATGTCATCACTTCTGGTAGTGACATAATAAAACTGCATTTTTGTGCTAAGCATTTAACTAATTGACCTTCACCGAGCTATTTTCGACTTATCTCATGAAAAACATTTCCATTTCATAATGAGCTAAAAATATGGATACAGATTTATGTTTTTGGGAATTCTGTATCCTAATATATTGGGGCACATATTTAATGTAAGGTACTTGTCTAAGCCATGTTCTCTTTGTACAGTATTAACACACAGTCCCCAAGAAAACAGGGTCAATTGTAAATCAAACATAAAAATAAATGAAGAGTCCCACTCCAAGGAGTTTCCTTTGGGTTATGTGTTTTACTGAATACTGAACAAAGACATCGACCAATATGCTGATATTTAGGGATGGTTGCTTGGTGCAGTAGCATGTTTGCAGCAAAAAGAGGGGATACCCCAGGATTTATAGAGGAACCTCTCTCTATGTGTTTTGTGCTATGGGTATCCCTTCTCTCTTTGCAGCACATACAATACCTGCATACTGCCAAATACTGAGGAAATCTTCATAAAATTCCATGGCATCTAAGAAATTCATAAATATGTTTGAGTACAACTATAACATGCACTGATAGAATAAAATAGAAATAAAAAAAATGCTACAAAAGACAATGACCCAAAACCACATAAAAAAGTTGGGTAATTTATTTTAATGTGGCAACTGTCACATTATTAGCAATGGGTGGAACAAAACATGAATTGACTGATAAGTGGTCAAAAGCAAAAATGAAACTACATATAATTTCTTAAAGATTTTATAACAAAACGGATGTGAATAAAGATTATTTTTTGTGACACATTCACAAATAATTAAAGTAATAAATAAATCAACAAAGGAAAGACTGTTAGTGAGAATATTATGCAATTAAAACTTCCCATGGGTAGCTTCCTGTGGACATTAAATATTACCCTGGAATGATACAGTTATTAAATGGTCAATAGCTGTAATCATCATTCTAAGTTACCAATAATGTTTCATCACAACCCATAATATTTCATTACAACCCATATCATTTCATAACAACCCATAATATTTCATCAAAACCCATAACATTTCATCAAAACCCATAATATTTCAGCAAAACCCATAACATTTCATAACAACCCATAATATTTCATCACAACCTATAATATTTCATCAAAACCCATAATATTTCATCACAACCCGTAATATTTCATTACAACCCATAATATTTCAGCAAAACCCATAATATTTCATCAAAACCCATAACATTTCATTACAACCCATAATATTTCATCACAACCCATAATATTTCATCAAAACCCATAATATTTCATCACAACCCATAATATTTCATCACAACCCGTAATATTTCATTACAACCCATAATATTCCATCACAACCCATAATATTTCATCAAAACCCATAATATTCCATCACAATTAACCCATAATATTTCATCACAACCCATAATATTTCATCAAAACCCATAATGTTTCATTACAACCCATAAGCTGAACAAAAACAACAACACTCATTTCTGAAATATATCAAAGCTTTAAAACAATCCTCACCTCGAAAGTAATACAAGTTCCAAATAGAACTACTAGCACTCTTTTAAAAGGCAATTGATTCATTTTCCAAATGAACAATTTTTTCAAGCTTCAAAATTTACAGAAAATTACAGCTTTAGCATCTTTTTGTCTTAACAAATGAATCCATGTGTTTCCACCTGAATACAAAATATTCTCACTAACATTTTTTACTTAATTATTATTCCCTAATGACTGGCATACCTTGTAGCGAAACATTCAGTGGGTGGTTACTGGGACCACGTGTTAAACGATGTGAGAATGCAGGATGGGATAGCATGCCCATATTTGGAGAGGTCCTGCCCGGGGGACCATCGGCAAGATGTGGAGAAGTAGGTGATAAGTAACCAACTAAAACAGTGAATGCAAACCAAATGGTTGAATAATGCAACAGGGGTTGTATTAGTGACAGGTAGCAGGTGAAGTTTTTTTTATACCAACTACTTATTTTGAGCAATTCTTAAACTGTTTCCATGTTAATATTATAATTTCCAATTATTTTGGGTGGTGTTTTCATTCTTTCAATCGTTATGCCTGTCATAAACTCTAATAAAACCCCTGTTTCTCACTCAAAATACAATTTGGTTAGTAATAATACAGATAAACACATTCTGCAAGTCAGTGAAACAAAGAAATTACATTCAAATTCAGAACAATTAAAACTCTGCACTCAAACTAAATGTACTTAATCCCAGGCTGAGTATATACTATTTAACTAATGCTCCTAAATATACTAAATAAATAAATAAAACCAAACAAGATAGCATATACCAGTAAGTAACACACAAAGACATCACTTCATGAAAACTGAATAGAAACATGAAACACATTATTTTGAAATGAAAGCATGATCACTGAATGTCCACTAACCTGGAGTATTACTAGTATGTGAAGGAACTGGCTGTCTAACTGATCCATTGAGGGGTGTGGCAAACTGCCTATCTTGAGTATTTGACGTAAACCGTCTCTCTGAAGTAGTAAATGGGGTTGTGAGCCGCTGCATTTGAGCTTGCATATTGAGCACCTCTTCTGGGCAAAGAGAGCTAGTTCCAGGGGGTGGCACCAGGTGTCTCTCACGGTTGGCCCTAACTGGTACAGTAGGTGTGGAGTTGTCCGCAAGGATGTAATTAGCAGGAACGAGACCGACACTCCCCTCTACCTCAGCCTCGTAGAAGCCTTGGCTGTCAACTGGGCCTAATACAGTCACTTTCTGACCCTCCTTAAGGGGTAGTTCTAACCTTGGATGGTGACTGTGTGCATACAGGTCAGGTTTGTAGTCAGCAATAGCAATGAATGCACCACCAGTGCTTGACACATTCACATCAGCTTTACGTGGGTTATGTCTGTCTGTGTGTCTAGGACGTGTGCCATGATGACCAGGTTTGCGATTGTTCAGCAGAGATGAAGGTGCCGAACTGATTTGAGAGATGGTATCATGTCTGGCTCTCTGAGTATGTTCTTCTGTGTCTGTCTGGGTCTCACTGATGGATGACTCAGCAGATTCAGATCTAGCATTATGTCTAGCACTTGGCCTAGAATGTCTAGCACTTGGTTTGCTAGACCTCCTGCTATCAGGGCTGATACTAATACTGGAACTGTCAAATGACTCCTAAACAAACAAAACATTTCTTTTTAACAACTTATTCTTTTTAACTGTAAACATACATACCAGAATCTAAATGACAAATATGAATTTTCTTCTTTAAAAACTGAGAGACAAATTGGCAATTGGCATTTCCGAATAATACTATGGTTCTTCTTTATTGCTTTAATCCCACAAAATACATCAATTTCTTAATTTGTTTTACTAGGAATACATGTTTTAAATATGTTGTTACATAAAATGAAATGGCTTATCCAAGGTATTTCGTAAACTGTTTTAAAATTATCCAAATTTTGCTAGCTCTGAGTTGAAGTTAGTGACAATATGATATACCTGTTGTTGATGGGTTAATATGTCAAGTGGTTGTGAAGCTGGCTTCATCTGTCTTTCTCTTTCAGCTGCCTTCATCTTATCAAGCTCAGTTTGCTAAAAAGAAACAAGGCATTAACATAACAAAACATCACCACCAGTGATTGGAAGTTACAAGAATTTGTTACAGATGCTGAAGTCTGAATGCAGACTGCCCAACACCATCCACAAAAAAGTTGGAGACTTTAACAATATGTCACTACTTCTGGTGGTGACACAAAAATGGATTTATATTTAGGGATATTGATATATTCGTAATGATTCATAAGATGAGTATTAGTCATATAACTGTTTTTTGTGATTTGTTTTTCAAATACTGAACTATTTGAAATTATGATTTTTGTTTTCATATTGATTTGCTTTAAACTGAATATTGAATAATCAGATGTAAAGACTTGGAATCTTAAAGATTTTCATAATCCTGAAAATAGTTGAAAATACTGAAAATAGTTCATTTACCATTTGATTGATTCTGTCAAGACCATTTACAGCAGGTTCACTCTACAACAATTGAACATGTTACATGCAAAATTCACACATAAAGAACATGTTACATGAAATTCACACAGAAAGACTAGTGAGAGACAAACAACATGATACCTGTAAGTATTTGGAGATGGTGTCCAAATGTCAACAGTTTTCAGATAAGGATTTTGATTTCATTAGTGGAGGGGTAATTTCAACAACTTCATTGGTGAGAATTCATGCTTTTTGAAGAACAGTAAATCAGGATTCATTTATATGGATGGAGGGAAATAACCAATTTTATTTTTCTTCAACCATCATCATTAGGACACCATACCTTATAAAGGACATTACTATGATTTGAAAGCTAAAAAGACAGAATGAAGCCACTGTGTCAAGGAACAGGATTAGGCCAATTTCTATTAATTATTTTGATTAATTATTGCTTTTGACTCAGTGTTTACTGTTTCAGTTGCCTCACGTCAAGCTATGTTCATGTTTACGGGCCCACAATATAAACAATTTTTAGGCAGCTTCAACATGAAACTATCATTTTTGGTACGTGGTAACAGTTTTCTTATGACATTAAAACATAATAACCCCTAACCATGGGGTTTACAAAAATATTTAGAGTATCATAAAGTTTGTTCTCTGTCCTAAGTTTAACAACAATCATACACTAATGCTTAAACACATGTTACAAAATCAATTCAATTAAATGCAATATTTGATGTAAGCAATCCAGGTAAAAATTTACCTTACACACATAGTCATAGTATGTGACTTTTCAAATCTACTTGGTAGCAATACAAATACATGCACATCAAACTATTATCTCAAGAAAACTCACGTGCCAAGCAAAATATCACATAACATGCATTTTTAATATTGTTCACCACACAAGTGTCAATGTACCTTTTCCTTTAGTATTTTCTCTGCTCTTGTCAATCTTTCTTCAATATCTTTGCGTTCTGATTCAAGATTATCCATGTCTTTGATATCTTTCCTGAGGTTGGAGACATCTCGACTAAGTTTCTCTTTCTCATCTCTCCAAGCAGAACATTTAGCATGTTCCCTTTCCAGGTCATTATACTGGAAATAACAACATACATGCACTGGAGACATTTCTACAGAGTTTCTCTCACCTCAGATTACATACTGAAAACTAAGACCTATTCAATGAGAAAAAGCACACATTTTACAATATTTAGCACAATAGCCAAAATATGAATATAATCATGCTTGGGTTACTTACTCGCTGTTGTAGGGCATTGTGTGAGTCCTGGAGAGCTTGGTACTTGGTTTGGAGGTCATTGTACTGCTTCAGTACACTATCAGACTGTCTAGATTTTTCAAGAGATTCCCGGAGTTCTGTATTCAAATTCTTGCATTCATTTCCCTACAATATATATAACATTATGCATGAATTACAAAAAGTGGAATGGATAACTAACTGAAACCTGAAATACCTAAAACCATGTTGCAAAGTGTTGACCACAGATATGAATAACCAATAGAAGGTCTCACCTTGGCAATGAGCTCCCTTTCTTTCTTCTCAAGTAGGTTTTTGTAGAATCCTATGTGGTCATCTACAGCTTTTTTATCAGCTTTTTTCTCTTGTGCAAGATCATTAAACACCTGGCTAATGTCATTGCCATACGGTTTATCATTTGTGGTCCTCATAGATGAATAAGATCCTATATCAGATTCAAGTCTCATTTTACTCAACTCCTCTTGCTTCTCAATGAGATCATTCTCGAGTTTTTTGCATTTTTTCTGGAGTTGCTGAACAGTGCTGGCTAATCGTTCGTTGTCATGTTGCAGTTCTTGGAGTTGTGCATTTAGTGTTGTATTATCCCCGCTTGCCTTAAGTTTACGCTCAAGAACCATCTGAGTGGTACGCAGTTGTTCAACTTCCTTGTCTTTCACCTAGAAATTAGATTGGACTTTGTCAGAATTGTTCACAGAAAATATAGTTATTACAAGATTTAGATGATGAAAACAGTGTTCCAATCAAGTAAATGTGAATGGCGCTTTTTCAGTACCCAAGTTGACTGAATTTACCTCAAGCCCATTACAAGTGTTTAAATAATTAATGGTAAAGTAAAAATGACAGTTTGATTACTAATAACTTTGTAACAAAATATGTGCAATTACTAAAACATTTCCTAAGCTAAATAGCCCCAAGGAACTACGGCCTATCCTTTGTCTATATCAGTGTCAATTTTAATTTGAACAGAGTCAAAATGAGGTCAGCAAAGTGTTGACAAGGTACACTTCAGTGTTTGGTAATGACACAAAACTGATGCGATTTCCCCCCCCCACTTCATGTTTCATTTTGTCAAGGATTTCTGCAATTTTAAACTCCCTGTTAGCATGTTTTTTCATCAGTGGTATGATGTCATTTTAATTATTGATGCCAAACATACTTTAAACTAGAGCAAGAGTAAGATGTTGATTTGTATTGTATTGTATTGTATTAAATACATGTAAGAAATTACTGTTGAATAAAAAAAATAAAAAATAAATAAATAAAAATATGCAATTACCTTCAGTTGCCTTTCTACTTGTGTTAACTTCTCCTTGACACTGAGATTGTTGGTTATCTCATCATGTACACTGTCACCATCTGGTGTATGCCTACGTGACCAGGGCCTTCTGACGGGTGACCTATCCTTGCTTGTTCCAGTCACAATATGTTGTTTCACACTCTCTGAAATGTACACACGTAGTTAAAAGAAATTGCAATAACTTAAACGCTGTACAGTGAAACCTGCAAAGTGGAACACCTCTATAAGTCGAACACCTCTGTTAGTGGAACACTTTTCAGAGTCCCAAGACCAACTGACTAAATCTTAAATGAACCTCATAAAGTGGAACACCTCCAAAGTGGAACACTTTTTAGAGGTACCAAAAGTGTTCCACTTAAACAGATTTAATGTATTTAAAAATTCAAAGTTCTATTATTCTAGTCAAGTTTTAGTTTAGCTTTCTATATACATTGGTTTGTCTAATATATGTAATTTTTATGACATCAGAAAGTCAATTAAGTACAAATGCATGTATAATTAATTTCTCAGCCAAAACAACATTTCACTGTGACTATCTCACAACCAATACAGAGGTATTACTGTATCACATGGCATCTAATAAGCAGTTCCAATATGCTCACCCCTGTAGTCTCTTGGTGGACTATCCATCTCCAGATCTGAGGCTTCATCAGCACTCTGTGCACCTTGTTGCACACTGGGCAGGTAGTATGACGAGTCATCGGGTCTGGTGGATAGACCCATACCTCCACTAGGGGGAGGCATAGACATGGGGAGAGGGGGAGGAGGCACGGAGGATGCAATACTGGAAGCGTCATCATCGACCCTTTCTGGAAGGTCATCATCCTTTACCAGGTCTATAAACAAAAGGACATCATTTTTATCTCATCTTTCTGTTTATTCTTTCAAGATAATAATATTTACCAATATCCATAAATCCATAATCATATATACATTAACACATTTTTGGTGACGTCTTTCAGCAATTAATAAGCACGAGGCAATTATCATTTTTTGAAATAACATAGACAACTTTAATAACAACATGTTTATTTTGATCAAAGATATGTCTAAACTACAGTTTTAACATTCTGAGAATATCGGTAGGAAAAGTACACATGCCAGTTGTCAAATAACACTAAACAGAAGATATAAAACAAAAAATGAATAAATAAAAATACACAAAATTAAAGACTAATTTCAGCATGGGCATTCAATAGATTGAAAGCCCATGATTTCAGTGATTTACAAAAAATAAATAAAAATGAAAAGTAAAAGACAACACCTCCACCCTACCTGGCCTACTATGTAGCTTCTCAACCTTTTCCCACATTGAATGACTCAACAAATTGCTGAGCTTATTGGGTAGCTTGGACTCAATAGATTTCCAAAACTTTTCTTCTTGTGGATGTGGCTTGTAAAGCTTCTTAGGGAGCTTACTCAAGTTCTCAGGTGTTGGGTGATGCTGTGAAATATAACAAAGCGATGTGAATACATGCCCACTTTTTTAACATAAAGAACTGAAATTAATTTCTCCAAATATCGTAAAGTTATTGATCGCCATATCTTTTGTTCTTTGCAAGATTTACAGATTGCGCTTGATGAGATCTGTAACTTTACAATGTTTAGAGAAATAGAGCCCTAGTTGGTGTATACATATACCATCCATAGAACAGGATAGCATTTCTACTCATTCAATGGGGATCTAAAAAGAACATCAATGAAGTCTCAGATTAGACTGACAAGAAGGGCTTATCAAGAAAGGACATGGCGATATATGACCTTTGTTCCCAGTGAAATAACAAGAGCAGGGAGAAAATTGTCCCCATTCCTAGTGAAATAACTGAAAGAACTGTCCCTCATTCACAGTGATTACAGCCAAAGTGATTCCACATGCTCAACACCTTCATAAAATAAAAGTCATCTACATTACATAATTCTCCAATGATACATGTTAATAAGGCCACTGAAAGTTAATATAATGTTCAATGGTATAAGGCCATACAAAGTTAATATTATGTTTAATGTCATTCTGATGATATGTTGAGAAGAGTTAACCATATATTTGACTCTGAATGGCCTTAACTTGTCATACCAGGGTAACATATGCGATTTAAACATCGAGGCAACACAAAATAATAGTTTGTTTTGCTCCACACAGTTTCAAAGACTTAATAGAGAGGCTTCAAATAACATGAGCTCCACATACCTTTATCAATAACAAATTGATGGAATATGACACATTTTCTGGATCAATTTGTTACAGATATGCTCTGTGCCACTCTATATTACCCTTTCTATTCATTCTATAAATGGCAGACATGACGTTTCACAAGTAGAGTATATTACACCTTAGGGGTGACCCAGATAGAGTGCCGTAACTAATTATCTTACTAATACATTAACTTGCAGGAAACATCCATTATTCTTAATGAGACACCATGTCTGGCAGTACAAGAATGTTTAATTAAGAGTTGGTAATGAATTATTGTGTGGCCTCTGACATTTAAAGATCTGGCAGGAAAGCAGCTGTTGGACGTTCACATAAACTTACAATATTCATCCTCCAGTCTCAAACATAACTGAGCCTAGCAATGGCAGCATAATACAACATGTAATATATAAGATAACATCCCTTCCTTATTACAATGGGGGCTTCATATTGTACGTAACCCCACTTTTGGAATATTGGTGCTGAATCTTGTGGCAGTTTTGGTCAAAGGAGATTGTGATTAAACTTGCAAAAAGTGGCAAAGTTTCTGTCTCCATTAAGCTTTGCCATGAAGTAATCCATAAGTTAATGAAAATCTGACTAAGATGCAATGTAATCAATAGTTTTTAATGAATAGGAATTTGTTAATAAAACACTGGCTCTTACCTGTTCAGTTCCATTTGTACTTCCATGTACTTTCTCCCAGACAAACTCTGCAGTCTGGGGTGGGTTGGTGGTAACTCCACTACTAGGAACACTGCAATGGAGAATTTCACAAGTTTATGAGAGTTATTTGATATTACATATTGTAAAACAGATTGTAAATGAAGCTGATGGAAAGTTGTTGTTTGGGAGCGGTTTTACAATGGAATGGTAACATTTTGGGGTCTTTTTTAATGTCTAAGACTTTCTTATGTCAAATATATAGACAGCCAATGTGGGTAGCTATGATTTTGTATACAATTTACTTTTTAACATAACTTGCAAAGATATGCATGCTTGTGCAAGTTTTTTGAATATGAGAAACAATTCCAAACTTTTTAAACAACAAAATGATTGACACTCTGTAAAATATTCATTAAGTAAGATTAATTCATACCTTTTGACCAGATCTTTCATTAGCTGTGCTTTCAAACTCTTCTGCCTTGTGATAGGGTCTGTTGATTCCACTGTCTTTCCATCAGTCTTGCCGATTTGCACTTCATTCGTAGCCTCTGTTTGAGTAGATTTGGCCCGGCAACTTTTCACGGCAATATCTCCACCCTTATCATGAGAGATTTCAACATTAATGAAAATGTCCAGTAAGGTAAAGTGTTCTCCAATCATTAACTTTATATGATATATAATAAGGTGAAATTGTATTGTTTTACCATCCTCTATATAGACCTTAAAATATCAGCAAATCCAACAAAATAAGCATGGAAATTTCTTTTTACGGTCTTCACTTGCTTGGAAATATTAACTGTAGTTGTAAAATGTCTCAAATTCCGATGGTAGAGCTTACAAGCATTTGTGCATGTAAATCTGTGTACAGTCAACTAAATGGTACACTTCCACAATGTAATCCTATTGTATTTAGGAACTAATGTTTGCCAACATTAATTGTTAATCCTTTAAGAAATCAGATCAACTCTTAAACATGCATTATTATAACCAGAAGGTTCCTGCATTCTATTGGTGCTATTTATATCAATATTGATGTGGATAAGCGACAAAATCCAATTCAATTTTTAAAATCTAGTATTCTTAATCCAATTAAATTTTTGAAATCTTGTATTTTTAATCCAATTAATTTTTTGAAATCTTGTATTTTTAATCCAATTAAATTTTTGAGAACTTGTATTTTTAATCCAAACAATCCCCTACATCTCTTAGTATTTAAGATGACATAGATTATAACTTAATCCATAGTTAGTATAAATGGTGATATGTGTAGAAGTATGTTTAGTTAAAGTATTGATTTCATTGAAGCGAGTTTAAATTTTATCACCAATTGCAAACATCTGTTTTCATATTACTATTGTAGCATATTTCACACAGCATATCCGAATTGATTTTTGAATATTAATATATGCATTTCAATGGACTAAGTTAAACTGGCTTATATCAAATATCAGCGTATATTTATGGGCATGAGGTTAAACATCGTAGATAAAGATAACAATAACATTGTAAAAAATCAATTTCAAAAGGTTCAATTATGTGAATGCTAAAGGGCAAATAAATGTTAGAAACATTGTTTGATTTGGTACTAATACTCAAAAATAACCTCATAAGCTATGAAGCCAGCTCGCTTTCCTAAAGTGTTACAGTACTTTTGAAGGTGTTAATCATTTGGATATGGGGAATAATTGTTTTTACATCCTTGTGGCTTGCTCTATTGATTGACATCCCCAAACTTGAACAGTTTTTGCTCAGTCCCAAAAGCACTAAAGAAGTTTTACTAAACAGTATTTGCATGGCATACTCAAATTAAAGATCTATTGTCTGAACTTACCTGCAAATTCTGTTTGAACTGATGTGTTTGTTCTCTCAGTTGCTGGTGACTTGCTTCTAACTGTTGGTACTCCTAAAAATATTCACAACTCTCTCTAAATACATCCTCAGTACATTGCAATAAATTAAATCCATTTCAACAGAACCAAAATAAGAAATCAAAAATCGCTAAGAAAGACATAGCGCTATACATATGATGTAGTGGTACATGTATGAACGATAACGGAGATTTTAAGTTAATTGCAAACTGACAGACTGAAAAGTGTGAACTATTCAATATTTAACCACCTCTAAAACTAAAATAAATATGAGAATATTAACAAGATTTTGTTCATACATTTATAGAATTGTCTTATGTAAATCTACAGGTACAGTAATTTTGCTATTTATAAGATTGGCTCTCATTAAACTCTCATTAATCAAAATGTTGCCAGAGCTGAGGAGAAACATTAGGGGATTATTTAAGAGTAAAATAACTTCCTATCTTGACATATACAGGGTGTCAAATATATACATTCTCTACTTACTAAAAGTATTTGCTATTATACAAACTTTTATCTAGAAAGGTTGAAAATTTTGAAAGGTTTCATTCGATTACTAATCAATAATTAGGCCATTCAGCAAAAATAATAGTTTTAGTAAAATATTTCATGTAACTGTAGCATACAACCTATGCTTTAATTTATAATAAAGCTACTCGTGTGAACATCTCCTTGAGGTCAGCCCTTCAATAGTTACTGGATGAGTCAATATTTAAAAAGCTCTTGTTACACATTTTAGTTAACCGATTCAACATCCAGCATATGAGTTTTTTTATCTCTAAGAAATGGGAAAACTTTTATATTTGACACCCAGTAGATTTAAGGTGAGGTGAAAGTGATAATGAATATCAATAACAACAATCTTTTGTGAAATATTCTTCTATTCCCTGAAAGTGTTCTATAAATGAGTTAAAAGTGAAAATGAAAATATTATGTGAAAGATATGAAAGATGTTACATAATAACTTGAATAATTCCACATTACAGCATATGTGATGTGAATGAAGTGAAGCGTCTCACTAAAAACATAAAATGCCTTATTTCCAAAGAGCAAGTATCACTTATATCTTAACACACTCAACAAGCAAATATTCAAAGAAATGTAAAATTAAAGCAATGACTTTTGAGAAAAGATCCTATATCAACAGAAGCAGAAAATTATACGTTAAGAACACACATGGGACCGATGATGTACTATTCTGATGGTAATTATAGCCTTGACATTTAAGCTTAAAACAAAAATTGGAAACATTATAAAGCTATTATTGTAATTACAAAATAACACAAATTCTACTTAACATCAAGAAACATCTGAAACGATGCTCTAAATAAAGCAATTCTACGTTCTTTATGCATGAGGATCTGACATAATGGACCCATTAAATTGAACTTTCAATTTTTCTTACTACGAGTATGAGTACTCATATTCCCATAAATTCTTTTGTAGTAAATTCTTAATTATAGCCTAGAAAACAGAAATGGTGATAGAAGGCTCGAAAAGACGGAAAAAGACAAAAAGAATATGTGTGTAAAGAATAACAATCCATACATGTTAATCAGTCTATTCTAAATGCATGTGTTAACTAATGTACCTTCTCCACCCCCTCTAAAGCTCTGTGCAGGTCATCATTTTCCTATATTATAGTATAGTAGTGCATGTAGTAGCAAACAACAAACTCTATATCAAACTCTATGCTCCCAAATTCTGGGTTTATTGGATTGATATGTGATAATTACATGTAGTTTTAGTGTTTTTCTTTATTGCCCTTTGTATTTTTTGCTCATTAATAATCTATTAGTTACAAAGACCAACCATATTTTTCAAGTAAGGAAATATTCAGGAGAATTAAAAATGTAATTTCTATACCACCACCCTCTATCGCGATTCACTTCTATACTTTGTATTCCCGATATTCTAAGCATCAAAAAGGTAATAAATTTCTTACTTTTTGACAAATGGAACACAATTAAAAAATTAGAATACAGAAAAACAGTAGTTAGTGACTACATGTATATTAAAATAACATGATGTCTCCGAATTGTGTTGTACAGTATTTCCATTGTCCACATGTTAAATATTTGTGCGCTTATTTCATTATTCAATTATTAACAAGCGTGCGTTTATGTTCAAATTCTGTAGAAGTTAATTAATAAAGAGCACACAGCACAGTGCATAAAATTGCATCTAATATTAATTCATATCAAAATACTGACCTGAACCATATCTCTGTACTTGCTGTCCATTTGTTTCAGCTCTCTCAGCTGACTCTCATGCCCACAAACATCCTATAAGCAATTATAAACATAGGATTTAACTCATAAATTGAAAATTCATCAAAAATATTGTTGCCATGGTACAGTTTTGTTGTGTGTTCTGACTGGGCTATAAAACGGCACATTCCGATTCAAATACCATTCTGTTTGTCTTATTTACAGAACATCAATACAGAATAAATCGATATTTACTCCAATTACCTATAGTGATTTTTAAAAATAAACATTCTTAAAGCAAGTCAAAATCTTGAAACAAGTGATGCTCCAACATCTTATGAAGCCCATTGATGAAGCTATTTATTATGGATTCCTAAAGATGGACACTTGAACAGTGTAACTATCACAGAAAAAAACAATGTTAAAATGTCAAGAGTCCTTATTGTTGATATATAAGAAAGGTATGCAAGACCAGTGCTTTTAAGCCAAATATTTAGGTATTTGAAATTACATGCCATCTTTTGAAAACTACACAAACAAAATATATAGACAAAGTATGAAACATTACTATTGAAAAAGGTATAACCATACATACCTTGCCCTGTCTCAGCTGTCTAACAGTATCTCTCAGTTCTGCTTCAGTCTTCTCAAGGTGACATACATTTTCTTCCACCTCTTCAAGCAGGGAAACCTGGGCTCTCATTTCTGATAACTGCTTCCTTGGGATCACTGCCAAACTCTGGTCCTTGTGGCCAGTCTCGTATTGCCACAGGGACTCCTTCACTGTTTCTAACTGCTTCTCAAGAGTGATGACTCTCTGTTGGGTCTCATCAACTTGTTTATGAAGAGCATCATCATCAGCGTTAGCTCTACTGCCTGATGCCTAGTGAACAAATCATATGTGATATACTTTGCAATTATCCATGATATCAATTAATAATATTTCTCATGATACAATGTTGGGTCTTATCATTTACTTTTTCTATGATATAATCTTTCAAAAGTGATATCAAATAGTCATAGCTCATGTTACTATCTTATCATTTACTTTTTATATGATATAATCTTTCAAAGGCGATATCAAATAGTCATAACTCATGTTGCTGATTTCAGTAACTTTGACACATTACTTTTTGGTTTTGAACATTGCTACTTACTGATAACTGGGATGAGAAAAGAGAGGCCTCTAGTTCTTGGATACGTGTCTTCAGTTTCACTTCATTGTTCTCGAGGAGCTTGATTTTGTCCTGTAACATGGTCTGGGAGATCTCTAGTTCTGTCGCACGTTGCTCACGAGTCACATCTTTCAGATGGAGCTCTTTACCCTGGAAACAAGTATTCGGGATTGTGTGAGAAAGGAAACTTCATCCAAAACACAACAAGGCATTAACATGCTTAATGTCACCACCTGCCATTTTTTTACAAATGCTGAATGCTGATGTTACAGACACTGAACCAACCAACTGCCTAACACTGACCACAAAAGAGTTGGAGACTATATAACAAATTAATATACATATGTCACCACATCTGATGGTGACATAAAAATAACCAAGCTTTTGCTGGGAATAATGAATATGAAAAATATTTGTTTCAGTTAGTTCATATTAAAAGGCAAGGAAGAGAGCAAGTGCTAACACAGTTAGTAACTGGTACTTGCTAGTACTAGCATGCACCATGTGAGTTGAAGCATTTGTGTGATTATACCCCAACGACAAACCCTTCCATGTTGATCAAGTTCCAATTCATGCAATAAGTAAGATATGTGACAGTGCAATAAACTTTGGTATGTAAGCTAGTCGGTATTATATCACTGTTCTGAAAGCATGAGTGTCAGTGCATGTATTTAAAGAACAACATTTAGTAGACAAAGCATTAACATGCAAAATGTCACCAGCAGGCGTTCGTTACAGACACCAAACACTGACTGCTGAACACCAAATGCCAAACACCATCCCAAAAATTGGAGATTGTAACAATTTGTCACCACTTGCGGCAGTGACATACAAATAAACCTAAATTCCATGAGTTTACCTTCTGTCTAAGTGTATCCTCATTACGCTTCATATCATCAATCTGAGTCTGAAGCAACCTTCTCGCATCTTCCAAGTTCTTAACTTTATCACTGAGCTCCTGGTTGCGCATGCTCAAGTCTGACACCTTTAGTAAAGCAAAACCAGCACCCAGTTTTAGGACATATTTCATATGCATATTACAGGCTGTTCAGGAAGTAAAAACATTGGCATTTTGCTATGGCAACAATAAATTCCACTTGGAGGTTATTGCCGTAATATGTCAGACATCAATTGTAAATTGAAAAATGCATTAAAGAATGACATTGATATGGGAGCAAAGTGGGTTAAATCTACTTCTTGAACATCCTGTAGTAGCACATTTAGTAACATTAAACCCTTGTATCCTTCTTAAAAATGTATATCCACATATTAGTACTTGTAGAATTAATATATCTCCTGAAAGGTTTCCCTGTGTATTAATTTTGGTTAGTATTTGAATAAATAAAAAATATATATGTAGTGCAAGAATATCGGAGCCAATTGCCATTTGAGACAGTAAAAACTTCACCAAAAAGGGGCAGTGCATTTGTAAAGCATATATTTATGAATAGTAATAATAATTTATTTATTAATATCTAATCAACTTAAAACCACGCCAGTTAGTCTTCAACTATATACCTTTACATTGATAATTGATTCATAAGCCTGTTTCACTTACTTCAAACTTGTAGCTGGCCTTTTCTTCCTCAAGTTTGTGTGCCTTCTCGTGTAACTGATCATTAAGTGTTTCAAGCTGCTTGGCTCTCCTGGTTGAGTGATCACTGGTGTTTTCTAGCTCTGTGATCTGTTGCTTGTACTGGTTTTCTTTCTTCTCCTGGACCTTCATCTGGCCTCTCAAGCTGCTCTCATTGCTTGCTAGGTCATCAGAACTTCTCTCAAGATTATCAATCTTGATCTAAATTAAATGAAAAAATACGAATGTTTTTACGATCAAAATCAATGTTTGCTCATCTTATTCAAACTGCATTGACAAATTTGTGTATATGTTGTTGATGTTCCTACTACTGGGCATTCATACATCACAACTCTCCAACCTACCTGGGTCGACCTCTTGTCCAGTTCCAGAGCATTGATCTGTTTCTTGTATGCAACTTCAGCTGTCTGCATCTCTCCCAATGTGTCTTCTAGTGAAGCCACCTGTCTGGCCAGGCTCTCCTCCTGTACCTTCCCCTGCTGCACCTGTTGCTTCAGCTTCCTCTGTGAGTCTGTCAGTTGGTTCAGCAGTTCCTCCAGGTCCCTTACTTTGTCCTCTAGGCTGTCTATCTGCCTCAACATACTGTCTTCTCTCACCTGAATAATGGTGCATATTTAATTAATTCATCTTTTTTGTGAGAATTCAACTATACAATGGACAATTATGTTAAGATTAAAACATCATCTTTGTATAGTTTACAACAATGATGTATAGTAGTCTACATTTGAGAATGAGCAAAGAATACAAAAATTCAGTATGAAAATGTTTTTCTTGTATTGTCTTGATTCCTTTGTTTGTTCATCATTTAGATCAAATTCACTTATTTCCTTGTAATAATTTTACATTTAGATCCTCAAGGTGTTTATTTTTACCCAAATGTGTTTATTTTTACCCAGAGGTGTTTATTCTTACCTCAAAGTGTTTAATTTGCTCCTGGAGGTTCCTTTCAGACAATGTCAGTTCACGATTGGTCACATTTAGTTCATGTATGACGTTCTTGTCCTTACGTGCAATCTCATGTAGTTCTTCACGATCATGCTCCAGGTCAGACACCTGAAACATTGACAATTATATATACTAAATATTCTCTACTTCTTGAAATAATATTCATGTTATAAGTCAAATAACTTGTTCTGATATTAAGAATATGAGAATGTACTTGTGACAAGCCTTTCTCCAGGACCAATAAGACAAATAAAAATTTAAAAAAAACATATGCTTGTGTGCTCTATACCTGAGTCTTAAGATGTTTTTCCATTGACTCTAGGTCTCTGATCCTCTGTCTGAGGATATCCTCTGGACTGTTCAAGACATCCACACTTGTGTCATCATCGTAGGATTCCAATAATTCCAGTTTGCGCTCTAGGGCTCTGAAAATGTAGAAGAGACCAAAATATGAGGCTATTTTGTATCATTTGCTCGGTATACCTAGTTTGACTGTTTTGAGTATTCCAATGCTATACCCTTGATTCTGCTTCCTCATAAGTCTTCAACAGAGGAACAATTACATTTAACCAGCTCTTGTAATATTTAAGTAATAAAAAATGCAATATAAATTATGTTTATCAATATGGGAGACTAACTTCAGATGACTACAATAAAGTTCTGTAAATAAGAGAAATAATGTAACCTACACTTTTTCTAAAGCTTAGTCCACCAATGGACTACATCAATGAAGAATGAACAAAACAAATGGGCAATAACAATAGCTTACCTGTTAGATGTCTGCAAGTGTTCAACAGTAACAGCAAGCCCCTCAGCATCAAGCTTCCTTAACTTCTCCAACTCAGTGCTTAACTCAACTATGGTTGCCTCATGGTGTTTGATCTTCATCCTCAGTTCATCCTCGCCATCCCTATCATCATACATGAGGGATGAATCCAGGTAGGACCTCACTGGACGACGTGGCTCACTGTTGGCATTAAGGAGAGAATATTCTAGGTCGGATTCATGTTGATTAGCCACAGATAGCTGGCGCTTTAGTTGTTTTTCAGACAATTCTAGCTCGAAGACTCGTTCTTGAAGAGACTTTAGCTTAGATAATGTCTCGCAGTCTTCATTTTGTCCACTATACCGCAACTTGTTTAACACCCTTAAAACATAAACATAACAGTCATTTTGGTTAATATCAACCATAACAGGCCTTTGGATCAATGATTTATGAACAATGGATTTGTAATTATGGCTTAATAAGGTCTATAAGGTCACACTTTACCTCTTCTACCTTCTTACAAAAATAGGAATTCATTTTGTCAACCTGTAATGCTTCAAGGCATTTAATGTCGGAAAATGTACTTATGATCTAGAAATGCGATTTTAGAATATGAGCACTGATCTGATAAGTGTGTTATGGCATCACATACCAGACCCTAGTGGACCACAGACAATAAACTAACTGATCTCAGATCCAAAGATCTCATTCACTCTACCTGGATTCATTCTGCTGTAGAGACTCAATCTGATGTTCCAAGTCTTGAATATAAGCCTTGTTTTGTGAACTTGTAGCTGCACGAGACTCTTCTGGCTGAATCCTAGCTAGTTTGGTCTCTAGGACGAGAACTGTCTGCCTGAGGGATGCCTCTGATTGGATGAGCTCTTGCAATTTGTCAGCATAAGCACGGTCCTGTAGTGGAGAATAACCATATAACTTTTAAGTATGTACCATAAGGGTAGGAGACAAGCAAAAACATGTCTCAACATGAACACTCAGAGAACAACTTAAGCATAAGGAAAATTCCAACTACCCGAAACAATGATTTTATATCTTATATCTTTAGGATTGTCCATTATATGATGCTTTCTTATTCTTTTTTATAATGAATATCTAAGTGAATTATGTGTGCTTTCAAATATAGGGAAAAGTATATGTTGGCACAATACCTTTGTGGGACTTGGTTGTTTCTCTATGAAGATGTCCTCCATTTCCATTCCCAGTTCTACAGCTAAGTTCTCAACAGTACTTCTAAAGGCCACCAAATGCTGCTCTAAGCCATCTATCTTGCGTTTCTGCATGATGACAGACTTCTCCAGCCCCCGTACTTTCATACAGAGCTCCTCCTTTGTTAGCTGATGTAAATCGGCTTTACCATCAACGCTATCATCACTTGAATCAACCCCATAGTTATACTGATTGATCAATGATTCAAGGTTGTTGATCTTTTGGATGTGTTCATTTTCCAATGCTTCAATTTGCTTTAGCTGTCCTTGTAGTTTAGCATTCTCTCTCTCCATTGATGTGTTTTCCTCAGAAGTGGACACTGAGTCAAATGACTGATCCTTTAGCTGTAACAGTTCTTGCTCCTTATGAACAATATCATCCATTTGTTTGTGCATCTCTTTCTGTAGAGAATCACGCTCCTCTTGCAGTGTGGTTATCCTCTGCTGCAGAACATATTCATTCTGATGTAGCTTTGTGATATCATCAATTAGTTCATCTTTCGATTTACCATAAACTCCACCCTCAGCAATCACAAATACAGGCTCAATTTTTATACTGGGAACATTTGATTTTTTCATCTGATTTCTCAATCCCTGGATTTCTAATTCAAGTTCTGATATTTTCTTTTGATAGTCTTTTTCACATTTTCCGAGAGTTTGTATGGTATCAATAAGTTCATCTGATGATTTCATATACAATATTTCTGAGTCTGTTTGTATGACAGGGTGTATTAAACCACCTCCAGGCTCACTGTTTAATGGACTAGACTGTTTAAGCTCACTGTTTTCAGTTTCTAAGGAATGTACACGTTTCAATAACTCTGTTGTTTCTGCTGAATTGGCACTTTCTTGTTGTTGAGCAGCTGACTGTAACACAGAAACCTGTTCTCTTAATTCTGTCTCTGACTTTGTTAGATCTGCAACCTTCTCTTGGAGAGCAACTTCAAAGGAAGTATCAGCATGTTCTGCATCTTCATATTCTTTGATTTTGGCATTCAATGTTTTGATTTCATCCTCATGTGTTGTCTCTGAGAGTTCAAGTCGTGAGGTTAATTCAGTGTTCTTTTCATGAAGAGTATTTATTTGACTAGTTAAAGATTCATTTTCACTCTGAATTGTAACTTTGGCATTTTTGAGGGAATCCTGCAATGAAGCTATTTGAGAGTCTTTTTGTTTGAGTGATTCCTGTAGCTCACTAACAACACTTTGAAGTTCGTTTATCTTATTGCGTAACATGGTTTCAGTAGCATTCTGATCCTCAAGTCTAGAGTTAAGATCATCTTTTACTTTCTCAAGATGGTTTATTTTCTCTGTAAATGCTTTCTTTTCCTCTGTGAGGTTATTGAGGTTGGACCTGAGTTCTGAAATTTCAGCTTGTAAAGTCTCAGTTGCAATCACTTGGTCCTGTAGAGAATTCTCTTGGGATTTCACTTCTTGAAGACTAGCTTTCAAACTTTCTTTTGATTCCTCCAATGTTTCAATTTTAGCATTTAGAATGTGTCTTTCACTTATCGCTACTTTATTAAGAGCCTCAAGTTCTGTGATTTTATCATTCAATTGTTTTTCATTTTCCTCAAGAGTAGATATTCTGTCTGTAGAATATAATTTTATTTCATTCCATTCCTTTTCTTTGTCACTATAAAGCTCCACTTGCTTACTGAGGTGTTCTTCAGAGGTTTTCAATGTCTCAACTTCAGTTGTCAGCTTATCAACTGTACCCTTTTCAGCCTCACTTCTCAGTTGGTCTCTCAAGAATTGTTCGGATATTTCTTTCTCCCTCAGTTTCTCCTGTAAATCTAACTGTTGCTTTGTAGCCTGGTTAAGTTTTTCATTTAGTGTTTCTTCCACTGTTTCATACTGACCAAGTCTTTCGAGAAGTTTTTCCTCTGATTGTATAAGTATGTCAATTTTTTCTAGTGACGCAGTGTCTGGAATTGCGTTTGGAGACTCAGTTGTGGATGAAGGTGAATCACTCATTGGTTTCTGTTGGGCTTCAACTTTGTTCCCTAACTCTATTTCCACACCTTCTAAATATGTGATTCTATCAAACAATTTTGATTCAGAGTCAAGCATAATATTCAACCTTTCTTCTAATTTTTCAGATTTTACTTTTTCACTTTGAAGTTGTTCCTGTAGATCACCATATGCATCTTTCAAATGTTTTAATTCATCACTATTATTTGGCAAGGTATATGTTTCTGTAAGTCCTTTCTTACTAGCACTGTATGTATTTCCATCAATAGAATCATTGGCATTGTTATCTGGTGTAATGTCTGAGTTATTTACATTGGAATCAGCAGTATGTTCGGTGGCAGTAGGTTCGGTGATTGTATTATGTTCATCTCCTTCTTCAGTTTGGCTTAGGTGGGTTTCATACAATTTCCCAAGAAGTTCACCTTCTTTATTTTCTAAAGTTTCAATCTTTTCTTTCAGAGTCGTAATTTCCTGCTGTAGCTCTTCCACTGTAGAATTGTTATCTAGCACCATGTTAGTATCGTTAGGGTTTGATTTTGCACTTTCCAGAGTTTCAACTTTTTCTTTCCAAAACTGAATTTCATCTCTGTATTTTTGTTCCTTAAGTTTGAGGGCATCGTGGCTCTCCTCTAGCATGTCCAACTCCTGAACAAGACTCTGTTCAGTCACTTCTAGTTCATCTATGCGCACCTTGTGACCTTTAGTTAGTGCATCTGGATCTCCCATGCTTTGTTCATACACTTTCAATCTGTTAAGTAAAGTTTGTTCATTTGCTTCCATCTCAGTTACAGTCTCAGAAAGTCTCATATAATTGATTTGAAGCTCATCAAATTTTTCTTGATCTTTTCCTAATGTCATAAACTTCTCCTCTTTGACATCTTCAACCTTATCTTCGAGTCTGTTGTTTTCTAGAATTAAATCATCAACTTTGGTTTTTAATGATTGTTCTGATGCCTCAAGCTGTTTCAGTTTATTTTTCAAGTCTTTTACACCACTACCTGTTTCTAATTCAATGATGTCATTTGTCAAAACAGCAATTTTGGTCTTGAGCTCAACCTCTAGTTGTTCCTTCTCAGCTAGTTGGTCCTCCAGAGTTTTGTTCATATCTTCTAACAAGGCAGTCTTTCCCTGCAACATTTCAATCTTGCTACCATCGATATCTTCAACATTTTTCATTTTCTGTTTCAGCATATGTTCACTGTCCTCAAACTGAACAAGCTTTTCTTTCATGCTATGGTTCTCAACCTGCAGACAGTCTATTGTATTTTTAAGCTCTTCAATATTATACAAGTCTCTCTTGAGGTCATTAAACTGAGCAAGTTGAGCAGTAAGTTTGATCTCAGTGGCTTCATTTTCAGATAACTTCTCATTTGCATACTTCTCAGATAGTTCAAGATTTTTGATTTTCTCCTCAAGTGCCTGTTCAATCAGTTCCTTCTCTTTCAACTGTTCTTTGGTTTCTTTCTCAACTCTAGTGGTTTCCTCATACTGTGCAGTTAAGGTCTCTAATTGTTCCATCTGCGAGCTGAGAGATTGTTTTAGTATGGACTCAGCCTGTTCCAAATCAGCTATACGTTCCTGCAGAGACATCTCAGTAAGACGCTGCTCCTCAAACTTTGTACGCCATATATTGCCGTCAAGTCCTGGAATAGAAAACACATTGAAAAAAGATTGGTATCACCCTCTATGGGTCCTGGTAAATTATAAGTTATCTCAAATACTTAAAATAACCAGTGTGTTCTTGAGTAACAATTTTGAGTCACATCATTGACATATTGCAACATGGTCTAGGCACAGGGATAGTTAAAGTTACAGACCATAACGTTAATGGTGATTGAACGCCATTGCCATTAGTCAAATGGAATTTCCAAAACAGACAAAACATCCAATATTTCTGCCTCTGACGTTTACATTAACCATACCTTCTTGATTTGAGTCCTCCAGCATGGATTTCTCTTCCTTAGTTGGTTTACTATGAGTTGTCTCCACCTGTTGTTTCCATATTGCTTTATTACTTTCCTCTAGTTCCTTAACCTGGTCTCTGAGACCAATGTTCATCTTCTCTAAATCAATCTCTCGCTCCTCATAGACTTGAACCTTCTCCTGTAGATTTGAGAGTTGCTCCTCCAGGTGGAACTTTTGGGCAACAAGGTCACTCTGGGCTTTCTCATGCTCCTCAACTGCAGCCTGTATGTAGGTATGTATAGTTTCATTAATATCATTTTTTCATTTTATTAATTCATCACATCAAACTTGCACTAAGGCTTAGTATTTTATCTCTGATGAGCATGATTTTTTAATTTTACCCTCAATATGATGACTATGTATAATTTCTCTTCCAACTTTAGCTTAGAATCATGAAATATATGTTAAGGCTAGTAAACACTCCACCTATCTGGGATATTAAATAAGGGTAATAAAAATTGGTAGCTTGCAATGGTACTCTTGTCATGTACTTTAGTTGCAATAAAATCTCAGATACTGATGATTTTTCAATATAAAGGGATGAAGCGATTATGTACTGACCGTGAGTCTGACTAGACGTGTTTCAGCATCTGTATCTGTTTGTTGTGTCACATCCTGAAGCTGAGATTTCTCCCACTGTAGAGACAGTACTTTGTCCTGTAGTTCCCCAGCAAGCTGTTCAAGCTGTTGAATACGCTGTAATATGAAAGTATGTTTATTATCCCATGTATGCAACTAAGGACAGTGACAACTCATCTTTTACTTTTAAACATCATATTTAATCCCCCGAAATAAACTGGAAAATGGATGCAACACATCCTGAGAGTGAAAATTTATTCATCAAATGCAAATGCATTTTTGTACAGTATACAACCTTATTTCTCGCTCATTTTTCCTTTTTCTTCACACTCCAGTTGTATTTTGATACAATATGAAACAAAATTTGATATTTTTGTTCATCAAAAAATAAAGTTTTAATGAAATACTTACATTCTCTGATGATTTGATTTTGCTCATCTTCTCGTTGAATAAATCTGCCTCCGTATCTCTACCTTCCAGGTAGCTTGAGCGCTGGCGTTTCAGCTTCTCTATCTCAGACAATAGGTGGTTCTCACTCTTCTGTGTCACATCTAGCTGGTACGTCAAAACAGCTTCACGCTGTTTACTATCAGACACATCCTTCTCGAGTTGTTCTACTTTCTGTGAAAATATAATAAAGAAATAAGAGAAGTTTACAAGGTTTGAGTGTTTTTTCAATTAATCCCCACAATGGGATGGACAGAGCTGATGGACATTGAGCTAAAAGAATAACAGAATGGACTTACCTGAAGTACACTTTACATGTACAGTCAATATTTTCACACATACATATATTGATATGTATGTAAAGATAGTTTTGCCATTATTCAGTGGTAAAGTATATATAGTATCAATGAGTGATTACATGTTAGTTAGCATAGCCACAGTAGTATCAAAATATGTTATGTAGCATTCATGTTGAAGTCCAAATGTAATAATATTGTCACCTGATTTAGGAAAATAATCTTTTTAGACTTAGTTAATATATTTAAAGTAAATAGTTGAAGCTGTGAAATAGTGTTTGACACAACTAAAGCTCTCAAAGTCATCCAGGTTCATCATCATAAAATCTAGACACTCTGTTATGTACAACATCAACTTCCAACCTTTTCTATTTGAGAGGACAATGTTGGAATTTAAAGGGCCTCATTTTCAAAACAAGATTCACCCCTGGATCATACATGAATTAATGACTCATGATGAATATTAAATGCATCACTTTTACCGTGTGAATTTCTTTCCTCCGTTGTTTTGTATAGTAAATATTCAACAATATCAGGCCAATGCAGAGCCACCAAATTTGAGCCAAAATATATGGCCAATAGGTTACATATAAAATTGTGCATAATTTCATAAACTTATTATTGCTGATGTATGGACAGTATATTTTAGCAACTGAGGTTAGACAGTGGGTACATTTTGTTAGATGGCCTATAATGAGAAATTACAGGGTTCTGTTGAATTCCATTGTAATTCATTGCTTAATTGAGAATTCGAATCATGATTACTGTTGTATTTTATAACATACATAAGTGCACTTGGCTGAGTGGTGTTAACTCACATAAAGGGTTGTAACATTGTGCTTGAACATATGTATCAGTGCACAAAAACATTATCAAGAAGAGTTGTCTGGGTCTGTCTATCAATAATAATCCATCACCAACAAAACATACCAACAGGACACACAGTGATAGGTATGATATAGCACTTTGAAAAACAAAAGGGCTGCCATGTAATTTACCCAGCATGCCTAAAACTTTATCAGATCTTGGCACTAGTCTGCTTTTACATTTGTAAAAATTTAAACTTCAACAGATATCCCCATCAGTATAGATGACAGTATTATAAGCACTCTTTCAAAGCCCAACAAAAGTAAATCAGCAACCATGCTGGTAGTAAACAGAAAATACAATGCAGTTGACTCACCAGTTGTGTCTCTCTGAGAGCATTTGTAGCATGTTCATGCTCAAGGACAATATCAGCAGATACCCCAGTTGCAGCAGATAGTAGGTCAGCCTTCTCTCTCTCCAAGTCAGCAACTCTTGTCTTCAGACTCTGCTCCGAAAGATGGAAGTCTCGTAGTTTCTGGAGAAGAACAATTTTAACGTCCATAAATTATGACCTCTAGATTTCCTTTTCATTGAATTATAGTCTAACTCTCATATTCTCATTGTTTGAGTTAATTATGTTTAGTCCCATTAGTCTATTATTGCTAACTTGGAGGACGAGGTCATGATATATTTATTAGTTAGACTCATACCTCCTGCTCTATGAGGTTACGATAGATGAACTATAATATGACTGAACTATAATAAGCTACCAGGAAATCTGCTTTAATAACATTCATAGCAGCCCTTCACACCAGTACATCAAATTCCTCTAATATCAATCAGTTCAGCTTGAGGTCTTAATTTGATAACTCCTTGATAGAGATCTCCCTTGATCAATGGCTTATCACCACCCAGGATAAACCAACAAGAGATCTATTGACAGAAAGCCATGTGTTCTTTCACTTACACCACTGAATTCTTTGATATAACTATGAAGTATGATGCCTGGAGGAAGTTAACCATGGTGTTATCTAAAGGAATGATAACCAACAGGTTGTATCAATAACCACATGTCTAATTTGATGCATGTTGATTGAGAAAATAATATGAAGAAAACAGATAATGCTAATTATTCATGAAATCAATTTATAATTCAAAAAATTCATAGTACTTCTGAATTAACCTACTTGTATTTTATTCATAAATTCAACATTATAGGTATGTACTAAACACAACACAAATATTTATCACTTATCTGACAAATAAAAAATTTGATTAAATCAATTAAAATTCACTCAATGCTACTTAATTCAAAGTCAAACTGACCATTTTCGGCAGCTTTTACACAAACATTATACAAGTCTTACAAAAATACACTAATGAGAATACTGTACAATATATGAGAACACTGCAATGATTTCACTTACCAGGATCACCTTACATGAAATATAATCTATGCTAGATCGAGGTGAAGAGTATAATATTTGTGATATTTTCCTCTATACTTGCCACCTGCTACCAGTACATACACAAAGTACAGTAAAACATGTATATCCGAACACCTCACTAATCGGAACACCACTCAATGTGAACACTTTTTTAATCCTATCTTTCAATCCGCCAAAGACTTCAACGTTAAAATACCTTAAAATGTGAACACCTGCTAATCTGAACACTCTTGGCTTGTCCGAATGGTGTTCGGCTTAAACAGGTTTTACTGTATACATATATGCATGATATAACCTAATGTACCTGTCAGGAGCTAGTAATCATTCCTAATCTAGATATAATTGGGTTAACCTGTTAACATGGGGTCTGTGCCAAGAATGAGCCCTAAAACAATCTGATTTGATAACAACAAGGTGAGATAAATATTTGTGTATTTCTAATGGTTATGATGCCTTTGAGGATTGCCTTCTTTGATGCAGAATACTTGATTTAATTTAAAAGCATAACTGGATTATGAACTCCAGAACGTTAACATTGACACTTATTATCGTAGTTTCTTATGAAGAAAAATTTCAGTAATTTATCAAATGACACGTTGATTGCTGTAAAGTCTGGTAAGTAAATTATAAAGATAATTTTTACACCTCAATTCAGCCTAGCAGAGCTCATAAGTATAATATCATGTTTTACCTGTGCATCCGTAAAACCATCCCACTTGCTAATATGCAGTACTTTCAATCAATTTCCAAATATCAAAGTTTAAATTAAGGTGGGTTAAGTTGAATATTAATGTGGTCTAATGGATTTAAAAATCATGTGAATCAGGATATAAAGTCTCCCATCTAGGCTCACCTTAAATGTTTATTTGAATTACATGAACCCTTTTGAACATAATGTCTGACATCTACTAAAGTATACTTGTAGGCATACCTTAACCTTTCATGTTACTTTTATGTTTTTTGAATAATTAACATACCAGTTTTTTATGCCCATGTACTATATAATGACTGATTTTCTCAGGGGGTATAAGTACACATAAAACTCATAGAAGAGGTCAGTAAATCATCTGTTTATTGGCCCTATACTTAAATAAACTACCCTTTTCAATAACTGACATTACTTCTTAAAAGAGAGCTTCAACTGCGGTCATTTAAGAGAAGACAATTTATTGTTCTAGCTTTAACCAATCAGATTTGGTTGATCAGAATTAAGTTTAAAGCGCTTTTGAGAATCAAAATTATAATGAAATTAAGAGTCAGAGGATAGAAATTATTAAAGGCTTTAGGGTATAGATTGAATTTGAATTGAACATACCTGATACAATTCAATAATACACTCAAAACACTCAAAAATATTGCATTGAACTTATAAGTGTTGACATTATTCTGTTTTTCAGCTATTGAGTCAAAACATATGTGAATAAATCATAGGATTGCCAATTTAAATGCAGAAATGAATACCCCCACCCTAATCACTTTAATCTTAAGTAAACATTAAAATATTTGACAAAAAAAACTGTCCTGACAAACATTAATCCTATCTAATAATGATGTTGTTTTTATGATTATCTCACCCCCCCCCTCCCAATGTTCTCGTGATTCAGTAATATTTTACACCCTTTCATGTTTATTTGAAATTGTTAGATAATATGAAGCACTTACCTCATAAAAGCCAATACATAGTGTATTGTAATAGTATACTATAGTATTCTTTGTAAAGTAATCAATTATGCTACAACAAAATGCTCTCTTACGATGATCTTCATTTAGCCGTTAGCGATCATTAACACTTTTTACAGCTTCAATCAATGCCTGCTATAGTCAATTCTTGAATTTACCTATTGGTAGAGCCTTCCAAATCAAGTCACCTGTCATTTTATCCAATTCTATCTATTCTAAATTGATATGATCTTGAACTTTTTTCAACATTTTATGTTTCTATACACTATACAAATGTAGTATCCATATAAGGCATGTCTAAACACTGGCAATAGCTCCTATAACTGATACTATGATATAGTCACTACTGCAAGGTACTACACTGTGCCCTGTACAGTCTATCAAAATTGATTAAGTACTTCAGTTAACATATTTCAAAAATTAATTTCAGTGCATTTTTTCTTACAGTACATAAAAATGAATACTTTATACAGACATACTCATGCAGTGCATACACTGTGACATGTAAACTGGGATACTATATTTATATGTGCATGTTTTCTCTCTATATGGTATGTACTTTATAACCTTTTCCCCATTGGGAATAAAAATTTAAAAATAACATGCGGTGGATGTAAAAAAAACTTCAGTTGCCAATGAATAAGTCTTCATTACCAATTCTTACAATTGATTATGAAAAAAAACAACAAAAAGTGATTTGATTCTTTTAAAAGCTTAAATATGAAAAAATAAATTCCAATTTTTGAAATCATGTATGTCTATATTTGTATTTTGTAACACATATGATGTACAGTATACTGAGTGCTAAATTCAAGGGATTAAATAAACCAAGTATTTGTGTGCAAATTAAAAGTTTTGAAGTAACAGAAAATATTTTTTAAAGTATTTGATTGTATATTACCTGTGCTGCACTGTCCAACATCAGCTGAGCTTGCATCAAGACAGAACGCTCCTCACTTGTAGTTGAGCCATCCTGAAAATACATCCAGGAGAATAGGGTATATTTCATGATTATGGGATAACCAAATTGGTCAGGATATATGATTTTTACCATTGGATATCATTTGAAGAGCTCTTTGCCATAGAAATAGTTTATTTCAATCCTTTATTATTTCTTTCAGTATCTCAGTGGTGTATTTTTATATTTTTACAAAATTACACATTATACTGTGCAATCTGCATTATTCATCATCGCTTATTTCCGCATGTAACAGCTAAATTTTTGCATATTTTTCCCTAGACTATTTTCTCATCAATTCTTTTTTAGAGTATATTTCAGGAAAACAGACATGAGAGATTTGCATGACATGCACACAAATGTGCTTAGGCGTTACTTATTTAATGCTCATTTAATTACTAAGTGAAATAATCACTATCATTAGTGTTGCTTTAAATACAGCTAACCAATGTCCATAAGGTATCAAAATTAGCACTTAAATTACTATTCAAATCCATTTGCAAAGATTAAAATAATTTTTACTTTTCAAATAACCTACTTCACATACTACAATTGTGAGACAGTCTATGGTCCTTACAAAGTCAAAGCAAAGACACCAGTTCTTCAAAGAGTAAAAAGACCGAAAAATATGGTTTAAAAATATTGAATATACAGGGTGATCCAGAAGTAACGTCAAAGACATTGTAATTTCAAAAGTATTCATCAGATCTTCATGAAATTTGGTATACATGTACCCACAACATTTCTGAGTTACCATCTCAAAGATTGGAATTCAATCATTTCATTGGTTGAAATTATGGTTGCTATAGTAACCCGATATCGCGTAACCCGGGGCAAATTGAAGAGAAACCATAACGTTTTTGTGAATTTCTCTAATTTAAAAAGTCAGTAACATTTGAAAATGTTCATTGTTTGTTTTCTATGATTTTTATATTTGTTGCCATGGTAACAAATATGTAATAGTTGTGATGTCACAATAGGCATTCATAAAAAGCTTTCAATTTCTTTGAATTGCTTCCATCATCCATGACAAATACTAACATGACCAAGGACACTAACCCACCCAATTCAAGATGGCGCCAAGTCAGAGTAAAATAGAGCAAAGAACAAACATTAAGTTCTGTGTAAAGTTGGGGAAAGGTGTAAAAGAGACTATAAGACAGATAAAGAAGGCATATGGTAAAGCTGCCATTGCTGAGAGAAACATTTACAGGTGGTTTAACAAGTATTCCAGTGGATATGATGAAGTGGTAGACAAGCAGCGAGGAGGCAGGCCAGTGTCGTCATTCGATGATCAAACCATCAAAGCAATTGAAGCTGATGTTATGGACAATAGGCAAATTTCTATCAGAGAATTGGCTGAAAAACACGATCTGAGCTATGGGACTGTGCAACGGATACTGACAAAGAACTGTCTGTTAAAGAAGGTGTCTGCTAAATGGGTGCCGCATGACTTGACACAGGAGCAGAAAGACCGGCGTGTTAAGGCTTCAAGGGACTTTCTTGCAAAATATCGGAGAGATGGAGATGACTTTCTTAACAAGATCATTACGAGTGACGAATCATTGCTATCATTCTACATCCCAGAGACCACGCAACAAAGTTCATCGTGGAAACATGACAACTCCCCAACACCAACCAAGCCTAAAATAGTACCAGGAATTCCACAAAAGAAACAAATGGTTGTGACATTCTTTGACATTAGAGGAATGGTGTTAACCCATTTTGTTCCCATTGGCCAGAGAATTAATGCCGTTTACATTGCAAAGGTAAGATATCATTTGTTCTAATAATACATCATACTGTGAATTTTATTTTTAAATTAAAGTATTTAAATGTTGTTCACTGTCAATATAATTATAACTCCATGGCCATGATTCAAATCCAAATCCAATCAATGAAACAACTGGTTTAACAACCATTAAACATTTGTTTTTCAGGTTCTGAAGCGTGATCTTCAACGTTCCCTGAGGAAAAAGCGTCCCGGACATCTGCAGCAGTTTATCTTGCATTGGGACAATGCCCCTACGCACACTGCAATCCTGACCAGCAACACAGTCCAAACACTTGGATTTCAACAACTTGAACATGCCCCTTATTCACCTGATCTTGCCCCCAGTGACTTTTATTTGTATGGGGAACTAAAAAGAAACCTTAGTGGAAATAATTTTCAATCCTGTGAGGAATTGAAAAATGCCGTAGTACTAGCCCTACAAGGAATGAGTTCTAATGGATTTAATTCTGTGTTCAAGGAATGGGTATCCAGACATGAGAAATGTGTTGCAAATGGTGGCAATTATGTAGAATGAACTATTATTAGTAACTGTGCAATAGTATGATTTATATTGTTGTGAAATAAAATGTTGAGGATATAACAATTTCAGATCTTGTTGATATTTTGAGATTACGCATTACACGTTAAGTAATTTGCCCCGGGTTACGCGATATCGGGTTACTATAGCAACCATAATTTCAACCAATGAAATGATTGAATTCCAATCTTTGAGATGGTAACCCAGAAATGTTGTGGGTACATGTATACCAAATTTCATGAAGATCTGATGAATACTTTTGAAATTACAACATCTTTGACGTTACTTCTGGATCACCCTGTATATTGCTCACGACCAAAGGTGGTAAACAAAATGCAATGCTAGAATAGCCTTGATATTCATATTCAAATGTAATATACCAGACTAATTATACTAAATAAATGGTTATAAATGGTTAAAATAAATGAGAGTAAATGACAAGAGTATTTGTAAATTACCATACCATGTTATATGAGGTAGTTAAAAGGCAACAAAGGTGCCAAGTTAATAGACTTGATCATCCAAATATTGTAACTGTCATGCAACTCCTCTCCATACAGATATCTGGATGTCTTGTTACTAACAGCACTTTATTCCAGTTCTTATCCGACATAAACTGGTGATAAATGCATATTTCTGTTGTCCACTTTGCAGGATCTAAGAGTTGTTTTACTCTCACCCTCTATTTTTTTTATTTAAATTTTTCTCATTTGTTTTATTCCTGAATTGAAGTACTTTGGAATAATAATCCACTGGCAGATAAATAGCAATAAGATAATCAAAATGTATGTTTGGTTTCAACTGCAATTTAGTACCACTCATGTTCCAATCAATGATTTTTATAGTTAAAGTTTGTTTTTGTACTTGTCCTAATCCTAACCCTCATGTGGGTGCATGTATATCCCTGCGGTGAGTAACTTATTGTAAAAATATATCCTTAAATCCTGAATGCTTTATAATCAGATCAGACAAAAGCAAAAAGTGAGAAATCATAGCCATTACCCTTCCAAAAATTCACCATCTGACATTTGTTACTATCTATTGAAAGATGAGACCAAAACCTTTTTACATGATACATGTACCTTTATACATAGATTTAGACACCAACATTTTCCAGTGTTAACCAAGATATAATACTCATAAAAATGGGAACTTTAGAATAGGCATTTTGTGAATCATTTCACAATGATTCTGCATGAGTTCTTGCAATTGACTCCAATATTGAAAACTCATCAATAATGCATGCAGCCAGAGGTAGGTAGATGATGATTACAGTTGATCAGATTCTAAGCACCTTGATCCCTGGGGTGAAAAACACATGCGAAAAACATATCAAATATCATGTAGGGTATCTAGAGAACATTAATGTTTCATCACATGCATATTGTACCATGATAAAAAATGAAGTTATAAAAAATCAAAATCATTATTGCAAGAGAAAATGTGAGCAAATTTTCTGGCATATGTATGTAGATTCCAGGCCAGAATGCTTTAATTAATTTAGTAGCATAACCTTGGCGGATTGCCAGCTCACATTATTAATTAATTAGGTATACACCTACTTCATATTCTACCAAACATGTAGTCTATAAACATATACCGGCTCATATAGTTTACTCAGGTTAATACTCCATCTATTAATTGTATTTCTGATTAAAATCATATCCAGGGTCGTTTATATCTTAATAATATTTCATGTGAAGTAAAGATGTCATTAATTTTATACCTGAATTGAAACGTCATGTGCATTGACACCAATTTTTAGAGCTATGTATAACAATGAATTCTTTGCTTCACGATAGCTTCAACTCACAATCAATTTCATTGTTAAAATCTTGGCTATTTAAAATTATCCAAATTCAAGTTAGGTTATAAGAACTCTTTAGATCAAGGAATTTCAAACGAATTTTATTCATAACTTTCTAACAAATAAATACACATATGAATTCAAACACACGAAAAAGCCCTAGCAAATATGAGCACTGTTTTTCTGGTATGCATGATTTTGATACACATAATTAAAAGAGGGGGGGGGTGTATATTTCTCTAAGACCTTATTTTTAGAGTCCTGTTATGACATCATGATGTACATAAAGTTTTGGAAAGTCTATCTTATAATACCTACATCTCTCTCAAATATCTGAATTGAACAACCTTGGATAATAATCATGTGCTTCATGTTTTTGCCTGCTAAACCACATGTTGTGAGTTCATTTCTTTTTTAATATACCCTCTCCCACTAAAATAATCAAATAAATGTAAAGCAACATCGCTTACCTGTTTGCTATAGAGTTTCTGTAGTTTATCTTTGACATTCAGGATCTTCAGAGACTAAAAATAAAATAAAAAAATACAAATACAGTGCAATACAAATCAGTCAGACTGTTCTTCATCAAGACGTTTCACTATTCATTAAAGTTTGCGTAGGTTACTTCCTTTCTGTTTTCACTTATAAGTATTGGTCTGAATATACATAATAGCAGGGTGACATCTATTTTTACCATAAAGTCTTATTTACTAATATTTGTAAGGTCCTTTACCGTGATTGGCAAGGGGAGGGAAAGCCCCAGAGCTGTATTGATGACAGACATCATTGTGTCTCTTTTTTGCCATAAATGAACATAATTCGAAGCGCATATTGAAAATTTTGAGGCTGCCATTTTGTTTGTCGATTTTAACCAATCAGAGACGTATGTCATCTCAATACAGGTTTACATTATAAACTTGGTCATCTTTGAAGTCTAGGGTTAATCCCCCCTGATGATTGGCCATGGTAAGCTATTTTATTCATCCATGCAATTGAGTGATCTGAACATATATGAAAGTGAAAGTAAATATTTGTGTCAAGATGTTTCATACAATAATATGTGAATTTGAAAACATGAAGTGTTTAAAATTAAAATATTGATTTATTTAAACACTGATAAACAAGAAAATGCCTGAATAATTATTATCAGAATATTGCCATAGCAATGTGTTATAAAATATAAAGGAATTGTACATTGGTACCCATCTGACCACTGGAAAATATAGAAAAAATACAAATAAAATTTCAAAGTAACACACCACAGTTGGACAGGACAAGTCAAGCAAATCTGTTTTCCTTAATTCTTAATGAATATTTTGACATTAAATATTTTCAAATAAGGGAAAGAATATTCCATTGACAAATTTTGGCCTGAGCTTTCACAGATCAGCTGAAATGCAATTTATGTTAACCAGAGTATTCCCACTTATTCTGAATTCCGTCATGAATAACAAAATGTTAAGACCCTTTAATGACAAAATTTATAAGGCACCCTCCCACACACACTCCAATAAGTACAAGATTACAACAATACAACGCTTTGAAAAAGTGCAATAAAAAATGAAAACAGATTCCATGACTTGCTCTGTCACAACTACTAAGCATTTTTCTAGACAGCAATTTTGACAACATTTTCAAGCCATTATATGCTACAGTTCAATACAGCATGGTAAAGATGATATAAATACAGTGTTGAACTATGTCACTGTTAAGCAATGTGATTTTTACAAATGTAACACATTACCAATTCAAGTAAGCTCTTTCTGAGATTGCACCATCGAGTAAATATCTAAAGGCAAAAGTCTTAATCATAATACCAGGTAAAATTGAGTACAATCCTCGATATAAAATCAAGCTTAGATCTCATTTTAACATTTTCTAGGTTTTGCTGGAGTGTAATTTCAAAGGCAGGAAGAGCCTCTACCGTCACACCCTACAAAATCACTGTCATTTACCTCTATGTATGTTCACAGTGTCAATTCTTGCCTTTTTTAGAATTGAAATGCTATGCACTAGATATTGTGTCATTTTGATAAGATAATGAATATGAATACATAGATAGATAAGAAATATAATTCCAACTTTACCTCCTGTGGTTGTTGATTGTCGAGTGCACCGTCACTCTGCAATGTAAGGGTCCCATCAGCACTCAGAGATGTTGGGTGGCTGTACACTTGGCATGAAGTAATCTCTTCAAGTAGCTGAAACAAATATTAAAATCATTCATTTAATATATCTTATGTGGCTTATATGGAGTTTTTGGATGCTCAGGTCCATATTCTTCTCTAACGAATTATTTATTTTTCTGTTGCATAGATTTTTCCTCAAATCAACATTTTTCAATCTCTGGTTGCCTACCTTGCTGTTGTGTTCCTCCAGCTCCAGACAGCGGAATTCCAGCACTTCATTCTGCTCTTGTAGATCAGCCAATTGGTGGCCCTTGTTCTCCTGCTCTCCTTCAAGCTGTTCTACCTGGCGTACATACCCCCGCAGTTTTGCCCTCAGCCTTCCTTGCTCTTCCAGTAAAGTCCTTGCCTGTGGACAAATACACATACACATGTTAGCAGCTCACTTTTGAAACCCAACTCAAAGTTGCAGACTGGAACTTGACACGACACCTTATGTTGATTGTCAAGATACTCTAATTTGTAGACTTTGTGATCGGTGGACAATTTTGATGTAGTCTCGATGTTGTCATGATAGGTTCTGTACTAATGATCATGTGCCAAAATGAACATTTAAAGATGAGAAAGTCTTGCAAACTCTTAATAATAAATTACATGCATTCAACCGGTAAAACATGCTGATTTGTCCGGAATAAGCAAAATAAGCAAAATGAGTAAACTAAGTATCAAATCAATGTTTTTAATGAATGTTTACCCTTACATCATGTTATTTCTATTCAATACAATACTGATATTGAACATCCTGTAACAACAGTGTATAAAACTGAAACAAGGTTAAATGTGGTAATAAATATAGCATTGGGAAAATTCCAAGCAAATTGGATCTTGAACAAAACCATACAATCTAAAATGGCCACCTTAATAATTACCCATGCACAGAACATAATCGGTTCTAGAATTGAAATTTGAAATCAAAATATTAAGCGGTTTGTCTGGGGAGGCATGCATGAGAAAAATGGATTGTCATCACCTTCCCAAACTTTTCAAACCAAATGTCGCCAACCCACTACACCCCCAAAATGCAATCTGATTTTTGACGCCGTTTCGGTGACTAGTCCGATGGCAAATTTTGGTGTCGAAAGGTTTCGGTGCCAGAACAGCGCCGAATGTTTTCGATGCCAAAACCGAATTATATTGGCTGTGTAGGTCAAGTACAATACTGCCACTTTTTAAGGTATAATAAAAAGTTTGCTCCTGTAAAGTTTAGATATACCTATAACCTCCCTAAGATAAGATATATGTATTACCTCTGCCTTGTCAGGTATAAGCAACTCCAAGTCTGAGACTTTCTGTTGGTAATCATGCAACTCTGCCTCTAGCTTGACATGCACCTGTAATGAAACACACACCATGCAAACACATGCACAATAGCTCAACATGTACAAATCTGTTTAAATATGTTTGATTAAAAATTGTTTGCCTAATTCTCTATTTGACATCATGCATGTTCAACTGAAAAAACTTAGCTTTAGCAACATTACCATTGCATTATAACTGTTGACAGATGTATTCTGGTTTTATACTACTGGGTTTCTATACTATATTGCTCTAATAAAAGTAAAGCACTAATCAAATCAAAACAGCCAACATAACTTATTCGTAATCATAACCAGGCACATTTCTTATTATGGAGGAAGGGATCCTGTCTTCAGACACATGTTTCAAACAGACTCAAAAAATACTACTGAGAAAAGGAGATTTTGACTAAAATGGTATTTGAAACTAAGTCTGAAGATAGTATCACTATCCTGCCTAAATATCTGTTGTTAAATAAGTCACCTTTTGTTGTCTCTCAGGGTCCATGCTGCAAGGCTGCTGGGCCATCAGGAGAGAGTAGTTCTTCTCTAATTCCAGATGCTCTTTCACAAGGCGCTGGTAGTTCGTTTGGAACTGCTCACGGGAAAACTGAAAGAGAATTCATCCATTTGTTAATTACACACACAGCCATATACATGTATGCATGTGTTGTAACTCAGGCACAACATTTTACAACTGAGTCTGATTTGTAAAGAGGCACAAATATTTCCAAAATGTAACATATTTGGATGAGAAACCATAATTTCAAAGCAAATGCTAATTATGTAAAAGATGAAAACACAATGGTTGAGAAATTCATTCAAGTGGCCTATATGAGGCTGATAATATATTTCCGAACAAATTACTTTCTTACCTTAATGGCTACCACACAAGCTAAATAATTGTTTTACTTTGAATGACTCCTCTATTGATCGATTATACTAAATTGTATGTAAAATCACTTACTTCATCTAAGAAGACATCTTCATCTGTAGCAGGGGTATCATAAGACTGGTCTGTTACTGAGAGAACTGAGGAGAATGATGTCTCAGAGTCTGATCTGCCAGTGTCCTCCTCATACCTACAATATGTAAATGACAATTTTTAAATCATACTTTTATAAGTATAAACAATCCTTTAACTGAGTTTGCCATTTTATGGTAAACTAAAGCATGGGTTTCATACAAATTATTTATCTGCTTTGTTTAAAGGGGTGTGGCTTTTATTGGTTTTTCTAAGTTTCAGACTAGTTCCATATTTTCTTGATTTTTTCAAATTTGCAGGAATCATTTCCGAGACATCAGGGATTAACAAACTAAATATAAACATATTTCTTCTGCAAGAGGTCTTAGAGAGGCTTTCAAAGATAAAGCATTAACAGATGCTGTGCAATTTATCTACAATACAAGCACAAAATATCGCACTTACCCAAAGTATGTTTCCTTGACACCTGCTGCCCTCTTTTGAGCCATGCTCTTTTTACTCCTTTGCCTCCGATGTTTTAACAACTCTATCCTCCTATCTTTCTCAACATGTGCTTGTTTTAAAGCTACAATTGTCTTATTTAGTTCATCTTTTTGTCTCCTGAGATCATCTAGTTCCTCGAGACATATGTCCTGAGATTTCTCGTCCTGTGTTTGGTCCAGCTTTTTTACTGTTTGTTCATACTGAACCCTCTGAAGGAACAAAAATGGAAATTTGACAAATTGATAATTTGAGCCAATTCCTGGTTTTATTCTAGATCTTTAATCCTTAGATTATTTTACGTTTCTTAATATCCCTTCATACCTCAGAGGAAAAAATATTAATCTTATAAATAATTCCAAATGATACTCCCAATGTTCCATTTTTTAAACCTCCTGTGATTATGTTTCATATACAGTAATCCCTTCTGGGGGAAAGCAATTCCATAAAAATAAGATAGCCAAATTCCTTTTTCATAATACTCCAGACTGCCAATGCTTCGAGTCACCTTATGTTTACTACTCTATTACTTAAGAAATTAGTGAGTGATCAATTTGCTAATACTGTCATTGATAATGTTGTCATGTCATAATACCATATGGCGCATGCACTGATGTAATTGATGTTGACTTGATTTTTAAAAATGAAGTGTTGAAAAAGTCACACTTGACCTTGAATTCATTACCCTTGCAAAATTCTTGACAATTGCATCTTCTTTTGGTGGATCTAAATCATTGAAAGATAACTGTTTAAGGTATAGAATAAAGAAATGGATATGTAATAGTATATTAAGTTATCTAAACCACCACACAATTGGTTTTGCTCTGAACATTAATTACTCAATGCTAGCACATAAAAATATTCAAGGGATAACATATTTATATGTGACTTGAAAAGAGATATATGGCATTGATATCTCTTTCTTGTGAACTGATGCATATAAAGAACATGTTAATAAAAAGTCCCTTTAAATATCTGTTCTATGTACTTAATGTAATTTTATTTACCATTTGAGTATTTTCTTGTGATAAATTTTTTATTCTATCTTGTAAGGTTCTGTTTTTAGATGTAAGGTCAATATTCTTCTCCAGGAATCTTTTATTTTTCTCCTGCATTGACTTCAATTTTTCTTCAACATCCTTCAATCTCTTCACCTAGAAATATAGAATTTGGAAAATTCAAGTTATTAAATATTAAACACATTCACGTCCAAGTAAATGCCTACCTAAATATACTGGAGATGCATCACATATTCAAGTCTATTACATAATGAATACAGGGTGTTCCAAAAGAAACAGGACTGGTGCTGGCATTTTGTCAATTTTGCACCAAGTGTCTTCAAATTTTCACAAATTGTATTTTGAGGTATAACAACTAAAATTGTAAAGTTTCAGAAAAGGTGATTAAATGTGGGTAGAGTTATGGTTACTATAGTAACATGACATCACAATACCCGGGGCAACTCTTTCCTGAAAATGTGATATATAACACTTTTGTATTACTGAAGAAAGTATCTAATTCACCTATTACTTACAACACTTCTTGGTTTATTTTATTAGTTGCTTTGTTGTAAAGGTGTTGCTATACATCAAGTATAATTTCATAATAATAATAATATTTATTCAATTTCCTGGAATATCACTATGTATAACAGTCAGAACAATTCACGGTTGAGTTTTTGAAAAGACCCAATTTGAAGCCAGTCATCTACCTTGATAGCGCGCCTGCCCGCAGGCCAGACTTACTATAAAGACCATGCAGCAATAGAGGAGCTAGGTCTTATGGTCTAAAACTATGCACCATACTCTTCTGATCATGCAATATCTAATTTTTACTTATATGGAGAATGGAATAAGACCTTTAAAGATGAGAATGACCTTCTCCAAGTTGTTCAATCTACCCTGCGTGACTTGTCTTCAAATGGGTTCATTCATGTGTTTGAGTCATGGATACAGAGTGCTACTCTTCTACTGACCAAAGAGGAGCCTTCCTTTCAAAGAAGAGAATACATAGGAATATCAAATGATGTAAAGGAAATGTAATTCCCACCAGTAGTTGCATTTCAACTTTGATATGGGATGTACAAAATGCTTAATGTCTCTGTAACTTTCAGCGTAAAATGTTGCCCCGGGTATTGTGATGTCATGTTACCATAGCAACCATAACTCTACCAAAGTTTCATATTTTTTGTCGAAACCTTGCAGTCTTAGTAACGATACATGGAAGTACAATATCTACAATTTTGAAGACGATTGGTGAATATTGAACAAAATGCCAGCACCAGTCCTGTTACTTTTGGAACACCCTGTACATGTATGGACATTGTCTTCAATGACAGGTTTTGGAAAACAACACATTCACATGAACTTAAAATTCAAGACATGAATCAGCTCTAAAGGGATGAAATGTATTAGTGTACAAATAGTGACTGCCATTGAGGGAAATAGTGCAAAATATTTTCCTCAAGGGAATATCCTGTCCACTGACATGTTCCCGAGGCTGCAGGCCGAGGGAACAAGTCAGTGGACAGGATATTCCCGAGAGGAAAATTTTTACACTATTTCCCGAAAATGTGGCAGTCACTATTTGTTTTATTATATACCTGATAAGTACTCTGTAAACAAAAACAAAATGAGAAGTATTTTCATTTCAATATCAAATGTTCACAGGTTCTTATTGGCATTTAAAGGCATTTTACCTTTCAACTCCTATAATCTCAGATTTGGGGGAAGATAAAATGTACTATTGACTGGTCACATGACCTAACTGGTGATTAGTACAATTCATCTTCCCTGAAAGCAGGGATTTAGGACTTTCCAGGGAATTAGTTCATCTATTCCATGTCATGTGACCATGAATAAGCCAATGAGCATCTAGAATACATTTAAGGTATATAATAATATATAATAGAAACAGGTAACACATACAAATAAGAGCAACTAACAAGAAAAAAATGAAAGATGATGTGATATTGCTCGATAGATGTCTAGGACCACACAGTTTCAAGATGTTTTCAAGTTTTATTTTTCTGATTCCTTAAATATCAGATAAAAAACATCTGCTAGATGTTTTTTACATCAGGCAACATTACATAACATCATAAAATCAACATTTGGAGCCAAAATGTCTGTGCAACAGATGTTACCATAGTAACCAGCGATATGGCAACTGAACTTTCAGAGTGATGGTTCTCACATTTGCCAAAACTAATCCGAACTGGATTGTTCGTATTACTCAAGGGCCTGGCAGCCTAAAAGAGTCAGAATTAATCTATAGATGCACACGTGGAAATATTTATAACTGTCTATTTCTGACTCAAAGCAATAACCAAAGATGTTAATATGGTCCCAGCTAAGATATCTTGGGGTATCTTAGGCTCTAGTAGTTTTTTAAAGAAAACACTTTTGAACTGGCACTCATGAAAATTACTAAATCATCTTAAACAGTCCTATTCTGTGCTTGTATCTTTAATTTTATAAGCTGAATACATGTACATGTACATTGATAAGTTGATACGTGTAAGTGTGCACTGATAAGTCTTTGAGTATCATTACATTCTTGAACACATTGTCAATTCTTTAGTTGTCACACACAGAACAAAAATTTACAAGTTAAAAATAACAATTTGCAATCAATTCTTGAATCAGGATTTCAACTCTCAAAAGAACTCGACAAAACACATATGAAAATGCATGTAAGACGTAGCAAGTTTAGGAGAGATATAATTGATCTGAATGAAAATAGTATCACCTCCTGCTATAAGAATGCCCCTAAAATACATTTTTACTTGCTGATCTGCAGACATTAATTCTACTCAATAATAATTACGATATTGCTCAATTTCTTAGTCTAGATGCATTAGAAAATACTGAGAAAGATGCCCAAAGTGAAAAACATGATACAAGTTATTTGTTAGTTTAATTTTGCCCAAATAGCAGGTCACATACCTGAGTTTGTGATGCCTCCTTTGGTGGAGACAACATTGTTGTATTTTTCTTTATCTGGTCCTGTTCCTCTAATTCAAGCTGGAGCCTGGAGAAATGACCCCTTTGGTAGCCCATCTCCTTCTCCAGCTGTCCTAGCACCCGGTCCTTTGACTTCATTTCCTCCATCTACAATTGATGAGGTTTTCATTTGAGACTTTTAAACTTACATGTCATATTTCTGTCTATGTTACCGGGGCTATTTTTCGTACATTCATGCATAAAAAAATCCAATGACAACCCTTTCATTATGAATATACTCCTAGTAATGTACTATATTCATGAATATCTTTTACAGTATACAGTGTTTTTACATTGCTACCCCCAGGTCCTGTCATAGGAAATCAACTTTATCAGTAAAGTGTTCATTTGGATACCTCCCCAAAGTATGCCTTGAAAAGTATACATACTGTAAATATGTAAGTCTACGTATGCAAATGTTCAACTAGTATGACCATGAAAAATGTAACTTTTTAAACATTTTGGATTTAGAATTCACATTACCAATATCTTCACATTTCTAACTGTTTGGTGTTTCATTAAAACTCCCTATTTAATAAATTCTACATTTAATTAACTAATTTCTCATGTTTCAATCCAGTCTATAAATCAAAGTAAATGACCATTTCTAAAATATGCAGGAGTTCTAAAACATTCAGAAAAAAGATTCAGTTAAAGCTGACACCACTGAGTCATGTTTCAAGTGAAATGTGACATAAAACTGGTAGTGATAATGAACAAAGCATAGATTGGGGAGACAAACTTCCTTCCCCATCCGACCATAGACATTATTTGATCAGATATCAAAGTAGATTATTACAATTCCTCTGGTCTCAAATGCCTGAGAGTCCATTCTACAATCTACATATTTTCTATTTTCTATGATTTTCTATCATATTTTGTCATGGACCTTAAGAATATACCTCTAATCTTGTTCTTCAAGGAATTCAAGGGAAAACTGTGTTATCAGCCATTAAAACACTCTCTCTACTTTGAAACATTATCTTTAGAAGAAAACAAACCTAAAAGTTAACATGAACCAATATTGCCATTTCGAGAAATACAAAAGTTTGTGCGTAAATTCAACATTCTATTTCTAACTCTATCTTTTGGAAAGTCAAAGTTTTGTTATCAACAATCTCACGCCTCACAGTTGGATATTACAGCAATACTGAATTTTTTAATTGAAAAATGAATGAACTTTGACCTCCCAAGTTTTTTCAATTTTCAGTAATTTCAAATTTCCAAGGACTGTACCTTTATACCATAATTATATACAAATTGTGCCACCTATAAGAAGTCTTGAAAAAAAATATTTACAGTATTTTAAAAATCTCTTTTTTCAAAATCTACTGCCTACCTGATGTTCTAAAAGCACCAAAATAAAAAAAAACATTAAAATTTTATGACCATCATAACAATATACCCCAACAGCAACTTACAGGTACACCCCTTAGTAAACTCCAAAGGTATGCAATTTTGACAAATACTAAATTGACTAAATAAAGAATTGAATAAATATAAGTAAGATCAGGACGGCCCCAAAGTGTTTAAAACAAGAATAAATCTAATAAATAAAATTTAAAAAAATATTTTGACATTTCCTACTTAGGAAGGGTGAGTCAACATTCACATTTGACCTTTCCATTGAATCCATGTGAACCCGCTATTTACATAAATTGAATCAAAGCACTTTATAAACACAAATATTGGATACAGGTTGAATTTAATTACAAGTCCAATGCAACTGCTCTCGGCTAGGCTGGGCTACTGACTTTCTGTCTATAGCTTAATGGCATTCGGCTGGATTATATCTACATTCTTAGAATAATAGATAATTCATTGATCAACCTTATGCATTTTTCTATACATTCAAATAGTCAAACATATTCGAAAATCATGAAATTATATTATACATTAGGGCCAGGATAGAAAACTTTGATGCAATATCTTTAAGGTCAGGGTTCGATCTTAGCGGTAGCAAGGAGCAAATTTGCTACCTGATTTCACATTTTGCTCCAAAAACTTCGTACACGGGAGCAAATGCTTGCTACCTCAAATTTAAGCAATGAATCTCATGTATTTCAGAGGAAAATCTCCGGCTTTCAATTTTATCAAATGAAAGAATATAAATTGGCCTACCTTGTGAAGACAAAATCTAAGTATAATAGGCAGATAATCAGCAGTGTTTTAGAGAAACACTGAGATAATTATCTTACCGTAATCCGGCCACCATTTTGATTGACCTCTCAACCAAAACATATAATTGCTTTGAGATTAATGGGTCAGTAGCAAAAAACCTTTATCACTATATTTTGGGTCAGTAGCAAAAAACCTTTATCACTGTCCTGCCAACCTTCAATGGATACTATTATTAACAATTACATATAAACTTGAAAACAAACTGTTTAATTAATACAATTGATTTTCTTGGCATTATCTTACATCATAGTGAGGAAGCACAAAAGGCAACATTTGAAAACAAATAAAATATTACAAGTCAAAAAGACACATCAAATTGAATGTTGATCTTTATATTTCATTGAGATTGATAATATGTCAGAAAGGAATATTGAGTTTATTAATTTATATCAGAGTGAGGAACAATGGTTAAATGTTTTCAGAAAAAAGTTTAAAAATCTGCATAATTTATCTGAAAAAATAAAAATAAAGTTTTCTAAAAACGCAATTTTTTCTTATTTTTATTTTTATTATTTTTTATATAAATATTATTATGGGAAATTTTGTGCTGAGATATGCTCAGAATGCACCAGAGAGGGTCTAAATTTCAAAAATTTCTGGGGGGGGCGCATATACGCTATAATTTGTTTCCGCCCCCCCCCCCAATTGATTATACTACCTTCATTATTAGGATTAGATGATTCATTCTCCTATTTTCAATGAAAACATGCGGATTTTGGTCTGAAAAACCACAAATTGTTCTCAGATGACTCTTGAACGTAAAAAATGGTCGTTTCATTCAGTGCAATTTGAGGAGCAATTTGCTACCTGATAATATTTTCTTGGAGCATTTTTGTTGCTACCTGAATATGGGAATTTGCTCCTTGTTTTAGTAGCAGGTAGCAAATCCTTGCTACTGGTAAAAAAAGTTAAGGTCAGACCCTGAAGGTTGTTTATTGTTCATTTTTCTAACATGGATGGAGATGGCATACATTTTTTCCAGAATCAAAAATAAAAAGTCAGGTTCTAATCTATAACAAGTAAGTCACAAAGTTATCTCATTAATTGGGTTGAAATTACCCCACACTTTGATATTACCCCCATTCACTTCAATTCAACTAACTCCCAATGAGAGACTTTGCCTTAATGCCCCCCCCCCCCCCTCAATCTCGGGAAAAAGGCAATGTAACCTCAAAGGGCGTGATGCAAGATAATGTGAAGAGTTTACCAAATTTACTCAACGAATGAGAAATTATAACCATTTCATTCACTGTAAGAAACGTACAGTAAATACTAAGGTAATATCACATCCAGATATTCCAAGATCAAAGGATTAGAATCAACCTATTATAAGCCAAACAGTGTGTAAACACAGCCGCCTAAAATAAACTTACCAATCTTCTAGTTTCTAGTTGTGACTCTCGTTGGATTTTCGAAATTTCAGCTGCGTGCTCGTCATGTAGTCGTCTTAGGTCACTGGCTTTAGTTTTATCTGCACTAGCAATAGTTGCTAGCGTTTCTTCTAGTTGATGTTTCGAGGCACGCAGTTCTTGAAGTTCATTAAATAGTTTTTTCTCATGTTGGTCAAGGGTGAGATGCCCCTTTTTATCAGCAGCATTCGTCATCATAAGCTGGTCCCGAAGAATCTGAATATCATTAAGTAGTTTGTTGATTCTGAGATCTTTCTGTTTAACAGCTTTAGTAATATCACCTTCATGTTTTTTACTTAAATAATCCTTTTGCTGTTCCAGTTCTTTATGTTTTTCACTGTTGTGTTTTGACTTTAAATCTTTTATGAGAATATTCTGTCGGATGTCTTGTTCTTTAACAAGCGTGGTGATTTGATTTTTCTTTTCTCGCTGGAGTATTTTGTTATTGCGTTTCTCAGTCTCCAGTTCTTCCTTCAGCTTTGTGATCTGTTGCTGTAGAGATATGTTTGTTGGGGTGGGAGACCCAAGGGAGTTCCTTGCATCCCTGGGGGACCCAGGGAGTGACCTTGCATCCCTGGGGGAGATTCTTCCTGGTGAAGACATGTTAATCTTGGACGGATATTGGAGTATTATGTCAGCCTCCTCCCTACATACGCTCTACCTGAAAAACATTCAAAGAAATAATTGCTGGAATTACAGCACAAAATCCGCTAAAACGTTTTAGTGGAAGGCGCTTTACAAAATCGCCATTCTGATTACACCAACATTTCTAAAGCGTCTTAGGAATTATATTTTGGAATTACACCTGTTTTTTCTAAAACGCCTTTCATGCACTTTTAACGATGTAGTTATGGATAATATCCAGCATACATGTATGTGTACATCTCCTGTAAATGTATTCTTTTTGCATCTGAGACAAATCTTATCTTCCATAATTTGATTAAAAATGCATGACATTGCATAATTTTTATTTATCTTTTATTAATTATGAGATAACATGATAAAAAGGTAAAAGAAAAATATGTACATATTCTCTGAAGATAACACTTGATTTCGATGTGACCTGGCGACCATCATCCATTTCTCAATTTAGATATATAGCCACATAGCAGCGTGACCGGATGTCTCATCATGTATCAAATGTTTCAAATGTATCAAATATTTCGTTTAGGGCAAATGTTAAAAAAAACTAGTAAAAACCCGGGTAAGGCGTCTTACAAAAACCGATCGGTATTACACTGCACACTTAAAGCGCCTAACGACTTATGCCGTTTACTAGTGACAAGGGTTCTTGGAGTTTTAGAAAAGCGCTTTTGTAAAACCGCAATCGTGATTACACCTAATTCTTAAACCTGGTTAAAACCGTAGACGCTTTTGTAAAACGCCATCTGTAATTCCAGCAAATATCATATACAAGCAAGGCCCGGAGAACAAGGGGTCGTGGATTCGATCCCTACTAAGTTTGAATTAATTTTTCACATCAGCCCAGCATTAGTGAAGGATTTCATTCTGTGTCTGAAGTTTTCAGGGTTTGTAAGATACATGTATAAGGTGCACAATTGCACATTAAAAATAATATTTAAACAATATGTAAATACAATATAAAAAAAAATAAGGGTAACTTTAGTCTGTACAACAATGCAGCAATATCATTAGTAAATAATAAACAATACTGGCTGATAATGTAAATACCAAATATTTTGACTATCTTAAACAATCTTTATATAAACAGAACATTGATGATAGCAAATACAGCTTGGATTGGCAGCATATTACACAGAAATAAGTGCTAGATATTTATTCAGAATCCTTTTGACCCTTAAATCTATCTATTATCAATCATAATAAAATTCATCACGCTAAAGACTTAAGTTTACATTTTTTCAATGTTTGAATTTATAACAACTCATGTTTTGTACATTCTCAAATGTGATACAAACAAAGTTGACTTGGCACAAGATTGCAGTAGTGCATACACAGTGTTGTATTAAGCCAAAATAATATGTGTAATTACTCATATCTCTCGTCACTTCATGATAACAAGCTATGAAAAGAAACTGGCAAGTATACTGAACATTTTCAGTAGGTTAATACGAGAGATGAAAATATATCACATTTTAAAGATTTCTGATTGTGTTGAAAAAATCCAAACAGAAAAACTCAATATTGATATCTATAATAACTCTACTATAATGTTATACTCTAGTTTTTAATCAATTTGCTTGAGCTCAGTCTTGAAATAAAATATTAATGACTCTTGGTAGCTTATTGCATGAAAACAGTATTTCCAAGTTTTTCGCAGGTTAAAAATGCATATCTAAAGCTTTAATATGACTCTCAACATCTAAGAAATCTCAATTGAGCATTTGTACCTGGGCTTGGTGTACATGTTATATTGCAGTCCCGTAGCCAGGGGGGGGGGTTCGAGCCAAAAATTCTTTCAAAATCATGCAGTTTTTCACCATTCTGAGCACTTTTTAAGTGATTTTGGCCATTTTTGGACCAAAATTGTCAAAAGTGAACCCCTCCTGGAATTTTCCAAAAAGTGGACCCCCCTTGGCAAATCCTGGCTATGGGCCTGTATTGGATGAGATAATTCCAATGAGAAAGATCAAATACACTTTCTTGAGTAGGAAAAGTATCGCCTGGAGGTTTTCTGTGGTGATAAAAGTTTCCTGTATATTTTCACTCTGTTTGAAGAGAGGGAGACACTTGAAAACACAAACATAAAATAAAACATCAAGCGGATGATACCAACAACCAGGCAAGATGTTAGAGATGAGATGCAATCATTTGCTGTATCAATGTACATGTATTTATCACAATCAAAAATAAGAGAGACTTTTAGGAGTCATAAGTTATTGTTTATACCAAAAACTCCGATATTATAAGTATTTTTACGTAACAAACGCTCCATAAGTTAAATGTTATACGGGAATAATAAACATGATATATGTGAGTTGCAAAATCTCTCTAATATCTCAAGACATTTTGGTCAACAGAGCAAGCCACAGTAATTCAAGTAAACATATACATGTCATAACTCTTCAAAGTAAACACAAAATAATATGAAAATAAATATCAAAGGAGCATTTTGACATGATCAACATCGAAATCTGAAATGCAAGGGTGGAGGCATATGCTATGGATTAGTCATTATGTTCAGATATGCTGTTACACCATTTGCGCTCACCTGTCTTCCACCTAGTATGAAGACGAACAAGAATCCACAAAAAAACAGCTTGGGTTTGAAGCAATTCGACATACTTGAAACCTGCCAGTTAAATAGCTAGCTCGATTTCAGATTCAGAAATGAGTCTAAATCTTCAGACGTTTGGGAGAAGTTTATGCAATCATTCTATCAGTTACACGGACCATATCAAGAGTACCTACAATATTAGATAGTCATGCAAGCTAAGATATCAGAGAGAATGAAACATTTATGAGTAGACCCCCTTGTGTATTTTGGCAAACGCAATAGTATTCAGCACCTGCATGTTAAACAAGATACCATGGGATGATTCATTGCCCAGTTTACTTCATAGTTCCCACACAAGACTGAATACACTTATCTTTTCTGCAGTTACGAGGGGTGATTCAAAAGTAATGGACAAAATTTTATAGGCATACTAAATTTCACCCAATCAGTCTAATTTTTTCACAGTGAATAGATCAATCAATTCTCTACTTTGTGTCGAATTCTCATTTAAATGCAACTGAAATTGTTTCAGCTATGCGTAACCATGGTAACAAGGGTAAGCATGGGTGGAATTGGTTTTTTAATGATAATTGAATGTTTTTGTCATTTTTGCTTGATTTCGTTTTAATGACTCAATTACCACACATATGTCTAACAAGCATGGTAATGCAATTGTCAAGCAAGACTCACATGCCCATGGTCTACATGACCTGTAATAAATAGGTATAAGGGACGTTATTATCACAACACTAATGACATTGCTCAATTTTTAAAGTTACTTTCCATGCGTTATACAAAAAATAATCGAAATAAATTGATATTGTCTTGGGCCTTCCAGATCGCTTTAGATCTAAGACTCTCGTATCCCCTTCACTAAAGTCTTTGTACCATCGCTCAATGGCTTGCCTTGACAAGGCCTTGTCTCCATGTGTCTCTTTTATTTTCTTGACAACTGCCTGCCTTGTCTCTCCAGTAGCTACCAAATATTCAATAACAATCCTTTGCTTAACTTTGATTTGTTGTAAAGTAGACATTTCTTGGATGTGTGTGAGTCTAAGAGTCTGATCTACTTTCTGACTCACTGTGACTCATCATTCTTAGAAATATCATTGTGATGTTATAGCACAATTGGCTGCTGAATTTAGAACTCAACAGCAAACACATGGGCATGTGAGTCTTGCTTGACAATTGCATTACCATGCTTGTTAGACATATCATGTGTGGTAATTGAGTCATTAAAACGAAATCAAGCAAAAATGACAAAAACATTCAATTATCATTAAAAAACCAATTCCACCCATGCTTACCCTTGTTACCATGGTTATGCATAGCTGAAACAATTTCAAATGCATTTAAATGAGAATTTGACACAAAGTAGAGAATTGATTGATCTATTCACTGTGAAAAAATTAGACTGATTGGGTGAAATTTAGTATGCCTATAAAATTTTGTCCATTACTTTTGAATCACCCCTCGTATAACTTAAGTTTTTTTTCTTTTTCACTCTCATAAATATTATTTAATATTTTTTTAATGTTACCTTAAGTATCGTTAAACTCATCTTAGACATACATGTAGTTGTATTTTTAATTTTACCATTTGTGCTTTCGAGCTTTCTCTCTAGTTATGCTTGAAATGTTACCCCTTGTGCTTTTCAACTTACTTATTTGTGATCTCTAATGTAACCCTTTGCATTTTTCTGTTCAAATATGCCCTCAGTTATGTTTTTAATGTTACCCTTTGTGCTTCAGTTTTGGTAAGATGACATATGCCTGTGCAGTTCAAATCCCTAGTGCTTCCAGATTCCAAATTCTTGAATCTTGATAATCAAAAAAAAGTTTTTTAAGATGAATACATATATAAAATAATGAGGTCACTATAACCCATAACCTTTAATTAAACAGTAATCATTGAACTCAACTGAACATTCGGTTCAAGCCAGTCTCATTTCCCGTTTTTAACTCAAATTTAGGGTTGAAGTTTTGAGATGAATATATCAGGTCAAAAATGCTAAAATATGCTAAAATATGGTTATTTGAATAAGGTTTGTTTTTTCGCTGGCAAGATAAATGAATACGAGCTACTTGAGCTTGTTAGATATGGTAGCCCAACAGTTGCTAAGGCTGTGTAAACTCATTTCACACCCTACATACTGAGTTATAAAAACAAGGCAAGGGCCGCTCTATTTCTGGAAGCCACTAGAATATACACGAAAAAACAACTTCTTCACAACTTTTTCGCTATTACCTAAGATAGGAAAGCGGATCTATGAGACCTGCTGAGTTACCATTATTCATAGTACTGAGGTGTTCTCAGGGGGTTAGCACTAATTACTAGGAGAACAGACTGATGTGTCAGTTACCATGAAAATGCCAAGCAATTTGAGATCGTATCTGCTATTCTTGAGATTGAATGATAAATCACCATTGACTTGGCATTTCTGTATTGAAGAAAGATGCATGAAATAAACTTCTACCATAAAACATCATAAGTCAATAGTATAGAATTTATAATAGAATGTTCTAAAGATAAATCATCAAAAATTAGAGCATAAAATATTTTCAGAAAGGTTGCTATGATAGATTCTAATAATGAATTTTATTCATCAGGGGTTTCATTAGCAGCAGGCAACAGTTGATTTTCGCCTGTTATTTTTAGGGACTTTTCAACTTTTCCATGTTAAATTTATGATTTCCATTAATTTTGCTTGTTTTCATTTATTTAGCCTCTTGTGAGAAATTCTGTTGAAACCACTTATTCATATACAATTGTATACATCTTAAAGGTAGACCTAGAAAGATGATTTTTAAGATAATTTACCAGATTACTCATTCTACTAACAAAACTTAATCTATGGTTTAACGGTTTCCAAAAATTTAAATCTAATTGAAGTCTGAAGGTTTAATCAGGTTTGATTCATACATCTTGGATTTCCATGGTTTCAAAAAATCAAACTGGGAAGCAAATAATTGACTTTCCCAGAGGCCTGTATGTGATTACAAGTATTTTTCTGTTACTTGATTTTAACATCATTCTAATTGTATGTTATAGCTTTAAAACATATGTCCTGCATGTTCAAGCACTAATTAAACATATTAAAACTGGGAGGGTCTGATAGCCCATATAAATTACCTTTGAAGCAATTATATTTTAAGGCCAATGCAAATAAGTGTTTTCGAATCATATATCACATTCAATTTTCATATTTTGCACAAAGATGAAAGGCTTTATTCTTATTATTGAGCTGTTTATATATATATCACACCGAATTAAAGGCACCAAAATAAGTTTATAATTCATTTAAGTCAGGGTGGATTATTAACATACATTTAAAACACTGAAATTAGTTATAAAAATTATGAATATAATGTCAGAATTAGAATGAGAGATACTGAAGGGATTTTTTAAGTCAAGTTCCTATTTCAAAAAGGTGCAAGGGGTCGCATGATTAATAAGAATATCGAACAGCTAAAGAAATGAAAACAGGCAAATTTATTAGAAACTATAATTGAGGTTTGGTGAGACATATAAAATATTTGTTAAACACTGTGTTAATTATTTTGGCCTGTGATATACCTACAATATATGTCCCAGACACTTCAATTCTTCATACAGGTGTCAATGTTACATTTAAATGGCTGTGGTTCTTTATTTATTACTTCTACTACTACACAAAATGTGAACTTTGTCAATCTTGACCAAATTTTTATCTAATCCAGGCATCGATTCAAATATGTTAACAATAAGGAACAGTGACTCTAAATATAGAGTCATGAAAACTTATTTTCTTTCAGTAAAAATTATTTTTTGTAATCATGCCAAACTTTTGAAGCCTGCAATTTTGTACTGGCTGTGATCTTGTTAAATCAGCAAGAATGTTGTTCTATGTATATATAATCCTTTAAAATCTTGCGAGTAAATATAAATCGGTCAAAATGAAAGCTAACTGTTTGTTAGTTCATAATACTACATTCTTAAATGAAGTTAGCAAACAGGATTTGGTCTTAGCTGGGAAAACTACAAAAAGATCATTTCTTAAGGTCAAACAAGTTGTAAAACATATCGTCAATAAATTTAATTAAAGATTGAGCAAATAAAATCGTTAACATCCACAGATGTACTTTTATCATGTCATTGTTTCTAAAATACTCGTAAACATTTCAAGTAATGCAGCAACTACATAAAGTTATGTGTACTATGCCTACCGCTCATATAGTACAATCACTTTATTTGTATATATTTCTAAAGACAAGTGTTTGATTAAATATTCCTACTGATAAGCTTAATAAGTATGAATTCACTTCATAAATTTAATTTAAGTCAAATATTAACCAGCCAAAGTATAGGATAACATAATGCCAAGTAACAATAGTCTTGTAACCTATGAGTGCCTATATAAGAAAAACACCATTGAACTTTCAAGGCCCAAATTATCGAACAGCTATCCCAGTTACCTGAAATTACCAGTTACAAGAACTTTGAAATGCAAAACATAGCTATATACATGAAATCATATATTTTAAATTATCATCTTACTAGCTTCTACTGAATAATTTTATATCTACATACCTGTAAATCTTAAATCTTATTTATCTAATATATCCTTAACATGAAAATTATAATCATCAATACCTTCATGTATACAGTACATTTTAACTCTATTGAATTTACTAATAAGTAATAACCACTATTCATAAATCATTCAGTTTGTTTAAGTATACTTAATAAGGAAGGGAGTAACAGTTTGAAGGATAAGGGCGGTATTAACTTAAGATCAACTATTGGGAATACTTTGAATGTAAAAGCTGGTTGAAAATCAATATATTTGAATACAATGGTGATAAACACATGCATAGGGTCTCTTTCAATAGGCTGCATAACATAATTGAAGGTGGTTGTTTCCCATAACAGCAGGTGGAAAAGATGCAATTTCCTGTGAAAGCATACAAAAGTACATACATGTTTACAAAGTTATATTCCAAATCATAAAAAGGGAACTTTGCATTCAAAAATTAAAGCTAATATTATCATGACTTTGAAAATAGAGTTGAAAAATCTAGACAAATACAAAATGTTCATGTAATCCAGGGTAGAATGTGTATTTTCGATATGAATTTATGAAAGGTATTCAGCATATATACCTACATGTAGTAAACATTGTTTTGTATTTTTGATAGAAAAACCTACAGTCCGAATCACTTTTTCTGTACATCAATCAAACTTAAAAAGTAAGCTATCAAATTCATACGGAGGCTACTTCGACATTGGGGTTATTTCAACCATGGTCGATAATTCAAATTTCCATGTTCGGGCATCTTGAATTAAGATCTTGCCTACTAAAGATTTGATTTATTTCTTAATTTTTCAAAATACAAACATGATGGACTGTATAGATTGAACAAATGTCAAAATAGCCCCATGACGAAGTAGCCCCATATATCAAAGTTCAAAGAGGACCATTATATGTTGGATCGTTGTGGTTTGGCTAATAAAAACTGTAACCTCTTGTGTTTTAATACTTCTCAGACATTTGTTAAGTATATAGCCAGAATTACATAACGCAAAAACTTTGTCTGACTGTGAGTCAAACCCGGGACAAGCAATAGGTTTCAGCTTGGTTCTGCCAATGAGACAGTGGCTTGACTATGGTTTACTGCACATGAAACTAAAAAGTTCTGCACCTAAATTATAAATGTTCTTTTCTATATATAACTTGCACAGTTTGATTGTTATTGGACTCGGCCTGTAATTTTGTATGCCAGATTTCAATCATAAATTTCACACGATGACCCTTTTGCCAGTTATGGCCTGGGGACATTATCAGATCTAAACCTAACACTAAATATAAGTCAGCATTTATAACTACTTATAATATGTTACTTGATGACTTCTAGTTGGTCTCAATCCATGTCTAAGGTTTAGATAAGATATTGACTAAAATGTCAAAAATAATTCAAAATGAGCTCAAATTTGACTCAAATTTACTCCAAGATTCCAAACAAGTGATATAAAATTTGGACAAGAGTCTCAGTCCTAGAGATGCAGAAAATACTCACCTTTAACATGATGTAATCAAAACGTCAATCGAAATCTGTTCTGCTGTTGAATATATCGAAAACTTATCCAATGACCTAAACTCGAAACATCTTTTTCCAAACTTCTTGGCTCTTAAACTTATGACGGTGTTTTATAATCACTAAATTTTTAATTTGCAAAGTGATTACAATTTTTAATAAAATGCTGTTTTTTAGTTATCAATTATATGTTGATATTTTATTTTATTCATTAGATTGTAAATAAATGTATTTAGAAGTATTTTGAGTAAAAGGGCAAAAGAGAAAGATATTTATGTATTTCGTGACATACTGAACGCATTCATGCAGGTGCTTTCATGACAGAACAAATTATCAATAATAATAACTTGTTCTTATCATCATTATCATATATAAATCCACCTCATCAAGTATTAATGAAAATTAAACTATCTTAATAAATCTTACAAATATTGATAATAATAATATAAAAGTGAAAATTGTATTTAGATTGAATGTAAGTACCGTAGTATTTTAGTTTAGAGCTCTCGTCATGGCTGTGGTAAGAAACATGTTTTTATTTTATTTTTCATTTTATGTGCCAAAACTGCATTTTCCAATATTCCATATCAGTTAAAGTAAATGCGAATCAAAAAGACAGTTTTCTATTGTTTTGACAATTTGCCTGTAGGGCCTTGATCTTACATGAACATGATGTTTTTCGGATTTGGGCCCAAGGTTTCTCCCAGGGTTCCATCGATACTCTAGCCTAATTTCAAATGTAACATAAATGTCGGTTATCGAGTCCTACGACCATTTAAGATTGTGGCCGTACGCTCGAACCATTGGTCAGTCAATGTTTTTTACAAAGTTGGAGAAAAATACTACGCATTGCATACTAACATGGGCTTTCAATTAGAAGGGTATGCAACTCTGTGTAATAACATTAGATCTTCAAAATGAACAATGCCATGCTTCCCTTTTATGGTAATATTTCAAAAAGTATTAGATAAATGTATATGTTTTAGTATTATTTTGAATAAAAATCAATTTTCAATATGATTAAGGCGACGCTATATTAAATAAAAAGTACAAAAAATGACTGCCATATTGTTTTGATAAAGACACATGTTTTTAAAATCTGTTTACCTTGTATATGAATTGTGTATCTTGACTAATGAAGCATGTCAAAGTTAACATCACACATAAACGCATTTTCCAAACTATGAATTGGAGGTGCATGGATCCCCAAAGCTAGCATGAAGAGTGCGAAGTGAGGCTAATTTTTGAAAGTTTCAAGGAGTAGCCTTGCAACAGTCACACATTTGCAAGAGTCTAAAATTTCCACAAATCATCTTACCTTACCAAGGAACAACGAAGGAGCACGAAAATGTGTACTTCTTGCATTGTTAGAGTATAATAAAGCTCAAACCATTGTGAATTCTAAATATTTCATGTCCAACATTTTGTTTCCTGGAACTATTTTTTAGTCCAGAGTTATCTTCATTCATGTTTCCATTGTTTATCATTCATAAAGCCTCTATCATGTATCTATCATGATAATTACACTGTAATAGATAAAACATACAAGTGATAATCCATGCCACTTGGTGTAGTCACAAAACTTGCATGAGGATTAATCAGGAAGTCTAGAAGTAGTTCCGGCAAACAAAATGTGGACATGAAATATTTAGAATTTACAATGGTTTGAGCTTTATTATACTCTAACAATGCAAGAAGTGCACATTTTCATGCTCCTTCGTTGTTCCTGGGAAAGGTAAGATGATTTGTGGAAATTTTAGACTCTTGCAAATGTGTGACTGTTGCAAGGCTACTCCTTGAAACTTTCAAAAATTAGCCTCACTTCGCACTCTTCATGCTAGCTTTGGGGATCCATGCACCTCCAATTCATAGTTTGGAAAAATGCATTTATGTGTGATGTTAACTTTGACATGTTTCATTAGTCAAGATACACAATTCATATACAAGGTAAACAGATTTTAAAAACATGTGTCTTTATCAAAAAAATATGGCAGTCATTTTTTGTACTTATTATTTAATATAGCGTCGCCTTAAAGCATAAAATATATTCAATCTCATTTAAAAGTAAACAAAAAAGACCAATAAGAATAAGGGTATCAAGATGTGCTCTTCAAGTATTGCATTGTGGGTAATTATTCAAGAACACATTCCAAAAAATATATAATTTGTGGGTGAATGTTCACTTTCTGTATTGTCATAATTACAATGAATTCCATTTTTTATTAAATTATCAACATGTATGTAGATGATCATGTTTTTATTTTTGAGTTATTTCTTTAAATCATCTATAAAAAGGACAAAATAAGATTTTCTTGGAATGTGTACATTCTCCAATTTTGAAAAGCCAAAGGCAATGCTTATGTATGAAATATGGGAAGTTGCCTACCCTTCTAGTTGAAAGCCCATGATACTAATGACCTAAAGTCATTTTTTTTATTCTGGGAATCAGTTCATATGGTTGAAATAAGGAAAGAATGTGATGTAACCAAGTGTCTACTTACCGGCTTGTCTATGTCATCCATCGGACTAGGTTACATCGTGGAATGCAGCCAAACACGACAATGAAGCAAGTATTCTGAGGTTATAAAATCTAAATCTAAATAATTTCCCATTTGCAGCCCCTTGGAGATTTCCGGAATTGAACAAAATAGCGAACGTTGCGATCTATCAACTTTAGTTCGTTCTTTTTCACCACCTTAGGTGTAGTGTTTTCATTTAGGAGGCGGTCTTATTTGAATGCATCATTTCAGGTCTTTATGAATCAAAAGATCAATAAGCAGACTAAAAATACAATTTAGCAGTTTCTTTCATTGCTTACTGCGCCTGTTAGGCACGAAATACAATTTAGCAGTTTCTTTCATTATTGGGCCTTCTATAATCAGTAGCAAATGCTCGGAAAACATTTTCCAAAATATTTACTTCCGTTTTCCTTGAAGACATGGTTGGGTGACACGTCATTGACATGTCATTAAGTCACGTGATCGATACAGTAACTAGTCACGTGATCAGACACGTGTCACGTGTCAGTCAAGTGAGCTTGCAAAATGGACGATCTAAATTTTTAAAAATTCGGCTAAGATCAAGATAGATATGCTGTTGCCTTCAGTGTCGTGTTTGGCTGCGTCCCACGATGTAACCTAGTCCGATGGATGACATAGAACAAGCCGGTAAGTAGACACGTGGTTACATCACATTCTTTCCTTATTTCAACCATATGAACTGATTCCCAGAATAAAAGAAATGACTGTACCTCGATACATTCATTAGTATTTAGAATACTTTTTATGTATTGCCAATTGTATGTAAAAAAAATGTATTAGTAAAAAAATCTGTGTGAAAAAGCGTCTATTACTTTTGATCAAAATTACAAAACAGGAAGTGACAAAACCATGTTAGGTTTCAAACATTTTTTGAGCCAAGTTCTGTTTTGACCTCCAGTCAGTTTAATTAATTCCACATATCATTTACATGACCAGAAACACAATGAAAATGGTCAGAATGACCCTAAATATGATGAAATAACTTTTTCAGCCCTCTGAAAATATGACTGAAAAATATCTAAAAGTAGGTGCTTAGGAAAGGTCACTGAACAGAATCTTTTGAATTTTTCTGAAAGAGTGCCCAATATATTACTCTAAATGATATAATCTTTGAAAAGTTGATATCATTCATAGAAAAGTAAAAAAAATGAAAAAAAATGAACTGAATTTTCTTTTTTATGACCGCCATTTTTGTTTCAGACAATTTTCTAAAATTTCAAAGATTGTATCATTTAGAGCAATTTATTGGGCACATTTTCTAAAAAATTCAAAAGATTCTGTTAAGTGACCTTTCCTAGGCTGTTTGAAATCCAGCATGATTTTGTCACTTCCTGTTTTGTTTGTCATTTCCTGTTAAGTTCCACGGCACCTTAAAATTTGGGATTGAAAACATTTGTTTACATAGAAAGTGCCATTCAAAATGGCTGATGGAGTAAATTAATTTGCATATTTGTTACTTCCTAAAATTGATAATTTTGTGCAAAAAATTCACTGCAATTCTAACAAAAAATAAGGTTGACAGACTGAGTTCTAGGCAGTCTTTCAGATACAGACTAAAGTCAATATCAAGATGGAACCCTGGGAGTTATCCTCCTTGATTCGGGGTTCTAGATTTCTAGTCAAGATCAACCAGTTTATCTAGCTAATGCGCCCAAGCCTTAAAAATGTCACCTTATATTTCATCCAGTCATAATCTGTCATATTTGTACAAAGAGTACATTATTGCACTTAAATTATTATTTTGAGTTTAAATATTTCTCTACAATCAGGGGTTTCACTAGAATTTCTACAGCCATCATTTTAATTCTGGACCCTCAATGCATAAACAAAGTGACTCTACAACTATTTACTGCACAACTAATATTCATACATTCTTTGTGCATAAACATTTTAATATCTGAATATGTGGATCTACCGTAACATTTACTGTAGATTGGGTTAATTTGGCGCTACTTAATTTGGCGATTTTGCCATTTTTTGCATATTGGCGGCTATTTAATTTGGCGGATATGCGAAAAAAAATTGTTTGCGAATTACCATGTAAATGGGCATATTTGGCTATGTTCATTTTTTGAGGACCACTGGCGATATTCACCACGTTTGTACATTTTTGTGAGATCATCCTTTACATTTTGCACCTCGATCGATGCTGCTACAATACCACACTTTTCCTTTCCAGTTCTTCCCTGAGTATTAATGAGTGACTGACCAGTTCTGAGCCAATTTATGAGAGACATTTTTTTCATATTTTTGGGAAAAACTAAACAGGAAGTGACCTAAATACACTGGACGTAATACCTTAGATAATTCCCGGGGATTCATTCTGAATTTTGGCGAAGATTTATATTGGCGAATTTTTCAATTTCGCCAAATTAAAGCGGGCGCCAAATTAACCCAATCTACAGTATTCACGAGAGGACTATTTCGTCTTTAAGATATTAATATTTATTTTCTGTAAGATTTGGAGAAGATTATTGGGTATGAGGTGAGATATTAGGAATACAGTGCTGGGTGAACATTTTTTGTTTGGTGCTCCTGCTCTTTTTCTTAGGTACACAGAGAGTAACTAGGGATAGATTTTCATTACAGTTGATTCTATTATCTGTTCTGTGGATCCTATGCCTGTGCCCACAAATCTATTTTTGAATATTTTTTGCATTATCTCCACAGAAATTACTGTATTGAAAAATGGAAGTTTTTTGAGTGAATTAATTTCAGTTTTTGTTTTTAAAGGGAACCTGTAGAAAAAAATGCTCCAAAGTAACCCAAAGTCTTAAATAATGCAAAATCAATGTGATTTTTCAGCGAAGAAACAAGGGGTCTAAAAAATCAACCAAAAACAGGAAAGTGAGCCGTGTCAAACTTTCAAATAAGAAACTCAGCAAACTAGCAAAACAGGGTAAGCTAGGCCAGTTGAAGAAACGACGCCAGTTATTGCGGGCTAAAAGTGGGGAACCTAACGATGAAGAGACTGATGATGTCACTGAAGAAGTAATTGAAGCCCCACTTGAAGATGCTGATTATGAATATTTTGGTACTGGAGGAAAAGGTCATAGATTTTTAGCTAGTTATGGAGAAAGGTATGAAATTTTTAACTCACATGCATTGAAACTAGTGAAACTGTGTATTTAACAAATTATCATTTATAGCTTAGCACTTTGAAAGTCTTTCACATCAAAAATGTATAAATTCAGTACAGTCATACTTCAACACTAAGAACACATAAGACTCTCTAGAAGTCACACCTTTGGTGAACTTATCTGGTACCATTAGAAATAGTACTGTATAATACTAATTATCTGCAATCTGAGACCTTCACATATTACTTGTTTATAATTAGAGATAAAAATGGAAAGAGGAAAATAGCAGAAGATGAAATCGAGGACAGATATGAACAGTTGCCAAGGAAACAAGCACGTGTAGAAACAAAGGCTCTGCTCCCAGTGAAGGACAAGCAGGGAGTAAAGCAGAGGCATGTTGTAGTTCAGTCCAGTAAGTAACATTTTACCATCTTATTGCATATCCTTTTTCATTTCACAATACTCTATGGTAAGAAAATATAAGGAGCAACATCACAAAATCAAAGAAATTATCCAGCAAACATGATACTTCAAAATAACAGGATTGAAGTAGTACTCCTGGGATTGTTAATATCTTGATGTATTTGTTTAAATTTGCTTCTGTGTTCCTTCAATCAAGATAAAGGTGACCACTGTCCATAGGATAGTCTACAATAAGGGTCTACAAATTGTGAACAGTTTAATGACTTGTTTTGTCTATTTACAGATGGTGCTGATGAAGCTGCATCAGATAATGAAGAAGAAGAAGCCAAGTCAGTTGAACCCCCTGCCCCAGCATCTATCACTGAACTGTTTCTCACCAGACAGCAGAGGGTTGCTGAAGTGAGGCAGAAGGTCGCAGTTCTTGCTAGTGCTGTCGTAGAAAACCCACAAGATAATGTAAGTGCCTATAACCAGTGAAATGTAACAGAACACCATACTAGACAAAAAGCAATGTAAATGTTATATGTTCCCAATATTGTCTTGTTACTATACACTGATCTTTAGCAGGATAAAACTTACTGGAGTTAGTCTCATCCAAAATATTGGACCAAGTTTATTCCATATCAATTTACCATTAATATCATTTAAGCCAATTAAAGTCTTGATTCCATATATTTTGCCAATGCAAGCAAATAAATGAAAATTGTAAACAACTGCTACAAAGAAATTCTCATTTTAAAAATTGGAATTTTTTAAAAGAAAATGGATTCATTAAGGATGAGGCTAACCTTTTTTTACATTTGATAAAGCTGAAACTAATTATTATTATAATATTTTGCAGACAAAGAAGCTGAAGGAGCTACGTGCAATGCTTGAGGAGACAGATCCTCATATATTCCTGACTGTGCGCAAATTGGCCATGGTGTCTCTCCTAGAGGTGTTCACTGATATAGTTCCTGGGTATCACATAAGACAAGCCACTGACAAAGAGAGGCAGCAGACAGTGAGTTGACCCCCCCCCCCCCCCCCTTTGTCCCCTGTAGTTCATTGGGGAATTGCCACACTAATACTCTGTTTTCTACATTTTCCAAGTGAAATTCGAAATTATAATTTATAGGCCTTGTAGTTAAATATCCACTTAAATATAACTTCTGTCTCGCTTATTTCAATTTTTGGATCACCCATTGAATAGTTCATAAAGTTGAAGCAATTTCTGTTCAGCTTTTCATGAAATGATATCTGCTGCAAATTGTAAAATTGACAAGTGAAAAATATGCAATCTTTGAACAGGTTAAAAAAGAGACCAAGAAACTGAGAGAATATGAAGAAACATTATTGCGGCACTACAGACTTTACCTAGAGTTCTTAGAAGCAACTCTAAAGTCAGGTAAGCATTGTATGATTCATAGGTCAGACAAGCACCAAGGTACTGATCTTGGCCCCACCACTAACATCATCACAGTTGTTTTATGGGAATAAAGTGGAAAGTTCTTAGGTCATGTAAAATGAATAACCTGACTTGATAATCTTGAGCTTTAACAGGTCATCAGTAAGTTCTGAGAAATAATGCCCTTAAATAAAGAATGTTTCATTTCAAATATAATGTCAAATATCAGCTTGCATATTGACATAGTATGCACATAAGGAAATATAATTCAGTAGTAGTAAAAGGAAATGTTAACATTAACTTTCACTGAAAATTCAAAATACATATACTTATGAATTAATTCCAATTGTTATTATGTCACCATCAGAAATGGTGACATATTGTTATAGTCTCCATCTTTTTTGTGGATGGTGATTGGCAGTTGGTGTTTTGTGTTTGGCATTCTGCATATGCATTGGGTGGTATGTGTCTGTAACAAATGGCAGGTTGTGACATGTTACATGTAAATGCCTTCTTTTTGATTGTTGTACCCAGTAGTACATGTACATTATTTTGTAAATAAAGTTAAAATCATTTCTTATTGCTTGCTTTATACTTGTAGGGATCAAACATGGTAATGGTGTAAACAAGAAATTACCAGAGCAAGCTGGTAAAGTTCTCTCCCATCTGGCTGTGAAATGTCTCTGTCGTCTCCTAGTAGAGAACCACCATTTTAACTACACAAGCAATATTATTACCATCCTCATGCCATACTCTACACACAATGATCCGATGGTAAGTGACACTTTACTAGGAGAAGATAATGAAAATGCACAGGGAAAAGGTAGTACCATAAGCTAGAATGAGTTTGCTCAGGATATCATCAGTTCAACGAGAAGCCTTACATATACATTCATGTACACCATTAACATTAGTTATTATTCTGCAACAAGCTCAAATTATGTTGGGTTCTGGATGGTACCTTTGTGATTGTGATAGCTCAATATCAAAAATAACTGAATCACTGGAAACCAGTTTCTTGTTTATTAAAGCAGATGTAAATATATTTCATATTGTTGTTCCACATCCAATATTTTGCATAGTTGACATACACTTTCATTCAAGACATATTTCTTTAGGGTAATATCTTAGACGTTATTGGTTATTTCTTTTTACATACAGGTACAAATGATTACCTTTCATCTAAATTGCTGATTTTAAGGTGCGGATACTACTTTAATGTACATTTGTTGGTATCTCTTTGTCCAAACAAGGTATACAAGTATGTGTACATATTATTGCTTGGTATTCCAGATATGTACTGCAGTTCAAGATGCTGTGAAGACTGTCTTCAAGATAGACCATAACCAGGGCCATATAACACTTCAGATCTGCATCTTACTCAGTCGACTCATCAAAAATAAAATTAATAAAGGTGTTCGAGTTGATCCCAAGGTAAAGAATTTTCAGTCTTAAGTACAGAATATTTTATGGTTCAAAAAGGTTTGTAATTTTGCCTTTTTTTATGTCATCACCAGAAGTAGTGGTATAATGTTATACATTTAGTTTCCATTGGTTTTTGGTGTCTGTAACAGCATTTGGAGGTTGTTGTCTGTACCAAATGGCAGGTGGTGACAATTTTCATGTAAATGCCTTGTCTGGATCTGTCCTGAAAATAAAACTCAACTTGATATTGAAACATGCATCCTTCTTATTTTGTAATTATAAGTGTTCCACTGTTGGCTTTGTTAGACAACTCTTTATGCACAATAAAATTCAAGAAGATTCGATCAAAATTGAGATAATAATTAATAAACTTGAACATTTTTCTGTTTCACTCTGTACTTTGTTTATGCAATGCTCATGGAGTCATTGTTGGAAAGTTGGAAAAATATATTGAAAACGAACTAACAGAGATCTTTCTTGCTCATACGAGTATGCATTTTTCAGTCTACATGTAACTGTTTTTGATTTATTTGCAGGCGATTGATGTGTTTCTGGCATTACGGATTAAAGAAGTTGACTTCGATAAATCATCTAAGAAAGACAAAATGACTCATAAAGAGAAAATGCAAAAGTTTTCCCGAAGGAATAGAAAAGTAAGTGCTTATTATGAGAGAGAGCTTAGTATGTAATGAGAGAGCTTATTATGTTATGAAAGATTGAAAGTCTATCAGTGCAGCACATGTAGTATGTTTGACCATATTTTTATATTGATCATATACATACTTGTACGAGTCATATTTTCCAAAATCCCAAAAGTCAAAATTGAATCATTCCTACCCATCATACATGTCATACATGAAACAAACATAAGTACTGTTAAGAGCTAAAACTTAATTCATATTACTAGGAGAACTATGGTTGCTTTCACAATTCAAATGTATGAGTGATCTATTATAGCCTGACTGTGTCATGATCCATATTTTTGTTAATGATATTTAATCATATTGATATTATGTTTTTATTTTAGCGCAATAAAGAGATTGAGAGATTAGATAAAGAACTTGAAGATGTTGCAGCAACAACTAATAGAAAGAAACGTATTGAACTGGTTAGTTGAATTATGTGATGTTTATACCACCCTAACTTATTTTTGATCTACCTTACAGCAATCGTGTATTACAGACAAGAAAAACATAATTTGTGACCAATCAATATTGAAATTGATGTAATGATATTACTACCAACTCTAAATCAACCATGGAACTCTTTACACATAGAAAACCATATTTCCAATTATAGTTAGATAATACATTCATATTTGCATCACATGATATCTACTTGCAGCACACGAAAATAGTTGAAGCAGTATTCTTGACATATTTTCGAATTCTCAAAAATTCTCAGAAATCACCACTTATATCTGCAGTATTGGAGGGCCTAGCCAAGTAAGTTACCGAAGAACTTTGAGATTTAGTTAAAGTATGGTTTTAGTTTGAAAATGTGAATCAATGGAATTGAATGAAACTCTACAATGATGTAAGCATCAACAACAAAATCTGAGGACAATTTAAATGACCTCTCTGGGGGTTGGCTGTCCGAATTACCATAACTTAAACAATGTTTCTGAAACTCAAACCAAAGGCATTCTCCAGAAGGTCCACACCCCAAATTGCAAAAACAGTTTAATAAAAAGATTATAAAAATTGGAGACAAAATACTTTTAACCAGCAATATGATCGGCCCTAATTCGCCATACTCTGACCAATCAAAGCTGAGTGTTTGGATCGACATACTGATTAATTGATTTTTTCATTTTTTCCTCAGGTTCAGCCACTTGATCAGCATAGACTTCTTTGATGATCTCTTCAATGCCTTGAATGGCCTCTTAATTACTGGGGTATGTAGCCAAATATTGGATTGTTTGCAAGAAAATTATGTTTTATATTACCATCAACAATAAAAAAAAAATTATGGTTTTAACATGAAGTCAGTTTCAAAACACCTGTAAATAACAAGTGGAATAATCTGAGAAAATTGCCCGTTGCTCATAAAACTGCTGGATATGTATATTCAAATTTTTTAAAATTGCCCTTGTAGTGTGTCATTGCACAAGCCTTCATGTAAATGTGTGTAAATGTAAATGATAATGAAGTAAGATTACCTATTGTATTTTTAAAGTAAATTGACTTCATCCTGAAGAATGAAGGAAAATACAAGACGCTAATGATTTATATGTTTAAAATTTCTTTTTAGGATCTTGACTATAAAGAGAGCCTGCATTGTATACAGACTGTGTTTACTATGATGTCAGGTCCAGGAGATGCCTTCAATGTGGATCCTGCCAACTTCTATACACAATTATACACTCTGATTTCTAACTTCACTCAAGGTCAGTTCATTTCACCTCATTGCCGATAATGTTGTCCTGTCAACAATGGCAATTTGTAAAAATGTAACCAATTGATTTTTAGAAATAAATGTGAAGTATGTAAAAAAAAATTTTCACCTAATTTATTAAAAAGCAATCATTATACAATATACAAGCATCCTTATGTACTGTCTTATACAGCCTATTAATTAAGTGCATGAGTAATACATGTATGCAAATGAGAGGGGGCACCCAAGAATTAATAGTTGAACACCTAGTGGTTCAATTTTGCATGGAGAAAGGTCCATCTATGAGTTCTGGGTTATTTCCTCTTCTTAAATATTCATGTTATTTTTGTGTTTTCAAATATGAATTAAATATATGTTTTTCATGCCATCTATAGGATAAAAAAATACACATTATTTACTTTTGAAATATTCTCATTTTAGATAAAAGCAAAGTTTGCACGGGTCCATTGTTAGACTGCTTAATGGCAGTTGTTGTAAAAAGAAGAAAACAGCTTAGTCTAGCGAGATTACTGTCCTACATTAAGCGTTTGTGTACAGTTTCACTTCAGCTGCCTACATATACAACTGTTCAGTTCTTAAAGGCAGCAAATACTTCATTACAGGTACAATACTAGTAATTTACTAATTTTAAGAAAAAGGAAAAAGTTGTAAATGGAAACTTTACAAATCATAACAGACTTACATTAGAAAAGACTAAGCCAAAGTGACTGAAACTTTCCATTGGACCTTTGAATATAAACATGGCTTCAAAAATATAAATCTGCCACTACTTCTAGATGTAATCATGTCCATAATCTAATTTTGCTTTGTATGCCAAAATAACAAAAAGAGATAAAAAAGACTTCAGGCAGACATTTATTTTCCATTTATCCAGTTGTATACACATAAACAGGCAGTACTTAAAGAGAGAATCAGATATAGCGAGCATGCTTAACAAAAAATTGTTTTAATTTTAGAATATTTTTGTCTCATGGTTTCAATCACAAGGGTGCATACTTTATTCCAGGAAAACTAAAGATTTTTACAGTTATGTATTATTTTTCTATAAGAATGGTTACCATTCTTATTATTTGGGAGAATTTAAACATTTTTTCACTCCTTTTTGCACTTTGAATCATTAATAACTTCATTAATTTATAACATATTGTGAATCTTTTGGGAGATATTGTATTTGATATTGTAAGGAATAGATTGGTAGGTCAATTATACATGTTGCTTGTAATTTTGTCACCCCCTATAGATCAGATTTTGCCTTTAAATTCATATTTTCAAAACCAGATTAACACATTATTGAACCAGATTAACACATTCAGGGGTTTCATTAGCTGCAGGTAACAGGCGATTTTCACCGGTTGTATTCACAAAACCGCCTGTTGTTTTTAGGGACTTTCCAACTTTTCCATGTTAAAATGACTTCCTTTTAATTTGCCTGTTGTTTTCATTTAGCCTGTTGTGAAACCACTGACATTACTGTAGTCTCTTTTTTAGACTTAATCCATAAAATAACCACTTTATTTCAGAGTCATCCAAAGGCAGATATGCTCTATGACTCAGAGGACTTTGGGGGAGGGGTGTACATGCAAGACTGTGGAGATCCAGAGATGGCAAATACACATAATACAGCTCTCTATGAACTGTACAACCTCAGGGTAATTACTTATCAACTATAATATACTCTAAAAATAAATGATAGGCTCATTTAAATAACATCAGAGTAATATAAATAGATCAAATTGTGTTTACCAATAAAACATCTCATTTTCAAAATCTCTTTTTACCTTTTCTTAATTCTCTCATTATTATATATCATAGTCTAGTCAATAAAATATATAGATGAAGATGACTTTGAAATTGTATATTTTTTCAGCATCATTACAACCCATCTGTAAGAAAACTAGCCAATCAGATGAGTCAGCAGACTTTGCAAAGCTAGCTCTTAATTCCTCAAGAGTTATGGCTATTTTAATCTAGGTGAGTACATTGGCTTTAATGTCATGTTTAGCCCTTATAAAGGCTTGTTAACGTATATATATATAAATATATGTTCCGAGACTTGAGAATTGATATGTCATTCAAATTGGAAACTTCTGATTTGGTTGGAGACAAGTGTAGACGAGGTTTCGCGAGTGGGTCAGATGTGACCGAGCAAAAGCCTAGATTCATTTATGAACAAAAAAACGAACAAATGACATCGATGGTGCAAACAAAACCTCTAACCACAGTGCCATCCCTGAAACTTGATTCAGTAGGGTTATTTTTTAAACATATGAATAACTTTGGAAAAAAATTGTATCACTACACAACACAATTAACAATTAAAAGAAAAATCATACTTAAGATTTTAAAATGCATGTCTGATTAAGTATTTTAAGCCAAAGGATTTAAGGATGTTTATTCCAGTTTTCATTTTGAGAATCTATTTCCTGTTATGACAAGTTTAAAGTGCAATTCCAATTTGAACCCATCTGAATAGAAAGATGAGGGTTTCTTGAGACATATATCTTGAAATCTCTAATTTCCCCCTCTAAAGTACTTGAAAGTTGTTCTAACATTTTAGAATAAATCATTTTTTGCTTACTTAAGAAATAATGTGTCATATATTGCCACAGTTATTTATGTTTGAAACAATGTAGAATTTATGTAAAAAATGAATTCAAAAACATGTTTAGCTATCACTTTTAAAAAACATACGGTTGCTATTCACAAAGTGATAAATTGCTTTGGCCTTACCCAGCTTTGAGTACACTATACTGTCTAGGGAATCAAAACACAACGACCCAGTACTAGACTAACTGCTTGGTGACATAAGCAAATATGTGTTTATATTCTGTTGAGGTATGAAATAGTAATGATTTGACCAAAAAAGGTAAAACTAGTACTTTGCCTTCTGTTGAAATAAAGGTCTGAATGTTACAGATGCTTGGTGTCATTGACTCCTGGTAATTTTCGTGTGCTACTATATTTCCTGCTACTATATTGTGTTGCGAAATTCCTGTAGTTCAAATTCACAAAATATATTTATTTTCAGTCCTGCCAAGCTACTCCACTGCAAAACCTGCTCCAAGAGTACCTGCATCGACACAGCTATTAAGTAAAACAAGCCACAAGTGGTCAAGTTTACACCAGTGAAATTGCTACTTATAGAGGGATAATAAAATGAATTGGACTTTAAGAATACAAACAGTCATATTTGTGAAGCTGCTGAAACATGCATTTTTAGAACTTTTAGGTTTCTAAATTAAGTGCCTGCTTATGGCGGAAGGATGAAATAAATTAATAGATTTAAACCAACATGAATCAGCTTCATTATAATGTATGCATTTTGGCATTTCTAATCCCCTTGGAAGAAATGTGAAAACTATTTTCTCAACTGCTCCATAATGAAACACCATTTTTATATGGCATGTCTCATCCAACATTCATTTTAGTGACACCCGGCAGTTGGCATCTCTAACAAACAGACTTGCCAACCTAAAAAGAAAAATTTGGGGATATCTGTAAAAAAAATTGCGGTACTTTCACGGAAGTTTTTTTTTTTAAATCCGGTAGTTTTTGTGGGAGGTTTTTTAAAAAAATCCGGTAGTTTTTGCAGTAGATTTTTGGAAAAACTTTAGTTTTTACAGTCGATTTTGAAAAACAGGAGTATTTTCAGTAGATTTGGAGGAAAAAACGGTAGTTTTTACGGTAGGTATGAAATAAAATGGAAGTTTTTGTGGACGTTTTTTTTAAAAAGGCGATTAACTCCAGTTTTTTTCGAAAAAAAAGAAGTAGTTTTTGCGGTAAATTCTAGAGATTTTTTAAAAAAACTGTAGTTTTTGCGGGAGATTTTTGAAAAAACTGTAGTTTTGCGGGAGATTTTTGAAAAAACTAGTTTTTACGGGAGATTCACGATGTGGCGGATTTATACGTGAATCTGTGACATTAAGAATAATGTTTAGTAAAATGCAATCGGAAAACAAAACAATATGACAAATAATATTGAGTATAAGGTTGATGATCGAATTGCTTACATGAAAGTTGGGCCAGAACAAGTAGTATGAGGGTCTGTTTGCTCAGTCTTTACATTACAAAAAAATTATACATTTTCCTGGCCGCGAAACTGAGAGTAAAAGAAAGACGGGCGACTATGATAATATCGGTTTTTTATGGTTCATTTATTCGATAATATAAGTCACAGATTTGTTAGATTTCTTTATAAAATAGTCGGTAGATTATAGCAAAAATACGGGAGATTTTATTGGAAATATCAGCAAAAATACGAGAGGCTTCAGCAAAAAACGGTAGATTTTACAAAAAAGATTTACAGGAGATTTTAGTCGAAATATTGTTCATGAGTTTACGGGAGAAAACGGTGTGGGAGTTTGTTTTTTTACGGAAAAACAAAATTTGACAGGAGATTCCCATAAAAACGGGAGGTTGGCAACTCTGGACAAATCTGTCACACTTTGCAACCATTTGCAGGTGACGAGATTTCTTATGTCAATGCCCTGTTAACTTTTTAATGTCAACATTTTGAATAAAGGTAGATCCATTAAATATGATACATGATGTTAAAATATAACAAAGAAACTTTAGCTACAAATCAAAGGCCTGACACCTGAAAACAAAGAAACTGTTTTCTAAAAGAAAAGAAAAATGTATTTTTTTACCAGGACCTCGATCCCGGGACCTCGCTGTTCTTTGTTGCAGTGTCTTCTTCACCTGAAAAATACCTGCACGCTAATAATAATTAATCATTACAGTGGCGGATTGTTCGTTAAATCAACTTCAAAAGGACCGGTTAACTTATGAAAATTGAAAGGTTAATCCGTTTGCCGACAGTCGACAGTGGCATTTGCGAATACAAGCTAAGATTTCGAGAAACGTTTGAATACATTATGTAAATACGATTGAAATCATTGGAATACTACAGTACTATTATAATATGTAGAACATTTGTTTCAGCTTCATTTGTTCAAGAACACAAAACTTTTTATCCGATGCGATACTGTTGCCTATTACATGGATGAGTCAGGTAATACCAAAATGATAATTACTAAAACTTTAACAGCGTGTCACAGAACCCCCCCCCCCCCAAAAAAAAAAGAAAATGGTTACAATGGTCAGTTATATAGAGGACGCTTACGTCAATCTGTCCAGGCAATAACTCAAATGCCGTCGGCCTAATATCATTTACATTAATTCACATATTAATCAGTAATAGTTCTGCTGATTAGCCAGTTTTGAAACGTAACCACCCATTTCAAAATAGCCGCCATTTCAGTGTCGATATTCCAGTATTTTAGTTACAATATACCGTATTATTAAACCTTTTTAACACAAGAAATTCCCACGCTACATTTTTATGTCTCCATCACATAGTGTGGTGCCATATTGTGGGCCTACAGATAAACTTAGGTCCTTGTTTCCAAACTTTAAGAAAAACTTGTCTAACGTGCCCAAAACCTATACTAAGCTGATGTAGTGTTTAGGCAGATGTTCGAGATTTAGAAATAGCCTATCGCGGTAAATTTTTGAAATATTTTAAATATTAAATAAGGAATGATTAGACAATAATTTTTGTTCGGTTGGGGTTGCTATTCCGTCATCCTCCTTGGCAGGTATCCAGAATCCGTACCTCCTTTGGAATTTGGAAGCGCCCGATTTAACTGAATCACGTGATCTAATTATGCAAGTGACTTGTACATGATTTCTGTCGCAGTGTTGCGACAGCCAATCAGATTGCGAGTTCTTAATCGTGGAAATGCTTAACTGCTTATCGCAGGGGGTAAAAAGAAAGAATATATTCTGGATTTTGAAGCTCTGTGATCGGAGGATGCTATTCCGTGGAGTTGCTGTTTTTCTAGTTCAACTAGAACACAACTAGGCTAGAAGTAGTAACACAGTGTCAGTTGAGGGTGTCCTTCAGAGAAGAAACATGTTCTTGGTTGCTTTCCTAAGCACATCAATCGTAAGTATATATATTTTTACTGCTTTTATGGTGATGTATATAACTAATATACATACATTATATATTTAACTATGAGAATATAGACGTACACTTTTTCATGTCGCTCTTGAAAATGCAAAAGTAGTTTTTAATAGAAAGATACATAACATCGAGGAAATTTTAACGTTCATTGAAGCTGAGATGACGTGCACGAAACTAAGACGACTCAAAAACAGACTTCTTCCGTCATGACATTATATTTTATATACTAGCTAATCAAATCACTATTATCTGTTAGTCTCAGCTACTATATGCCATTTTCATACGCTTTTCACCGACATTTTCAATGAGTATGAGATAGTATAGACCATTGTTTTTACTTAAGTTTAGTAAAATTTTGAGATTAGAGTTATTTTACAGATATCTTAAACTCGAAAAAGTATCAACATGCAAACGTGTTCATCCTTGGCCCAAGAGTAATTCATTGCAATTACATTAGCTGAGCTGCTATGAAAGCAGTGAAGGGCCGACCAGATGAAGAACCAACCTTGAAGGATGAACGTGTCGACATGGAAGTTGTTCACATGTTTTAATTGAATCCGATCTGCATTTTGAAACCTTTTATAAAACACCACCTACCAATAGGCCTATGTGAAACTCAACGCTCGATTTATTACGTGTGTTGAATATAAATACAGGGTGTCCCAAAAAAGGAAACCAGCAATAGATTGCTTATTTCTCAAATATGAATGATGATAGGAAACTTTCACAGCTACCATCTGATGGATTATGATGTCCTCTTTCGTATGATACCAAAGCTGTCTATTTTCCTTCACGGATGACTGAGTTATAAGGGATTTAAGTGACCATGTTAGAAATGAGTTTGTACCACTTTCAGCCAAGTCAATTTCACCATCATAACAAAGTGAAAAGTAACAACAAACATCAGGATATTACACATTACACATATCATATTTAACACCCCTTTTAAATCCCAATGTCCATTCAAAGTTGTTTTAACCCCAGTGTCCTTCAACATGACCCCCATTCCTTTCAATGCAAATGTCTGCCCTTGATCTCATCGCACGTACTGCATCCCTGATGATGTCTCTCTGTCCCCTTAGATCCTCCACTGCTGCGACAATCCTGGCCCTTAGATCATCAACGTCTCTTGGTGGTTTTGTGAAGACTTTACCCTTGAGATAACCCCAAAGGAAGAAGTCGCAGGGTATCAGGTCTGGAGATCTCGGTGGCCACTCAATCTCGTGGTTCAAGGCGTACTCTAAACTGATCAGCAACCTGCTGAAGGCTCCCACTTCTGAGCCACTCACTTACTACGAATACTCTTTGATCTTGGGTCAGCTGCATGAATGCTTGTTCAGAAATGTGTATTTCGAATAGGACATGGTCTTGGATAGCCATTTTAATCCCTCATTGTTCAGCCATTCATGACAGAAAAAGTGGCACAAACCAATTTCTGACATGGTCACTTAAATCTCTTAGAACTCAGTCATCCGTGAAGAAAAATAAACACCTTTGGTATCATAAGAAAAAGGACATCATAACCTATCAGATGGTAGCTGTGAAATTTTCCTATTATTATTCATATTTGAGAAATAAGCAATCTATTGCTGGTTTCCTTTTTTTGGGACACACTGTAGTCAAGATGAAAAGTTTTGCACCAGAATGCAGGTCAGAGGTACTGAAAAATAAAGTAATACTGAACAAGTACTGAAAATTCTTTAAAAAAAGTCAAAGACCCTATTCACATTTTTTGTGATAACGTCCACTTTCATTCCCAGATCCTGTCAATGGGGGTTGAAGGTCTGGCAGACCAACCTTCTGTTGAGGAACTGAGAAAAGAGATTGGTTTTAACATTACGCTAACTACATTTTGGGACGAAGCTGAGCGACAGAGTGCTGAGATATTCTGGGCCCAGCCTACCACAGTCAAAGAAGTAAGTAAATCACAGTACATGATCGAAAAGTTAACCAAACAGATTGCACTGAATATGATAAACCATAATAAACAACAAACAAGACACTGCAGTGAACCAGTCCAACACCAAACCCATTCTGAGGGCCCAAACCACAGTATAGACAACTACAACTTGCAATAGATAAGACAGAACAACGACAAGGCAGATTTGAACTTGATATTAAACAGTTGAAGGCTTAGACATTCAGAAAATATATAGGCTTATATCGAATAATTTATTTCTTTTCAGATCCAAAAACTTGTGCTAGCGGCTAAAAAGTTTGGGTTACACGTGCGACCTGTTGGTGGAAGACATTCCTGGTCGCCATTATTTGCGGACAGGGGTAACATAGGACTTGACTTAGCCATGTTAAAGGGAAAGAAATTCCGATTTGACAAGGTTACATTATGCCTGGCTATGGCATTTTTTATAAAGTAATCTGAACGAAAAAAATGAATTAAGGAATATGAGCTTCCCTAAACGTCCAGATAACTGCAGTATCTGAGGAACCCTTGTCTTCTGCCTTATATACCTAAATGTATCAATCTAATGTACAAACGCCCATTAGCTTTTTAAAACTTGAGTTTTTTGTAGATTTAAAACTGTTGCTCTGCTATATATATTTTCGAAAATGTAGATTTTAAGTAGATTTATTGGGTTTAACGCCTTGCTTGTTCTTTTTCTTGTCAAGTGGTATTGTATTTCAGAAGCGAATGTTGGTGAGTTCTCTTGCCTCTGGCACAATGGAAGAATTGCATGCGTTTAACAAGAAAAATGGCGTAACAATTCCATCTGCGCCTGACCTTGGTGATATTACCCTACAAGGTACCACTGGTACCTCTGCTCACGTACGTAGAAGAGTTACATTAACAAAGCCAAAGTTAAGTTCCAATTGTAGTAATTCTCAGTCTAAATAACTCTTAAATATTTATTTTGATATATATGTATGATATTATTAGACTCCAGATGTCAATCTGGAGTCTATTGTTTTTGCCAGTATTCTTCTTTATTATTCTTATTATTATTATTATTCTTCTACCTACGTTTTCTCAGTAACTAGAAGACATTGAGTCAAGATCTGTATATGGTCAATTTAGGTTCAGTATCTAGTTCCTCGGAAATTGGGTCAAATTTTTATCTAGGTCAGAGGTCAAGAACTAGGTCAAATCCAGTACTTTGTCACTTTTTTCGATTTTCTCGGTCGTCCTTCAATATTTTCGATCCGGGTTTTTTTCATTGTGTTCCTTTTAAAAAAGTAGGAAATCTAGGGTCGATTTAGTTTTTTGATATCTCAAACCGATTTCGAGATATCAGTGTCCGAAAACGAGGTCCAAAAAATATTTCTCCCAATCAAATGTCAAGGATATTAGTCTTATAGGAAATTTTCTCAGGATTCCGAATCTGAAAACCAAATTCGAATCAGACTTCCAGTTCGGAAGTTATGGCGTTTTGAAAACTCAAAAATCGCTAAATTTGGTGCCCATGTTAAGTCAATGGGAAAAAAGATTTTTTTGAAGTGAAAAATACGGAATATAGACTGAGTTCAGCTTCATATAATCAAAGCCTTTAAAAGAAGGGGACCTCAAAAGCCATCTAGCTTGAAAATTTGGACACCAAAATGCCTAGGTCAAAATCTAGGTCAAATTCATAGGTTTTCCTTATTTTTTCGATTCTGACACTACACTTTAATTATATTCTTCGAAATTGTGTATACATGTAGCCAAGAATATGCTTATAGTGTTAGCCTTTTGCCGTCAGAAAGTATTTTGACCCACTTTTGAGATATGGTGTCCGAGAAGTAGGTCAAAATAAAAAATTCTCCAAATTTAATATATGAGTTATGTATTAAGGAAAAAATTTTGTCAGGAATCCGAATCTGCAAACCAAATTTTGATCCGACTTCCGGTTCGGAAGTTATGGCGTGTCCGAAAAGTAGGTCAAAATAAAAAATCTCCAAATTTAACATATGAGTTATGAATTAGGGGTAGAATTTTGTCAGGAATCTGAATCTGCAAACCAAATTTCGATCCGACTTCCGGTTCGGAAGTTATGGCATTTTGAAAGCTCAAAAATCGCTAAATTTGGTGCCCATGTTAAGTCAATGGGAAAAAAAGATTTTTTTGAAGTGAAGAATACGAAATGTAGACTGAGTTCAGCTTCATATAATCAAAGCCTTTAAAAGAAGGGGACCTCAAAAGCCACATAGCTTCAAAATTTGGACACCAAAATGCCTAGGTCAAAATCTAGGTAAAATTCAAAGTTTTTTCTTATTTTTGCGATTCTGACACTACACTTTAATTATATTCTTCGAAATTGTGTATACATGTAGCCAAGAGTGTGCTAATAGCGTTAGCCTTTTGCCGTCAGAAAGTATTTTGACCCACTTTTGAGATATGGTGTCCGAAAAGTAGGTCAAAATGAAAGTTCTCCAAATTTAACGTTTGAGTTATGAATTAAGAATAGAATTTTCTCAGAAATCTGAATCTGCAAACCAAATTTCGATCCGACTTCCAGTTCCGAAGTTATGGTGTGTCCAAAAAGTAGGTCAAAATATAAATTCGCCAAATTTAACGTATGAGTTATGAATAAGGGGTAGAATGTTGTCAGGAATCCGAATCTTTAAATCAAATTTTGATCCGACTTCAACTTCGGAAGTTATGGCGTTTTGAAATTTCTGAAAATCGATCTGATGGTATCCTGATAGAAAGTCAAGAGTAGAGAAGAAAATATTGAAAAATTCATCCATCCATCCTTCCTATCTGATCCTATCCTTCCTATCTATCCTTCCTTCGTATCCTTTCCTTCCTATCCTTCCTATCCTCTCCTATCATATCCTTTCTTCCTATTCTGTTCTATCCTATCCTTCTTTTTTATTCTATCCTATCGTTCCTTCCCATTATATCCTATCCTACCTTCCTATTTTATCCATCCATCTTATTCTGAATGACTCAGCTTATTCTGGATGACTCGGCTTATTTTAGATGACTGGGCTTAAAAAAGTCTAGATCTGGAGTCTGAAATTGAACTTCGTTCAATTTCCAAAGTCTAGTTATAATTATGATATTATGATATGTAACTTACAAAATCAATATACTCAGACATGAACCTTCCTTTCTGAAAAAATCAAAACTTGAAAAGGACTCCTCACCAAGTGACCATGCAGACGACGTTCCAAAATTGAAAAAACTACTTGCATTGCTCCTTTCTCAATTTTTAAAGGCAATAATATTTTCTACAGGGACAACCTTTTCAAGTCTTAGTAATAACATAAAAGAATGCCTATGTTCAAGTCTAATATGTAAGTTACATATTTTAGGGTTATTTAGGCTACTTTGATTTTGAGTACCGACGATTTGACCCCCAAAAATTACATTGAATAAAAAAGGATTAATCACTTCTTATTCGTTGTCAAATGCTGGCAAAGACATGTTGACATTTTTGACACTGACATTTTTCTCTTGACATTATTTTAGTATATATTATACACGTACACGACACTAATGCCTAAAAATTGTAAATGAATGATAAAAACATATATTCAAACTATACTTGGGTCTTCTAAGCCTCAGTCACACCTGCTCTATGGCAACCGTACTGCTGGCGTAGCTTCCGAAAATCGTGAATTGTGAAGTAACGGCCGCCGTAGAGCAAATGTATAGTTTGAAAAGATGTTTTTATCATTAATTTACTATTTTTTGCATTTATTTTAGAGATTTTTGAAGAAAAGTTGTCAGCTTTTTATTTCTCAAATATTCAAATTTCCCGCCATTTTTCAAATAAAAGTTCATCATAAAATATTCTTCTATTCAGTGCAACATTGTCTTTTTAACACCATTCTCACTGTAGATGGTGGACAAAGGACATGCTATTTGAATATTAAGAATTGGACCGTAAGTGACCAAAATGTCCCTCAAAAACCACCTTTTGAAATTAAAAAAAAGTTTTACATATCACATTTTGATAACATTAGCAAATATAAGCTCCCTGGACGATCGAGCGTAGTCAGGGAGGTTACATGCTTTGTCCAATCATGCTCCATCTTCATGTACATTGGGCTCGATAATGCTCCATCTTTATGTACATTGGGTCCGATCATGCTACATGTTTATGTACATTGGGCTCGATCATGCTCCATCTTTATGTACATTGGGTCCGATCATGCTACATGTTTATGTACATTGGGCTCGATCTTGCTGCATCTTTATGTACATTGGGTCATATGTACATTGGGCTCGATCATGCTCCATCTTTATGTACATTTGGTCCGATCATGCTACATGTTTATGTACATTGGGCTCGATCATGCTCCATCTTTATGTACATTGGGTCCGATCATGCTACATGTTTATGTACATTGGGCTCGATCATGCTGCATCTTTATGTACATTGGTCTCGATCATGCTCCATCTTTATGTACATTGGTATCGATCATGCTCCATCTTTATGTACATTTGGCTCGATCGTGCTCCATCTTTATGTACATTGGGCTCGATCATGCTGCATGTTTATGTTTACAGGGCTCGATAATGGAAGATGGTCCAACTGCGACGTATGTTTATGCAATTGACTTAGTTGATGGCCAAGGTAATGTGAGACAATTTAACGAGGACGATCATAAAGTGATCATTACTGCTTGCAAGGTTCATTTAGGAATGTGCGGGATCATCTATAAAACAACAGTCAAGGTAAGATATCTTATTTAGAAACTCGACACTCATTTTACAGACCCTTACATGCTTCTACAGGTCATCCAAAAAGTGTACCTTTTGACCATGGGCTTTCAACAGAAAGCCCATGTTTTGATCAAAACCTTGTTTCGGACATTTTTGAGAGGTTGAATTCTGAAAAATTCAGGTTTAAGTTCGTCAAATCCTGCACTGACTATTAAATGTCATTCTGATACTAAGACCATCTTTTCCTTACTTAAATGTAGAAAGGCACTAATAGTCTTGCTGCGATCTCTAACTTGGATGTTTAAATGAAAACCAAGAATAGTTTCCCGACTTGAAAGATCTAAGTGTCCCATACGTAATGGATTATTTGACGGTTTACACAGCCCAGTCGATATCAGTCGATCTTTAATTTGTTAATTTACTGAATATATTCTTCTTTAGGTGGTTCCCGACAGAGTTTTTAAGTTTAGTATATCGGAAATTAAAGTTTCCGACTTAATACTGAATCAGGAGAATCGCAAAGATTTTGTGATGAGAAACTATGGGCTGTTTACTATGTGGCTCGTCTTCAGTGGGGCTTCTGCTCGGGAGATCCAAGCTAGAGAATCTGACCCTTTACGCAGACCACCAGATAGTTGGAATCCAGCTAATGATTTGGTCAGAGTGTGGTATGTTAGCACCATTCCAAGTAACATATATATGTTTAACATCCTGCTAAGGGGTTCAATCTTAGAAGGGTGGGATGAGAAAAAAATCTGGAATATTGAACACTTCACAAGAAGAAAAATGTAATTTTTATAGAAGTATGCAAAAATGAGTGTTCTAAAATTAAACGGATTTCATAGTCCATATTGCAATAGTTTTTTAATTGCATGTTCACTACGGTTTTTGGATTAGATTAGATTAAAAAATCCGAAAAATTCACGTTGTTGTTACACAATTTCTATGAGTAGAAACCACTAAATGGAAAAAAGAAAATCTGATATTGGTCCTTTGTTCTGTAAGCAAGAATCCACAATGGCACATTTCAGGACAATGAATCCGGTGAACAACGACTCTATTACCCCGGACAAAGTTTCATTTGAAGACTCCTTTCAATTAAAAGATGGCACAGTGATCACTGGTACTGCTGACTACAGGATGGCTTCTGAAACTATCATCTTTCCAGCTTGGACAGGCACTAACGTCCATCTCAGGTCTAATGTTGCTTGGGCTACACCAGAGTCAAAAGATTTCTCAGCCAGTCAAAAAACAATTGAGGTAAAGTTCCCTCGTTGGTCGTGTTACGTCGCCATTTTCTCGGCACTACATCGAAGCGGCGTCTGTCAGTGTGAGCTTTGAGTAGCTTTTACCATTGATAAGTCCAGTGATTTATGTTGCTATCGCAACTCTGTCCGCTGTCACATCGAGGGTTACCGGTCACAGCAATTCGGATCAAATAATTTCGTTTTCAGAATCATGAATAAACATGCACAATGGACATGTTACAGTCCAAATATCCTTGAGTTTCTTTGTTGCATGATCTAATGAATAAGATATATAGTTTTATATGTCTCATGAGGAGTCGTCATCATATTCATTATTTTGTCTAAAATGTTTGCTCAATACCATAGAATTTCTTCGATGTCTACGAAACCGCCATTAAAAGATTGGGACTCTACACTGATTCGTTTGGGTTTTTCCGCTGGATTAGCCACAAAGATGATTGCACGTTATGCCATACAAAGGTAATGATTGCAATAAGTGTGACTTGTATTTTATTGATATTATATTAGTTTTGTAGTCGAAGCAAACTCCATTCACGATGAAACTTTCAAGACGCCATGGGGATATCATTTCAAGTCTGATCGTACCAGTATTTGTACATCACATGACACATGTTAGCTATTAAGTAAGAAAATGTATAGAAATACGAGGGGTGATCCAAAAGTCTTGGACGCCTCGCTCTAACTTTGCTATTTTCTAATATAATTACATGAAACTTTCAGACAGTAAAGTGTGTATAAGTTTCAATAGAAAATAATATATTTTAGCTACTTTTCTAAATATTTTTTAATACCGGGTCCCTGCCACCCGGAACGGTATTTTAAAATAGCAAATCACGTCACAACTGTTATAATATGGCGAATACTTTAGGTGCAGGTGCACAACCTAACACCAGCAGGGCCGTCAGATGGGGGGGTGCGATGGGTGCGACCGCACCCCCCTTTGTCACCCCCCAAAAAAATTTGAAAAAAAAATTTGAAAAATTTTTTTTTTTGAAAAATTTTTTTTTTTGTAATTTTTTTTTCATTGACTCATACACTTTGAAAGTACCCAGAAAGCACCAAATAGCATCTTAAAATTATAAAATTTTCTAGGGGTATTAACCACCCGTCACACCCCCCACAAAACAATGGAAAAGTTCTAAATTTATTTTAGAGTTTTGTCTCAGACACTTTTAAAGTGCCCAGATATCATCAAATAGCTCCTTGAAATAGTTAGTGTTTCTGGGGGACTTACTCCCCCTCTTGCATCTTGCACTTGCATAACCCCCCCCCTCTGGCACCCCCCCCCCCCCCCTTGACCCCCCCCCCCAAAAAAAAAATTGTGATTTTCTCAAATTCTTTAATTGACTCATAAACTTTGAAAGTGCCCAGAAAGCACCAAATAGCGTCGTAAAATTGTAAAATTTTCTAGGGGTATTAACCACCTGTCACACCCCCCACAAAACAATGGAAAAGTTCTAAATTTATTTTAGAGTTTTGTCTCAGACACTTTTAAAGTGCCCAGATATCATCAAATAGCTCCTTGAAATAGTTAGTGTTTCTGGGGGACTTACTGTACTCCCCCTCTTGCATCTTGCACTTGCATAACCCCCCCCCCCCCTCCTTGACCCCCCCCCCCCAAAAAATTGTGATTTTCTCAAATTCTTTAATTGACTCATACACTTTGAAAGTGCCCAGAAAGCACCAAATAGCGTCGTAAAATTGTAAAATTTTCTAGGGGGAGTGGGCCACCCCTCACACCCCAAACAAAACAATGGAAAAGTTCTGAATTTGTCTTATGTATTGTCTCAGACACTTTTAAATTGCCCAGACATCATCAAATAGCTCCTTGATAAAGTTAATGATTCTGGAAGACTAACACTTACTCGCCCTCTGGCATCCCCACTCCACCTCCCCCTCTGGCAGCCCCCCTCCCTTAACACCCCCCCCCCAAAAAAAAAAAATTGAGATTTTTTTATTGACTCATACCCTCTGAAAGTGCCCAGAAAGCACCAAATAGCATCTTAAAATTGTAAAATTTTCTTGGGAAATAGGCACTTTTAGGCACAGACACTTTTAAAGTGCCCAAACTTCATCGAATACCACCTTGATATTGTAAATTTTGATATGGGGGACAAACACTCGCTCCCCCTCTGGCACCCGAGCGCCACCTCCCCCTCTGGCACCCCTCCCCCCCTTTGACACCCCCCAAATTTGAAAAAAATTGTGATTGTTTTTCAATGTTTTTATTGACTAATACACTTTAAAAGTGCCCAGAAGCACCAAATATCATCTTTAAATTGTAAAATTTTCTAGGAGAGTTAGCTACCCCTCACATCCCCCACAAAACAAAAGAAAATATTCTGAATTTCATGTATTGTCTCAGACATTTTTAAAGTGCCCAGACATCATCAAATAGCACCTTGATATGGTCAATGTTTCTGGGGGACAACCCATTGCTCCCCTACTGGCACCCCACCCCACTTCACCCTCTCATCCTCTTTGACACCCCCAAAAGAATTTGAAAAATTTCACATTTTTCTTATTGATTTACGCACAGGCGTACCAGATGGTTGCAAATTCGCTCCAAATACAACCAAATTTCAAAATTTTCCTGTGGGAGAACCCCCAGACCTCCCTGAATGCTCGGTTTTTTATTCACTCAACTCTTATTCTTGTGGTGGTGGCGTACTACTTAGAAACTTACACTTTGTAAGTGCCCAGAAAGCACCAAATAGCATCTCAAAACTGTAAAATTTTCTAGGGGGAGTGGACCACTCCTCACACCCCCCACAAAACAATTGGAACGTTTGGAAGTTGCCATGCATTTGTTAATTACAAACCAATATAGGGAGTAACTGACCCCCCCCCCCCCCCTCTGTCTTACGCGATTTGATTTACGCGGCAAAAAAATGACAATTTTTTTATTCTCTTTAGTAAGCTAAAAACCGCACCCCCCTTGGAGAAAAGTGTCTTACGGGCCTGACCAGTCATGATATGAGATAACTTCCGATTTTCAGTCTGAGTATCATCTGCCATCATCATCTTCAGATATTAAGACCTACTTTTCAACATATTTTCAACGAATTGGAACACATTTTTTATACCGTTTTACCTATGAATGGAAGACATTTATGAAATCGCCATTGCTTATGTGATACAAATGCTGCTGGAGTGCCACTCTAAACCTCATACAATGAGTAATAAAAAAATTCTTTCAAACCTCCTTTTTTCTGGAGAAAAGTAAGAAAATCACACGGAGCCATATCTAGACTGTATTGTGCATATGGTAGCTGCTCAAGGTCAATAATAGTGAAAATATCTTGTAGTATTCTTTGTCTAACTTTGATTTCTTTCATGTTCTGCATTTCAGCAGCCATCTTGCAGCAAAAATGATACCAGAATGAGGGTTGCTTGTCTGATGTTATTTTCTTAGAATTTGACATATACGGCCATTGTCCTATGTGACATTATAGCTAAAGCACAATTAATTGGTTGCCTAGTAACAAAGGAAGTAAACCAACATGGTTTAACATTCAAAATTCAAAGAAAGATAGTGGTCAAGACTTGCGAAACAAGTGAAATGGCGGCAACATTTAAGAATCAAAGTTGCCATGTGCGAATACCGTTCCGGGTGGCAGGGTCCCTATATTACAAACTATCTAGAAAACTACATAAAATATATCATTTCCCCTCGAAATTAATACACAAAGTAGTTAGGTTGTTGGTCTTTATTATTGGAAAGTTTAAAGTAATTTTATCAAAAACCAACAAAATTAGAACAGGGCGTCCAAGACTTTTGGATCACCCCTCGTATGATATACTCTCTGCTATATACACGGTGGGTCAAAAACAATGCACAAATTAAAAATGCAATAAAGCATTATTTATCCCACATGCAGAAAATGATACGTATACACATCCTTTTGAGGATACTTTTCCCCCTTTATTTGATATTTAACAACAAAGTATAAGCAGAAACAGATTATTAGTCCATTTTAACAGTAACAATTGGATTAATGTGTAAAATATTTAATAATCAATTTCAGGTGGCTGATGATGACTTCAGATTGATCTTAGAGTTGGAGTTGGCCCCATCTTGCAGACCATGTAACGATCATTTATTGGATGAACAAACCAGGGACAAAGTTTGGAGTTCAACGGTATGCTCTGTTAATTAAACTATACCGATACGATGCTTCCTAGTCAACTCGTACCCAAGACAACTCGTACCCAAGACAACTTGTACCCAAGACAACTCGTACCCAAGTCAACTGGTACCCAAGACAACTTGTACCCACGTTTATTTTCTGTATTATGGGTGCATATAAGAAAACAAATTGAGTCTGTGTCAAAATGTTTAATGTTATAATGTGCCTCAATATTTTTTCTGAATTTAGAAGACATTTTTTCTCAATGGATTAAGCAAAGCATTTTGTTTTAACTTGGATTACCTTTGAAGTCCTTTGAAGGGCTTGTTCTCAACTTTTTTTGTAATTCATATATATAAATGAATATAATTACAACAGTCACTTTTTAACAAATGAATCAAACAATTAATTTAGCTTAGTGCATTCAGAGAAAATTAATAAGGGAACTTTAATCTGTTAATTTCTTTTCCATTTTGAACTTAATTGGATTATATTTGAACACATGCATGCAAAGTGTATTATATCATGTATGAATAAGTATCAAAATAATATTTGATATTCATATTATTTAGAATATTTTTTATTGCTTAATTTTATGAAGGTGACTTCTTAGAATTATCATTCTTTAATCTGATAATCTGAAATCCTAAATAGATTATCTGTTTAATAAGAAATAGGCGCAAGTTTTGAAAATCTTTATATTTTTGATAATACCATACAGTATTTCAAGATGAACTAGATAACGGCAACTCCGCGGAGTAGCAAATCCCAACGAACAAAATATCAATTACCGAATTCCAATCAATTATACTCATTACTTTGGTTGAAAATGAAAAAATTAGATTTTAGAATTGCGAATTCCTGCAAAGCAGCCATTTTGAATTTTCTGAGGTACAAATCTGAAAAATAATACCATAATTGTGATCTACTCCAAAATTCCTTCAATTTGAGTATAATATAGCCATACTTTTAAGAGATCGAAAAATTATTGCGAAATCGTACATTAGACGGCCATTTTGAATTTTACGAGGCTCGAATCAGAAAAAAGATACAATATTTGCAATCTACTCTTAATTGCTTTTCATTTGAGTATAATAAAGCTATACTTCAGAAAGATCTAAAAATTACCGAAAATTTCTGTTTTCCTGTCCCCCCATACATGGCCCCTGGGGGTCAGGATGAAAAACACATGTGAAATAGATAAATGTTGTAAATACACTACCAAAATTTCAAACAATAATATTAATTACTTTGGTTTAGAATGAAAAGATTATGATTTTTGCGAAAAAGTTCCGTCATTTTTAAAGCGGCGGCCAATTTTTTTTTGCGTAAAACTATTCACCAATATACATCTTTCCACTAAATATGAAGAAAATCTGTCAACTAGTATTTGAGTTATCTTCCGGACAGACGGACGGACTGACTGACTGACGGACAGACGGACGGAGGGCTTCACTATATCCCTAACGAACTTCGTTCGTTGGGATAATTAGATCTGATACTTGTTCCAAACACTCATTAACATACAAAAATACCACTAATATTGTGAACAATGATTATGAAGATGTTGAATAAACATAAATCTCTTCCCTCGAACATCTGAATCTGTGACCAATATATTTGGTCACAAATTTCAATCAATTTCTCCCAAAAACTCTTCTACATACTTCAAACTATTCTGAACTGTATGTAACCATTATAATATGTATATCTATACCCATTCCCAGCCCAACACTTGATTCAAAACAAAACATATACTTGGGTACGAGTTGTCATGGGTACGAGTTGTCTTGGGTACGACTTGACTTAGGTACGAGTTGTCTTGGGTACGAGTTGACCAGTTACCGATACGATGACTATTATGACGCCGTGGTTTTATAATTGTCCCTTTTCTAAATAACAGCTTTGTAATCTCGTTGAAGTCTCGTTTTAATGAGATTTTATGGGATCTGTATTTTTTAACCACTTAAGACCAACATTTTCTTCTTTTTGATGGCATATTTGAGTTCTCCCTATTATTTTCTATTAAACAACTTAAACTTGCAGTTATTTACCTTTATTCAAATTTCCAGGATTTTCAAGTTTTCTGAAAAATGTCGGGCTAATTTTAATGTTAAATAACAATCTACATGTCAACAAGATCACATAGTCATTCTCAATTTACATGCTCATTGAATGTAGACCATGTATATCACTGTTGTACTGTGGACCCATATACAATTTACATGTTCTTTGAACGTGTAAACACAACATTTAAATAAAATAGTAAAACAATTTCGCTTGTGTAATTTTTGAAATAGCCTACGAATAGCATAGTAGGTGCAAGAATGCTGCACAAATGTATTTATTGTTACGATGTATACAGTGTACTTTTATCGGCGTTTTGGATTACAGGTTGGCGTTGGCGTTATGTCAAACAACAGTCGTATCTTGCCACATTGGGGTAAATACTATGACTATATTCCCGGAATGATTGACCACCTCCGTCAGAACTATGGCACCAACTTTGACGATTTCATCAAAATCCGTAATGAAGCAGATCTGGATCCTGACAACATGTTCACTAATTCTCATTTGAGAACCTTGTTCCATGAAGCGATCGTTCGAAATGCTGAGACGAAAACGTGTTCCAGTGTGAAGCAAGTTAATACAATGGCAAAAAAGCTGACGAAGTTGTTAGATGATATGGATCTAGAAACATGCAACGCTTAAGAAAAACATTTTGCAACCATTTGCGCAACTTTTAAACACCGAGAATAGTTATGTGAGAAATATGTTCAAATACAATTTTCGGGGGAAATGTGGCTCAATTTTAAAACATCATTTAAAATGTCAAAATACTTTTTTTTAAATTCATCATTTTTGATTAGCGTCAATAAAGTTTATTTCTTAAATTAATAAAAATACATGGACAATATACGTCAGATCTTAACAAAGTTGGTACTTGGTTGGGCCGGCAGGACTACAGATTGAAATTTTGTCATGTTTCATCCCAGCTGTTTTAGGCTCAACTAGCACAATTGTGTATCTATATAGCATGTTGTTGCTCTTTTGATGAGCAAATAAAATATGATCTGCTACATACGCTTGCTTATGTTATTATATGTTTAATATTTGTATTTGCAACGAGCAAGTCCCAAACAGCAATTTGAGCGAAAGTATCATAAGATAAGAAATTAGTTTGTCATATCCATATTATTAGTTATTCATGAAATTGATATCATCTACATGTATATTATTGCTTAGACCTCTATCCTCAAATCATATGGACCTCTCTCCTCTATTACAAATCCACTGAGACAATTTCGACTACATGGATGTTAAAACGTGTCTTAGGGTTGTAATTACAGTGATACTTATGTCAACCAAAGTTCGTGCATGCTACAGTAGGGCCAGTAAGTATTATCCGTTGTTACTTTTATCACTCATAAACAGATTATAAAGGTGCAGGTAGGTTATCCAAACAATTTCAGACGATTCTAACTTGAATTCTGAATATTTTCTGATCATGAACACAAATGTATCTTTAGACCCATTCATTGTCTCCAAGAAAAAAAATATAATGATAATTAAGTTATCAGACTAAGTGATATTAAAGGGGCAATGAACCAATCAGTATACATTTTAAAAAATGTTGACCCAACTTTCACTTAAAATGCAACCTTTTATTATAACGTTGAATGCTTATTTAGAATGTACTTTGACACTTGTTCTATTTCCTTAAAGAAAAGTGAATTCCCCCAGGGACTTTAAAGATACTGAATTTGATGTCCAAAATGAGCTGAAATTAATGGATACCATGAGTTTTTTCAATGGGGGAAATGACATGGGGAACACAAATCTAAGAGGAGTTGGTGAAAATGAAGTCAACATCTTTGAAAAAGTGTGTTGACGTGTTGATTTTTAGATAAATATCTCTGACACTAATTGACTTTATTATCAGTGTATCATTTGTATATCATTGTATATATTTTTCTAATGAGGATAATGAATGGATCTAAAAGATATACCTGTCTCCATGGTCAGGAAATGGTCATAATCCAGTCACGCCCCTGTGCATGAAATACGTAAGTAAAGTGGAAATTGAATTGACTGATAGATTATGATTGAAACTAGTCTTGCTTCAAGACCCTGGTCCCACTAGTGGTACTTTCTACATTTCAGTGAGTGCAGATGAGAGTTAACTTTTTTATTCCTCATGGAAAGAAATGAAATACCCATGGACAAGGATGAAAAGCATTTAATGGTGAAGGTTACCTTCATCCTAGAGTTTACATTTTGGGGATAAGCCCGGGGAATAAGCACACAAAACTTTTATTCTTGGGCATTGAATTCAAACGTGACTACCTTTTATATTGTTATGTACATACAGGACGTATAGGCAATCCGTCCCGACAAACTTGATTTTATTCACAATAATTTGTAAAAGGTTGAATATTGGTATTATGCATTTAATATAAAACGGCAATGGTGCAGTTCAATTAAACATAAAGACGAAAGAGGCATAGGCTTACAAAAAGCAATATGTTCAACATGCAAAGTTTAATTTGCTTTGCTTTCGTGTTTGTGCTAATTACCGGTAGTCTTTCGAAGACACGTCGAATTGTATTAGATGAGCCTCCGACTGAAAACTGGGTTATGTACAGAGCAACATCTCAAGACATTCCAAAATATAAGTACAAATGGCCATTGGAAAACGATCAAGGCCAGGTTGTTATTCCTCTAGACAGTTCGAAACGGTTAACCTTTGGTTTATATTCGACTTTGCTGGATCTGAAGAGCAACACCATCGTGAGCACAATCTATCCCTATGGCATGAAAGCTGAATGGGAGAATCGTTGGGTTCAAACAAACACGACCGTTTTGCATGTAAAATGTCGAAAATACAATGGATTGAAACCTTCGATTCCAAATAATGTTACGTTGGGACAGTATAAGGATATTCGTTACTCTAGAATTGAATGTTTTTTGAAGAATGTTTCTAGACCATTCTTAAAGGGTCTCATGCACGTAAGATGGTTGGATTTAGCGAACAACGATATTACTGAAATTGAACAGCATGCGTTTGATGATTTGGTTGCATTGGAAGAGTTAGTCTTAACCAGAAATCCAATAAGAATCCTTCCTCATGGATTATTTTGCACTATGCCAAAACTGAAGGCATTGAAATTGGATAACCTAAACCTGACAGGATTCCCAATTGCTGCGTTTCATCCTAACATTGACACTGCAAATAACCAATCCGAAACGACATGCCTAGGCAATCTTCAAGATCTGGATTTCTCGAATAACAAATTGTTCTATATCTTAAATGGTTCATTTTCTGGAATGACGATGTTGACCAACCTAAAATTTTTTAATTGCTCCATACACATATTGGAAGCAAATGCCTTCGAAGGGTTGGCAAATATAGAAGTTTTAAACTTAAACTTAAGTGAATTCGATAAAAGAATTACCGATGGACATATTTTCAAGCATGCCGAAATTAAACTCACTTGGACTGAGTGTGAACAACATTACGCATTTTTCTTTCGATTTGCTTTCAAAATGCGAAGCGTTGACATTTGTATACCTCGAGATGAATCAAATTGAACGCATAGGCGGAAGTATTATTAACAACACTCGACTTGAATTCATAGAATTGCAAGACAATGCCATCGGATCTTTACCATCCAATGTGTTTCATTCTAATGGAACGAAATCTCTCGACCTGACCAATTGTAATATATCAACCATTCATCCAGATGATTTGTTTATGCCAAACCTAATGGTATTAAGATTAAATAGGAATAACTTGACATTTCTGGGAAACTACACGTTTCATCATCTAGGTAATCTTAGATTTTTAAACCTAACGAGCAATAGCATTGCAGAACTTGGTGCCCTAGCATTTGCAGGTCTCAAAAAACTTAAATATCTTTTGCTGGACTACAATAACCTCAGCCAGGTTCCACCTGGATTTGTTAAAGAACTGCAATCTTTGAAATTCTTGTCACTGAGACACAATAATATTCTTAGCCTAGATGGAACCATGTTTGAAGGCGTTGACTTGTTGGAAGAAATTTACCTAAACAATAACATGATTCAAAGAATTGAAAGAGACACATTCAAGCACTGCAGCTTGCTTAAAAATATTACACTTCAGTGGAATCACATAGATACCATACCATATGGTACATTTGGACATATGCGAGGCTCATTAGAACTAATAGATCTGAAAAGGAACAACTTAAGTTCACTCCCAGCAGATTTGTTCACAGGATTCCTACATTTACGTGACATCGATCTTTCGCATAACAAAATCGTCAATCTATCTAGGAATCTAGTTGATGGTTGTTCAAGTTTACAATTATTAATTTTAAGTTACAATCAGCTAAACGTATTCAACGTTTCTTTGGAGTCGATCACTTATTTAAGCAATTTATTAATTGCAAATAATCAACTGAGGGACGCATGGAATATCTTCGAACATATACATCTTATGCCATCACTGGTAAATTTAGACCTATCATCAAACCATATGACTTCACTTGGACCGATTCCACATGTATTGGCAAATGATCCATCTGTGCTAGCTAGAGTGAATATAAGTCACAATCGCATCACAAATATTCCAGAAAATCAATTCTATCTCTCGACATCGTTGCAAAGTATTGACCTGTCTTCCAACAAAATACAAACGATAAACCAACCGAAGTTTAGGAAGAAACCTGAATATCTAGTCGAATACATTGTTGGTCAAGAAAATCCGTTTGTGTGTGATTGCCATATGAGATGGGCAAGAAACATGATAAATGAATCTGTGTGCACAGTTCCGGTTCTGAATGAATTGACGGAAAAAAGGATGGCAGATGTACCACTTTTTCAATATCTTTGTAAAAGAAAAATGGAGTGTCCAGAAAAATGTGAGTGCTTCGCTGAAGTAGAAAGAGGGCCGTATTATTGGATACATATCAAATGTTCTAACAAAGGACTTGAGTACATACCTTTTGGAATACCAAATACCACTAATGTACTGGATGTATCTAATAATATCATCGGCCAATTGGATTCAACAACATTTCACAATGATACCTTTCCTCAATTGAAAGTTTTGGATTTGTCTCTGTGTAAAATCAGCAACCTCTTCGGAAACGACATTTTCAATGGATTCGTGCAGTTAGAAATATTGAACTTAAGAAATAATTACATAGTACAGCTAAATGGGGAACCATTCAAAAATCTATTTTGGTTGAATGAACTTCACCTTGCATATAATCGGATTAAGACAATTCAAGACAACGTATTTTCTGATCTCAAAATGCTGTCTTTCCTTGATCTTGAAGGCAACCAGCTACAGACTGTAAATGTTAGTATCTTTGAAACGCTACAACTGATGTTGATAAATAGCAATGTGGGGTACATTAGTTTACTTGATGGTTCCCGTGTCAATGTTCGAGAGCCACAGAAATCAAAATGGTCTATTTTACTATCTTATAATCCATGGGACTGCTGTAGAGCTCTACCATTGAAGAAATGGTTAAACGCTCACCAATTGATCATTCCGAATTTGGATGATATTTACTGTTTAAGAGACAATATGACCTTGACTGAGTTTTCGTTGGATGGTCCTTTGAAGTCGAAAGTTCCTTTATTCAAAATCAGTGATTCGAACCTAACGTGTATTCCGGAGTCACCCGTGCCATTCCAACAGACTTCGTACTTCCATGCAATTATAGGAGTACTTGTTTTTGTATTATTCTTTCTCACGACAATATTAATTGTTAAACGGTTTAAATCACATATAAAACTGAAGCTTTTTATCTGGTTTGGTTGGAGATTTGACAGGATAGACAACAATTATAAACAGTATGACGCATTATTGTCATACAGTGGACTCAATGGTGAATGGGTGCGTGATGAATTGTTGATACATCTTGAAGAAGCAGGGTACAAACTTTGTCTACACGAACGTGACTTTAGAGCTGGGGAACCTATCGTAGATAATATAAATAACGCCATAGACAACAGTAAGAGGACGATTATTGTTCTTTCGAATGAGTTTCTACAAAGTGGATACGCAATATATGAGTTTGTAAGATCGCACGATGATTGGGTCAGAGGTGAACGAGATCCTGTCATCTTAGTGCTTTATGACCCGTTGGATATTTTAGACGAAGATGAGTTGGCAAAACATGAAACTCTGAAGACGTACATATCTACAAGAACATATCTTGAGAGAAATAATAAATACTTCTGGGAAAGCATCATGCTTGCAATGCCCCGGCGACGAAGGCAACGAAATATAGACAACGATGATGACGAAAATGAAAATATCATGCTGCAATAGTCATCATGTAGGAAAAAGTGAATTGAACAAACTAGATCCCGGATGCATGATTCACATGCGTATATCAATCCTGTATGATTCATACTAACAGGATTCATACAGAAATCGCTGCTTAAATAGTATACAAATGAAGCCTGGAACCATGCAGAACTCACACGAACGACTACAGATGATTCCTAGAGACACGATTAAAGCAGGATTCATAAAAACGATTTACAAATGAATCCAGTGGATAGGAACCATGCAGGATACATACGAAACTCCGTTAGACAGGCCGGGCAGACAGGATCCATGCAGGTTGATAATTTACAAATGAATCTAGCCGTCGGCAATCAATCGTGCAGGATTCATATCACAAATAGTTTACAAATGCATGCAGGATTCATACTACATCTCTTATTAACTAGAATAAAATATATTGACATTCGTATAATCTGCGTTTAAAGGTGCAACAATTAGTGCAAAAGATACGCAATATGAGTGATGATTTCATTCGAGATGTGTATTATTTAGGTTTACATGTAGAAACAATATGCCACCTTTTTTAGGATTGTATGATCCAGAACCCTGTACGATAAAAAAATGGCTTCCATAATGATCCAAGTCAACGATCATCGACCAGTGTCAAAATATATTTAAGTTTGGATATTTTGCATATGATACGACGTCAGATACTGTACATCGCGGCATTTTACTGCATTTTTACATGCGTACTTACTTTTAAAACCGCAATATCTCGACAGCAATATCATATTTTTCTACAATTTTTCGTCATCAGTTGAACACGTATGTCCATGAAATATTTTGCCCAGAATTCTAAATTACTGATCCCGGACTTTTTAAATGAGAATCACGCAAGCCGTATTATGCGACTTTCTATGCTAAAACCGGGTGTGGACTGTAACATTTTGAAGAAAAATGATTTTAATTTTAAACGAAAAATGAAGATAACTATTACATTTCTTAACGGATCTTTCTCAAATTTTCACAATATTTAAATCCACCATTTTGGAAAAGACAAACAGATTCTGTGTGATGACGTCATAATATAACAATGCTAACTTAACGCTTATATTTATTCAAAAAAAGTGTGGACAGGCAGAATTTCGTACCAACAAGATATATATTTTGATCAATTAAACATTAAATCGTTTGAAAGGTGAATTATTCTTTTTTGATTCCTGAAAGGCATATCATATTCTATATTTTTATCTTAAAATTCAGTCTGTAAGAAGTATAAATTGAAAGAAATATGAAGTGAAGCCATGTGAAAAATTCAGAAAATTACGTTTCATTTTTTGAGTTCAAATATTTCTAATTAAGGGATACACATTCACCAATGTTTCAGCATGTTCTTTTAAATATACCCCTTACTACATACAATTAATTTCATTTAATTTGAACCAGTATATATTGAGATAGACATCATTTTATCACCGCAACCCCAAGTGAAGCCTTTACAAAATAAGACGTAACGCCGTTAGCGTATTATATGTTCTCCTCTATTATTCATTGCTTTAAATAAATAAAACTAAATATTCGAGTTAAAATAAATTACAAACTAGATAACGGCAACTCCGCGGAGTAGCAAATCCCAACGAACAAAATATCAATTACCGAATTCCAATCAATTATACTCATTACTTTGGTTGAAAATGAAAAAATTAAATTTTAGAATTGCGAATTCCTGCAAAGCAGCCATTTTGAATTTTCTGAGGTACAAATCTGAAAAATAATACCATAATTGTGATCTACTCCAAAATTCCTTCAATTTGAGTATAATATAGCCATACTTTGAAGGGATCGAAAAATTATTGCGAAATCGTACATTGGACGGCCATTTTGAATTTTACGAGGCTCGAATCAGAAAAAAGATACAATATTTGCAATCTACTCTTAATTGCCTTTCATTTGAGTATAATAAAGCTATACTTCAGAAAGATCTAAAAATAAGCGAAAATTTCTGTTTTCCTGTCCCCCCATACATTGCCCCTGGGGGTCAGGATGAAAAACACAGAATATATGTGAAATAGATAAATGTTGTGAATACACTACCAAAATTTCAAACAATAATATTAATTACTTTGGTTTAGAATGAAAAATTTATGATTTTTTCGAAAAAGTACCGTCATTTTTAAAGCGGCGGCCATTTTTTTTGCGTAAAGCTATTCACCAATATACATCTTTCTACTAAATATGAAGAAAATCTGTCAACTAGTATTTGAGTTATCTTCCGGACAGACGGACGGACTGACTGACTGACTGACTGACGGACTGACGGACAGACGGACGGAGGGCTTCACTATATCCATAACGAACTTCGTTCGTTGGGATAATAATGCATTTAACAATCCTTAATATCTTCCCGTCTGTGTATATCAGATGAATATGACAAGGGGCACTGTGAAAGAGTCTAGAAAGACGGTACGACAACGAGAGCGCAGGGCCGAAAAGCGCGACAAAGAAGAAAACGGGTAGGGTTTGAAATGTCTACTTTCTGGTGATTCTAATTCTGTATATCGTGACACAACCTTTTTGAATATAGAATTGTATTGAAGCGCATATTAATCTGAACAAAACTTGAAGTTTTTAAGAAGATTCCACGAATATTAAAACTTTTGCAATTACTTGGAGGAGCATTGCGCATATTTAATATCTTTTTTCTGTTTTTATATTAACAGAAAACTATATTTACATCGCGCCAGCATATACAAGCTTCAGCGCGATATTTTGAGTGTGTTAATAAATAAAGTGCGCAGAAATCGATCTTACTGGGCCGCGGTGTGCGATATCGCTCGTAAACAATTTTTAATTGCGCACTGAATGAATTACAGGGGGCGCGTTGTGCAAAGTGAATTAAATAAATAAAGTGCGCAGAAATATATCTGACTGGGCCGCGGTGTGTGATATCACTCCCATGTTAAAACTCCATTGAATTTTAAATTCTGCGGTATATCCCCTTTCGCTTTCCGTAAGTTTTCTGTTAATAAATGCCCAACAAGAAAGGGTAGCACAACGAATTCAACTTTTTTCGAAAGACTGCAGACTTGACCTGCGAAATTGTTATTTTGGGTCACAGTGATGCCTCTAGAGAGGATATCTATGAGAATTACAGATTATAGTGCGCAGAATTATAAAGTCAAACTGACCTCAAAATGGTAGTACACAGTGTACACTGCCATCTTTCAATAAAGTGTGTAATACAGACCTTCGTATACAAAATACCAGAATGATTGATGTAATACCTGTATACCATTTCTTCTGGGAGAAGGAAAGTTCCTATATGTATTCCATGGCCGTAGCCAGGGGACCTCACCCCCTCCCCCTTGCCAAATATTCGTTCAAAATCATGCAGTTTTTCACCATTCTTAGCACTTTTCGCATGATTTTTTTGCCATAACTGTCAAAAAGCTCCCCCCTCTTGGCAAAATCTCCCCCTTGGTAAAACCACTCCCCCAGGTTAATCCAGGATACGGGTCTGTATTCTTAGACGAGATTGTTCAAGAACATAAGGTAGACATAAGTGCCACCTGTTAAAAGCTAGGAGATCTTTTCTAAGTTATTAAGTCATCAATCAGCAGACTGGTAATTGTATCCCCCACCCACTTCAAACTCCATACACTAACATACTATTACAATTTTATCTGTGTTTATTTGACTGTAGAAGGTGTACAATATTCATAGCATTGAATTGCATTTCATTGCATTGTATTGTATTGTATAGCACATCATTGCAGGTGTGCAGTGATGATATAATATCCTTAATGAAATTAAGGATATTTTCTAGTTATTTTTGTTGAAGAAATTAAGGATATTGATAAAAATTAGCGATTAACTCAAAAGCGCATTAAAGTAGTTCAGAGAAAAAACTTTATTGCACTGCACTGTATTGAACTGCGATGTATTGTATTGCACTGCACTGCATTGTATTGCACTGTACCACATTGTATTGCACTGCATTGTATTGAAATGAACTACATTGTAACTGTATTGTATTTTATTGCACTACATTGCACTGCATTGTATTGCACTGTATTGAACTGCGATGTATTGTATTGCATTGCATTGTATTGCACTGTACCACATTGTGTTGCACTGTATTGTATTACACTGTATTGTTTTGTATTGCACAGCAATATATTGCACTGCACAATATTGTATTGCACTGCATTGCAATGCACTGCATTGTATTATATTGCACTGTATTGTATTGCACAGTATTGTATTGCATTGTCTTGAATTACACTGCATTTTATTACACTGCATTGTATTTTATTGCAGTGTAATGTATTGTATTGCACAGCATTGTATTGTATTGCACTGTGTTGTATTGCATTGTATTGAATTGCACTGTTTTGTATTTTATTGCACTGCATTGCACTACATTGTATTGCACTGTATTGAACTGCGATGTATTGTATTGCACTGCATTGTATTGAACTGTACCACATTGTATTGCACTGCATTGTATTGAAATGAACTACATTGTATTGCACTGCACGGCATTGTTTTGCACTGTATTGCATTGCACTGCATTGTATTGCATTATATTGCACTGTATTGTATTGCATCGTATTGCACTGCATTTTATTGTATTATATTACACTACATTGTATTGTATCATATTGCACTGCATTTTTTGCATCATATAACACTTCTTTGCATTGCATCATATTACACTACATTGTACTGCATCATATTGCACTGCATTGTATTGCATCATATTGCTCTGCATTGTATTGCATCATATTGCACCGCATTGTATGACATCATATTGCACCACATTGTATTGCATCATATTGCACTGCATTGTATAACATCATATTGCACTGCATTGTATTGCATCATATTCCGTATTTACCATTTCGTTACAGTTTCATTACATAAAATGTTATTTATAAGATTATAATTTTCAAACATTGAAAATATTTTATACAATATCAATTAAAAGATATGAAATGGCCCAAAATAATATATTTTCAATGGAACCCTTTGCAAGGGTCACTTCAACATAACGCCACGTGTAATCTGTATGCATACGCCCTCTTTTTATGAACATTATCTTTGAAACCATATTAGAATCGAATCTGATAAAAGTGCGCATGTCCTGGATGTGCTGCGCGCTAGAATCGGGAAATCTCAAAGTTCTCCTCGTTAGAGCCATCAATATTATCCAAAATTGTCATTTCGCTGGTTCACTCCGCAGTCTTTCGAAAAAAATCAAATTCGTGGTGCCACGAATTTGTATTCGTTTTTTATTCACAGATAATCATTTTTTCATCGCGCACTGAATGCCGGAATTTTTGCGCACTTTATTTTAATTAACTGCACAACGCGGCCCCTGTAATTCATTCAGTGCGCGATGAAATCTATCTGACTGGGCCGCGGTGTGTGATATCACTCCCATGTTAAAACTCCATTCGATTTTGAATTATGCGCATGTCCCCTATCGCTTTCCGTAGGAGCAAAGAACATTAGTCAGGTTTTACAAAAGAATCTCAACGGGAGAGTGAGTTAACACGTCTTTTCTGCCAAGCACTAAATCCCGCGCTCTGTTTTACAGAGTGATATTCATTTCTAAGGCGGATGAACCACCTGAGTTTGTTTTCCTCCATAACGTTTTTTTCATGTTGGTAGGCCCCCGGGGGAGGCCAAAGTTGAGTCATCAGTTTCAGGTGTTAAAACGATCCCAGGGGCCAAATAGCAAACCATAATTAAAATCAAAACATATTTTGTCGACACATACAGACAAATAAACGTTTATACTCTCGGAATACGCAGCTATTGCTAAGAAACGAACGATAAATCTGTTCTTGAAAATAAGAATTCTTTTCTTCAAAAGCTTTCGTGTAGAACTTTTTAACAATTTATGTCACTGGTGTAAGGCTTTATGTGACAAACTGTTCGTGTGTACGTGTGTATATGTGTGTGAGCGTTCATAAACTGGTGTCATTTGATGATGCTCCCTCTAAATGAAAGCATGCAGTTCTTGGCTCTCCTGGGCGCCACGTTTGTAAGTATTTACTGCACGAAATATATTTTTTGTACTATTTGTTTTGTGTAATAAAATGTAAAATTATAACTGTGACTGTCATCTCCAACATATTTGAGGGGAAAAACCATATAACTTTTACTCAAAGACTTCATGAAGTTAATCTATTGTAATATATATACATGTATATACAGATTCTAATTTATTTTAATGAACACGATTAGTTATAAATTGAAATGAAGATTTTTGTAGGTATATAGAGAAGCCCTCCATCCGTGCGTTCGTCCGTCCGCCCGTCCGTTCGTTTGTCCGGACGATAACTCAAATACCGGTTGATGGGTTTGATTCAAATTGTATAGGCGTATGCCCTATGAGGACCTCTGCTCGAGAAGGAATTTTAAATATGGTTACCAAATTAAAAATGGCTGCCATTTTTCATAAAAAATGTAATCTTTGAATACTCAAATACTAGTCCACAGATTTGGTTCAAATTTTATATGCTGATGCCTAGGAATAAAGGAGCTTTGCTTTTCAAGATGGCCACTGAGTTTTAAATTGGCGGCCATTTTTCGTAAATATATATAATCTTTAATAACTCCAATGCCAATGAACAGATTTGGTCCAAATTTTATATGTTGATGCCTAGAGACAAAGGAGCTTTGCTCAAGAAGACATTCTCAAGATGGCTTTCAAATTTCAAAATAGCCGCCATTTTTCGTAAAAAATGTAATCTTTGATAACTCAAATACCAGTAGACGGATTTGATTCAAATTTTATACCTTGATGCCTAGGGACAAAGGAGCTTTGCTGAAGAAAAGATTTTAAAAATGGCCGCTGAAATTCAAAATGGCGGCCATTTTCGTAAAAATATGTAATCTTTGATAATTCAAATACCAGTAGACTGATTTGGTCCAAATTTTATATGATGATGCCAAGGGATAAAGGAGCTCTGGCCACCATTTCTCGGGAAAAACATTTGATTACTCAAATGCCAGGGAACGGATTTGGTTCAATAATATACTGATACCTATGGACAAAGGAGCTCTGTTCAAGGAGAAATTTTCAAAATGGCCACTATTTAACAAAACATGTTTTGTTCGGTGGGATTTGCTACTCCGTGGAGTTGCTGTTTTCTAGTTATTTTTGTTGAAGAAATTAAGGATATTGATAAAAATTAGCGATTAACTCAAAAGCGCATTAAAGTAGTTCACAGAAAAAAACTTTAACAATATCAAGTTCTCCAATGATAAATGTGATATAGCTAAATAATCCCCAACATCCCCAAAATGATCTTACACAAGCATATACTAGTACTACACAGTGTACTAGTATAAAGTAGTAGCCACGAACATACGTTTCCCTCGTCTTCAATTATCCCATGCCAGGATTATACTGGCACGTGCATAGCTCTCTACCATTCAGTAACTCAGAAAATTAATTGAGGTAGGCATATGTTTATGCCACACTGGACATAGAATATTCGTGACATTTTGAACTTCAGACAATGTATCTCATTTATAGTTTCGACCTTGAGTTTTTATGTTTAAATATCTGAAAAGTGTCACCAACAGTTAGACTGACTCAGTCAGATGGTTCCGCGTCACGTTTTAATAACATGATCCATAAATTCGAAAGACAGTGATTTTATTTGAAAGTTATAGGCTATAGCGACTACACGGTGACCAAGAGTTAACAGTGCAAATCGGCCCGGTCGTGTTTTTTTAAACTCTTTAGTCGTGTTTTGTTGAAAATTTGAGAGGTAGGTTGATAAATTTGGTCATGAAATTGCTGTCACTTGACTTTATGTAAAAGTAAGTAATTTATATTGCTTTCCATACTATATATCTTAACTTCAGGTATTCGTAAACGTGTTATTTGCACGAATCGTATGCTATAGTCTTGTTATATCGGGAAATGAGCAATTCTGTCAGTGTTATACATATTTTGCCTGAAAATCACTTGCCTGACTTGTATTCAATGAATACATCGATTCATAAGAAAAGCATTCACAATATGTGCGAAAATCAAAAGTTAGAAGAGCTTAAATAAGTAGCAATTGACCGAATAATATTTTTTAGATTAAACTCTTTAGACGTGTTGAAAAGATTGCGGTTAATGACGTTGACCTGTTAGTGAAACGTTCTAGACGTGTAGAGACATTGAGGTTTAACGATTTGGAAGTAGGAAACAGCACAATTAACATTATGTATTTCCCAAAAAATGATCACAATGTGGAAGAAGTTGTTGTCTGAGTGATACTATCTTAATTATAAATGATTAACAATAATCAAATGTACGACATAATATGTCAAGATTGATCTATGGGATCACTACCGAATTTGATACTTAAATCAAAATGGTTAGAATCAGACACGCATGGTTAATGCAAGCGAGCTTTGCCTCGTCGCTCGTCATTTTGAAAATTTGACCAGTCATATTATTTTTTAATTGCCCTGTCGCTCATTAAATGGCTCGTTGCTATTTTTGAATTTGCCTAAAATACGTTTTAAAACGTCCCTATTGGCCTTAAACTCACTTTTCCCTGTCAAGAACGTAAATAAATTTATTTAAAATGAGAGGAAATGTTTAGTTTGTGATGCACTACATGTAAATGCATATATATGATCACCTAATGTAAGGAATAACTCCACCATTATTAAAATCGTATGCTCAATATCTATTAGGTTTGCCTCAGGATTTTTAACAATTTGATTCGATGTTATTCCCTAATTCGCCTCACACAATGCAATACAATTTCAATTTTAATTTTCAAATTGCAATAGGTAAAAAACGCTACATATGCTGCTATCGTTCTATGAGTGATCTATGAACTGTAGTGTAACATAGTTTTCTAGCGAATTAAATTACAACATCTGTTGATCTTGTTAAATCATATATCTGTCTTTTTTATTTATTCATATCTTGACTACAAATTACAATAAACGGGTGACACATAATGTATATTCCCGTGTTTAGTACTAATACGATTATTTTCAGAAGCACAGACAAATTATTAAGCAACAAAACATGGTCAATGTGAACAATATTACAAGACAATTCAAAGTCGTTAATTTTATCACGTCTAAAACGTTATCTTTACAATTCCAAAACGTTAAGATGCTTATTATAAGACACGTCCATGACGTTATATTGTCCCTTCTCCATAGTTAACTCCACTTTCTACATTTACGGTCATTTATGGTAATTTTAAGATAAATACAGTTAAAATATTTACACGATCTTTAGAGTAGTGAATATTATTCCACGTTGTTGAATGGATTGTCTGTTTAAACTTGATTAAATAACACTAAATGCAAATTAAGTACATATTTCTGGCACTTTTGGTATATAATTGCGATTGATATGAAGTATGATGGATTTATCCCCAAAATAGATTCGTTGGTATGAAGAAGAACATCTTAGGTAGAAGTCAAGATATGTAAGTTTGTAAAATATAGAATATTCTTACCATTTTGCTCCATTCTATCGAATGTCGCATCCCATGTTCTTACAAAACACGACTAAAGTGTTTAAAAAAACACGACCGGGCCGATTTGCACTGTTAACTCTTGGTCACCGTGGACTAGACTTGTTTAGATACTTCAACTGAGGGTCAATGCCTCAGTATTAATCATTCCTCTTTTCGAAAATAAGCTAGAAATAAGCAAAAGTCTACTTTGTTCACAAATATCGTCGATGTTTTTTGCTTTTTGCCGAACGGCAATGCCTTTTTGTGATGGAAATCAATAGCCATTTCTCACACGTTTTAAACCAGGATTCAACGTCATTTCGGTAATGGCCATTGATATTTCACACGCTGTTCTATATGTGAAACACTGTGTTCGGATTGGCTGGAATCGGACACACCTTGCCCAGCTTAAGTGAATGTAGTTGAGACCACCGTGTATTTATAAAAGGTAAAATTTATTTTGATAAATCAATTGCAAATTTCACACTTTATTGGTGAAGTTTCAGGATCTCCTGTATGTGTTTAATCTGAAAAATTGACTTCTCAAGTATAAGTAGAGAGCATGGTAGCGCTATGGTCTTATGAAATGTAGTACAAATGAAACAAAAATAATACAAGGATTTATATTGGCTCGTGTATTCTTTGAATAATTCACCCTCGCAATATTTACAGATTGAAAACTTCTGAACGGAGGAGACAATCTTTGACAATGTGTATTCAACTTCTAGATTTTAGAATTTTCCAGTTGCATGTTGACATCCCTTCTATCTGGTATTATTTGTTAAAATGATTTATTAAATCATTGCAATTGTTTTATATTATATCTCGTGCATTTCAATTACCGGGACAACGTACATTGGAGATGACAACGTACATTTTTCATTTGTTAAAATTATACCAAATTCATGAATATTTATTAAACCTTCAACCGTCTTAAATTGTGTAGTTTAAAGAAACATAGTCTCATATAAATATCCGGCACTCTTAGACGACAGGGGAGAAAACGATCAGAGGAAATGTGTAAAAAACACAATTTTTCAACCGAGTAATTACATGGGTAGATCAACAACGAAAAAAATCGAGCACTGCTCGAAAATCTTTTGACGTAATTAGAAAGGTAAATGTCTTCCAAATCAAATACACACGAAATCAAACATGAATTCCTTTATGTATTCCTCAAATTAATTTTTGAAAACCAATATCAAACCTACATCATAGTTTTCGCTTCAAATCAGTTAATAGTGACACCGTACACCTAAAGTGTACGACGGTATATTTTGTCACTGTACGTTGTCGATGGTTAGGCGTGTAGCTCAATTTTGAAGGAAGTTGCTTCATTTATTGTAAAATTTAAAACAGATCTTTTATGGCTCGCTTATGCCACGATCGCACCCCCCCCCCCCCCCTGTCTGAAAACCGAAATATTCCCCGTGACCAAAAAATGGGTGCGCCCCTGTTGTGTGTATATATAACGTAACTTAATCTTGAAATTATATTTCGCGTTCATATAAACAGATATTATCAACGATGGCTGTAGAAGATGAGCCAGGCCCACCTACTGCTGAGAAACTGACAAAAGAGATTGGTTTTGATATTACGCTGACTACAATTTGGGACACAGCCGAGCGACAGAGTGCTGAGATATTCTGGGCCCAACCCACTACTGTCAAACAAGTAAGCATAGATATCATCACACACAGAATCTCTCTTCGAGAGGAAGTCACTACTACACTACAGTCTCAGCTGTAGTGGCTAGCCCTTATGGCTCAGGTGTAGATCGTCTGACTCGAGAGCGGAAGTTCCTAGGTTCGATTCTCGTACGGGGCATTGGATTAAGTACACACTCTTTTGAGTCTAGTATCTGGCTCGTTAAATTATTATGCATCTGTTGGGGAATATTCCATTGGCTTATATCCTAGATGCGAGTAGAAATAATCTTGATTTACGTCATTATCAATTCAAAATTCAGTCAAACTGTTTACTACAAGTAAAATTACATCTAGAAATGTGGTTTCGCAAGAGTTTATCAACTTTGAAAATGTAACTTCTAGGTCGGGGAGTTTCCCCATAGACCCCATGTTGTAAAATCACAAAAAGTGAATTTTTTTCTTTTGTTGGGCAGATAATATTTTCTTTTACTGGACATGTTTTAATTTGTATAACTATCAGATACATAAGGGTTATATGAAAAGTGAACCACTAACTGATGACTATTCAAGTTAAAGGGAATTTTGTAATACCCTCCCATTTTATTTCCCCCAAATCAACCACCTAGTGGCGAAACTGGTAACTACTAACTACCTACTCGCATCTGAGTGTAATTGAAATTGGTCACATTCCACAACAGAAAATTCAGTGAATTCCTGTAACCCCTTTTTTGTCGCTCTGAGTATCCAATATTACATCAGTATTGAACGGTTGTGTAGTAATAGAGGATGAGCTTCACTTTATCCTAAGCTGAGAACTACAAACTCAGGAAAATTTGTTTGAAACTTTAAAACCAGATTTGAAACAGCACAAAGATCCAGATAAACTGTTTTTTGTCTAGTAAAAGCTCTCGTGTTAACTTACATTTAACCAAAGGAGCGCGTAGGTTGTCGCAAACAATTTCAATGTCAGACGATTATATGAACATGGTTGGATGGATAACATGTTTTTTTTTCAATGTGTATTACATGGAGAACACTAATCTTAGAGGAAAACAGTTCTTTCAAATTACTATACTTGATACATCAAAATAGAGGATAGTATTATGCATTAAAAATTGTATAAAATGATTGCATTTTTGGTAAAAATGAGGTCAGCATCTTTGAAAAAGTGTGTTGATGGGTTGATTGCTAGCTAAATATCTCAGAATCCGATTGACTTTATTATTATTGTATATAATGATTTTCTTTGAGATATTGTATGGATCTAAAAGCTATGCTAAAAAACACGGTCCCTAATGTAATGTTGACTGATTGACAACAATTTAATGCGAAAATTATTTATATATATTCTATATTACTGTTTTTATTAACATTTTTTGTGTTTTAGTGCAATTGTTTTTTGTTCCTTTTTACCAATTCTTGAGAATGAAATAAAATATCTTTTCGAAGCTTGTTGGAACAAAATACCATATACAACATTTTCTTAGACCTCTCAATATTATAGTTATCCAAAGGAAATTTTGGTTGATTTTACAAAATGTATTAAAAAATTAAAACAAAAAAAAAACAAAATAGATAAAAAATTAAGATAACCCTTTTATTTCATTAACAAGATACTTTATTAAAATCAACCAGACTTTCCTTTGTATACAATTACAACATTAACACGTTGTGTTTATGTCATTTAGTTCCTATGAGGTTCGGATAGATGTTTCATTTCATTCCGAACATATGATACCAAGAACAAAAGAGGTATCTGGTGTTTTTTCTAAAACAATATAGAGAAAAGTATATAATTATATTTATTTCAAACAATATTGTCACCATTCAAAAGATGACCATTAAATTGACGATGTGTAAAATTTACAGAATTTTTTGATGACTGGTTTAAGAGAAACGTGTGTTCAAAAAGTTCAGCATATCGATACCCATCCTTTAGAAAATGATTAATTATAAATGTACACATGTTTTAAAACCATGTTCTTCTATTTCAAGATTAAAGATTTGGTAAAAGCTGCTAGGAAGTTTAGTTTACGCGTTCGACCTTACGGCGGACGACATTCCTGGGCGCCGTTGTTTGCAGATAAGGGTGACATTGGCTTGGATCTGTCATTGTTTGCGGAGGGAGACAAATTCACAGTTGACAAAGTATTAATGCAATTACTATTTGAAGGATGAGTATCTAAAATATCTAAATGTATTCGATGCTATATTTCTGATAAGGGATCATGAACACTCATACTCTAAAACCGTATTTGACAAAGTCTTAGTTTTTGAAAATCTTCTGACCCAACGTTATTGAGCAGTATTCTTTTTAGTTCCTTACTCTTAATTGATTCCAACAACGTGAAAGTCTAAAATGAGCGAATATCATAGGGCATTCATGACAACCTATGTCACAGACAACCTAAATAAAAAAGCTGGTCCTGGAAATAAACGAAAAGCGGGGTTTTGATTGGCATACCCTATATAATAATGGCCAATAATACAACCAGAACAACGGCAACGCCAAAGCGTAGCGAATCCCATCGAACAACCATGGATGGCATTTTTACAAACAAAGTATATTTTTCAAAATGGCCGCCTTCTTTCAAAAGTGTCATTAGACCATGTGCCATAAACTTATAGTATTCACATACCAAATATGAACAAAATCGCTCCACTACTTTTCAAGTTATAGTAAAATACTTTAAATGGTGGCCATTTTTCAAAATGGCCGCCTTCTACCAAAAGTGTCATTAGACAGTGTGCCATGCTTTTAGTATTCAAATACCAAATATGAACAAAATCGCTTCACTACTTTTCGAGTTATAGTAAAATACATTTTCAAAAAAAATTTCAAAATGGCCGCCTTCTACCAAAAGTGTCATTTGACAGTGTGCCATACTTATAGTATTCACATACCAAATATGAACAAAATCGCTCCACTACTTTTCAAGTTATAGTAAAATACTTTAAATGGTGGCCATTTTTCAAAATGGCCACCTTCTACCAAAAGTGTCATAGGACAGTGTGTCATACTTATAGTATTCACATACCAAATATGAACAAAATGGCTCCACTACTTTTTGAGTTATAGTAAAATAAGTTTAAATGGTGGCCATTTTTTAAAATGGCGGCCATTTTTTAAAATGGCCGCCTTCTACCAAAAGTGTTTTTAGACAGTGTGCAATGTTTGGAGTATTCACATACCAAATATGAACAAAATCGCTCCACTACTTTTCGAGTTAGAGCAAAAATCGTAAAATAACGAGTAAAGGCCGCCATTTTTCAAGATGGCTGCCATGTGCTTCTTTAATATCTACACTTCTAGCTTTAATAATGTCCTATATAATTTTTTTACATCTAAAACATATTGCTATTACAATTTTACATATTGCATCTAAATTACTGTAAATTCGGCACTAAAATGGCCGCCATTTTGAAATGAGCGGCCATTTTGAAAATCGGCTTTCGAGCAGAACTTCTACCCCCATAGGGTATATGTGTACAAAATATAAACAAAATCGGGCCAACGGTATTTGAGTTATTGCCCGGACGGACGGACGGACGGACGGACGGACGGACGGACGGACGGACGGAGGCGTTCCCTATATCCCTCCGAACTTTGTTCGATGGGATAACAAAAGGTCATCAGACTTAAACTGCCTCAGCCGGGAATCGAATCTTATCCACTTGTGAACTGCTATTTCATGTATTACCTAAAATTATTTCCATGTGGAATTTTGTTTTAGGAAAGAATGTTAGTCAGTGCCTCGGCCTCTGCTTATTTGCATGAACTGTATCAGTTTAACACGGACAATGGAGTTACTATCATCTCTGGACCAAATATAGACAACGTTACTTTGCAAGGTGCTACTGGAACATCTTCTCATGTAAGTCCAATAGGCCTGCTCATAGGAAAGATGACTATAGGTGTATTTCTAAGTCCCACAATGTTTAGATCTTAAGTACTGAATATAGGTGCACTGTATAATATTATACTAGACAATGGCACCTCTTCTTTTTGATCTATTATCGCTATTCAATAACATGTAATTTATCTCAATAATTCTTAATATAGGGCCAGATGAAGGCCGAAGGCACCCTTGCAACGTATGTGTATGCGATAGACTTGGTCGATTACAAAGGTAGGAATAGACATTTCGACGAAGACGGTGATAAAGAAGTGATAACTGCATGCAGAACTCATTTAGGAATGTGTGGCATCATCTATAATACAACCATAAGGGTAACTATTTTAAAAGATACAATGGTGGAAGGGGCGTAGTATGAGAAGGAATGAAATACACAATCGGCCAAACGTACAGTGTCAACCAACCCCTCCAACACCAAACACGGTCAGACAAACTAAGCAAGCAATACAAGATCATTAAGACTCTGAATATGGCTGAATAGCCAGTTTGTTACACTGATCGACCTAAGCAAGCAATATAAGATCATTAAGACTCTGAATATGGCTGAATAGCCAGTTTGTTACACTGATCGACCTAAGCAAGCAATACAAGATCATTAAGACTCTGAATATGGCTGAATAGCCAGTTTGTTACACTGATCGACCTAAGCAAGCAATACAAGATCATTTAGACTCTGAATATGGCTGAATAGCCAGTTTATTACACTGATCGACCTAAGCAAGCAATAAAAGATCATTAAGACTCTGAATATTATGGCTGAATAGCCAGTTTATTACACTGATCGACCTAAGCAAGCAATAAAAGATCATTAAGACTCTGAATATGGCTGAATAGCCAGTTTGTTACACTGATCGACCTAAGCAAGCAATACAAGATCATTAAGACTCTGAATATGGCTGAATAGCCAGTTTGTTACACTGATCGACCTAAGCAAGCAATACAAGATCATTAAGACTCTGAATATGGCTGAATAGCCAGTTTGTTACACTGATCGACCTAAGCAAGCAATACAAGATCATTAAGACTCTGAATATGGCTGAATAGCCAGTTTATTACACTGATCGACCTAAGCAAGCAATAAAAGATCATTAAGACTCTGAATATTATGGCTGAATAGCCAGTTTGTTACACTGATCGACCTAAGCAAGCAATAAAAGATCATTAAGACTCTGAATATGGCTGAATAGCCAGTTTATTACACTGATCGACCTAAGCAAGCAATTCGAGATCATTTAGACTCTGAATATGGCTGAATAGCCAGTTTATTACACTGATCGACCTAAGCAAGCAATAAAAGATCATTAAGACTCTGAATATTATGGCTGAATAGCCAGTTTATTACACTGATCGACCTAAGCAAGCAATAAAAGATCATTAAGACTCTGAATATTATGGCTGAATAGCCAGTTTGTAATACTGAATGATCGACCTTATCAAAATATGTCCGCCGAGATACATAAAATCTGTAAAATTCGGCTCTTTGCTACCGATTCCAATATCTTTAAAAATCCATAATTCAAATCCTAGCCCCTTTCCGTCCAATACATATGTGAGTCATTTTTATTGTTTCCGATTGTACATTTGACACGTAGGTGGTTAAAGACACAGTGGTCAAGTTCAGCAAAACACATATGAAGGCTTCTGACATCGTAACGAACCAAGATAATCGTAAAGCAGTCGTCATGGATAATGCTGGAATGCTTATCATGTGGAGAATGTTCACGAGTGCTACTGACGAACAAATCATGGCAAGAAACACAGATCCGCTTCAAAGACCACCACTTAATTGGGATCCGGCTGATGATGTTACCACTGTATGGTATGTTAAACAATCACATTACAGTTATAGATATATCAAAAATACAAGGTGGGCCAAAAAACGCCACTTTTTTTCAAGACACTACAACTTTTTTATTTTCCAACAGTACATACCCCAGATTTTGCAGTTGAATAGTGCCAGGGGTTCTTAGTAATAATATAGTGTAACAAGTCCTTCAACTTGGATTATATTTGATCTAAAAGAGGAGTTCCATTGGTCCGCCACCCTATTTAATGATATATTTTAGTTTTACCCGCCTTGCTGATATAGCAGTATTAATGAAATGTTCAGTAGCTAAGTTTTTTTCAACATGTCTTGATTGCCAGCTTTAGTTGAGCAATTTTCTAGATTGGGTGACTTCATACAATCTCCTGCAGACCTTCCCATACCCTATACTCACTGGGGTTTGCATCAGGGCTATTAGCTTGGTGATCCTCAGGCCGATCAGTTCAGGAACATTTTGCAAATTATGCTTACTAGTATTTCTCATGGTACACCACATGTTTAAGTGAGACGCTGGTGACATATTTTATTCAAGTAAAAGTGTATTATTCATGATCCATTGCTAGATAACAACCTCAAGTTTCATTTGGTATGCAAATTATGATTTTGTATCAAAAATTAAAAAAGTTGTAGCATTTCGAAAAAAAAGTGGCGTTTTTTGGCCCACCCTGTAGTATTCACATAAATTCTAATCAACACCATCATATGTATTCAAAATAAATAATTTTTTAAATTAGTTTTTCTGAGAAAATATGGCCTTTTTTCCTTAAATCGCCATGATCCAAAACAACTATAAACGGAACACTTCCTGAGTGGATTAGCTTTGTCCCAAAGACGATGAATTTACATATGCTTTGAGACACTACAGATATTAAAAATATTATGACTAAACGTATTTCTGTAAAATTCTTTTACGATAAAAATACAGGACAATAAACCCAGTTGATGATGTTGACATCAGACCTAACAAAGAACCATTTGAGGACAAGTGGCGACTAAGTGATGGAAGAGAAGTGACTGGTACTGCAGACTACAGGATGGCATCTGAGACCATGTTGTTCACTGCGTGGACAGGCCCTGATATCCATCTTAGGAACGATATTGCTTGGGCTACTGCTGAGTCAGTAGACTTCTCAGCAAGTCAAAAAACAATTGAGGTACAATGCAATCAAACACATGTCGACATCTGCAAGGCATTTGATCCGAGAGCTACTGGACTGATGCTAATGCACAGAGCAGAGTTGATTTAGTGTAGCTACAATTAACCCTTACAGTTGTGTGAGAAGGTTTTAGTCAAATAGAGGGGGGTCTTGTAGCTAGACTGAGATCATTGTGCACTGATAAATCTATGATTGACGTCTCTTACTAAATAGATTGATAATATATCGAAATCTAGATTTACTTATCGCTAATTACTGAACGCCCCCTCGAAACAATACTCTTTCTGACAAAGTTGTCTCATATTACAGAATTTCATGGACGTATACGAAACTGCAATGAAAAGGTTGGGCTCGTACAGATCATTTGGAATTTTCCGTTGGTTAAGCCACAAGGATACCCCCACATTAGCTAATACTAAGGTATTTACCTATTTTCACTGACAAAAAAGTCTACCTGCTAATATTACCTATCACACTACCCTACCACGTGACCACATTTAAAAATGATACAGGGTACGGATAAGTTGCAAATGGAGCGGGTATTCTCTATCTTTGTCCATTGGGCTTTTCTGGTAATAATACGTTGCAAACTGCTCGATGAATCTATACTATGTATAGTAGAACACTTAGAATATGTGTAAAATCTAGTATACATTCAGATCTATGGAAATAAACAAACGTCCTCCATTTGCAACTTCCCCGTAGCCTGTACTTCTTTTAAAGGAATACAGGATACAGTATGGGGGTATAGTAGTGTGCCTATATATGGAGTGGAGTTGCCACCTTTTGTATTTTTACACTAAAAATATGATTAGTTTATCTCAAAACTTAACTTGCAAGGTGGGTGGGTTCATGTGGCAACGTTAGCAACGTTAGCAACACAAATTAATACTTCAGTTCGATGATTACAGGTTGCTAATGACTTTAATCTGGTCTTGGAATTGGAGCTGACGTCATCTTGTGAACCTTGTAACAAGCATTTGTTGGAAGAAATAACTAGGGACAAAGTCTGGAGTGCAACGGTATTTAGTAATAAAATACTATTCTGTAGTGAATCTTATGTATTGATGCTTTCTTCAAAAAAACTATCATACGCGAATCATGACATTTCTGGCCTAAGTTCGTTCAATGGCTAAAAAACGTCCGACGACCTAGGGCTCAGTTGTTTGAATTTGGCGGCATATACAGTTAGCAGTTTCAACGTTCACTTCAAAATTCAAACCTCAGACTGTATGAGTTCATAATACTTCTAAAAATGTTTTGGTTTATGGAATTAATTTATGCACGGAACGAAGCCATTATTCTAGCCTTCAAACAGTACCTCATGTCACTAACAACTTATTGATTCTTGGGCTCAACTTATTCGATAAAGCACGATAATTCGAATTCTAATATGATACGTGACGTCACACTAGCTAGAACAATTGATTTACTGGTCTATATTGGAGTATGTATGACCAATGAAATTCATAAATGCAAAAAATCATGTTTCTTGTCTGTTTATCATATTAGAATCGTAACAAAGACCTCGATTTTTATGTCACCACCAAAAAGTGGTGACATATTGTTATGGTCTCCGTTTTTTTGCGACGGCGGTTGGAGGTTGGCGTCCGGCGTCCGGCGTCTGGCGTCCGGCGTCCGGCGTCTGTAACAATTTCTTACAACTTCCTATAACTTAACAAATACTGTTTAGACTGACTTCAATTTTTTTCTAAATCATCTACATCTTCTCAGAAGTTCAAATCTGACTTTGACATTTGACCTTCAATGACCTTCTCAAGGTCAAAAAGGTCTTTTTTCAACTTGCTTCACATTGACTAAATTTTTTTTCAAAATCATCTACATGTTCTCAGAAATTCAAATCTGACTTTAGATTTGACATTTGACCTTCAAATCTGACTTTAGATTTGACATTTGACCTTCAATGACCTTCTCAAGGTCAAAAAAGGTCAAAAAGGTCTGTTTTCAACTTGCTTCAAATTGACTAAATTTTTTTTTCAAAATCATCTACGTGTTCTCAGAAATTCAAATCTGACTTAAGATTTGACATTTGACCTTCAATGACCTTCTCAAGGTCAAAAAGGTCTTTTTTCAACTTGCTTCACATTGACTAAATTTTTTTTCAAAATCATCTACATGTTCTCAGAAATTCAAATCTGACTTTAGATTTGACATTTGACCTTCAAATCTGACTTTAGATTTGACATTTGACCTTCAATGACCTTCTCAAGGTCAAAAAAGGTCAAAAAGGTCTGTTTTCAACTTGCTTCAAATTGACTAATTTTTTTTTTCAAAATCATCTACGTGTTCTCAGAAATTCAAATCTGACTTAAGATTTGACATTTGACCTTCAATGACCTTCTCAAGGTCAAAAAGGTCTTTTTTCAACTTGCTTCACATTGACTAAATTTTTTTTCAAAATCATCTACATGTTCTCAGAAATTCAAATCTGACTTTAGATTTGACATTTGACCTTCAAATCTGACTTTAGATTTGACATTTGACCTTCAATGACCTTCTCAAGGTCAAAAAAGGTCAAAAAGGTCTTTTTTCAACTTGCTTCAAATTGACTAAATTTTTTTTTCAAAATCATCTACGTGTTCTCAGAAATTCAAATCTGACTTTAGATTTGACCTTCAATGACCTTCTCAATGTCAAAAAAGGTCAAAAAGGTCTTTTTTCAACTTGCTTCAAATTGACTAAATTTTTTTTTCAAAATCATCTACATGTTCTCAGAAATTCAAATCTGACTTTAGATTTGACATTTGACCTTCAATGACCTTCTCAATGTCAAAAAAGGTCAAAAAGTTATTTTTCATCTTGCTTCAAATTGACTAAATTTTTTTTCAAAATCATCTACATGTTCTCAGAAATTCAAATATGACTTTAGATTTGACATTTGACCTTCAATGACCTTCTCAAGGTCAAAAATGGTCAAAAAGGTCTTTTTTCAACTTGCTTCAAATTGACTAATTTTTTTTTTCAAAATCATCTACATGTTCTCAGAAATTCAAATCTGACTTTAGATTTGACATTTGACCTTTAATGACCTTCTCAAGGTCAAAAAGGCCTGTTTTCAACTTGCTTCAAATTGACCAATTTTTTTTTTCAAAATCATCTACATCTTTTCAGAAGTTCAAATTTGACTTAACAAGTTCTCAGAAATTCAAATCTGACTTAAGTTTGAACTCATAATATTGCGAGCAACTAGGTGGTGACATTTTGTCATGTTAATGCCTTGTATGATTTATGTCAAATATATGACCTCAAAATTTATTCTGGCCATTGCCAAAGACCTCAATCGCTACGCGATTTCGGTCTTTTAACAATGAACAGAATAAAATTTTCGGTCATATATTACGCCATAAATCATAAAATCTCGGTCTTTATTCCTTAAATATATAGTATTGTGCCAATTTTGCATATTCTGTACCTATAGAATTTGAACCAAATTCGACAATTTGTACTTAGTACCTAAATTATTAATTTGCATCTTCTGTTTATTTAAAATTTGAACTAAATCCAACATTTTGTACTTATTTAGAGTTATTTATGAGTTATCGTTTAATTACACTTGTCCCGACAGTCGGGACGAACATACAGACGGACAGACGACTTCTCTATATAACAACAGGGACTTGAATCTGTGAGATAAAATTCAAACTGGTTAAATTTTGAATTTTTTGTACGACATTCGTCTGTATTTGATATTGAAGGTTGCTACTGGAATGATGGCAAACAACAGTCGCATCTTGCCACATTGGGGCAAATACTTTGACTTCATCCCGGGAATAATCGATCACCTCCGTCAGAACTATGGCACTAAGTTGGATGAGTTCATCAAAATCCGTAATGAAGCAGATCTGGATCCTGACAACATGTTCACTAATTCTCATTTGAGGACCTTGTTCCATGAAGCGATCGTTCGAAATGCTGAGAAGGCAAGAGTTTCAAAAATGAAGAAACTTAATACATTGGCAAAAAGGTTCGCAAAGCTGTTGGAGAGTTTCACTTTCTCATCTAATTATTACTTATAAGTAACAAAACAGTAGAATCGATTGTTTTCTATTTCCCCAATCTTTTTTCAATCCTCTCAGATCCCAGGATATTAGATACTGTACTTGTTTAGTTTGATAAATATGTGACTGTAAACATTTCAGTTTTTTAATTTTCTGCAAAATTCCCCAAAAGAAATCTTTGATTCCCGGAGGATTTTCCCTCACGACAGCCTTCCTTTACTAGATAGCTTTCATGGGCAATATTTTGCCCTTAATTAATATCTTACATAACGCATCCTAACAAATATAACTGCCTTTAAAAAGTTACAACCTCCGATCACAGGGCTTCAAAATCCAGAATATATTCTTTCTTTTTACCCCTGGAGGGAAGAAGGAGGTACGGATTCGGGACACCTGCTCAGGAGGATGAATAAGTTACAAATTAAAACATATTCATCACTGGCATATTGTCTGTTTTTGTGCCCTCACAATGTAGATCTTGGCAAAAGCTTTATTATATGTCTAAAGCCATATTTTACATTTTATATACTCTTTAAATTTAAGCAGTAAGAAATCATTGGAGCTTTTTAATTCGATTCCCGGCCATATACTATAATATTAAGCATTCATTTTTCAGAATAGCTCAAAATTGTTCTGATGTCAAAATTTACATTAGAGTATTTTTACAGTAAACATTGTGTCTTTTACATTTGTTTTCTTCTCATGCACTTCAATTATTACGATTTAGATCCGAGCTATATGTTTCCTTCTTAAAGTTGAATGGTTCATACAAATAATTCAATAACATTAAAAGAAAATGCATTTTGATATTCAAATCAAACTGTTGAATTAATGTCAACATCATAAAATACCATTTATTTGTTTTCATATCAATTCAAATTGCAAGAAAGAATTTTTCATAAGTTCTGATTTAAAAGAAATTTGAATTATTCATGTTATTGAGAAGTCCAATTGATGTAAAAAGTGAAACGTTGAATAGAAATAAAATGACTGAATTAAATTCTGAATTAAATGTTATGTTTTTGATTTACAAAATGAGGTTATTTTTAATCCAGACAAGAAGGGCAATGGTATTGGTATAAGGACTGGCAAGTGATTTTAGACAGTCATATCTTTCACCATAAGTACTTTCTGGCCATAAATACAGTGGTTTTTATTAAAACAATATGTTTTCTTTCAAATTAAGTCCCCATGATGATAAAAATATCAATCGAACAATTCCAAAAATTATTCGTGGGGACCCCATGTCAGATGAGGATCTTCTTTTTCTGATTTTTATTGTGAAAAGATTATTCAACATGGGGTCAAAAGCTTCTTCAAAAGTAGGATGGTATTGAAAGTCTAGTTTTGAAGATTGCAATTTTTGATGACCAAAGTTATGCTGAAAACAATGGATAGCATGAGTTTTCCCCAGGGGAAAAAACATGGGATATGTGGTTTTTGACTTTAGTGCATTTCAATAGCCATCCCCTTTTCAGAAAATGTTAATATAGTGGAGAAGAAACTTTTGATATGTTTAAATTGAGAAAAACACAATCCCCTTTTTAGAAAATATTAAAGCATAACATTTTTCAAAATTTTCCAACGAGTTGAATTGATATTTTACTATCATAGGGACTTCACTTGAAAGAAAACATGTTTTAATAAATATCACTGTATTTATGGCCAGAAACGAAGTACTAAAGTACTCTTGGGGAAAGATGTGACTGTCTAAAATCACTTGCCATACCTCACATGGCACTTTATATTAATGTACAGCATGGATTAAAAACTTATACCAAATCTACCATAAAACTACCAGAACTATTCATAGACATTGAGAAGCAGGAAACATATTGAACAGTGGCTCATCATATAATTTACAAATAGAATTTAATATTAAAACAATTCTAATGATAATATCAAACAATATTTATTGAAATGAAAAACAATACACCAGATTTATTAACTTAGATTTAGTGAACAGAAGTGTCGCTTACTCAGCAAAATAATTAGGTTTGATGAGTGCATAGTCCTGCGTCAAGCCCTTGTATGTTTCTCATACTGAGGGTGTGGGCACTCATTTTGTGTAAAAGAATACATGGTTCATTGTTACTGGCATGACTAGAGGATGACCTTGTTACATTTATTCACTGTAGACCGTCATAGGCCTACAGTTATATGTTCCATTCATTCGTTCACTGTAGACCTTCATAGGCCCAGTTCCATTCATTCATGTAGACCATTCACTAGTCTACATTATGTCATCAAATGTATGAGATGTTGTGTCCTGTAACCCTGCCTTGGTACTTTGCTATGTCGAGATCAAGTATTGTCTACCATGCTATGAAATCTTAATGTTCCAATTTACCAAGATTTAATGAGGAAAACCAATCTTGTTTTTCTATGTTAATAGCTCCAGACTTAGACCTTATTGTGATGAAATTGTCTGTTTGTCCATCAGATTTACCTGAAAATATAGTTGTTTCAGGAAAAGATTAAAAGTTAGATTGGATCGAGTGGATTGGATTCATGTAAAAGGTGGATTGGATCGGGAATCTTCAAAATAAAGAATTTATATGCATATAACAGTACAGTAAAGTAGCACAAAATCACCTCTAGAAAATTGGTCTATTTTCTCTGCAAAAATATTTTCAGGGCTTAAAATAAAAAAAAAATCATTTGTAGAATTGACCTTTTGCGATCAGAATTCAGGAATTTTGTTTATGGATACTGTTGTCACGTATTTCGTCTTATTGGTATGACGTCATATAGAAATGATATTAGACATGATGGAATCACGAAATGGCGGACACGTGGCAGTTTTGAGCTAAAAATATTGTCGTTTCTTATATAAAAACCATGGGTCGGATATTTACCAGGTATGCCTATTTGACTAGATCATGAGTATGTCTATATATATGCGAAGTTTGGGTGAAATTCATACTAAACATCGATGCCTATAAGCGCCCCCCGTTTTTGTCAAAATCGGGGGGCGCTAAACCGCTATCTAAATCATGTCAGTAAGACCTTAGACTTGGTATGTGCTTAGCATGAATGTTGATCTAGTCAAATAGAACGCTTTCGTGAAAAATAAATCAATAAAGCACGAAATATAGAAGATAATCTCTCAAAATCAAGCATCTAAAGCTGGGTGACCTAATTGTGACGTCACTAAAAGACAGAATCCATTCGGTGATCGCAAATCATCAATTAGATCATACACATAATTAATATTCGAACATGACTGTATTCACGCCTTCTATAAACTGTAAACAAAGTCAACATTTCACCCGGGGTATATTTGCAAAACAAAACCCCTGGTAATACGTGTAATGTGTGACGTCATAACAGCGGGCTGTAGCAATGGCGGGCCATAATGAATATTCGAAACATTTTGGTGAGTTTTCATGTTCGAATCGGAATATAGACATCAGAGCAGGTGTAATATCGTCGAATACACCCCTTAGGGCTAAGCACAAAAGCTTTCGAACCCCTCACTCCCTTCGGTCATTTGGGGTACAGAAAACGTTTGTGCCTAGCCCTGCGGGGTGAATTCGACAATATTACCCCTGCTCTTCGGTCTATATTTCTTAAATAATAGTATTCAGCTGGTTTTGTGCTAAATTCTATATGCAAACTTATTAGTTGATGACATCACTTCCTGTGTGACATCTAAAAAGATGTCAGCCAACATGAAATGAGCACTGCATTTTTAAATGATCAATTTTGGCCATGTCAATATATTTTCCCAAATGTTGCTAAATATGATTTGAATAAAAATGGTTATAGCTACCACATTAAGAGAGAAAATGGCTAGGAAAGAATATGCCTTTAAAAATGACAGATTCTCTAATGTTTATAAGATATTTGGTGCAGATGAAACATTGTGATGCAATGTGGGTAATGACTTTTAGTTGCCTGCAGATGCTCAGAACTAGAATTAATATATTAATAAGTGATTTTAAGCTGGAAGATGCAGGTGGTTATTCCAATCATAGATAAGGAAGTGAAATAATTACATATTTACATACAGCAGCAACATAATATTATCTAAGAATTTTCAACCAAATAATGCAGGAATCAAAGTGAATGGAATAAACTATCGATCGGACAATATCAGTGTAAGTATCATCTATTACTGATTATTAAGTCATTTTCAAACATTTACTCGTATTAGTACACAGAAGTGCGTGAGGCATTAGGATGTACAGGATTCATAGGTTTCTAGTTAAAGGACTTCCCAACAAGTAAAACACTGCCACTAGTACCAAAAAATCAGATGTAACATTCATACCTATAACTCCTATATATTCACTGAGTGAGGTATTAGGAAATGCAGGATTCATAGGGGTATAGTTGAGGGATTTGTCAATATGTACATCACTGCCACTAATACCAACATTAGAAACGATGTCTTCTGGTAGTTTTAATGTTATGTCTCCTAAAAAAATATAAAATAACCCAGATGAATGATCTAGATTTATATCATGGCCATGTATAATGCTAAGAATATATTTGATATGACACCATACAAGTACTCTGCATATGTACACAGTGTTCTCCCCAGGACTTTTTCTCAAGTGGGTGAAAAATTCTTGATTTCACAATATTGACCTTTGGTCAAAATATGCATATTATTCATGATTTTTGTCTTTTTCAAGTGGGTGCAAATGGATTCTGAGGTGGGTGCAAGCTTATTTTTAAATCTCAAGTGGGTGCAGCACCCACTTGCTGTAATGCTGGGGAGATCACTGGTACATGTAAATGAAAATTAGACATGAGTATTTGTATTTGCAATACACTCACTATGTAAGGAGACCAACTTTCAGAAAATGCAATATACTTTATGTTGAAAAGAATTGTTCACTTACAATTATTTGAACTACAGGGTGGTCAAAAAAAACGGCAACCCTAGTTTTTCCTAATATCTTTGTCATTCTAAGGAATAACTCCCTGATATTTTACACATTTGTACATCATTCAATTTCCTACCAACCTACCATATTTCATGACCATCGGACTGATAGTCACAATATTACTGCATTTTAAGCAACATACCCCAGATGGCCACTTTTGGGCTGTCTGAGCTGGTCTGTTATCCAAATGAACTCCATTTTCAACTTGATGCACTGGTGAACTGTAACAATTATGTATTCTTGGGGAGCCAAGCACTTTATGAAGTAGTGGAGAGGCACTTTCACACAGACAGATGCACAGTTTAGTGTGTTCTCAGAAGATTGGGTCCTTTACCTTTGATGATGCTAACAGATATGCAATAACAGTCAACATCAAAGTCAAAGTCCATGATTCCCATGGAGTTCTTGGGGACTTTAGGTGAACCCAGGGGGGTTGAAAGGCAGCAACAGTGGTTCCAACAAGACAGAACCATACCCCATACACCAAATGATGCACAATATTGGCTTTGGGACCACTTCAATGACCACATTATCAGCAGTACAACAGACAATGAATGGGCACCCCATAGTTCAGATATGGCCCCATTTAATCTTTACCAGTGGGGATACCCAGATAGAGTGTAGGGTAATAACACCAGAAAGACATTTGACCTCAAAATAAAGATCACATGTGTCATTCAGGCCATACTTGCTGAGGGATGCTGTTATGTCACTGACAGGTTTGGAAAACATGTGCAGGTTTGCCTACAGCACGATATTGGAGAACTGGGGCATCTTGTTTAAAGTGCTGTAACATTGCGATTATCTGTCCAATTTTTATGAAATAACACAGTCTTGTATGAAATTGAATGATGTACATGTGTGCCAAATATCAGGGCAAAATTTCTAAAAATGACAAAGATATGAGGAAAAATTAGGGTTGCCGTTTTTTTTGACCACCCTGTATTTTATTTGCAAAAAACCCCTTACATCCAATCTACTAACTGGAATTGCTTATGTGTATAAATTTTGTGTTAAATATTTAAAATGCCTAAGAATTACACTTAAAGTAGTTTACTGCACCTTTGCCTAAGACCTGGATGTCAATGTTTCTGTGTCTGGTCACCTGAACTTCAACATTCCCAGAAACAACATCAGCTGTAAGACTTCCATCTAGGCTATCTAGAAAATAATGCCTGGGCTAAATTCTGTACGAATTTGGAATTAATTTAATGAAAATTTAGGATTAATCTGTGTGAATCTTGTAAAATAGATTAAATGCAGTTTTGTGCTACATGTATTTTGGGATTTTAAGGTGTTTAATGGGAATTATGGATTGATTAAGAGTAAATTCTCAAGAGAGAGACCAGAGAAAACATCCAAAACAGTTTTGCATGAGAGGGGGGTCTACTATTAGTATTGGTACACAGTTCATATACCCCTGGCCCCAAATACCAGTATAGAACTTCATATTTTTTACCATTCATCTCACATTTTGCGTGCATGAGCTGATCTTAATAAACCTTAAATTGGAAGTTTTGAACTACTGTTTTATACCTATTTAAATATAATTGGTGAAAACTATTATGTAATGTTTTTTTTACCTATTTTTAGGTTTCCATTTTTCAGGTAACAGTCGCAATCACCATGGCAATTGCCTATTGTAATACTGCCTTGCTTGCTATAAAACTGGGATGAAGTTCCATATAAAGTTTTGATGTTAATATTGCCTGCATCTGAAGTTACTTTAAATCTTTGGCCCTGAAGTCTGTCTCCAGTGATACACTGAAAATAAATAAATAGAAACTAAAATGGATATTCCAGATTACTTTGGAATCTCAACCCCCCTTAGTTGGACCCGAAATTGTTTTTTTGAGAAAATGGCTAAACACTGCTGGTACCATTACTTAAATTATTCCAATTAATAACAGATTGTCCACATTTAGAGTTCTAGAACAAGTCAATGGGGTGTGTGTGTGTGGGGGGGGGGGTTAATAAACAAAGGGATTATTTGTAGGAACTGTAGAAACCCTAATTGCCCATTTTTTGATTCAGTGAAATCCAAAATTCAAACTTTACCAAAAACATCTTTCACTAATTTGTGCCAAAATAAGGCTGTTAAAGGTAATGTGTGTCACTAACCCCCATCCCTTGTGTCTGTAAACTAGCATTCCCTTGTAGTAGCTTGGATGAAACAACATCCCCTGCAGTCATAACATCGATGTCACCACTCTGGAAAAATCAGAACATCAATTTCATAAATCTAAACAATACAATAGACCATGAAAGGTTAGGAAAGAAAGAGGCATCACTTACTCTTTTCTAAACTTGTCTGATGTGAAACAAAGTTTTGTGTCAGTTATACATGTACTAAATGGGACATCCCTGACCATATTCTAAGTTTTTTTATGGTTTTCAGGCCTCAATGGAGATGAGCTTGTTAGAGGTCGGGGAAAATGTATAAAAATTGAAAAATCCTTTTTTCTTAGAGAATTCAGAAAAATACTTTTTTCATAGGGAATTAAGCAAGGGGGATTGGTTCCCAGAAGGCAATCTCGATATTTTCCAATGATGAATCCGATCTTGAAGTATGTTGTGCTTTTCACTTCAAATTTTGAATCATAAGTTTTGGTCTTGATACATATAACAAAAAATTCAAAACACACAAGAAGTGATCAAGATATTAGCTTGAATCTTTTGGATTGCTGATCATGAATTTATAACCAGTTTAATGTCAGACAAGAGCGGCTTTCTGACATTTTCATTGTTGGAAAATATCAATATTGCAATCTGGACTGGAAGTCAATCCTCAATGGGAATTTTACAATGTCTGCCTGGTGATGACACACACATGCAGGTATACACACATGAGCTACATACTTTGATATTATGCAGAGTAAGGGGAGTATCATCCAAGAAAGACTTGACATTTAAAGTGCCACCCTCTGTGTTAGATATGGAACAGCTACCTCTTACTTTCACTGAAATATCTGCAAGAAAATACTGCATCTTGATTAACATGATAATGAACTACACATAGTCACAGTTAAGGTCAGGGTGCACTTTGATGAAATTTCATGACCATGTGCTATTTTCAGATAGACATAACTCATTCCACACATAATCTTCATCTTTCATTCTTGCACAAAAGATGCATTAGTGTACCTAGACTATTAATTGAGGGCTGATAATTCTTCAGAATGTTTGAATAACTAGAATATTCAGTGGTTTACTTTTCAAAATAACTTAAATGTGATGATCTTAAGACGAAATGCCTTTCGATGGAAATTGTTTTAGCTAGACTTCTTCAGTTCAGGCAGTAATGGTAACGATACAATTCTGTATGTCAAATAATGGAACAAAACTACTTTTATCTGTCCTTGGTTGAAAAACATCTGCCATGAAGATACTGCATTAAGTTAAGTTATCCAACATTATACCACTAATGAAACATAACAAATCACATATAATTGTTTTACCATGGGTAATGATATTACTTAAACATGTTAAACTCACCAAACTTTAGCGGAGTTTCTATTGTGCAATGTACATTCTCACATAGCTCTGTATCATCTGTTGATGAAGTAAGATACAATTCATCATTATTATGATTAGCTTCTGAAACAAAATTCAGATTTTTCAGTTCGGTTGTTTCTATATTTGTAGAACTCAGTTCCACAAAAGTATTGTTTTCCCCATCAGATCTTTCCATTTCTTCAAATGGATTTGGTGGATGAATTTCCACATTACAGAAAAGATCGACATCAAGCTTGCCATGGGTCTTCAGTCTGAAGCTATTTTCTTGCACGATTTGTTTTTGCCTAGTTGATGTCTTCCTAGAAGAAATATCATTAATATCACTGATATTCCTCACAAGTATAGATCTATTATTCGGAAAAGCTCTTTCACTTCCGGGTCTGACATATCTAGTCAATAGTTGAAAACAACTTTTATAAACTCGGTTCATATTGTCCATGAAGGTCTATCGAAAAACGTAGATTTTAGATGTATTTATATCCCCGTGGAGTTGGCAAAAACTGGAATTCAATAGAATGTAGTGTCATCAAAATATAACGACACAAATAGATACTAAACGAGGCAATCAAAGTAACATTTTTCCAAACATGGCGGCTGTTTTCGTAATTGTACGACCGTTTCCTTCCGAGAATACAGAAAATAATTCCATGGTTATTTTTCATTTTATTTTACATTGACGTAATTTTACAGTATTTTGCTGTTTTATTATTAATGAATAGGTATAATATGATTGTAAAAATCAAATTGACATTGCATATATTGTAATTCCGAAATAAATAGTACGACATGCGCGGAGTAATCTGTAGACACCAAACGAAAACGTACTGATAGAATAGTCATATCAAATCACCGGGAATACCGTATCACCTTGTTATCCCAAGGATGTATCCTTGGTTGAGCCTTTTATTTACCAAAAGTGAAAACTGAACGACGGGATTTTTTGTTATTTGTTCATTGGATGTCTAAAGTAAATCTATCAAACTTGCACAAGATCAAAAGGGTCAAGTTATTTTTACAAGTACATTTTTTTCAAGCTATAATGATTCCATGAATGATTACAGAAAAACGACCCCCAGAAAAGCACCCCATGCCGACAGATCGCCTAAAATTACATTCGTATGATGTGAGACTCGACATTCACCGGGAAATTAGAAACATTTTGCCACCCATGAAGCAAATTAATTTTTTACTGCTAATTTATAGTAAATGGTGAATGACCCATTGAGTTCTATACGTATGAGAATAGCACGACGTTGGCTGCAACCAGGAAGGTTCCTTTCAAGTTTAAAATGAGTTGTAAACCCGATCTATTTTTAAATGTTAAGGTTTTAAACAAATTATATTCTATTCAAATTCTATCACTGTTAAATTATATATCTGCTTCATATGGGCTTATTAGCCTTTTGCAGATTATTGACAAAAACGTCTTGATATTTCAAGGTAACTCGTTTGAAGAGTGATGGCGGTGAATGAAATTACGATGTTATTCGAACTTATGATCTGACATAAGTATGATGTGTACTTCAAGGTAATAAAGTAATACTAGTATCATACTAATGTCCGATCATAAGTTCGAATAATAGTTACGTTTCAAATATTAATTGTGTGACATATACGAGACCAATGTTAATGCTACCAGGGGGAATCGGACCTGCAGGCCTTACAATTTTCCATGTTTTTTGTGTTATTAGTACTAGTTTATAAGGTTTATATTATGTCACCACCAAAAGTGGTGACACATTGTTATGGTCTCCGTTTTTTGCGACGGCGTTTGGTGGTTGGCGTCCGGCGTCCGGCGTCTGGCGTCCGGCGTCCGGCGTCTGTAACAATTTCTTACAACTTCCTATAACTTAACAAATACTGTTTAGACTGACTTTAATTTTTTTCTAAATCATCTACATGTTCTCAGAAGTTCAAATCTGACTTTAGATTTGACATTTGACCTTCAATGACCTTCTCAAGGTCAAAAAGGTCTTTTTTCAACTTGCTTCACATTGACTAATTTTTTTTTCAAAATCATCTACATGTTCTCAGAAATTCAAATCTGACTTTAGATTTGACTTTACATTTGACATTTGACCTTCAAATCTGACTTTAGATTTGACATTTGACCTTCAATGACCTTCTCAAGGTCAAAAAAAGGTCAAAAAGGTCTGTTTTCAACTTGCTTCAAATTGACTAATTTTTTTTTTCAAAATCATCTACGTGTTCTCAGAAATTCAAATCTGACTTAAGATTTGACTTAAGATTTGACATTTGACCTTCAATGACCTTCTCAAGGTCAAAAAAGGTCAAAAAGGTCTGTTTTCAACTTGCTTCAAATTGACTAAAAAAATTTTCAAAATCATCTACGTGTTCTCAGAAATTCAAATCTGACTTTAGATTTGACTTAAGATTTGACATTTGACCTTCAATGACCTTCTCAAAGTCAAAAAAGGTCAAAAAGGTCTTTTTTCAACTTGCTTCAAATTGACTAATTTTTTTTTCAAAATCATCTACATGTTCTCAGAAATTCAAATCTGACTTTAGATTTGACATTTGACCTTCAATGACCTTCTCAATGTCAAAAAAGGTCAAAAAGGTATTTTTTCATCTTGCTTCAAATTGACTAAATTTTTTTTTCAAAATCATCTACATGTTCTCAGAAATTCAAATATGACTTTAGATTTGACTTTAGATTTGACATTTGACCTTCAATGACCTTCTCAAGGTCAAAAAAGGTCAAAAAGGTCTTTTTTTCAACTTGCTTCAAATTGACTAATTTTTTTTTTCAAAATCATCTACATGTTCTCAGGAATTCAAATCTGACTTTAGATTTGACATTTTACCTTTTATGACCTTCTCAAGGTCAAAAAAGGTCAAAAAGGTCTATTTCAACTTGCTTCAAATTGACCAAATTTTTTTTTTTTCAAAAGCATCTACATCTTTTCAGAAGTTCAAATTTGACTTTACAAGTTCTTAGAAGTTCAAATCTGACTTTAGATTTGACATTTGACCTTCAATTACCTTTTCAAGGTCAAAAAGGTCTTTTTTCAATTTGCTTCAAATTGACTAATTTTTTTTCAAAATCATCTACATGTTCTCAGAAGTTCAAATCTGACTTTAGATTTGACATTTGACCTTCAATGACCTTTTCAAGGTCAAAAAGGTCTTTTTTCAACTTGCTTCAAATTTACTTAATTTTTTTTCAAAATCATCTACATGTTCTCAGAAGTTCAAATCTGACTTTACATTTGACCTTCAATGACCTTCTCAATGTAAAAAAAAGTCAAAGGGTATTTTTTCAACTTGACGAATTTTTTTTCAAAATCATCTACATGTTCTAAGAAGTTCAAATCAAACCTTCTTAAGGTCAAAAGGTATTTTCCAACTTTCTTTAAATTGACCAAATTGTTTTAGGTGGTGACATTTTGTCATGTTAATGCCTTGTTTTACTATATTGACTTGAGCATAGTGGCGGGCCATAGTGGTCATTATGAGTACTTAGTTGTACTTAGTTTTCAATAGGGTGTGATACTAGTAAAAACCTAATTCAGCGGACAAAAATTTATTTCACTATGTTTCCCTTTGTAATGAGGTTATAATTATTAATAATGAAACCCCCTTTAAAGTCTTCGTTTGCTCAAGTAAATGGAGAGGTTAAGCTAACGATGTTTTTCACAACGTAACCGTGAACGCAAAGTACAAAAATTAACAAAGGAATGTATCGAGCGCTCATAGTTTTATGCGCGCTTAGTCTACTTCAGATACTCTTTCATCTTCAGAGTTTCGGGTTTAGAACGGGAGATTTTGAAATTTGACGTTGGGTCAACGGGAACCATTTTACTCGTGTCTATTGAACACTATGCTGTCAGTTTTGATTTCGATGCACAGTTGAATTCTTGCTGAACACGATGATGTATGTCATGCATGATTTAGCGCCAAAAATCTTACGAAACGAGCTCGTTTAAAATATGTATTAGAAAACTATCTATAAAACCGCATCAATGACATACTATAGAATCATTACACGCTATGGTGTAGTCTAAACAAACACTGGATTTGAACGGCTATTTATATGAGAAGGCTACATGAATTTGTATATGGTCGAGTGATACGTACAGGTTCAGTTTCGATTATATATGCAAAGCTTAACCTCTCAATTGTTATCAATGTCGATCATGGTGTGGTTCTCAAACTGCATGCCTCGTAGGCGCGCAGCGCCTCTCAAAAGGGTCCCATAGTGCCTCAGTGGGCAAGCAGTTTGAGTACAGCGTCTGTATGTGTTTTACTAAAAACTGTGCTCTGGTTATTCAATGCTTTCATATTCATATGATATTATTAGCTCACATGGTGAGCTTTTGCAATCACTCACTTGTCCGTCTGTCTGTCCGTCCGTCCGTCTGTCCGTCCGTCCGTCCGTCCGTCTGTCCGTCAACAATAGTGGCACGTTTTAAAACCTCTGTCGATAGGATTCCTGTTTTAAGTTATTTCTGTTCAACATCAATACAGAAAACCCCCCTATGACTCCTGGTTCAAAAGCTCGCCTATTTTCAAAATGGCCGTCACTTTTGTCTCGCGAAATTCACTTTTAGCCCATTTCCTAGCTAACCTCTGTCGATAGGATTCCTGTTTTAAGTTATTTCTGTTCAACATCAATACAGAAAACCTCCCTATGACTCCTGGTTCAAAAGCTCGCCTATTTTCAAAATGGCCGTCACTTTTGTCTCGCGAAATTCACTTTTGGCCCATTTCCTAGCTTTACAAATAATTTCAGGTGTCCTACATTGTAAAAATCCATGTCAATGTAAAGATTAGATATATGAAATAATTTTGTTACAAAAAATCAGCGAAAAATTGTATCCATTTTTTTATTTTCAGCCATTTTAGTTAACATTGATTTGTCTATCTGACTCGCGAAATCCACTTTCTGTCAATAACAGTGGCACGTTTTAAAACCTCTGTCGATAGGATTCCTGTTTTAAGTTATTTCTGTTCAACATGAATTCAGAAAACTCCCCTATGACTCCTGGTTCAAAAGCTCGCCTATTTTCAAAATGGCCGCCATTTTTGTCTCGCGAAATTCATTTTTGACCCATTTCCTAGCTTTACAAATAATTTCAAGTGTCCTACATTGTAGAAATCCATTGCAAAGTAAAGAGTAGATGTATGAAATAATTTTGTTACGAAAAATCAGCGAAAAATTATATCCATTTATTTATTTTCAGCCATTTTAGTTAACATTGATTTGTCCATCTGTCTCGCAAAATTCACTTTTGGACCATTTACCTTAAACCCTCTGTCGATAGGATTCCCATTTTAAGTTATTTTTGTTCAATATCAATACAAAAAACTCTCCTATGACTCTTGGTTCAAAAGCTTGGCTATTTTCAAAATGGCCGTCACTTTTGTCTCACGAAATTCACTTTTGACCCATTTCCTAGCTTTACAAATAATTTCAGATGTCCTACATTGTAAAAATCCATGTCAATGTAAAGGGTAGATACATGAAATAATTTTGTTACAAAAGATCAGCGAAAAATTGTATCCATTTTTTTATTTTCAGCCATTTTAGTTAACATTGATTTGTCTATCTGACTCGCGAAATCCACTTTCTGTGGCACGTTTTAAAACCTCTGTCGATAGGATTCCTGTTTTAAGTTATTTCTGTTCAACATCAATTCAGAAGACTCCCCTATGACTCCTGGTTCAAAAGCTCGCCTATTTTCAATATGGCCGCCATTTTTGTCTTGCGAAATTCACTTTTGACCCATTTCCTAGCTTTACAAATAATTTCAAGTGTCCTACATTGTAAAAATCCATGTCAATGTAAAGAGTAGATGTATGAAATAATTTTGTCACGAAAAACCAGCGAAAAATTATATCCATTTATTTATTTTCAGCCATTTTAGTTAACATTGATTTGTCCATCTGTCTCGCAAAATCCACTTTTGGACCATTTACCTTAACCTTTACCATGCTGCCTTATTTCAGCAAATATATCCCACGCATCTGGCTTCTTTTTCAAAGAGTGCAAAAAATGATATGCCTGGACTAAATAATTAATATCTCAATAACTACTGAATGAATCTGGATAAAATTTTCACAAAGGGAAGATACAGTGGCCTGGCTCATGAAAAAAATGTTCTTATGAATATTTTTCGTACAATAACATGACTGGGCATAAATATACCATGAATACTCCTCCGAAATCCGCCGCTCTGCCCCTTCGTCTGGTCAGAATTCAAATCTGAATTTGCAGCGATCGAATGTTCAATTTTTCAATTCAGAAAATATTCTAGTTTCTATTTTCGATGACCATTATCGGCTTCCAAGAGCCTAAAGAGCTCTGTCGATAGGATTCCCATTTTAAGTTAATTTTGTTCAACATCAATACAAAAAACTCTCCTATGACTCTCGGTTCAAAAGCTCGCCTATTTTCAAAATGGTTGCCATTCTTGTTTCGCGAAATTCACTTTTTGCCCATTTCCTAGCTTTACATTTTAGCTTTAATTTCAGCTGTCCTGCATTGTAAAAAGCCATGTCACTGTTAAAGGTAGTTGTATGAAATAATTTTGTTACAAAAAATCAGCAAAATATTATATCCGTTTTTTTTATTTTCAGCCATTTTAGTTAACATTGATTTGTCCATCTGTCTTGCGAAATCCTCTTTTGGACCATTTGCTCAAAACCTCTGTCGATAGGATTCCAGTTTCAAGTTATTTTTGTTCAACATCAATACAAAAAACTCCCTTATGACTCCTGGTTCAAAAGCTTGCCTGATTTCAAAATGGTCGCCATTTTTGTCTCGCGAAATTCAATTTTGGCCCATTTCCTAGCTTTACAAATAATTTCAGGTGTCTTGCATTGCAAAAAGCCATGTCACTGTAAAGAGTAGTTGTATGAAATAATTCTGTTACAAATTATTGGCAAAAAATTATATCCGTTTTTTTTTCAGCCATTTTAATTGACTGAGAGACAGATGGCTTGAAATAATTTTGTAACAAAAAATCAGCAAAAAATTATATCCATTTTTTCTGTCACCATGTGAGCCCAGTACCCATGGTACTAATTTTATTGATTACTTGCCAGACACCACAGACGACTTTTAAGTTTACAACAGCCTCAAAGCTGTATTTTAAAATACTTTCAGCAGTACTTCGGTTATTATTAGAACTTCCAACAGAGAACAGAAAGGACAAAAGTAAGAAATGGCAAGCGGTTTCCCAGGAGATAAGGTCTCAACAACATGGCTGAAGAAGCAACTGGATGAGAACAACACTAACAACATACGGGTGAGTTGACTCATCTTGATTTAAAGGAGGCAATCAGTTACACCATTTACGATTATACGCCTTTCTCTTGAAATCCCATAATAGGAGGCAAAAAATCTGCAAACAGCTCTCTGAAATTCATTCAGATTGAATTGAACATTATTTGCATGTTTTTGTCTTGAATATATAGCTAATATAGATAGTACAGGTAACATGCTCCTACACGTAACTAATTCCCAAAAATTCATAAACTTTTGATAAAATTCAAAGCGAATTGCATGATATTTATGGTATTCGAATATTGAAGCATTGACTATGCGAACGTTTATTTTTTAGTTTATAATATCGGTCCATGTAATCCTTGAAGTAAAATCAACGTGAACTTAGTCAACACTTATTTTTCATGAAAATATATACTATAGGACTTTATATACTAAAGGCATACTATAGGACTATAGGAAAGAAATTGAAAAGTGAGATCAATAGTTGAATATTTTGCACCCATTGAGACGCAAACTAAGTAAATACTTTAACTTTTCTAAACACAATGAGTCAATTGTTTATTTTTGTGGGAAACCAGCCATTATCCACATATTAAATAAACTGATTTTTCTATCGACATACTTTTATAATACATGTCTACATGAGTCGCTCTGTGGTTTTAGAAATTGAGAGGGGCCAAAGCACAGGAAAAATGGGCACCAATTTTGCAATTTTGGGCCCCAAATCGGAAAAGGGCCCAATTTCTTAAAAAATAGGCTCAAAACTAAAAAGTAATGCTCAGTCATTGACGATTTTAAAAAATTAATGCAGACAAAAAATGGTTTGAAGCGGGCTTTTAGGGTACGTAAAGAAAATGTTATTTTTAATATCTACTTTTTCGCGTCAAATTTGAAATCTATGATATCTTGGAATGTTTGAAAGCTTTTTTCACGGAGTAAAACTCAAATATTAAAGGAATCTACATTCTCTCCTGTGTGTTAGGTTCCTGCAATCCAAGAACTGAGAAGGTAAGGGATTTGTAGATCCTTGCAGTTGAAACACTCAGGCAGAGTATTTGAACGATCTCTTTTAAATGGCTAATTTTGTCCTCTTAGGTCCTGGATGTTTCCTGGTCAATGGAGAAGGACTGTAGGACCGACTATGACCTTAAGCATATTCCAGGTAACTAAAAACTATATGGCTTTGCTCGCAGAACATTCAGACATTAGGCACTTACTGTGTAGAGGTTGTACCTCCCGAAAGTAACAATACTGGTGATGTCTTTTACATAAAATTGAACTAATTATTGTGTTCAAACATGGGCTTTCCCCATGGTTCAAAGAATCAGGTAGTACAGATATTTGAGTTATTCGCACGGACACGTACACGATCGGACAAACGAAAGGATGGAAGAACGGACTGACAGACGGTTTCTCTATATACCCAGGCTTTGTTCTGTGGAATAGTTACCGATGCTCACAGCTGATGGAAAAGTCCGACCATTATTAAGGCCGGACTGGGTTTTACTTTACTGGTCGGGCAAATGGAAAAGCTGTAATCTCACTTTTTTACTTATTCAGCACTCCCCATGTACAGACCAATGACCTATTAATATTTTATTTTCCAGGAGCTCAATATTTTGAAATAATGCACAACGTAGAGAACAATGAGTTCTTCCCTTGGAATTTTCCCTCAGCAGCCGTTTTCGAGACATATGTCCAATCCCTTGGGATCAGCGCTGAAAATCACGTCGTCGTGTATGCTACATGTATGCCCCCTGGTTTGAATGGTTACTTCGTTGCCGGAAGAGCATGGCTGCTTTTCAAGAGGTTTGGACATACAAAAGTGTCAATCTTAGATGGAGGCTTCCAGAAATGGATACATGATGGTTTTCCTACTTCTTCAGAAGTGCCGACATTTGACAAAGGTATGCAAGTTAGCCCAAATGTTATCCACAAGAAATATGGCTTTTAAAAAGCCTCTTTAATTAATTTGATGGTCGAAAGTAAGGAAAAAACGGGAAATAAAAAAATCTATTTGTTATTTTAGGAACCTTCAGCTCCAACATCAATCCGGACATCTACAAGACGTACAAACAAGTTGAAGAAAACCTTGACAAAGGTGAATTTCAGTTGATCGATGCTAGACCTCCGGACCAATACAATGCTGGCCACGTTCATGATGCCATCAACATACCACTTGGTCTGTTTATGGATGGGGACAACAAAACCATCAAAAACGAAGAAGCACTGAATGCATTGTTTGTAGAGAAGGGAATAGATTTGAAGAAACCCATTGTCGCAATGTGTAAAGGTGGCATGTCCTCATGCACTGTGGTATTTACCGCTGAGTTGTTGGGAGCCAAGGGCGCCCTCTATCACGGTGGATGGACCGAGTATTCACTCAGGAAAAGCAAATGAATAAATCTTAAAAAGTAGACTAAATTATGTACAGGGTGTTTCATATGTATAAGCCACTGCAAGCATCATATCTATATATCTCTGTGCATAACTGTCACACATGTGTGGATTGAACTCTGCCATGATGACAACTGCTAGAAATGTGCAATACAGAAACGAAATTTTTCCTTTAAATTGCCCTAGAACTGACCAGAAATTCCCCTCGAAATGACTGTACCAACATACTTTGATACGTTGTAATCTTATGTAACTTTTCATAAGGATCAAAATGTTATGTAGCATGACAAGGTGGCAATACTATATGTATGAGTTTATGGGGGGGAGGGGTGCATACATGTAAAACACCCTGTATATGTAGTTACTCTTCTTTTCAGCCAAGATATAAACATTCTTTCCCTAATTTTCAACAGATTTTTATCATTCTGAAACATCAAAATTGAATATTTACAACCCTTCAATTTCAAATATTTCAAAAGTTATTTACTTTGTTAGACAGGATATACGATCTTAAGTAGGACATGACCCCATGACATGTGTAGCATTAATATATGGATTGTACTGTGACTGTTGGTTAGATTGCACATGTGGCTTGGCCTAAAGTTACAATAAATAAAATATATACTATATAGTACTATGTTTTAGCAGCTATGTATCTCCATCTATTTGAACATTCATTTTATGCATTTAATGCTTAATAAAAGCTTTGGGCTTTAGATTGCACCATCTCAAAATAAAATGTGTTAGTTTTGTTTTGATGATTGGTTTAAGAAGAAAATAAATTAAAAATACTTATTTCCCCGGACAGAAGACGATTTTTAGACATTTTTTAACTCGAAATTATATTCTCCTCTCCCTTCTTTAAGTCTCACAGTATTTTGGAATATTATTTTCAATAGTTTACAGGCTCTCTCCTTTGAAACTAAATAAACACGTCATTGTGGATATTACACATTTTTATTTTAAATTATAACATTTACATATCAACTAATTACTTCATCTGGTACTATGACGATAAACTAAAACAAATGTACTGTAGACTAGCACTGTATAATAGAAAATAGTTTCACACCTTTAAATGTAAAAGGATGACTCCAGTACAGTAGAACATGATTGTGTACATTATACCATGTGTTGGGTAAAATAGAACATGTGTAGAACATATGTACATTAAATGCCATGTGATTGGTGGCTGGCACAGTGGATCATGCATACATTATATAGCACACAAAATGTGTAGAGCATTAGTTAAATTAAGTAACATAATATATATTTGACAAAATGACAGGTTAAATACTAATAAAAGATGCTATAGCTGGGAGTAAACATATTTTTAAAACAGATAAGTATTTACATGTTATAAAATCAAACTTCTAAAAGAAAATTCTGTATATTGGATTCTTGAATATGCACCTACAATAAAACTGAAATATAAAAGAAAAGCAATAAAGCTATAAACAATAGAATACACTACAATACTATGGTTATAGTTGGTATGGTGATTATAGAAATCCTTGTTAAACAATCTGAGGAAATTACAAACACATAATAACATGGTATCCTAGCAGAAATGACACTTCTTTAAATTAGGAATATAAAAAGAAGTCTGTAGTAGCTACGTAAATGAACATTTGTAGTTCTATTCTATCAAATGTATGTGTTGATTGTTTAGTCATGTGACCTGGTGATGTCACAACTACCATGTGTTCAACTGAGAAATGCCAAAAGGTGGAGCCAAATTCAAAGTGAAATTCACAGATTCATAACATAAAACTTAGTTAAATATGAGGCATAAATGTGAAAAATGTCACTACCTGTCATTTGTTACAGACAACGACCACCAAACGCTGTTAAAGACACGAAACACCAACTGCCAAACACTTCTGATGGTGACATAAATTGATAATAAAACTAATTGTAACTAAAATGGATAATTGTATGGTAGAATCTCACTCACAGGTTGTATGAAAAATGTACAATAGGCTCAGTCTGAGCAATAATTAAATGAGTAGTGGATTTGCTGAGGTGGGGATTTCCCATGTTAAAAATTGGAGAATTTTCAAGAGGCCATACGTTGATGAGAGCACACAAAATGTAAAATATACAAGTTTTAGGGGATATGTATCTAGACAATAATAGAAACTATGGGCTTTCAAACTACCATGCTTTGGAAGTTTGGAAGGGGTGGTGGAAAATCGACTTCTCATTTATTTATTGCTCAAACTGTAAATCACAGTTGTGAATTTACACAATATACATTTCGCACCCAAAGTTTGTGACATGATATTATATAGTGTACCTCTACAACTACACATAATGAATGTACTCAAAAATACAATATTGTGGAGAAATGCTGATTTCTGAACATAGAAAAATATACTCTTATATTCCATTGCATGGATGCAACATTATTATGTGGTCTATTATTGTTTATATGTCATCAATTGCAATAGAATACTTTAGTTCTGTTTTATACCTCATCATTTTTAAGCATACAAGGTAACACTTTCATTACTATCTTATTCTAATTTTATCTAGTCACTGGAAGTTAGTATGTAGACAACGATTTTAAATTACATTATTACTTCCTGGTGAATAACATCAGAGAATTAAATTGATATTTAAAAAATACCTCCTCAAAAAATCATTTTCACCTTGTCCAATAGTTAATCAATTAAATGTTTTTAATATCTAACCATTATCAGTAAAGCTTCATGAAAATTTACCGGTTTATTATTTTTTATCATCATGTGATATTTGAAAATTATATACTTTATAGTGATGCAACTTAACCATTCAATATCATGGTATAAAATACTAATATCTTTGTTGGGAATTGAATATGGATTTTATGTCTCAGTCAATATTCCCCTCAAGAAATATCATTGCCCTTGGTATAAAACCCATATCCAATCCCTCTCAGTAAATAACCCTTATATATTGTTATAACAACTAAAATTACACTCAAGATATATGCTATATGGATATGCTTGGTGTGTTTAAAATACATAAGATTATAATAATATTACTACATCTATTGATTACAATCAAACAAACAAGGCACTAACATGCAAAATGTCACCACCTGCCATTTGTTAGACACATAACGCCAATTGTCAAACTCCAAATTCCAACTGCCAAACAAAATCCACAAAAATTGGAGACTAGCAATATGTCACCACTTGTGGTGGTGACATAAAAAGATAAAATAAATATACTAAGAATAAGAGTTGGAATTCTGAACGACCTGAGCTGCCACTTCAACAGCGACAATAAAAGCATACATAAGTCATCTGATATTTGTCAGTTTAAATTCCTTGTTATATGTTGTAACATGAGTGTTCTACTACACTCAGTATTCTACAGTGACTGCCTTGGTCTTCATATACTCATTCAGTGCTTCTTCTCCTGCAATAAACAAACTTTAAAGATTAATATCCAAGCATGGGACAAATATAAAATCAATTATTCTGCATTGGACACATAAATATTTAATTTTTTGCATGGGACAAATACAGGGTGGGCCAAAAAAAACCAATACCCAACTTCAAATCAGGATAAAAATAGTTGCATCCAATATGGTACATTGACTTATATATCATTTTAAAGGTTATACAATTTCAAACAATTTGGTATATAACAATATGTCATGAAATCAATAGTAAAGTTTTATTATACTTATTTGGGAGGCCGGGTTGCTATTTAAGGTCTCCAGATTTAAGGGAGAAAATAATAAATCTGCAGAATTATGTTAATTTTTTATTTATAGAATATCATTCTTTTGTTAGGTGAATACATGCTTGGATATTGATATTTGCATCATTGTGTGACTAAATTTATTGTTTATGAATTTCAGTGTTGTTTAATAACATTTTACACTTTATTTAATTAAACAATTTTAACAATTGCTCAATATACCCCCGCCCCCTCTCCTCTGCATCAAAAATAAGCTTCAAGTGGTAGCGCAATCTATCAATAGCCTTATTGAGAGATTTCTGTTACAATTCATTTCAGCACTTTAGGATTCTGTTTCAGCTCATCAATGCTGTTTATTGGATGCTTTTGATTATACCATTTCCTCGAGATGGCTCCATGTATGGTAATCAAACACATTAGCATCGGGGCTGTTGGGTGGCCAAGCATCGAGATCAATCAAATTGGCACCTTGTTTGCAAAGAAATCCCAATGTCTCCTTTGATCTATGGTACGAGGCAATGTCTTGTTGGAAAATAAAATCCTTGTCACATATACTTTTAATGTCTTTTAACAAACCCCCTTTGAGTACTTATTATCCCAACGAACGAAGTTCGTTAGGGATATAGTGAAGCCCTCCGTCCGTCCGTCTGTCCGTCAGTCCGTCAGTCCGTCAGTCCGTCAGTCAGTCAGTCAGTCAGTCAGTCAGTCAGTCAGTCCGTCCGTCTGTCCGGAAGATAACTCAAATACTAGTCGACAGATTTTCTTCATATTTAGTGGAAAGATGTATATTGGTAAATAGTTTTAAGCCAAAAAAAATTTTTCAAGATGGCCGCCGCTTTAAAAATGACGGGACTTTTTCGCAAAAATCATAAATTTTTCATTCTAAACCAAAGTAATTAATATTATTGTTTGAAATTTTGTTTTTCATCCTGACCCCCAGGGGCCGTGTATGGGGGGACAGGAAAACAGAAATTTTCGCTAATTTTTAGATCTTTCTGAAGTATAGCTTTATTATACTCAAATGAAAGGCAATTAAGAGTAGATTGCAAATATTGTATCTTTTTTTTGATTCGAGCCTCATAAAATTCAAAATGGCCGTCTAATGTACGATTTCGCAATAATTTTTCGATCCCTTCAAAGTAGGGCTATATTATACTCAAATTGAAGGAATTTTGGAGTAGATCACAATTATGGTATTATTTTTCAGATTTGTACCTCAGAAAATTCAAAATGGCTGCTTTGCAGGAGTTCGCAATTCTAAAATCTATTTTTTTCATTTTCAACCAAAGTAATGAGTATAATTGATTGGAATTCGGTAACTGATATTTTGTTCGTTGGGATTTGCTACTCCGCGGAGTTGCCGTTATCTAGTTAAGGAATAAATAATGATAGGCCATTCAATATGGTGAAATTCAGCACGAGTTGGACAGAATGTTGTACAAAGCACGAACCGAAGGTGAGTGCATTTGTACTAACATTCTGTCCAAAGAGTGCTGAATTTCACCATATTGAATGGCCTATCATTATTTATTCCGATTCAAACATAAAAATTAGTAAAAGCCGTGTCTGTGGAACGGGCATGAAGGAACAGCTATCCCCGGACAGAGCCCCAGAGATGTGACGTCACTCAAAACAATGCAAATTGCAGATTGAATAGAGCATGGTCGTGCATCTATGGAGAATTAGAGAACGTTCTATATTGGCTATGCTGCATTCTGATTGGTTGAGAAATTCGAATAGAGCACGGTCATGTTTGAATTGATAATAAACAACACCAAAATTCATAAACAATAAGTTTAGTCACACAATATGCAAAAATACAAGCATGTATTCACCTAACAAAATGATATTCTATAAATAAAAAATTAACATTATTCCGCAGATTTACTATCTCCTCCCTAAAATCTGGATACCTTAAATACCGACCCAGCCTCCCAAATAAGCATAATAAAACTTTAATATTGATTTCATGACATAGTGTTATATACCAAATTGTTCGAAAATTGATTACCTTTAAAATGATATATAAATCAATGTATCATGTTGAACATAGCTATTTTTATTCTGATTTAAAGTTGGGTATTGGTTTTTTTTGGCCCACCCTGTATATTGTTAATTTTCCTACATTGGACAAACATACTGTTAATTTTCCGCATGGGACAAAAATAATGTTCATTTTATGCATGGGACAAATATAATATCAATTTTTCCTGCAATTTACAACAAACATTTATTAATTCCGTTTATTTTCATAAAATTTTGATTTTGCAATGGACAAATAATTTTTTGATGAAGGACAATGGCTATATCAAGTTAACAATCTTACACTACTGCAAAACTCAAACAAAGAATAACCTCCAAATAATATGCATCAGAGTTACACTCAACTTAGCCATGTGCCATCAAGCTTACATTCAGTCAAAAACCATTATTCGGAGCAAATCTATCTTCTAACATCAACATTTGTTTGAAGCATGTTTTTTAAAGTTATCATTTCTGAACAACTAAAGACATTAACTGAAACTCTGGAAAGTGTTTATTCATTGAAAACATAATAAACTTCTGCCAAGCAAGAGATAATATGGATAATACAAAAATTATCAGAGAAAACTATAGTCCATTTTTGGGGTCAACCTGAACTGTATGCTGATGTATCACAGAAGAATGTGAATGTGACTGGAAAATATACTTATACTATAGTTATAGTTTTAATACTACTTTGTCACACACAGAGTGTAATGAAAAATAAATGAAAAATTAAGTCGATCTCATTTTTGGTTTATAAGGTAAGGTATTTCAGGGTCCAGGATTCACTATTTTGGGTCACCCCATATATCTACTGGTATATCTAAAAACTGAAACTTGATTTGCCACGAGACTAATAATTACCCAGATCTTTTCCAAATCCTGACTGCTTAAAGCCACCGAATGGAGATGCAACGTCAGTTTTGTTGTATGTGTTCACAAACACTGTACCCGCTTCAATCCCATCAGCCACTCGCAGTGCTTTACTTAGGTTCTCTGTGAACACTCCAGATGCCAGTCCATACTCAGTGTTGTTGGCTCTTCTCAATACACCCTCCATATCTCTGCATTTTAAGGTAATGAAAAATAAATAACAGACATATGAGACAGAAACTAATATATAACAAAGCATTAACATGCAAAATGTCATCACCTTCCATTTGTTACAGACACTGAGCACCAAACGCTGCACACCAACCACCAAACACCATCCACAAAAAGTAGAGGACTGTAACAATATGTCACCAAACTAATAATTTCAAATCTAGTCTTAAGTGCAAAGTGCTAATTTTGGAGTCCCTTAATCACAATTCATTATTGATTCTAAAAAAGATCACCTTTTTAATGCACAAATGTACTCTAATCAGTACAGACTCAAAAGTTAATTTAACGAAAACCAGGAAAGTTCATCAGGACACAAAGTGATTCAAAGGGGCACATTTAGGAATAGCAAATCCCGGAAGAATAAACTTTCTAATACATCATGCCTTGATTCTACAAAAAGATGTCAGAGAGGCTCACCCATCTTGAAACTTTGAGATGCACATGATTGGTCCAAATGATTCCTCTATCGCTATGAAGTTATTATCCTCAACATCTGTAAATACTGTAGGCTCCATGAAGAGACCTGAAAATACAACAATATCGTCAGTGTGATTCAAGTAAGATGATAACACATGATGTGACTGGCCACGAGTACTTTTCCTCTTTCTGTTAGCAGGGATTTAGAAGTTCCAAAATAGTTAATCTCATATGAGAACGCTACTATATTAAATTCAATGTTTGTATTCACCTGGTCTGTCCACCTGTTTGCCTCCATACGCCAATGTAGCTCCCTGCTCAACACCCACCCTGACATAATCCAACAGACTCTGTAAATGAGCCCTGAAAATACATAAATAAACTTCAAAAAATCATTTAACAAAGCTCTAAAACCATAAGTTACATAAACTGATGCCCATCAATGATCGCAAAAAACAGCGGCTACAATATCTCACAACTTCTTGGTGGGAAAACAAAAATGAACAAGGCATATGAACATATATGAACAAGGCATTATCATGCAAAATGACACCACCTGCCATTTGTTACATTTATTACAGATGCTGAACTTCTGGTAGTGAGATAATAAAAATTAACTTTTGAACTATTGTATATTTTTTACCTGTGATTTTGAGGTCCATGGTCAACTGATCTATCAAGAGGATCTCCTATTTTCATCTTCTTTATTTCCTCAATCTGCATAACAACAAACATGTGGTGTATCTGTGTATATCACATATGTACATGTATGGTATTGTTTTTTATATCTTTAATGAGGTGTTTCTAGGGATCTTTTTCCAAACCTTTGCTCTATTTTTATTATAAATTGTGCACAGTCCTTTATCAGTCATAACATTTCAATATTTTGTACAACTTTTATTTCTTATTATTGTGTATGTTTTATCAATTTTATAATAACTGTTTTGTTTGCAATAATGAGTGGTCCTTCATAGTTAGCTGCAACTCGAATACGGCATTTGTAACTGTATACAAAGATGTAGTTATAAAAAAGCTACTAAATATCACACATGTTTACAAAACCTGTGACGCTAAATTACAATAGACTGGTTTGGTACAACAGCTGAATATTTTGGTATTTTTGTTAATTCCAAATCAAAATCAACTTACTTGATGCCTCTTGTAGCAAACAACTTGGTCACTTTCAAGAGGAATTCAAATGAACAGTAAACCAATACAAATTTTGATATTTTTAGCGAGAGGGCTAAACCACATTGAAATTAACTTTACTTCTTAAACAACTATCAACATTTGGACAACATTTTTAATAACAATACTCACTACTCTGGCCACATATTCATCATGAATAGATTCCTCCACAAATATTCTCCCAGCTGCTATGCAATTTTCTCCCTTGTTAAAGAACACACCTCCACAGCCCTGAAACATATGAAACGTTTTTTCTTCAAATATAGTTTTATTTCGATTTATGATATTATAATACATGAAAGGTTAATGTTTATTACATGTACATTCTTTATTTGTTTTATATAAAATTTTCAATCATTATTTTGCAGATCTGGGTAAAACATCAGGCAATCCAGTTATGAAGCTCTTGGCTGATGAGATAGTTCTACTTAACTCTTAATAAGGGAGTTGGGATTATCATAAGAATATTGTTAGGTCACCAAGCCTTACTTCCTGCGAAAGCTATTTGGATTTTGATATAATAGCTTTCCCACGGAGCATTTGGACAGCTCAATGATCGTGACCTTTGAAATCGAATTAAGTCGATCCGCGGCTTACTTTTGGTCTCTAACTGTGTCTTACATCAGTATCATCAATCCGTGTAAGTATTGGAGCGCTGGAGTACTTCTTTTTCGATCAATAAGTTTCAAAATCTAACATGGCTCTCGAAGTGAGTAAACCAAGCCCAGTTTTCAAACAATACTGAATAGGGTAGATGGGGGGGGGGGCAAATCTTAAAGGTGTTTTTATAAACTTTTTTTCTAGCATTTCACATTAAATCAAAAACAGCAGTATACTGTATTAAAAAACAGCAATTCACTGTTATAAGTTCATTTCTACTATTTTCAATTCATATCAGTAGATTTATGCAGGATTCAAAATATAGTCTTATCAACACTTTTACTATCACTATTCTATTCACCTGTTTGACCTTTGAAATATTTATAAGTGATGGTGTTACTTAGTACAGTAAACAGTACAACACTCATGCTCCTTATACAAAACATGTACCACCAGTCTTTCTAATCTCATGATTCACTGCAGTGCAGTAAGTCCACAGTTCAACATACTATAATAGTAATATTCAAGACATACAAGAGGACATATAAGACAAAAGTAAGAAATGGCAAGTGGTTTCCCAGGGGATAAGGTATCAACAACATGGCTGAAGAAACAATTGGATGAGAACAACACTAACATAAGGGTGAGTTTAGCAAGAGCTGAAATTATAGTAACCAATTTCACAGCTCTAGATGAGTGTGTTGTTGGAGTCATATATGGCTGAATCAAGTATCCTGAGCATCAATCAAATTTAAGAAATAAACAAAGGCCCAGGACCACAGTAGAATATCACATGGAGAAATACCTCGTATTTTAGATAATGTTTTGTCTATTTCAGATACGTTTGTTTTTATATGCCTAATAAGAACTAAGAAGTTCATTTTTCATTTTCATTTGAGTTACATATCTCACACAGACACCATAGGGCATAGGATAATGTAACTTGATATCCTAAGGCAGAAACAGCTCCCCGCCTTAATCTGACAGGAGCTGGTATCTTTATCCTGGCTAGAACCATAGACAGTTCAAGCCAGCACAGGCCTTTTATCGAGTTAGTATCACTCTAGTAATCAACTTCTCTGGTGTACTAGTTAGCATGAGCTGGCTCCTGTCGCCGCAAGCTGGGATTGAACCCAGGATCTTGGCATCAGAAGTCCAGAGTTCTAACCTTTACACCACAGAACCGAAGTTGCTTTAAATTAATTAATGTTTCTTTTAATCACATGCTTAACCTTCTATCCCATTAGGTCCTGGATGTGTCCTGGTCAAGTGAAAGAGACTGCAGACCAGACTATGATCTTAAGCATATACCAGGTAGCCAAACAATACTTCCTTGACACATTCACAACTTTCAATATATTTGCAATATCTCTGTTTAGACAATATTCACTTTTACATCCTCGATATTCAGAACTCGGAGGCTCAATTCTTCTTTCAAATACAAGTATTGTAATGCTAAAATTGTTTCCACTGAATCGAGAAGATACAGTATATGATTCTTTTTAATTAAATTTAGTAAATATTGTTCATGAATGGCACGAAATTCAATTGCTCTTTAAAAGTTTTTCAAATATGTGATACATGTATGCATGGGCTTTAGAAAGCCCATGATGTATGCGAACAATACCATTAAATTTATTTTTAGGCTCACAACATTTTGACATCATGCACAAAGTAGAGAACACAGAAATGTTTCCTCGCAATTTCCCCTCCGCTACAGATTTTGAGAACTATGCACAATCTCTAGGAATAAACACTGAAGACCATGTCATTGTATATGGAACATTCCCAGGCAAGAATGGATACTTCATTGGTGGAAGGGCATGGCTGCTTTTCAAGAGGTTTGGACATACAAAAGTGTCAATCTTAGATGGAGGTTTTGAGAAATGGATACAGGATGGCTTTCCTACTTCTTCAGAGGTGCCTACATTTGACAAAGGTATACATACAATACAGTATTTTTGTATGCTAATCCATACATTATTCACTACCTAAAGGATATAGATAATATGTACATGTATATAGAACTGAATGGCAATGAGCAATTCAACAGAAATTTTGCTATATACGTATACTGTATACGGTAGCTTTGAAATCTTGTCCGGGGCTAGTTTTTAATGGAATATTAGGAATTTGTAATTTAGCCATTTATAATTTATATTCCTCTGTGAGATGAAATATTTTATTCTGGAAAATGTTGGGTTCAATCATCATGTAAAAAAGTTCAAAAGTTGATTTATTCTCTATGGATCACAAGTGGATATCACAATCTTCATGTCAAGATTACCTAGATCTACAATGATAATTAAGTTTTACTTTACTCCAAATATAAAGTCATGGCATTCAAGCCTGATCAAAAAGACTACTGCTATCTATTTAACCAACTACATTATATAGTCAGTCATAATGAAGCTTCCAATGCCAAGAAAACAATGATTGAATTAATAATCTTTTGGTTATTGTAGGGAACTTCAGATCCGAAGTCAACCCCGACATCTATAAAACATATGAACAGCTTACAGAAAACCTCAACCAAGGTGTCGTTCAGGTCATTGATTCAAGACCCCCAGAGAAATACATAATCAATGATGAAGCTAAAACTGGGCACATCCGAGATGCGATAAATATTCCATTTTCACTATTAATGGATGATGATACACAGACCCTCAAAAGTCAAGAAAAATTGAAAACATTATTTGAAGAGAAAGGGGTAGATTTGAAGAAACCTATTGTTACAATGTGCAATAGTGGAATGTCGTCATGTACAATGGCATTTGCTGCCCAGTTGCTGGGTGCTGATAGTGCCCTCTATCATGGTGGGTGGAATGAATATCGTAGAAAAACAAACAATTCTTAGACGAAATGGACTAGATTTCATTGCGTATGTTATATTTGTATTTTGTATTTTGTGTATAGTTTTCTTAGACATAAAATAAAAATTAAATACAAGGAATATAAAAGACCTAGATCTTGAGGTGAAAACCGTGGAGACACCTTATCTCCTGTTCTAGACTATGATAATAAGAATCACACACACTTGGTCTCTTTGCATTGTTAAATTTACCATGAAAAATTGTCATACTTGAAATCTCAAAAAGTGTGGATCCGAATTAAATGGATATGAGCGTTAGTTCAGATGAATGACAGTTTTCATTTGTCCATAAATTGTTTAAATATATGTAAGGATAGAAGGACGGATTGATGCACAAACAGATGGATGTGTAGTTGATTCAACAGGCTCACCATCTTAGCCGATAAGTTTAGTTAGAAAGTAATGGAAGACATAATAATTATTCAACCAGTTAGTCCCACCTTGTCTTTCAATCATCCTTATAAAAACAGCTTAAAGTGCAGACTTGGATCAATGTGATATACTTGCATAACCAGTCCAGTAATCAATATTAAAATAATCATGTCATGAAAGCGGAATCAATTTGAGTGGTTAATGATATCAAAACCTGAAACAGATCACATATACTCCTAAAAAAAAGTTTGAAAAAGACCAGTGGTTTTCTTCAAAGGTTCACATGTTAACCCCCATATTTGTTTGAACAATTGCGCATAATTAGATCATGTGATTCAGTTTAATCAAGCGCTTCCAAATTGGTTATAGCAGGGGGATGAAGGAGGTACAGATTCTGGATTCCTGCTAAGGCGGATGGGATATTTCAGCCTGGTAATGTTCTCCAGGAAATGAGATATTGTTCAGTACATATAATTTTCATTCAGTGGCAGTCAGTTCTTTCTATTTCATCATTGATATCCCATACTCTATCCTAGAAAATTTTGGACAAATAAATATCTGATATGTGATGGTGTCAATAAAAAAAAGTGATAACATCTGGCTACTGAACTGATTGCAGTATCTCAAAATAGATCCCTATTGACTAAAACTGACAAGAGGATGTTTCCATCTGCTTGTGAGCCAATTAAATATAAAATAAAGAATAAGATAAAACACTGCAAGGTAAATAATCAATGAACCTTTTAAACTGAAAAATGTTAGAATGATGAAGTTATAGCATGGAGATATTGAAGGAGTACAAAAAACACACGTGAACATTGATAAAATTATTCAGGAACAAGTGGAACATAATTTATCGTAAGAAAAGTCAAATATGATACTTCTTGGGATACTCCTTATTTCAACTACATCCTTTGTTTTGTCAAATGAATGCAGCTATGGGACACCATTTATGATCCATTCTGACACAAAACTCAACTTAACTCCACTGGACACAGTTCTCAAAGAGACTGTACTTGATTGTTTTCAAAGCTGTGTCTTTGAGCGTTATTGTATAAGCTTCAATTACAATAGTGAGATAAAGTCTTGTGAACTGATGCGAGGGGCAAGATTCCAGATATTTGGCAGTAACAAGGTGACAGAAATCGGTTGGGATTACTATTCCATGACTTGTCAGGATTTGGTGACAATGGTAAGTTTTTATCTTCATCTTTGTACTTAAATGGTTTATCAAGTTTTTTAAATCATTCAAATTCAATTTCACTTTTATTTCAAATTTTATCAAATTTTGAAACTATTTTAGATTGAAAATGCAGAAATACATAATTCCATTCATTGAAATAAGTGATTTATATGCAGAAAATGTTTTTCAATATTTTAGGCGGCAGCAGCGAATGATTGCAGAAATATCTGCAAAGAAAAAGGTATGGCAAATTGGAAAATTCCTTTCTGGGCAGAAGCACTTCTATGTCCCTTACGTATTAGCATAACATTTTCAGTGTTTTACCATTTTAGCCTATTCCTAATCATACTTATTTTCAAAAATTACAAAAGTTTATACTTTACACCTAAGACAAAATAATTATATTTGGTGTTAAAATGTGCTTTTCGAGCCATTTTTGAAAAAATCAAGAATTCCTTTTGTCATTTAACTGGTTGAGTGTCTTGACTTCCGAAACATCAAAGATCATCCAATTCTCATATTATGGATTTTTATAGAAAGGACTCCAATTTATATAAACTTTTGTCATATTTCTCATTTCTGTATAAATGTCTCGTGGTCTTACATACACTGTATATTAAATTGGCTTTAGACAATGTTTTATTAATGTGATTAGGATCTTGGATGCCGTATGTATCAGTGGACACACCCAGTGGAGGCAATGACAAGGAAACAACACAGCACTGGGAGAATAAGATTGTCAACAATGGCGATACCGTAAGTTATGAAGCAGCATTTTGTAATATGTATACCTACTTATCCGACCGAATACATTGAATGATCCAAGTAGCCTGGACAGTATAGTTTACACATGTTTATGCTGCTGAGATTCATTATGATTGTTTGAAATGAACTGAAGATTCAATCATAAGACATAAGAAGGCATAGGAATCATGGTGGAAGTGTATTAGAGGCACATGGCAAAATATTTATTCAGATGTAGTGCTGTAGTTCAATAATATAGACCCTAACATAGTATTGTTGGCAAGGAAAAGGAGGAAAAAAGTTACCAATTTGTGACATTTAAAAATCATTATCAAAAACCTCTAAAATTTCAAATAAAATAATCGAGTAATTTGTGTATATCATTTCATATAGCTATTTCATATTCATTTACAAAAACTATATGTGGGCTACTATACTTGCTAATATTTCATTTCAGGCACTTGGGGCCAAGTATTGCCAAGGTGAGCTTGCGCCACTTGCAATAGAGGCTCGTGTAGTAGGCAATGAAACGCCAGCGAAAAACACTGGGCAAATATTTGCAAAATACAGCTCAGAAGAAGGTTTCAAATGTACTAATGCAGATCAAACCACTGGGAGTTCTTGTATGGATTATGAAGTGAGATACTTTTGTCCAAATGTGTAGTAGATTCAGCTTACCGGTAATTGTATCATGCATGAAGAAGGAGAAAATGATCTTTCTCAAACACTCTCTATTCTATTTTATTGTTTACTTTGTAAATTAAGAATTGAAAAAGAACTGATGAACAAATAAGAACAAGGTCACTGTAACACTGTGGAGAGGAACTAGGTCTAGAATCAGAGAACTATGTCATTTAAGCATGTGTATAAATTGGAAGAAATGTACCTTGCTCTCATTTTCCTAAAAGAATTGGATGGTGGTGATCTAATACAAAATTTTCTGATGTATATTTGGTTCTGCACATTGCACTGCTTTTCATCCACACTCATGTCTACTAAGGGAAACTTTCAAAACATCTTTTATATCTTTAATAGAGAAGGGAGGAAAAGGCATTTCCCTATGTAATTCCTAAAGTATTATTTTAACGCGTGAGTTTACCTTTGGCCAGTTCTCTATTTATTGTGAGCCAAACTGCTGGACAAGACTAAATACCATAAACATGTTAATCAATTCCTTCTCTGCAAACATCTTAAAGTCCATCTTCTGATTGATTGAACATTTATATTCAACTCAATACTTTTAATCGGAAGCACTAAATTATTTACATTTTTTCCAATACAGTTTATACAAAACATGCATTAAGGAAGATATTCGATTCATAAAGACAGTACTCAATGCAACACAGAAATCAACAAAATTCTTAAGACATCTAACATTGAGATAATATCTCCCCTTCCTCAGGATCTATAAGAGTGAGTGTATGAAACTATTGTCCTGGAGCAACACATTAGTCTTCTTTGAATCAGTAGCTATATATATCTGTAGCTTTGACTCCATTGAAGATCAACAATTTCCTGTTGTATTTAGGATTGGTATTGATATGGTGAACTTTTTGAAAGCCCGTTTCTCTTAAACCAGTCATCAAAGAATTCTAAAAATTTTACACATTGTCAATTTATTGGTCGGTTTTTGAATGGTAACAATATAATTTGAAAAATATATACTTTTCCTTATATTGTTTTAGAAAACACATCAGACACTTCTTTTCTTCTTGTTAAATGTTCATATTATACAGAACTAAGAGACATGTTGTATCAAGGTACCTTATTTAAATACTTCAAGTGCAAATCCTACCATAAATATGATAACATTACTACATGCAAAGAACATTCAAAGCTGCCTTGCTGCTACTCTTTACAAAATGTTCTCAAAACGTTTATTTAACAGTGAAATTAAGTATGTGCAATATTGTCAACCAAAGTCATAATTTACTGTATTTTCATTTATTGCATCTTGAAATCTCATGTTTATATTGTATGTTATTTAACTCCTGTCATATTCTCTGTGAATTGTTCACATTCTGCAACCTTACTGTACATTTTCAGTGATATTATTCGACATACAAATGCTATATTTTTGCTACTGATTATTTTTGTATGATGTCAGCTGTTGGGTTTTTTATTACATGTATTTTACCTGTAAAATTTTAGTAAAAACCTGTCAGCTGTTGGGTTTTTTATTACATATATTTTACCTGTAAAATTTTAGTAAAAACCTGTGACACAGAAATAAACTATTATTAAACTAAACTAAAGTATATATTACTCTATTTTTTACATTTAAAGCATATTCCTATGACAGTTTTATATAGTATTGCACCTAAATTACTGTAAAATTGGCACTAATATGGCTGCCATTTTTAAACGAGTGGCCATTTTGAAAATCAGCTATCAAGCAGAACTATTACTCTCACAGGGCATATGTGTATAAAATATGAACATAATCAGAACAACAGTATTTAAGTTATTGCCCAGACAGACAGACGGATGGACCAAGGTGTTCCTTTCTCTCCCTCCGAACTTCTTTCGATGTGACATAACTTTACAACACAAAAATAAAAGTAACAAGTGAAAACATTTATCCTCCCACTTCTTCTTTATTCATTCTTTTATTGGTACTGTAACTACTAGATAAGTACTGTCATAAAAGTAGAATTGATTTGATATCAAATCTGAAACAGATCACATAATGCTGTATTTCAATGAGAACTCTCATGATAACAGACAAATCTGAATAAATCAATTATTTTTCTTTGAATTGATGATGCTCAAAAATTGATGTCAATTAAAAAAAAATAAGATGACACTGGCTTAACGAGAACTGATTGCAGTAAAATTGATTCAAAAATTGATTTAAAATTCACCTCAATTGATACAATGTAAACATTTGTGAGATTGATTGACATGTGTCAGATATATGCTAATCAACATAACTTTGGAGGACCTTTCCAATGATATATCACACTTGGTACAATATATCTTGGTTTTGGCTGGAGAGGGTGGGGCGTGATGTATTTGACACCCTGTAGAACACTTTTGGCTAAAACTGACGAATGGATGGGGAGCCAATTAAACAAAGGATGAGATAAAACACCGCAAATTACAAAATCAATGAAAACTCTTTTAAACAAGAGAGTTAGAATAATGAAGTTATAGCATGGAGATATTGAAGGACACACAACACACATGAACATTGATGAAATTATTCAGGATTTTTTTGTTTTCAAATGGTACAAAAATGTATTGCAACTTTTAACAAGTGGAACATAATTTATCGTAAGGAAAGTCAAATATGATACTTCTTGGGATACTCCTTATTTCAACTACATCCTTTGTTTTGTCAAATGAATGCAGCTATGGGACACCATTTATTATCCATTCTGACACAAAACTCAACTTAACTCCACTGGACACTATTCTCAAAGAGACTGTACTTGATTGTTTTCAAAGCTGTGTCTTTGAGCGTTATTGTATAAGCTTCAATTACAATAGTGAGATAAAGTCTTGTGAACTGATGCGAGGGGCCAATTTCCAGATATTTGGCAGTGACAAGGTGACAGAAATCGGTTGGGAGTACTACTCCATGACTTGTCAGAATTTGGTCACAATGGTAAGTTTTTATCTTCATTTTTGAACATGTATACTTTAATAAGTCTTTTTTTATTTTCGCACATATTCAAAAAATTACCATTGGGTTTCAAGAGACATGTTGTTTAAGAAATTACGAAGCAGCTTATATCAGAAATTCATAATTCCGTATTGATTTCATAGAAATAAGTGATTCATATGAAGAAAATGTTCTGCAATTTATTTTAGGAAGCAGCAGCGAATGATTGCAGAAATATCTGCAATGAAAAAGGTATGACAAATTTTGATTAGCATAAAATTTTCAGTGTTTTACCCTAAATTTAGCCTATTCCTGGTATTATCTATTTTCTTAAATTCATAAAAGTTTATACTTTACATATAAAAACAAAGCATGTACTTAGAAAGCCATTTTTGAAAAATCAAGAATTTCTTCAATCATTAACTTTGTTGTGTCTTGATCTCCGAAACATCAAAGGTCATGTAATAACATAATATTTATTTTTTAAAAATACAATACATATACCACCAAAGTAGTTTGATAGAAAGGACTGAAATATGTAAACTTCTATCCTAAATGTCTTTCACACATTCAATAGCTAATTTACACTTAAATGTTTTATTAATGCGATAAGGATCTTGGATGCCGTATGTATCAGTAGACACACCAAGTGGAGGCAATGACATTGAAACAACACAGCACTGGGAGAATAAGATTGTCAACAATGGCGATACTGTAAGTTATATTCCAAATATATGAATGATCCATGTAACCTGGACAATACGGAGTTTAAGCTTGCATAAAACATCGAAACGCCAACCTATACAAGGGTATATCATAAAGTTCTCATAATATCTCTCTAATTTTTTTTATTTTTCAATATATTCTGATGAATTTTTCACAGAATGTGTAGTATATATTGCTGTCTATTAATCGTATGTATGACCAATCGTCCATACAAATGCATCGCTTAAATATTTTCCATTCACGTTTAGGTTGTGAAACTTAAACTCCCTAATATAGTTTAGACATGTTTTCCTGCTTAAATTATGCTAAAATTATACTATAAAGTACTACTGTATGTGCAAACTTAACACAACATGGCAGAAGAATCATGGATGTATTGCACTAGAGGCACATGACAAAATATTCATTCAGATAAACTGTAGGTTATCAAATATAGACCCAAACATACTTTTGTTGGCAAGGAAAAAAGTTCCCAATTTGTGACATTTAAAAGTCTTCTAAAATTATGAATAAAACATTCTGAGTAATTTGTGTATATGAAATTTCATATAGGTATTTTTTCACATTTTTTACCAAAATTATTTGTGGTCTTATACTTGCTTATATGATCATATTTCATTTCAGGCACTAGGGGCCAAGTATTGCAAAGATAGGCTTGCGCCACTTGCAATGGAGGCTCGTGTAGTAGGCACTGAAACTCCAGCAAAAAGCACTGGGCAAATGTTTGCAAAATACAGCTCAGAAGAAGGTTTTCTATGTAGTAATGAGGATCAATTTACTGGGGGTCCTTGTGTGGATTATGAAGTGAGATACTTTTGTCCAAATGTATTAGAGCAAGCACAAAGCAAACATCTGGTCAAAAATGGTTGAGCTTTAATATCCTGTTTCAGAACTATCCCTATTCTTATTATTGAAAAGGATTCTAGCAATACTATCCAACATGAATCTACTTGTTGGGACTTAAACAACTTAAGTCCTATTGGGATAACTAAAATAAAATTCCACAGAGTAGCAAAAAGTTACATCTTGACCTTTGCAAAACAAAATTTATTCTTTAATCATATCTTTTAAGGGGGCATCAAAAGTTCAATGTCGGATTGGAAACTAAATAAATCTAGTTTTGACTCTGACCCCCCTTCCCCCAAAAACTAAATACCATGAAAGTTGATTGCTGACTTCCGGTTTGAGAATTTGAAATGTTATTTCTAAACACGATCTAGTTTTCGTTAATTCCTATCCTAATTTGCGGCTTTTAACAACTATTGATAGAATAGAATCCATTGGAATGATCTTGACGAAGAAAGCATCAGGTAAAATCTTTATTCTTAACCATTCCAAGGCATTCTGAGTCAAAATTGCCAAAAATTTGAAATGTTGAAATTTGTCGGATAGCAAACTGAAAGGGGTTTGAACCCCCTCCCCCCTAACTAGATTTATTTAGTTTTCTATCCGACATTGAACTTTTGATGCCTCCCCTAAGTGACATTGTATGAGATATTTTGCAATGTGTGGATAGAATTTAAGCCCAAGACTCATTGCATTGTGGCTGATTCATTCCACTCAGGAGGTGTTTCCTAAACTTGAAAACAAAACCCTCAAGAAAAACATTCAGCACACAATGCATTGAGTCCAGGGCTTAAATCCTTTAACAATTCACCATATGATGCATGTCAAAATAAGTGACAGTTAATATATTGGGGACAGTTAAACCTTGTGCAATGTTCTTTCAATCTACAAAGATAAAACAAAAAAAAACCACACATTTCTGCATTTGAGCCTGTTTTGTAAACTGCAATAAAACTGTGACCATGTAGGTATATACCAATGAAACCTGGTAGATTGAAAACACACCCAACAAGGTTTAATTGTGCCAAATATGATCTTAAAACCATGGGGAATGACTGAGTAATTAACATACATTTGTTTAGGTTGCCTTTTTTGGCTCATCCTGTACTACAGATTTTAGGCTAATATTGGGACACTCGTATGATGAATTTCACAAAGGATTTTAATGATTCTACAGATTTATGGTTGAATATGTTAAATCAACTTGCCAGTGAGTTAGCTGATACATGGAATGGTTGAATTTATCACAGCAATGGAATTTCCTGATTTTCAAAGGAAGCACTTAATACCTTGGGAAGAAATTCAATATCTCCGAAAACAAATATTATCTGATTCCTTCTCTACAAATGAATAACACTTTATCATCAATATTTTGATTGATTGAAAATATATAATTTTAACTTCATAATACTATTAATCGGAAGCACTCCACTATTTACAATACAGTTTAAACAAAACATGCATTAAGAAATATATTCTACTTCAAAAAGTACTCTTTGCAACACAAAAATCAACAAGTTTCACAACTTCCGACATTGAGATAATATCTTCCCTTTCTCAGGATCCATAAATAGAGTGAATGAAACTATTGTATTGTTCTGGGGCAATGTCCTTGTTTTCTTTGAATCAGAAGTTATGTACATACCCTCTGACACCATTGAAGATCAACTCTTTTCTGTGATTCTCAAGTACTTAAAAGGTAATTGATTTTTATAGAAGGTATACTTCTGATGTGTTAATGCCCTTTGAGTAGCAACTGACAGAAGATTGTTCATAATGGTATATGTTACACAGCAGGATTAATGTGACAAGATTCTTAAAGAATGACTTTGAGACTCTGTAACGCCTCAAAAATGCCCTTGTTACAGAGCTTTCCATCAAAAATACTAGTTCACAGGGGTTTCATTAGCAGCAGGCAACAGGCGATTTTCACTGTTTTCACAAAATCACCTGTTGTTTTTAGGGACTTTTCGACTTTTCCATGATAAATTTATGATTTCCATTAATTTTGCCTGTTGTTTTCATTTATCTAGCGTGTTGTGAGAAATTCTAGTGAAACCCCTGCTTCTTTACAAAGGAAACCTTTTTGTCTTATTCTAACCAATGATATGTAGATTAAATAATTACATGTAAAACTCTATCTTTTAATATATTGATATTGCACCATAAGTATGCTAGTCCTGTTGTTCCTCTTATTCATGTTTAATATCTTCCATAAGCATGACTGATTATAAAGTTTGAGACAAACAAACTGATCAGAAATGAATACATGAACATTTGTACTTACTTTGAAACAAGCCATTTCAATAGTTCTGGCCAAAGACTCTTTCAAAATCATGCCATTTTTCACCATCCTGAACACTTTTTAAGTGATTTTGGCCATTTTTGGACCACAATTATCAAAAGTGAAGCCCCCCTTGGCAAATCCTGGCTACGGGCCTGATATGGGAAAAAGAAGATACTTTAGATATTGTTGATGTACAGGAATAGGGAACTTACCATTCTAACAGCTTTTGCCATGTCGCAATCATTAAAGATGATGAGGGGAGACTTTCCTCCCAACTCTAATGAGATTTTCTTGACATTTGCAGAGGAACTGAAACACAAGGACCACAATTTACAAAAAATAAAAATACATGTTTTTGAATCTCATGGGTCAAACTACATGTGAATGTGAAAATACATATAAGGAATATGGATTGAAACCAAGTGAATTTACAGTCAACATTCAAATCATTTGATCATAATCAATGCAAACAGTACCCTGGGTGATTTTGAGTCAAACTCAAGGGATCAGAGGGAACGATAGTGGAAATAAAAAGTTGAACCCAATGTCTAAAATCCCATCAGTAACCCTCCTTTATTTACCTTGCCATGATAGTCCTCCCTACAGGCGTTGAGCCAGTGAAACCAAGTTTACGTATATCAATGTGCTCTGCCATAGCCTGGCCTACCACTGACCCTGGAAGTACATGTATAAACCTAAGCTATACAGAAACATGTGCATGGGTCAGTTAGAATTACAGCCCAATACAAGTAAATATATCTACACATGGATCAGTTCTAATTAATTAAACAGTTTCCTATAAATTATGAGCAATTGAATTGCAGGTCAGGGAAAATGATGTCCCCTGACTGAGGGTAAAGGAAATAATTGTTCAGGTTCTGTATACTTAAACTTTATATTGAATATGTGTGTCAAACGAAGTTTAAAACTGGAGAAATTGCATCCAATAATGAGTAAATCGGACCAACCTGAGCCGGTTATTATATTTATGACACCAGGTGGAAAACCAGCTTTGGCTGCTAGCTCTGCAAACTTCAATGACGTAAGAGGCGTGACTTGAGCAGGTTTTAAAACAACAGTGTTCCCTGCAGCGAGACAGGCAGCCATCTTCCATGCTAACATCATCAGAGGGTAGTTCCATGGAGTTATTATACCACATACCCTGATAACACACACAAAACATGCAACTTTAATATATATATCCAGTGAAAACTCACTAGTCCTTTTAGTTTGAAAGACACATATCAAAGTTAAAATTTTTTTAGAAGATTTTTAACCATTCCAAAATTTTGAAATACTGAATCTATTTTCAAGATAGAATCCAACATAAAAATCTTTTAAGAAGCAGCATCACATCAGTCATAAAGCAATTGGGTACAGGACCTTGCATGAAGCTTAAAATATTCTTAGACCTTGTTGAGAAGTGAAATCATGAAAATTGGGATCCTACTTTTCCAATTTGTGACATATTTTGTCATGATACTCAGTAAGTAGAATTTGCATTATAGTCGAGCAAAAAGTCTAAGAATAACACCATACATGTAGTATATTGTAAGGCCTTACCCTATTGGTTCCCTTTTCGTGTAGGTCAGGTTTTTGTTAGGTCGAGCATTGTTGATTGGAATGGTTTTTCCCTGGAAAGAATTAAATGAGAAAATGCTGCTGAACATAAAAAATTATGTGGCTGCAATGAAAAAGCTTGCATATGAATATACCTGTATTGAGTCAAATAATAATGTAATAATATATCATGAAAAATTAATCCTCAGTTTTTTCTCATTTTTATCAATCATTTAATCACTGATTGGGAAATAGCTAACATGCTCATACATGTACATGATAATACTCTTTTTAAATAAATTGTTTGCAATACTTTAATGTCAGCTATGTACATAAGGTAATTGCCCTGCAGAAATTCAGACATTATCTCTGCTCTTGCAATTTCATTAGGATAGATTGCCTATATTTGATCAGGATAACAACAAAACTCAAAGAAAAAAATAAAGTTTCTGATTTCAATTATATCACTGGATACTTGAATAGTTGAGGCTCTGTTCAACTGACCTTCAATACTGTTTGAAAACCTAGGAGTCTCTAAACTTGTAAATTACTGTAAGGATTTGTCTGTAAGGATTTGAGATGTAATGAGTAAAATACAATGTTCAGCATATGAGATACAAGGGCATAACATAATGTTAAGGAAGCTGAAGACACTAACAAGAAAATCCTTTAAAAATAATTTAGGAATAGAAGTTCAGAAGTCCAGGATTGAGGGAATTTAAAAATCCAGGATGCTGAATCTTTATCACCATGACTCGTCCAGTTGTAAACATAAGAGCAGATATACGCAAATATGAGAAAATGGCAAAACATTGCATTTTCATCTTTTTTGTTGGGTTTTCTGTTTCACTGTTCGTACTAAACTTTGGATGGTTTTATACATCCGAGTATGGCTCATATACAATATCGAACAGTAAGGAATACACACTGAAATATGGCTCTGGATGTCCATTGATTAAACAATTTGCTGGTAGGACAGGAAATCAAATGTTCATGTTCGCATCTGCATTTGCAATCGCGAAGAAAAATAAAATGACATTGCACGTTTCGACGAAATTTCCTCTCAGGCGTATATTCCGGCTGAAATGGATTGAATATCGACCAACGGACATTTTGAACAAGATGGTGGTAAATAATGTATCAGATAATGGTGAAAGTGCAACGTTTCATCTCGATTTAATGACAATTAATATGTGTAACACCCAACTAAGTGGATATCTTCAGTCCTGGAGGTACTTCAGTACATACACATCAGAGATCAAGGCACAGTTTCAGTTCCAAGCATCAATAGCAAACCAAGCACAGGATTACATAAAAGAGGTAATGAAGATCCACAATGCATTCATAACTGTAGGAGTTCATGTCAGAAGGTACAAACTTGATCGTCCTGGAGCCAAAACTAAAGGTTATAGAACACCTCCAGTGGAGTACTACCATAATGCCATTGACCATTTCACAAATCTTTACCATAATCTAAACATTGCTTTTATAATATGTACAGATGATTATTATTGGGTTGCTCAAAATTTAAATCGCAGTGATGTCACCCTCTGTAATACCCATAATCCCGCAGCGTTGGACTTAGCGATTTTATCACAATGTAACGCAAGCATTATGTCCATAGGTAGCTTTGGCTGGTGGGCAGCCTACTTATCTGAAGGGCCTGTAGTCTACTATGGTGGCAACCCTATACCTGGTAGTGATAATGATCAGAGCATGGTTAGGGGAGACTACTTCCTTCCCCATTGGACCAGTATGTTAGAATGAGTAATATACAAACGTTCAGTATATAAAAAGTTGAAATAATTGAAAAAGATCGAGGTAAAATTGTTCTGTGAGAAGTTTGAGAAAATGGGCATTCAAAGTAACCAGAAACTACAATGAGTGAAATAACTAGTGACTCTACTTTGAATGGTGAATGGTGAGCACATTATTTAGACATAACATTTGCTCTAACGCGGCTGTATGGTGGCGGTAGCTTCACAAAATCGATACAGAAAATCTACATCATACTGCTTTTGCCTCCATTATGCTGCATATTTCTCTCGATTTAGGAAAGCTATGGCCGGCATAAAGCAAATGCGACTGAAGCATTACCTGAATTTTATCACACCAGCCTGCAAAGTATCGGAATGTATCGATAGACATGCCTATATGTGTCTTGAGAGCTAGGGTATATACAGCACCACTGTCAATGGACTCCAGTGTAGCAAGTTCTTCTTTATGTTCATCCATCAGATCTGCAAGTCTGAAGTAATAAAAAGGGGTTACTTCAAAATGTAATTTATCAAATATATATACAGGGTGTCAAATAAATATGTTCTCAACTTATTAGTTTTACCATCCACATAATGTTGCATTAATTTTTTGTCTGTAGGATATCTGAATTGTGCTTTAGCACATTAAAACAAGGCTTCATGGAGGAACTCCACAAGAATTTTCAGATGATTAGCTCAACTAGTTGCACTTTTATGCACAAAAGTTCATTCTTTTGAAATCGAGGGGGAGAACATATTTATTTGATACACCGTATAGTTCATAAATAATTATAATGATGGACATTTGGAGGAAATATGTCACCACATGTTAAACAATTGCAATACAACATGACATACAACAGAATTTCAGAAGTTTTTATTGTGTTTATATTAACCATTTCATGGAATAAAATTGTGTAGAATTTGAAAGTTAAGCTTTATTACAATACAAAAAAAATATGTCAATTGCCCTATAACACTATTGACATACTCATGAAACAAATGAAAGGTAAATACACATATACTGTACTTAATGGAAAATGAATATGTGATATATACTATGCGTGTAAACTGCTTTTATTCTGTTATATACATGTATATAGATTTTCTGGACAGGCGGACACAATGACTGACGGACAGACAGATGGCTTCACTATATCTCTACCAAACTTTATTTGTTGGGATAATAAATTAGAGAAATGAAGAGCGAGTGATACAGAACATGGGACTAAAGATCAACATACCTGAACATCATGGTGCCTCGATCTCTAGCATTCATTTTCCCCCATTCTCCATCATAGAAAGCTTCCTGGAAAGCAACATACAACTCACTGATCATACTATTAATTCGTTCCAACCTCCCCTTACAGATCTTTGACTTTTCATTGAAAGCGATCTGACATAAACATCATCATCATTATCAATGTGCACAGTATATTGCAACCAAAAAACAGCTATTTAGGATTTTGATTTTTTCCTTCAAAATGAAAACAGTTCTAAGAAGCAGGGAATGGAAATCATAAATTTAACATGGAAAAGTTGAAAAGTCCCTAAAAACAACAGGTGATTTTGTGAAAACAACCAGTGAAAATCGCATGTTGCCTGCTGCCAATGAAACCCCTGGAGAAGTGCACCTTTCCCTTTTTATACCCTTTTTGTTCTACATGTAATCAATATTTTTCAAAAATGTCAAGTTTTTCACCATACAAGCCATGCATCTTTAACAGTCAGTTGGGACCAAAAGTTTCATGCAAATCAATGCTATTACCTTAGCACACTGCACGGCTCTGTTAACATCATCTTTGGTCCCTTTACTGACTTTACAGATCACTGACTCATCAGCTGGATTGATTGTCTCAAATGTGTCCCCATTTGAGGCATCAACAAACTCATTATTGATAAATAACTGATATGGTATTGTGAGGTCCATGTTGTTTGACTGTGTATGCACCTGAAAGAGAAAAATCAAAGAGAACTTAAGTGAGTCGTATGTATAATGCACTTTATCTTTCCAATGTACTTAAAAATTTTCTGTAAAATAATGACATGCAAAATGTCATCATCTAGCATGTGTTAGACATCAGCCACCAAACAACTACCACCTAATGCTGAACACCATACACAAAAAAGCTGGAGACCATAACAATATGTGGTTGAGATATAGTAATATCAAAGATTTAAACAGTCAATGACCAGTGCTTTACATGTATATATAAGGAGATATTTCATCTTTTTATCAAAATTAAAGACTAGTAAAGCATATCCAATGATTTTTCTCATTATTTATGTTGTGATACGACATTCGAGAAACTTCATTCAAGAAATTTAAGAAAAATAGTGCTGCTTATAGGCTTGTAATGTAAAATTACTGAAATTTCCATCAGTTTTGTTCCATTATTTTGGAATTTTCTTTACGAAATGGGGGAAATACATTTTTAAATGCATGTCAATGAATTAAAGGTAAGTTTAATTATGAGTACAGGTAAAACACCATAGCATTGACAAGTTTATCACACACAAATATTTCAACTCAAAATAATGTACAACAGTTTGCCTCAATGAGTTAACTCAATGAGTTATCCAATGATTTTCTTCAAAACACAAAAAAATATTGTGCCTCAGAAAAAAATTGAACAGATGATGTCATACAAAGCATGAACCAAAGGTGTCTCTCACCATTCTGTCCATTAATTAAGGAATTTCATCCTATTGAATGGTCTATCATTATTTATTTCAATTAAAACATAAAGAAAGAATGAAGAAAACATTCTTGATGGGGACAGAGATCCATGAAAGAACCAACAAGATTCCTTACTAGCCACATAGAGTCCTCAATGTGATGTCATTAAGACAATGCAGATTCCCAGAAACAACCATTCATTGCATAATGAATGGTTGTTCATATATCAAGAATTAGAAAACGGCCATGCTGTAATATGATTTGATGAGAGACTCTAATTGAGCATGGTCATGTTTGAATTAAATGATTAAAAAATTAATAAAAAGTTTTTTGTCAGAAAGGTTGACCACTGCGACTGGTACTTACTGCATCAAAGATAAATTCTTTCTTTCCACCACCCCTCGATTGAAACACAGCCATTTGAATAAACTCAGCGAATGTAGTTGCCATGTAAACATCATCATTCTGTAGCTGCAACCCATTGCACTTTTCTTTGATTTCTTCAATTAATCTAAAATACGATCACAAACTTTGTAAAACTTTTTCTTGGTTGCTTTTTTGTTTTCAAATCCTCAAGAACAAAGTCAGATAGTATGTAGAGGGCCTGCTCTAGGAGTATTATTGACCCCATTTACTTTTGCTTTGGAATAATTGAATGCTTTGATCGTTAACAAATGAAACAGAATACAATTTTTTTCTAATTTGGAATTTACCCTAAAAGTGTGCCTATCAAATCTTGCGATATTGCTCTGGAGATGTCACACTTAGGCCATGTGAGCTCACCGTTCGCCATTGTGTGAACACTTGGAGGCAGAAGATTGGGCATGGCATGAATACACAGTGGGCAAAACAAATAGTTTTACAACAAGATATCTCCCATCACACCAAATAAAAAAATTAATTAATTAATTGAAAAATTAATGCCCAAAATTAGCCACACATTGGCGAATGGTGACCCCATACGGCTTACTTCAAGCTACTTAAAGGCCCACTTTAGAAATTTTCAATGTTTTTGGGCAAAAAAATAAAGACCTTTATTTGAATTCTATAGAATGTCCAATGTATGGATAAGAACCTTATCTTTCATTTGACACCAACAACAGTTTAAACAGACCACATCAAAGCTTACAATAAATTATCAAAAAAAATTTTCAATCTGTTAAATCAATGTCATTGAAAGATGGCGAAGTTGTTTGTACTACAATGATACATTCATTTTTATAGAAGTGTCGCCATCTTTAAAATCAAAAGTAATTAAAAGCATGCACTTTGTGTAGCATGTGCATGCATGTCTAATGATCTCTGAACTTCAATTGTTTTTTTCTATGTGAGTTATTTTTTTCTTGGTTCAATATTAAAGCAAATCAAACTTTGTGTCATATTTGAGCGAGTGTGTGAGTAATATGTTTCAATGATCATTTTTTTCTTTTTTTCTTCTAAATTAAGTAAATTGGGGCTTTAAAATTGTTTACTGATTCCTTTTTGTTTGTAAAAATAACACTGCAATGCCAAAGGATTGTCATATTGGTTATATTATTATGTTACCTGACAACATCCATGGAGCCTGCTCCACATTTGAAGAGGTCAGTGTCATCCTGTATATCCTCCCTGCTTAATATTCCCATCCAAATAGTCTACAATTACAGTATAAAGTCTACAATTACAATATTCCTATCCATACAGCAGTCTTCAATTACAATTTTCCTAAACTCAAAAACAGAAGTCAACACTTACAATTCTTAGTCTACAATTTCAATATTCCTATACTCATAAACAGAAGTCGACACTTACAATTCTTAGTCTACAATTTCAATATTCCTATACTCATAAACAGAAGTCGACACTTACAATTCTTAGTCTACAATTTCAATATTCCTATATTCATAAACAGAAGTCGACACTTACAATTCTTAGTCTACAATTTCAATATTCCTATACTCATAAACAGAAGTCGACACTTACAATTCTTAGTCTACAATTTCAATATTCCTATACTCATAAACAGAAGTCGACACTTACAATTCTTAGTCTACAATTTCAATATTCCTATACTCATAAACAGGAGTCGACACTTACAATTCTTAGTATACAATTTCAATATTCCTATACTCATTAACAGAAGTCGACACTTACAATTCTTAGTATACAATTTCAATATTCCTATACCCATAAACAGAAGTCGACACTTACAATTCTTAGTCTACAATTACAATATTCCTATACTCATAAAGAGAAGTCGACACTTACAATACTAAGTCTACCATTTCAATATTCCTATCCAATTAAAATATTTGAAGAATTTCAGTTCTTGTTTTTCATTTGACTTACTTTAATAGTATCAGCCATAGCAAGTTCCTCTTCTGTGAGTTCTAGCTGTACATCATCGCCAGCTTGTCCATACTTGCTGGCCTTTATCATCTTGCCATCAATCTGTAACTGCCCAACATTTACCTGAAGAATATCATCAAGACTTTGAATGCTATGTTTTTCTGTGAGGTCTTCTTTGACATCATTCTCTGCCTATCTATATTGATTTTGCCAAACTGAATATAAACTAAAAGTTCTTCAAATTGTTGTAATGTTTGTAACTACAATGTATGCAATCTGAGGAACTGTATATCATTTCCAGCCTATTCATACTTGCCAAGTATCATATAGGTATAGGTGCAATCAACAAACCTTTAGCTTTATCAGGGGTCTACCTGAACTCTTGAATTTGACAGGGACTTCGGCTTTTTCAGTTAGAACTACCCTCATCCCTTCTATATGGCACAAGTCCGTAACCAGAGGGTGTTCGATTGGTTCGAGCGAACCCCCATGGCCAAAAATTATTTTAAATGCAGTTTTTCACCATTCTGAGCACTTTAAGTTAGTGATTTTGGTAATTTATGGACCAAGATTGTCAAAAGTGAACCCCCTCGAATTCTTTAAAAAGTGAACCCCCTTGGCAAAATCTGGCTACGGGCCTGTGGCCTGTTGCAGAGCAACTTACCATTTTACCATCTGTCCCAAAAAGGACCAGTCCATCATTGTGTACTATTGCTTGACTAGTCATGCCTGGAATGTCTACTGTGCTGCCATCTGGTTTCGATCCAGACCAAAGTTTGGATCCATAAAATGTCATCTCCTAAGATATAAATCAATATTTAGTATTTCTTAAGAGCTGTTACATAATATTATATGTGTATAAACTGTAAATGTAAGGTTAACTCAGCAAAAAATATAACAATCAAAATTTTCATTCATTAATGTTGTTTGCAAAAATATACCTTGCTCCTTGTTTTAATAGGACTTACCTGGCCATCTACCATGGCCCATGCACCGGGAACTTTATCATTACCACGAATAAAATTATGTATACTTTCAGCTGTTTGATCCCAACTGATCTGGAAAAAAAATTATTCATCATTCAAATCAGGGAAAATACATAAAATTATACTGAAATGTATGCAGCACAATGCGCTTGAAGGGGGCACTTGTACTTGCATTTTATATGATGTCATAATGAAGAGATGATGTCAGACTTTTGAACTTTTTATTTAATTTACCCATCAAAACAATATTAGGATTTACTCGTAAAGGTTTGTAGTATGGTTTTGTATTTTGGTTAAACCAATGTGCTATAGCTTACATTCCTAACTTTATGCATGTGAATATGGAAGACAAGAACCTCTCCTTGGAGGAGCCATATGTTCTTCATATATAAAATAAAAGAACCAATTTGAAGTGCATTTATAGGTTTACTAAATGCGAATTCAAACAAGGCATTAACATGCAAAATGTGACCACCTGCCATACACCATCCACAAAATTTTGGAGACGATACAATATTTCACCACTTGCGACCTTGTGAAATACAAATGTAATGAGTAACAAAGACATAAATGTACATTGATTTCAAGGTCTATCTTCCATAAAGATAATGCATCTTAGTCCAGTGGTTTCAGTAACTTTGTGTACAAAAGTAACAGGACTAGTATTGGTATTTTGTTAAATATGCACCAATTATCTTCAAAATTGTACTATAATGGTTGCTTTGGTAACATATCACAATACCCGGGGCAACATAAAACGCAGAGAGTTACAGAGACTTTGTACATCCCATGTCAAAGTTGAAATGCAACAACTGGAGGGAATTAAATTTGCTTTACATCATTTGATATTATAATGTATCCTCTACTTTGAAAAGTAGACTCTTCTTTGGTCAGTACAAGACTAGAACTCTGTATCCATGACTCAAACACATGAGTGAATCGCAGCGTCGATTGGACAACTTGGAGAAGGTCATCTTTAAAGGTCTTACCGCGCTGATTAAAACTTAGATATTGCATGATCAGAAGAGTAGATTAGACCTCAAGACCTAGCTCCTCTATAGCTGCAGTGGTCTTTAATACTGACTTGCGGGCAGACGCCTTATGGAGATGGATGACTGGCTTCAAATTTCGCAATTTCAAGGCCCGCACGAGCTCGTATGAGGCCCGTTATCGAACTCCGAACAAAAAAATTAATTGCTATCATGCTACATGCACGAATTTCGTAATTGGCCAGACCATGTCATTATATTAGAATGATGTTTTATTCACACATTCGATAGCAATAACATTTATTACATCACAATTCAACTCTTCCTAATAAAGCACGCAAATGGTTTTATATGCATTTACTTCACTTGTAGAGAAATATGGTGTCTCTTATTGGTAACCCTCCTGTTTATTTTGTTTCCTAGCTATTATACTGTTTATCATGTTGATACAGACATGCGAATATTTTGAAATTATTGAAGACATATTAATTCATAATTGGATATAATTGAATTGTCATTTCTCATATATGCTGTATTTTATTTCATCGATCAAAAAGTATTCATCAAAATAAACGAGCAATTACAAGCCTCGTTACGAGCCCCGTACGGGCAAGTACAGTGCTTGAAAATTACGAGCCATAACGGGCCTTGTTACGGGCATTGCACAGGCAAGTACACGGCTCGAAAATTATGAGCTATTACGGGCCTCGTAACAGGCACCGTACGAGCAAGTACGGGGATCGAAAATTACGATTTATTACGGTGCTCGTTACGGATACTGTACGGTAAAGTACGGGGGTCGAGAATTACACGCTATTACAGGCCTTGTAATCACAAGCTCTTACGAGGCTCGAAAATTACAAGCAATTACGAGACTCGTAACGAGGCCCGTACGAGGTTGTACAGGGTCCGTTGACACAACGAGCTCCGTACGGGCGTGTACGGGGTCCGATGTAATTTGCCTGTGTATAGCAATACCATTACAACAAAGCAACAAATAAAACAAACAAAAATTGGTGTATTGTTGTAAATAGGTGAATTAGATATATACACTGTAAATTGTGTTTCAATCGTTTCAATCAGTTTTAGGATGAAGAAATAAATCTTTTCTTCATCCTAGATCAGTTCAACCGTTTCAATGCATGCATCATTTCCTACTTTTCAATGCTTACGTCATTTCGAGCATTTCAAACGTTTCAATCGATACGTCTTTGAAAAGGAAATCGAATTTTTCCGCTTGCGGAATCATTTTCATTTCAACCATTTCGCCTGCCAGTGTATACGCTTCTTTACCTTCACCCATTTGTAAGATAGAGACCGAAGGCGGGAGATATCCCCCTCCCATCTACACCAACTTGTTCTCACTACGTTCTCGAAAATTGGCTTAAAGGCCTCCTCACATATTATTAAGGAAAACATATCTACACAATTTGCGCATTTAACCATTTGATAACATATTGTGGATCTTTTCTTAATTTGTTAATGTGAATTCGCACCTTCATTTGCATGGCAGACTTTGATAAAATCCCTTTTTGATGATCTTTGTTCGAAAGTTGATGTTTGGCTAAGCTTCGAAATACCAAATTGAACAGTCTACTTAGAATACCATGGTATAAATATTTTTTCTTCTTAATATGTCGAGCTAGGACTGCTCAAACAAATTCCCTTTATGGAGCTACAAATATTTAATTCCAAAAGATGATAAACTTCTCAATATAAAAAATTACCCTCATAAGACATTGTTGCAAGGTGTGTTGCAATGAATGTGACACCCCGCATTCCCAGGTCCCCTAAATTATGTATATTCTCCAAGAAAGCATATATTTGCATTGATGTTGTAAGTGGAAAGCTATTCTAACCAGGAAGGATATTGCAACTTTTTTCAAGATCCTAAAGTTGCAATTTTCGTTATTTTGTTTTATTGTAAAGACGCACCTGTGAAAGTGTGTCGCTGGTAAAAAGGCGTAGTTCTAACTAAATGAATAAAAAGGAGGTTAAGATACATGTTTTTTAACTTGTACGTGAACGTTTAGTATTATGAACCTGATGGATTAATTAGTTCTCCCTTTTGTACTTTTAATACTTGGCCGGTTGAGTATAAAGGTATACATTTCCCAGCTTTTGGTAAGGGGGGTCAAACCTCCCCCATCCACACATACACTATCATGCTTAAGTAACTTCACATTGTAATTACATGGGTGTTATCTAAGTCTCAGGTGTTATTAACGAGACACCAGGATTATAATGGAGGGGTCCAATATATTTCTTCTGCTTGCGCAGAAGAAAATTAGAGCTCAAATCTTGAGAAAGAATCGAAGGCATGCGAGGCGAATCCTGGAAACTCGGGTTCGGGAAAGCTGGGTTCACTACTGTTTGTTTCCATTGACACCTGTGCGAAACTACATTCATAATTTATACGACAGTGAACAGGAGATTAACAGTCAGACCCGGGTGCGCCAATCACTTATTTAACTGGGTGTTTCGTAGACTAGGGTTTAAGGCCATTCCAAACGAAATAATTGTCTAATGAGGCCACGGAATATAAAAGTTCGTTTTATTAGAATTTTATACCTGTCATTTTGTATCTATCAAGACATTTAACATATTAGAAATAGTCATGGTATTATGATTGGTCTAAAATTTGCAAAGCTAGAAGACCCCTTATACTCGTTCATTCTCCATTTTAAACAAGGAAAAATTGGCCAGTAGAGATGAGCAACTTGAAACATATTTATTTTAATCAAAAATATGAAATAATAATAATGAGGCCACGGAATATAAAAGTTCGTTTTATTAGAATTTTATACCTGTCATTTCGTATCTATCAAGACATTTAACATATTAGAAATAGTCATGGTATTATGATTGGTCTAAAATTTGCAAAGCTAGAAGACCCCTTATACTCGTTCATTCTCCATTTTAAACAAGGAAAAATTGGCCAGTAGAGATGAGCAACTTGAAACATATTTATTTTATTCAAAAATATGAAATATTATTTTATTTAAATACAATTCCGCGCTATAACCATCCTCCAGTGTTGACAATATCTATTGTGTCAGTCTGGGTCAAAATCTTACAATCAGGGGGGGAGATTTCCCAAAGATGACCTTTCGTATTGGCACGTTCGAAAACAAATTTTATTAACAGGCCTCATTTGCCATTGAAATGGTTCTCCAAATGTTCGCTGTAGTTTTATGAGTATTCTCTATAAGTATGGATCGAGTAACTTCAATAGTATTACCGTAGATTTGAAATGATGATGTTGAACTGATGTTAACGCCATTCCCACAATTTCAAATTTAACTTTGCGCATGCGAAGCACTGAGAGAGCACGTGCTCATGATTGTTCACTTGATCACATCCTGCAATTTGATAGTAGATGATGTGGGAGATGACGTAATGGGGAATCCCGAATACGATAGAATATGAAATAATTGTGGGAGCTACTCACTTTTTCTGTCTTACAATATAGTATTAATAATAACGAGGAACCCTTCTAATAAAAGCAATTAAATCCAGGTTTGAAAACTCTCGAAAATAACACGAAACGACTCTAATTATGAACAGTTCACATTTTTGCAAAGGCGGATTTGGATGACGACAAACCTGGGTTTTGAGGGCGCCACTTATGGCAATGGGTGCTTCTGCAGACCTTAAGAAAATACGTCCAGTAATGCCCAATTTAAAAAAAATGCATATCATTTGGTTGATTTAGAAGGAACGAAACTGCGTTTTCTGCGTATATATAGCTACACCTATTTTGTAGTTAGACCTATATTTGGGGCAATACCATAGCAATACCATTACAACAAAGCAACAAATAAAACAAACAAGAATTGTTGTTTTGTAATAGATGAATTAGATACTTTCTTCAGTAATACAAAAATGTAAGATATCACATTTGCATGAAAAAGTTGGCCCGGGTATTGTGATGGTATAGTAATCAAAAGCTAACCGCATTTTATCATTTTTTCTGGAACTTTACAATTTTAGTTGCAATACTTCAATTTCAAAGTACTTCAAAGTACAATTTGTGAAAATCTGAAGACACTTGTTGCAAAGTTGAAAAAAATGCCAGTACCAGTCCTGTTACTTTTGGAATACCCAACCTGTGTATTTATATCAAAGTATCTGCTGACTCTACATTCCCCATGTAGAGTTTGAAAATACGTTTTTCATTTATTTACTATTTTTCATGACTTTGAGATTTATTTTAGAAAAAAATGTTTTGGAAATAAAGGTTGTCAGCTTTTCATTTGTCAAATTTCAAATTTCCTGCCATTTTTCAAATAAATTTGAAATCTTTTAATCATCAAATATTTCACTATACAGTGCAAGAAAATATTTCAAATCCATACCTCTGCAACTTTCTTCTTCATCATTGGGTCATATGTTGCTCCATCCTCTGTCTGTACAACTCTTGGGGCTGTGCCATCTGCTATCATGTCCACAGCCTCCCCCTAAATAGAAAACATGTAAACATTAACTTTAAATCTTCAAAAGAAACAATGTTAATGTAAAGTTTGAACATGAAAAGAAGATAAGTATGGCTGATTGAAAAATGTGTTTTAAAAACTAATTGTGTAAAAGCTTGATACCTTGATGTGTAAAAGTGTATGAGATTATGATTATTTTTGAAATATAGCTTTTAATAAAAAACAAAACAAAAAAACATTAGAATTGGACTTAATATACAGAGCTACATCCCCAGTTTAATAGTGTTTTTTATAGCTACAAAGTCACAAAAGATTTTTTTACATTGTATATTGAGTAAGACATTCTTTGTTCTGTTGACTTAAGTGCCTTTCAATGTATAATGTCACTCCTTTGAAAACAAAAGCAGTTATTGTTGAATGAATTCCTCACTTCATTGAACGCATCTTTCACTGATTACACAGTCACTGAGTAACCATGCTATCTGTTAAATTGCATCTAGAAATGTGGCTTAAAAAAGTATTTACTAACTTTGAAAATTTCATTTTCTTCAAAAATGTGACTTTTATGTCAGGGAGAAATATCTTTTCTTGTGTTGGGCAGATATTTCTTTTACTTGACATGCTCTCGTTAGTATAACTATCAGACACATAAGTATGAAAAAAATTGATCCACATAAAATGATAATATTCAAGTTTAAGAGAACGTTCTTATATACCTGCCATGTTAATTCTCGAAATCGCTGTTCCCTCTTCAAAAGAGGAGACGCGAAAATCTTTCCTTATAAGATCAAAATATTTCCCATGATGCAGTTCGCGGAGGAACAAATTTATACTTCCTTGTTTTCCCTCATAGGTTTAACATGGGGTTTTTAACACCTATTTTTCAAACGATATATTCGTTCATATTCCCGTACGAGGGTACAGAAAAAATTATTAGAAACGATTGATCTTTTATTAATCTTAATATAACAGCTATTTTTTCATTTTATTGATTCATAGCGTGGTGAAAACGATGATTGAAAAGTGAGAAAATATTCCGGAAGAGAAGGTCACATGATCAGTTGACTAGTCGCCATATTGGAAAAAACAATTCCATTCGACTTTCAATACTTTCATGCCAATCTTACCGCACTACAAACTGCATCATCGATGCAACAAAGGAATAAAAGTATTCATCATCAAATTACATCATAGAGTTACGTTGAAAACCAACAAATAAATGAGCAGTAGACCAAAGAAGAAGCGTCGCTATTATCTAGGTCACTCTGTTCAGTGGTCCGAAAGCAAATCTATAGTACTCGTTTCCGAATTTTGTTGTTCATTGTACAATCTTTTATTGATTAAACTCGGTATACAGACTATTAAAGCAATGACAAAGAAGAATACTTTCGATGTTGTCATTGTTTTATTTAGTGTGCGGGTATAAAAACAAAATTGCGTAATTAGTTTGATTTAGAACTTTCGGGTCACGCAAATAGCTACGCGAAATGCATAGTGAGAAAATATAAACCAATCAAATTTTGTCCTTTTTGAGTGCTTTTTCAGTGCATATTTGCGAACGTTCTGATTCAAAGAGCGAATCGCGAAAGGGAAAATTAACCCGAATCAGCCACCTGGTGGTGAAACTGGTAACTATCTACTCACATCTGGGTGATTTAAGTAAGAGTTTTTATATAAACATTTTTATGTTACTCTTCGTGATTTCCTTTATTAAAATCTCAGGATTTAGTATTGGTATTTGATTAGAATATCTTGTGCTATGGTATTTTGAAAAATATTATCTTTAACCTTGAATAGGGAGGGCAGTAAAATATTATACAAATAATTAATTCTATTGATGTGAATACCTCTGCATCTTTCACAAATGATATTCCAAGAAGCCAGAAGGGCTAGTGGATTATCATCTTGTGGAAGTGTCACATGGTATTCACCAAAAACAGAATTAAATATCTGTTTTATTATTCAGTTTTATATTCCTCACTCACATTAATAAAATAATGTCAAATGAACTATTGATGTCTAATTAATCATAATTATGTTCATCCAAGTATATATAAAATTAAAATTACACTGGACTAAGTTGTGACTGGTGCATATCATTTGATATTCAACAAAAGTCATGGCTTTTTATTTTTAGTCACTTGTAGGACATGAACCAATCAGGGTGAGGAATATGACAGTGATATGATGATAAACCAGAACAACGGCAACGCCAAAGCGTAGCGAATCCCATCGAACAGAAATGGCTGGCATTTTTACAAACTAAATATAAAGCAGATATCATAAAACACACCAGAAAGGCCACCATTTTCAAAATGGTTGCTTACTAGCCAAGTTGTCATCAGAAGAAATGCTTTTAAAAATTCATAATTTTTCAAAATTTTTCAAAATGGCCACCTTCTACCAAAAGTGTCATAGGACAGTGTGCCATGCTTATAGTATTCACATACCAAATATGAACAAAATCGCTCCACTACTTTTCGAGTTATAGTAAAATATGTTAAAATGGCGGCCATTTTTCAAAATGGCCGCCTTCAACCAAAAGTGTCTTTAGACAGTGTGCAATGTTTATAGTATTCACATACCAAATATGAACAAAATCGCTCCACTACTTTTCAAGTTACAGCAAAAATCGTAAAACAACGAGTAAAGGCCGCCATTTTTCAAGATGGCTGCCATGTGCTCTTTTAATATCTACATTTGTAGCTTTATTAATGTCCTTTATAATTTTTTTACACTAAAAACATATTGCTATTACAGTTTTACATATTGTACCTAAATTATTGTAAAATCGGCACTAAAATGGCCGCCATTTTGAAATGAGCGGCCATTTTGAAAATCGGCTTTCGAGCAGAACTTCTACCCCCATAGGGTATATGTGTACAAAATATGAACAAAATCGGGCCAACGGTATTTGAGTTATTGCCCGGACGGACGGACGTACGTACGGACGGACGGACGGACGGTACGTGTTCTTGAATGGGGGTATTTGTGGTTGTTCGGGTAGTAAAATAAATAGCTTCTGTGGTTAATTTTTTTGTGTGGTTATCCACATTACAAAATCTCTCAATGGGTGTAAAAAACCATCTACTGTGGTATTTTGGATTTTCAGGGAATGCCACACAAGAAGTGTCTAAGTGTCCATAAATGGACTATGTCCATTATTTGTCCATGACTCTACAAAATTTTCAAATTGCCCTCCTCTATTACATCTCTGTACTAGATTATGATTGGAGAAGGAGCATTCACTGAAAACCAATCAGAGACCTCATATCTTTATCAAATTTGCATATTTGTAATCTTTGTTTTCATTGGTCAATTGAATTAAGAAACAAAATGGAGGGCTTTTAACACACATGTGAGGTAAGAACATTCCCATAATTTTATGATTTATGCATAAATCACCAATGATTTATAAGAACTTTAACAATAAATGAGAAAGAATAAGTCAGTTAAAGATGTAATGAGTATGAATTTCCATAACAAATAGAAAAATTGTCATTTTTATCAAATGCAAGTATATTGATTCCCACACAAGGAACTGTATTACACCCAAGCTTGTGAAATTATTTCAATGCTCATGTTATAGACCTTGCGAAAAGCTCAGGGGTTTGCCGGCGACCGGGGGTTGTCAATTTGCTAAGGGCAAAAAAATTCTCAATGGGAATTTAACATAGGCCGGGGTCTGCTGTCAGGGGCATTTGGGGGCAGTTGCCTAGGGCTAAACAAAAGAATTTTGGGGTCGGCAGGGTTGACGGGGTCGGCATTATTAAAGTGCCGGGGTTGTGACAAGGGGAGATTTTGGGGGCAGTTTGTGGTGGAAATTGTGCCGGGAGGCTGTCGGGGGCCTGCCAGGGGCAGGAAAAATAATTTTAAAAATTAAAAAAATCTTACCACAAGTACATTATTCTAATGTATGAACATTATTTTTTCAGAGAAATTGTACAGTGTATCTGTTATATCAAACCACAGTTATGACTTTAAAGAAGCATGCAATATTAAATCCCTTACATATTAAAATCAATGGTGTACATCCACATTGGATTAAAATTATATTATTGATGTCATGGTTTCTCAGTGGAGATGATTAGGTCATTTAGCGTTTATCTCGTCAATTAACGTCATTGTAGTTGATTGACGGATACTACATTAATTGACGTTCTATCTTTTTCAATTGCGCATGTGCAACCAATCGCGTCAATTGACGTGTAACATTTTAATCGTTGGCGGGAACGTTAATTGTCGCTAGGTTATTTTTTATTATCGCCCATTACAAAGATGCCTGGCCGCAAATTCAAATATACCTCCATCCTAAGTACTTTTTGATAAAATTGTCAATGTTTCAAAGTGTGAGAATCAATGAAAAGCATTTATTAGTCTTTTGTTCAATTGTATTTTTATTTATTTACGATTTAATTTCGATTCATAACTGGCAGACTTTACGTCTAGAAGTTCCGGACCTCTTCCCAAATTAAACAAATTATTCAGCACATTGTTAAATAAATTGTTAGATGCAGATTCATCCAGAGATTCAACTTAAAAATATTTCCATTTTCTGTTTGTTATCAACGATTGCAGAGGAAACGAGAAATGAAAAAATAAATAGGTATAGCACTAGGCCGTGCAATATTTATTAAATGTAGACCAAGAGAAGTACAGTACGCATACTTTCAAAGCTTAGATCATGCCAGCTGGTCCGAACAGCATGTTTGCGTGTGTACTTCACGCTCATTGGGGCAATTATTTACTGATAAAGTAACTAGAAATGAACTAAACCTTCAGACAAAGTGATGGTGTGAAGTTTGGAAATTTGTGTACTATATCTTCTGGCTTTTACATCCAATGTCTGCACTCCCCCGATTGTTTATCTTTAATTTTAAGATTTTACATCCAATATCTGCACTCCCCCGATGGGTTGTCTTTTTAGACTTTAATGTCACTATTTTTATAAGATAACACGCGCTTTTCAATGAGCAGTTAATCTTTGCGATATACTGATTATAGATTGTCACATTAATTATTAA